AGTACCATTATAGTTACAACTGTGGCGATTGCCATCATAGTTGTAACTGTGGCAACTACCACCACAATTGCGACTGTAGCAATTGCCACTATAGTTGTAATTGTGGCAACTACCACCATAGTTGCGACTGTTGCAATTGCCACCATAGTCGTGACTGGGGGCAAGTACCATTATAGTTACAACTGTGGCGATTGCCATCATAGTTGTAACTGTGGCAACTACCACCACAATTGCGACTGTGGTTTATGCAATTCCTGTGTGCATAAGGGTGTCAGCTTGGTGGCAGTCTGTCAGGACAAAAACCCGACCCCAGCTCAGCACCAAAATCAGTGCATTATCAGACTCGCAATCCGCCGTGAGTAGCCGCCGGTCGCCGTCAACCCGCGGCCGGCCGGGCGCTCCCCGGGCGACCTTCCCGGCGCCGTTGGAACGTGCGAGGGGACCGTGACGGTGGCGACGACCTCCGCGGACCGCAGGACGAGGAGACCCCGCGCGTTGTCATCCGTGACAAGCGCCGGATCGACCTGACCAACCACCACAACCTCACTCAGCCTTTAACCAATTCCTTGGCGTTCATAGGATCGGCATCTCACTTTGGCGATTTCGATATGATCAAAAATCGACACATACTCAGTGGTTGTCGAGAAAAAAAAACAATATTTCGTTGAAGGTCCAGGGTTTTCGCGGTCGGTTTCCTATTCTGGCCTACTGGGTGGTCGTGGAATTTAAGTACAGTCTTGAAATTGAGGCGTTATTGTGGAGCGTATGTATTTAGCTAATCCCCTCCGAATTGGGAATATGAAGCCCGGCCATTTCTTCTAATGCTCGTTGGGCACCTGCGACCGGCCAGTTCCATCCCAATATGAGCTGGGGAAATGACCATGGAACAATGTGACGTGAGGGCTTCACTCCGGTCCCCTAGAGCCACACCCCCTTGAGCGACCATCTCAGTTATGGCAGAATGTAAGAGCTCGTGTGGCCCAAAATTCCCGATGAGGCGGCCCCAGAGTGGCATCTCGATTGAGGTCCGCCATTTCACGAAGCCACCTCTAAGCAAACATCGATCAAGCCCAATGACCTACGGCCAATTAGCAAGAACAGTATCACCATCCTTCAAACCTGCCAACTTAACAGTCTCCCTCCATACCAACGCTCGCTTCACAGCATCCCTCGACTCCTCGCCCGTCTCCACAAGCGTCCTCCCATCAAAATACTGATCCTTAGGCAGCTCGCCTCTCTCACCAACCCCGAACGCGGCCTCCAGGACATCGCCCGCGGAACGTCGCGGCGTCCTCACGGCACCACTGTCCGGGTTGAAGTAGAGAACGAGCGGGTAGATGAGTTGGAAGAGCAGCACGCGGATCAGCCACGGCGCGAGCCGCTGCATCCCGCTGGACATGGTGCCCGGGTCGACGCCGAGGACGCAGATCCGCCCGCCCAGCGCGGCGGCGTTGACGTCCGCGTCCAACCGCGCCTGCAGCTCGTGCTGCATCATGACCAGGAAGAGCTTCGAGGCGGCGTACCGGCGGAACCCGCCGCGGAAGCCCGCGTCCTCGGTCGCGGGGCTCCAGGTGCCCCTGGCGATGGCGTCGAAGCCGGCGGCGTCGGAGACGATGGTCTTGTATTTTTGGTCTACGAAGGCTCTGGTGCGTGCGTTTCGGGGGTCGTTGGTACTGCGCGGTTGTGCCATGGATTAGTCTCGGTCCTTTGTTCGCGATACTGTTCTCACGAGTATGCCATTTTTTCATTTATAGTCCAGTGTAACCTCACTGATTCAAATTCGGAATACTCGGTAGACCAGATAAGACTGCTTGACAGAGAACAACAGTTGGAAAGTAGACACTCACTCGTGACCCTGGCTTCCAATCACGATAATTCGCCCGGCCTCCTTGTCCATGCTTTTCAGCAAGAGAAGGGTGAGGAGCCAATGGCCGAGATAGTTTGCGGCAAAGGTAGTATCAAGCCCATCGTCCGTCCATGACTGCTTGCCGAAGTCTTGGAAGCCGGCATTTAGGATAAGGGCGCGAATCGGCGGGATTTCGCCTGTGGAAACTCGTTTCTGTGAAGTGCATCTTTAGCATCGGGTCACTTCTACCACAGGTGCGAAGATTGAAATGCTTCCACCGGGTCTACGAGAAGGATGTCGCTGGAGCATGGGCGACTGGGCCTGGCGAACTCACGTTGACATCCTCTGCGGCACTTCGAACTTTATCGAGCTTCGTCAAATCGAGGGCTAGGAGATCGTGCGAGTGTGCGGTGCCGTGTTCAAGGGCGGATGTAAGGGCCGGCGCGTGAGCCGTGTCTCGGACGGTGTAGAGCCCGTGGTAGGTGGAAAGCTCGGCTTTCGAGGCGATTTGCTCTGCTATGGCACTGCCCAGGCCACCATTTGCCCCTGTGACGAGGATAGTCCCCTTGACGGCCATTTTTACTCGAGATGCTCGCCTTGTTGGCCAGCTGGAAGGGAAGTGAAGGACCTTTGGTTAAGAAGAGGATGTGTGCTTACATCACGATGGTTTGGTATGTACTGTTGGTTCAGGTGCACCACGCCAGTAGGGAAACCAACCAATACAGGATCCCCACTCCTGCAGGCTTGAGGCACAGCACACTAAATACCAAGCCGTTCCTGGAGCATGTCTACGTTGAAGCCAGCGACTTTCCCATTGGCGTCGCCGGCGAGGGTAACATCGTGATGCTCCTCCTTCGTACTGATAGAATCCTCACAAGCCAACCAGACCCTCTGCGCGGCTTCAGCGAATGCGCGCTCGAGGGCCACCAGGTCGACAACACGTTTGTGGAATCCATGAAGCAGGGCGTGCCGTTGCAAGAGAGTGTACACCGGACGGAGCTCACGCCTCAGACTCATAATTTAGCTCCCGAGTGCGGCCCAACAAGTCGCTTAGCGGACCGAGCCTTCGCCAGTCCGCTGTTTTGTGGGGATCCCGAGCTGGACAACAACGGGATGGCATTTCCCACAGACATTCGCTGATCTCTGCCCTCATAAAGCTTGGCTGGGAGCCATTGCGCCCGCTCTTGTGACTGCCACTCATCACCGCATCGACTTGGAGTTGTCCCGAAGGTACAGGTGTCAGGATCTGGCGCCGGCTGCGCAGCCACGAGAAGCACCTAGGCGATCCTGAGGAAGACTTCCCCCAGCGAGGATCAGCATAGCGACTTCCTGCCAGGGCCGATAGAGCCGGCTAGAGCCTCAGGCGGCCCGTGTGAGTGCACTCGCCGGCCGGATCCTGATAGTCGACTTCGCCAACCCACACAGCATCCTTCACCTTCAGGGAGGGCATGTTTGGACTCGAGACGGCATAACTACCTCCATATTCTCTCATCAGCGGAGCAGAAATTACCAGGTGAAGAGGAGTTGACTATGGCAGCGTTCAGGGACCCAACGACTTGCGGTGGGCGCGAATCACGGGCCCGGCCCCGGAGCCTGATATCCCGGCCTTTGTCCATGGAAAACGCGGAAGTTCACTGCCGCGCGCGGGCCTGAAGCTGATCTGCCATACTGAGATTCAGCTTCGAGATGGCACCTAAGAGGGGAAGCCCAGTTGGTTCACGGGCTGGGAGTCACGCGACTGCCGAGGAGGCCGGAGGAGGCTCGAGACGTGGCTCTGAGCCGTGCATTGGTGGGGTAAATCAATAATGGCACAGAGTGTCAGCCGGAGATGAGCCGCCGTCCGGGCAGGCGACGCTAAGAAGCAAGCACCACAGGTAGGTGGAACAAAGGACGAAGACGGGCGCTGGACCCCTAAATTAAAACAAATGGAGTCATGGGCAGCGGGCTGCGAGGCTACTCGGTACTCCGCGTTATTTGGATGGGGGGCAGATGGGGCCTGTAGCAATTTGCCAAGCATGGGGATATGGTGTGTTTGTTCGGTTGTGGTCCGCGAGACGGACGATACGAGCCAAGCTGATAGTCTACCACATAAATATAGACTACAATATGTGGAGGGGAGTGGGGTTGAGGTGAAGTAGAGGGAAGCTGTCAAGCTGGAGGGGCAGAGTTGGGGGCGATGGCCGATTTGAGGTCGGACGTCGAGGTTGAGTATCGATATTTGATGCAGCGGTTACCCAATCCAGACATTCGGGACTGGTAAGCACAGAGGTGAGAGCGGAAGGTGGCATCCGAGGGTGGTCATCAGTTCATTGTGTGCAATGTACTACGTGGCCCCTTCCCGCGGGTGCTACGGTGCTCTCGTGCCACATTGGTACATGCACACACACATTTACACACATTTTGGTTGTCTAAGTGGACTACTACTGCGCTATATGAAGAAAAGATTGAATTGCCCCTCGTGTGTTGAGCTGAGCCAAATTACAAGCTTAAAGAGTGGAGGACAAGAGCCACTCCTGCAGCCTGCTTCCAGCCCCTCCAAGGGTCTATTTACAATATTCTCGATAGTGTGTGCACATGTGCCCATGTGCCCATGTGCCCTTGTGTCCGCGTGTCTGGGCGTTTGGTTTGTTGTTTCGACTTGCCATTTCGGGCAGTGGCCGTGGTCCATAACGGGCTAGAACGACAGAGAAACAGAACGGTGCTTGAGTCGGCCCCATCCTCGCCATCCTACCCCCCTGCCGTCCTGCCGGTTCTCAGCTGTGCCCTGCTGCGTCTGTGAGAGAGTGTGTGCCTGCTTTGGGCTCCTGCTTGAACTTCGCCTTTGTCTGTAGAAATTGCTTGGCCCAAAGTCAGTCGGTCTTGACCGTAGAGCATCTGAGGTAACTTTGAGCTATGTAAGTTTGCAGGTACCTAGGTATCATGGACATTCATCGCAAGACATGCCATTTACTGCTCTTATCATAGCCCACTCCGTTTAGACACTGTCACAGACACAGACGAGGAAACAGACCTCGGTCTCAAAGGTCGCGTGCCATGCCCAGTCCTGCCCTTTCCTGGTCCTGCCTTGCCATTGCCAGTGCCAACACCGTTCTAGTGAATGCTTAAGTGAGGGAAGGTGTGTGTCCACCCTAGCTCCCTCTTGCCCTTGTGAGACGGTGCCAAGCCAGCACGGAGCACCTACCCCCAGCTCTTGTCTCTGTCTATTGCTAGCAAGCGCAGCCGTCGTTTGTCTTGGCTCCATCCCAGACCCGAGAAACCCATCCATCCATCCATCCATCCACCCATCTCATCATGCTGCCAGGGCGTGCAGGGCTGGCTGCTCCCTTGTCTCGCGACTGCTCTTGTGTTTCTCCTATCGCATCTGTCATGTCGCTGTCTCTTCTTCTTCCTCCTCCTCCCCTCCTTCTCTCCTTCCTCGGACCACGCGACCACAGAGTCCAAGCACGACAGCAGCTCATGTCTGTCTGTCCTCGAATCTGACTGCGACCTGCGATCTGCGCCTGTTCCCTGCATCATCCCACGACATGATCGTCAACCTCGTCCACTTCCTCTAGCCCCCACAACCGTCTGCATCGACAACCTCGCCCTGCACTTGTACAGCCCGGTACACATTCCTGCGCGCCCAGACTCGCCACTCCTTTGCTCCCACTATCCTTCTACTTGACATGTCAAATTGTTTATCCTGATTTCCACCCTGCGCGACACCTGTCGCAACATCTCTGAGCGCCCAAAAAGTGCCTCCTCTCTTTCACCCTCGAGACGATCCCGGCGCCCAGCCGCCGCCAGCCCTGCAAGATGCTTCGTCTTAGGAGGTACCGCGTCTTCGTCGCGTGCGCCTTTGTCTTTGTCTTCCTACTCTACCGAGTCTCTGTCAACTCGGCTTGGGACAATAGTTTCGATTACCAGCAAGCCGTCCCCCAGTCCAACCCAGAGCCTCAGGCCGCCCAGCGGGACCAGGTGCAGAAGCCACTCGACGAGAAACCCAAACCAGTTGTCGAGGACACTTTCGCCCCAGATGTTGCCGAAGAAAAGGTCAAGATACCCAGTCTCAAGACCACCACCGAAGTGAAGGATGGCTTTGCCCTGCCGCCTGCTCCCACTCTGGAGGAGACCTTGACACCACTTGACCAAGGGAGGCGTCCAGAACTGGAGCCGCCTGCCACTACCGAGCCGCCCACCCCTCTCATCCCTGATCGCCGACCTGGCAAGGTTGGGGATGCCTATCCGCACGCAGTTGACGAGCCCCTACACATTCAAGATCCGCCGGGCAGGTTCCCAGACAGCCCCCCAGCTCCCACTACCTCATCGACTACCATCTACTGGGAAAAGCAACCAGAGTGGTTCCCAGTCCCCGAGGAGTCCTTCATTCCCCTGCCCACCGGCAAACCAAAGTCTATCCCCAGGGTCCAGCACAACTTTGGCTCCGAGAGCCCCGAAGAAAAGGCGAAGCGGGAGGACCGCCTGGCGCAGGTCAAGGCAGAGATGAAGCACGCCTGGGACGGATACGAGAAGTTCGCTTTTGGCCACGACGAGCTCGTACCCATCGAAATGTCGTTTAAGGACCCTTTCTGCGGCTGGGCGGCTACCTTGGTGGACGCCATGGACACGCTCTGGATAATGGGCCTGAAGGAGGAATTCGACTCGGCGTACAAGGGTTTGAAGGACATCGACTTCACCACGACTCCGCATCGTAACGAGATCCCGGTCTTTGAGACCACCATCAGATATCTAGGAGGACTCCTTGCCGCATACGACGTCAGTGGCGGCCACAAAGGTGACTACCCACTCCTTCTGAAGAAGGCGGTCGAACTAGCCGAGGTCCTGATGGGCATTTTCGACACGCCGAACAGGATGCCTGTCCTGTACTACAAGTGGAAGCCGGCCTTTGCATCTCAGCCGAAAAGAGCCAGCACACGTGCCGGCATAGCAGAGCTTGGCACGTTGTCCATGGAATTCACGAGATTGGCTCAATTGACTGGAAAAGACAAGTACTACGATGCTATTGCCCGTATTACAGACGCTCTAGAAGAGTGGCAAAACCGCGACGATGAGACAGCCCCCACGCTTGCTGGAATCTTCCCCGAAAATGTGGACGCTTCTGGCTGCAACGCATCAGCCACCGCGGCGATCAAGGAGGCCAGCCTCCGAGCTCAGCAACAGGCCGAGACTGCTATCCTTCAGGAACCTGAGGGATACGTCCCACCCGCTGCTGGAAGCTCAGGGGCGACCCACGCGTCAACGCAGGGAAGGCCCAGTGTAGAGTTCCAGGTTAAGCCAGGCGGTGCAGGAAGCCCCGATGTTGGCGGCTTTAGAAATGTTGAGAAACGCCAAGTGAACGACGGCTATGCACGGGATGGGGCACCTTCTCGCAACGTTGGCCAGACACCAGATCTGACCCCTCCGCACAGAGCTGGTGCTAGCTCCCGCTTCCAGAGCCATGAGCCAGTTGAGCCGCTGGCGGCAAACGGCCTCCCTGCTGATTGGGACTGTGTGGCTTCGAATTTGACCACGTCTCCTGGTATGGAGGCATACTCCATGGGAGGATCACAGGACTCTGCCTACGAATATTTCCCGAAGCAATATCTCCTCTTGGGTGGCCTCGAGCCCAAGTACCGCACAATGCATGAAAAGACGGTCGCTGCAGTCAAGAAGTGGCTTCTTTTCCGCCCCATGGTCCCGGATGACCCCGATATTCTCTTCTCCGCCAAGATCAGGGTATCTGGTGGCCGTGACACGGAACTAGCCGAGAGAATGATGTACGAGTACGAGGTCACACATCTCACATGTTTTCTCGGCGGTATGTTCGGCCTCGGCGCGAAGATTTTCGATTCGCCCGACGACTTGGAGATCGGCAAGCGTCTCACAGACGGATGTGTCTGGGCATATTCCGCGATGCCAAGCGGTATCATGCCTGAATACTCTCATGTTGCTCCTTGCAAGAACGTCGAGAACTGCCAATGGAACGAAACATTATGGACTGATGAATATTTGGACCCAAACCCTGAATGGAGGGTTCAGCAGATGGAGAATTACTACGAGCGCCTTGAGCTCTGGGAGGCCGAGAAACAACAAGCACTGCGCACAGAAGCTGAGAGACTCCAAGCAGTAGAAGAGATGGCCCAAAGAGCCCGCTACCCAGGTGAGACGGAGCCGAAGACGGGGCAGGTTGACTCGGAGCCAGGTGTGCCGGCTGGGTACAGCGGGGCGAACCATGGCGGCAGTAGTATTCCAGCGAACAACGCAGACGGCTCTCCGAGGCGCCCTGACGACGCTGCATCCCGGCCTGTCAAGCGCGACCTTGACGAGGAGGCTTCTCTCTTGCCAGTACCTGACGCATCCTATGTCGAACCTCCCAGAATCTCTGTGGATCCATTAACGCTGGATCAGAAGGCCATCAAGGAAAAGATGAAGAAGCTTGAGGCGGAACTCAATCGCTTGGACGAGACTACGGGCCGTTCTTCATCTTCCGATGCTTTTGGTGGCACAGTGGGTCAGGTGCCTATCGAGCAGGCTGCCATCAATTTGCCGCCACGGCCGGTCAAGCCTGATACTCATGAGGAGTACGTGTCGAATCTGATCATGAGCGAGGGCCTTCCAGCAGGTTTTACGCGGATTGGTGATAAGAGATACATCCTGCGGTAAGCTTACACATTCCCGCGTTCGCCATTGTTTTTTTGTGGGCCACTGAACTGACTTTTCTTTTTCCCTAACTCAGGCCTGAGGCGATTGAGTCCGTGTGGTACATGTACCGGATTACTGGTGACCCCATTTGGCAGGAGAAGGGATGGAAGATGTGGCAGGCGGTGGTGAAGCACACGCATAGCCAGGTCGCTGCCACAGCTGTGGACCAGGTTAACAGCAGGGACGGCGTCACCACACCCATCGACTCCATGGAGAGCTTCTGGCTGGCGGAGACGCTCAAGTACTATTACCTGCTGTACTCGGCACCTGACCTCATCAGCCTGGACGACTGGGTGCTGAACACCGAGGCGCACCCCTTCCCACGGCCTCGATGAGGTGCTGATTATCCCTCCACGGGATTGCTTTCATATATATATGGCTTGAAATAGCGAGCATGGGACGGAGTTTGGCGTATAAATAACCAAAAGGCATTGCATATCATGGACAGGCGGTACTGGTACCTTTTTGCCATTGGAGGCCGGAAGCATGCATCACATGAGCATGGTGTACCTAGAATCCCTAAGAAAGCATCTCTTTAATGAGACCTAGGAGTCCTATTTCCTCATGAGCTGGATCATGACATGGAACTGTGACGGGTCCATTGATTGATTATTGATTGATGCTTCAAGTTTCATTTTTTGTTTTAGGTGCCTGCTCGCCAACGATGTTTGCTCGTCGGCTGACAGCAGCAGGTATCCTCTCTATCCTAGTGACCTAATGCGCAAATACGCTGCTCGAAGGCAGTACAAGGTACGGGGAAATACAAATATAAGCGAACAGAAAGGTTTAAAAGAGGAGAAGGAATAAAACAAAAGCGCAATAAACTGAATTAAGTCGCACAGAAACCAAAAAGGGCGGTTGGTTTTTCTTTTTCAAACCATGAACCGAAAACCCCTTCTCCTTTGTGGATGGATATAAACTCCGTTTCCCAGATGCTGCTTTCTTTGGCTCTTCTCTCCTCATCTCTGCTCCCCCTCTCAGCCTGTTTTGGTCGGTTATTCCATTTCTGGAGCTGGCCTTCTTGTTTGTTGGTAGAGACGTGGTTGAGAGAGACGGAGAGGGCCAGAGTGTGTTGCTTTGTGCATGTACATGTTCCCTGCCCCATCCACGTGTGCCGCCCGTTCCATTCCAACCCTGTCCCGCCCTGCCCTGCCCGGACCGACCACTTCGTGTCGTACGTGCGGCCTTGTCGTCATCGTGTCCTCCCGTTCATTCATTATATACCGTATTGGGTAGGTAGGAGGTGGAGGTTGTAGAGTAGTCGTCGTCGTCATGGAATGCGGAAATGGGAGGTGGCATTCCCTTCCGTTCGTACACGATGACCTGTTCATATTGTTGTGTGGATGTTTTTCCCATTTCATACCCGTTTCTATCATAGCATTTCCCATCATCGTTTCATCTTTCCAATTGCGCCTTCCCACCATCCTTCTTTTCTCCAGGGACTTCTTTCATTCCAGAGAGTGAGGTGATCCCTTTTAATCAGCCAGCTGGCTGAGCACCCTTATGCTCAATATCATGACGAGCAGACCGATGGTGACAATGATAAGCAGGGTGAAAGAGAACCAACCGAGGACCATGGCGCTAGTGCCGACGCCGGACTTGACGCTGCCATTGCCAAAGTCCTCGGCGATAGTACTAGCGGCGACGGACGCCGTGTGTTGCCAAAGCACGGAGACCAGCACGAAGATGGACGCGATGAAGATGATGGCCAGCGCCACTTGGGACACAGGCCGGCTGGGGAACGGCTTCACCTCGCGGTCCGATCCCTCGCTGTCCTCCTCCTCGTGCCAGCCGGGGAACGTGGCCAGGAGCAGGAAGCAGATGAAGGCGAAGATGATGGCGATGATTCTGGGGGCAGGGTCAGCTTCGGCAGGCCTATGAGTCGGAGCTAAGCGTAGAGGAGTACTCACATGAGGTAGGGGAAGACGATCGAGTCCTTGAACTGGCTGGCGAGCCAGATGAGGTTCAGGGGGTCCTGGTCGACCGAGACCTCCTGAGCCAAGGCCGTGGCGTTGTTGGAGCACAACCAACTACCGCCATCCGGGTTGATGCAGATTCCAAAGTAGCCGACGCGGGCCTGCAGGTGAGCGTCGCCGGCAAGGCTGCTGATCTGGGAGTAGGCGGCGTAGTTGACCTGGGCCGTGTCGGGCCGCGGCGTGTAGTCGTCATAGTAGAGGGATATCAGGAAGATGTCGGGGATGAGCGGACTTGATGATGAGCATCCTGCGAGAAGGAGGGCTGGAGGGAGATATTGTCAGTCAGTCACCTGTTACTCGCATCCTGATTCAGGGCGTTGTCGCGCGTGGAGTCGTTGTGGAGACGCTGGGTAGGCACTTACATAGCAGGATAATTGCTATCGCTATTAATATCATCAACACATGGTGGTAACCGAGGAATGGTACGAAGCCTAGAGAACGTGTGTTAGCTAGTCTGTCTGTCTCTCTGTCTCTGTGAAGCCATCCATGTGGCTTCTAAGACGCTTTGGGGGGACTGGAATGTTGTTGCGGCTGGTGGGCGATCGAACGTACGGTACCATCCTACTCTGAACCTCTCGTTCGCCATGTTGCCGCCGGTGACCTTCGCCGCTGCTGATCCCTATGCCGACCTCCGTGGAGAGCCGGAGGGACGTCGAAGGCGCCCTGGCGGGCCAGTTGGCGGATCGCGCTGTCAGGGCCGTGGGAATTAGGTGGTGTTGCTGTGTGCTGTTGCTACTGTTGACAGGATCCGCTTTGAGACTGGCGAGTGCCTGTCTGGAATGAAGGACGGCTCGGGGAACCGAGCAGACGGGACGGCGCTGTTTGTTGACTTGGTGGTGGGCGGCAGACTGGAATGTTGAGATACAAGATGATAGCCGGTAAGCCACACCACTGTGGTAGTGTGTGGGTAAGGTGAACAACGAGGAGGAGAGATAGAGATGGATATGGAGATAGCAGTGAGACTACAGCTGCGGGTGGAATGCAAGTCGAAAGTGTAATGGTAATGTGAGTGTGGTTGTCATGGAGAAGGAGTGAGAGAGAGAAAGAGGACGAGGAGGAAAACCAATGCAGGAATGCTCTCGTGTGTCGCAATGCCACGGGCGTGTACAAGGTTGGACTGGCGTCTCGAGTATTGCGATGGCTGGGAAACGCACTCGCTCATTCATACACATGCGGTTCTGGTCCGGCTCGGTCCAGCATGCAGGCTTGCAGGGCCTGCAGGAAGGGCAGGGCAGGGCACGAGTGGATAGTGGATGTACCTTACGTAGTGCCAATTGGGCGGCATCGACGGTCGACAACAACAGCCAAGGAGAGCAATCCCAAACCTGCGCCACCACTTTTTTTTTCGAGTTGTCTGGGGCTGCTGGGGTGGGCATGTATGTACCTGTTGGTCGTCCGTAGCAACAGGATTAGCTGCGGCCAGGCCAGGGGTGGTACTTGGTTGTCAATGACCCATCTCAATGAGGCTCCAGGAACGCACAGAGGAGACAGAGGCGGTGGGTGGAGGATGCTGCTGATGCTCCTGTGCTCTGCCCCAGGATCCCGTAAACAAAATTCCGGAGGTTGGGGCAGCAACCGTCCCCGATTGGGCTTAGCGCGGGCGGGTACCTCCCCACCTTAAAGTGGTTCCTGCATAGCTAGCCAGTGACGTAGCCGCAAGACAGCCACTCTCGGCCGAGCATTTGCTTACCTAAGCAGAAAAGAGAAGCCTAAAAGTCTAGAGCAGTAAGAGGGAGGCTGGGAGCATGCAGCTCCCATCCCTGCGCCCCCCACCGACTTACATGGACCCCTGTCGGCCAGCTCACTTCCTTCGACGACTGAGGTGCTCAGGTCTTCAGGAACAATGTCCTCGTGCCTCTCTCTCCTCTCAATGGACTATGATATAACCAATTCTATTACTGCCAGGGTTCCCAGACAATCCGGAACGGCCGTCCTTCTGCCTTCATACCGGCATCCATACGTGTACCATGCGTATCTCAGTGCGGACGGACAGCCCTGCCAAGCTACAGTTCTGAGCAAGGTCCGCTCGATCCTGCTGCTGCTTATGCTCTCTCAGCTTGGCCCATCACGACAATCTTCAGACTCACGGACTCACACAATGCAAGATCCAACTTAGACCTACCCAGTGATCCGGTCCATGCCACCGTCGCAATGTGGCCGCGTACCAACGACCCCTCGGAAGGCCAGCCCGTGCTGGAGTACCACACAGATATATCAACCTTGACGAACGGATAACTTAAAAGAGCAATACTTGTGCCCTCGACTTTGGTGTCATTAAGGCTTGACATTGATCGACAATGGGAATTTTGCGGCACGAAAATGAACCCAATGGCCAACATGTTGTCCTGATCCCACATGTCCGTCGTGTTGACAAATCCGAATACCGCAAGGTCTCGCTCAGTGATGAAAGATCGGACTACAGACACAGAGAATCAACGCAGCTCAGCGAGGCTATAGGCTGAACCAATCTAGAGGAGACCAGGCAAGCCTGAGTCGAGAGCTTGCTTGTTTGGCCGACAAGTGTCGGCACGCTGGAAGGCTGGCCATGTTCCTGCGGTCAAGGGGGAGATGATCTCTGGGCAGGTGGCCACCACACTAAGCAGGCTTCATTGCGAGGTGAGGCCCTGCATATGTCTGACGAAGTTCGGACCTCGTGACCTATGCCAAAGCGAGGAAGGTGAAGACTGGGGCTGAACACTACCGGAATGTGCGAGCGAAAATATGGGATCTTCCCGCCACTTGGGACTCAGAGTGCCATTCATTTTACTAATCATGACGCGATCGCACAAGAATCCCTGGGAAAAACTTATTGTTGCGCAAAGAGAGGATAGTTAAGAGGCTACGGGCTACAGGCGAACCTGTGGCGTTCTGATAGGGGGCCAGAGGAGTGGGTACCGTAACACTAATAGACTCCTTGAGGTATTGCGTTCGATGTCCAATTATTCCAGGGACTCAGCAAAATTGAAGCGAGGATGATCAGGGCAGGTGGTACTATTGGCTGGGGTTCTTCTCACAGGCACTTTCCCCGGAAGTCATCTGCGATAGCTTGAGCGCAGCCCAATTATTGTTTCCGCTTCATATGCTACGGCCATTGTATGGCTCTATGTCATATACTCGAACGCGTCGATAGGGTACTTGATAGGCAGCGTTGGAAAAGCGCGACTGAGAACCTCGGTGGGCCGGAGGACACGACCTATACGAGTACAGCCCAGAAGTTCAGTATTTTGACTTCTGGCTTGCAAAATTTGGCAAACCGAATAGGACGGCTCAGTTTAAACGAAAGAATCCACCTATACAGAGACATCCTTCTGATGAAGTGTTCAGTCGGATAGAGCCTTGCTTCCATTTAAAATACTCAGGATCTTTCACATCGTATCGTTTACTTGGGTACAAATTGTGGTCTGAAAGTGTTTGTGCTTGTCTTAAACTCCTATGGGACTCTAATCTCATAGGCTAGTTACCTCTTTACTTCAATGAATCAGATCATTTCACTAGGTTTCTGGCTGGCAGCTGTCTACCCTCGAGGTGTTAGTCGCAAAATTGAGGAATACGTCCCTTTCTGGGCCTCCACAGGTAGTCTAGCCTTCATTTCAGTCACACAGCTATTCTCTCTGGACAGAGGGCCAGCCTCATACGAGAATCATCTCTGATAGGGTGCCTCGCCAAATAGACTGGGTGGACATGGGATTGTTTCTGACCGATGTTTTCAAGAGGGTTGCAATTGAGCATGGGCTGACAGTTGTCCATTTCTAGCCATGCGTGCGTACATCGTGTCCCCTGGGCCCCTATATCTACCCACTATGGTAGGAAAGATTTTGCCTCGCTTGTGAGCCCGCTGCACAAAGAAACTCAGTTTCACGTGAGGCTCTGTCTCGTCGAATTGGAGACTTACTGATCTGGTGACATTGTGCTGACTCTTTTGCAGCTGTTAGGGGAGCTTAGACGAGACTTCTACCGCAAAAGATACACAACGCTCAGAACGCCAACCTCGGGGAGCTCATTAGGAGAAACCAACTCCGAATGGGTGTGATTTGTGATACCCAGCGACTCAATTAATTAGTATACATTATCTTTCCCACCCTTGTGGTAACTCATATACAGACCTCGGTCCATTCAAGGGTAATTCGCTCAATTCACTGGTGTGTGCAGTCTGTGTGCTCTTCGGAACCCATCCTTCACACTCAAATACTGTAGACTCCCGTGGCATGTTACTAGTAGCACCATTCGACAGCGGTCGTACCAGTTTCGCTCGTCGTCTCCTCCACAGGACGAACGCCCCTACTCCCAAGAGCAGGATCCCAAGGACAACGCCCAGTGTCACACCTATGCTGAGCCCCAGGTTCGACGACCCAGCAGAGGATGCGGAAGATGATTGGGACGAAGAAGACGGCGAAGACGACGAGGATGAAGCCGTCGTCTGTGCTGTTCCCGCTGCGGCAGTATCTGTCGAGCCAGCTTGACTGCTTGTATCAATGTTGAAACCATTGACGGGCACGGCGAACATGGTAGCGGCGGAAGTGAACACGGTTGTCGTCGAGCGGCTCGTACTAGAGGTCACGCCGGTGAACCATGATAGCGTCTGGCCTTCCGTAAGCATTGATGTGCATTGTGAAGGAAAGGCCTCGCCCTGGTTTGGCTGGGCGTATAGGAGAGTGAATGAACTGGGCTGTTAGTTGATTTCCTTCGGCTGAGTTCCTCAAACTTGAGCCACTGGGTACATACGTAGGACAACAGTAGACCTCCTGAACTGAGCTTGCGACATAATTGGTGGACACCGTCGAGTACGCCTCAGGACATGCGAAGCTGGGGCCGAGAGCAGTGTATATCAATGCCGATGAGGACTGAAGCCACCAGGTCGTGACCTGGGGAGGGAAACAGCTCGTGGCATCGGTAACACTCTGGCCATAGACTGGGTCCCACGCAAGAAATGTCGGAGCCGTACTCGTCAATTGATAGACATTTGTACCGCAACCTTCCTCAGAAGGATAAGGCGTGGGCAATGGCAAGAAGATTGTGGGAGTGCCCCCTACCGATATAACGGTTGACGATACACTCGTCATTGTGGTTGAAGACAAGATAGAACTCCGCGAAAGGGCGGAATTCACAATAATTTCCTCGCAACCCAGTATTCGGGAGCGGCGGCGTCGTTGGTTTCAACACAACCATGGCCTCTTCTTTATTTACGGCCATCATCACCACACTCGGTTGGTTTAACCGCCCCGAAGATACGCCTGATTGGTTTGCAGTGGCACCAACAGCATGCGCGTAGTGCGGCAAAATCTCGCCTAAGCTTGAAGGAATCGCAGTTGTGCAAGCGATTCTCCGTAGCCACTTAGAGGCCCTCAATGAGATGAGGAATGGGCCCAAAGTGGCTCTGTGGGCCTTGGTGCAACTCAGAATATGGATATGTTGGGTCTCACGCCTTTTTCTTTTTTTCTAAGTGGACTGCGCCGCCCGAAAATACGTGTTGGTTGCTCTTAGCCCTGTCATTGGTCCTTCATCGCAAGAACCTGAATCCATATCTGGGGAATCTTTTCCAAAGCGCATTTCGAAGAGCATCCCTCTCGCCTCTTTGCTCTTACGGTCGAATCCTACGTGATCCATATTTAACCTAACCAAGCTTAACTCTTTGTGACCATCTCCTTCCTAAGACGTTCGAATGAAATGTTCAATTATGTGCGGTACCGTGTTCCCGGTGTTTTACTGATAGTCGCCTGCATATCGGTAGCATTAATATGGGTACGGCGCTCTCCTTTGTCGTCCACAACCACTATGGACAATCTTTCGGCTTCACTAACAAACAGCGAAGTTCGGACTGCCATCGTATACATCTCCACCCATAAAAGACTTTTCCTCGATAGATACCCTCTCTTATGATGCAGCTGCTTCTAAGACGGACCGCCCTCTCGTCACATACGTGTACAGCGAAAGCAAAGAGGCGCGGCGGAACCTGCAATTCTTCATCGCCCATGGGCTCCACGCCGCAGCAGACTTTGTCTTCATTTTCAATGGCGAGACCGACGCAGACTCTCTAGTCCCCGATGCCCCGGGAATCCGATCCGTCCGCCGGCCGAATACCTGCTACGACCTCGGCTCGCATGCTGAGGTTCTTTCGAAGGATGACTTATGGCGACGGTACAGCCGGTTCATATTAATGAATGCCAGCGTGCGCGGACCATTCATGCCAACTTGGGCTGATGGTATCTGCTGGACGGAGCGATTGCTGTCAAAGATTACACGCGAGGTAAAAGTAGGCACTCTCCGATGGTCAACTTTGTCTATGAATGCTTTGCAGTAGCGAATTGACCTCAAAGCTGACATCCAGATGCTAAATAGCTTGCCGGTATCTCGATCAACTGCTGGCCAACGCCACACGTACAGTCCATGGTCTGGGCGACGGACAGTGAAGGTCTTTCTCTTCTATTGCACCCACCTGCAACAAGCCCACGGCATGACGAATGGATGGAAATACTCTTTTCGCACGCAGATGACTTCCCACGCCCAGACGACTACCAGCCGAGCGGCCCTGACTGGTTCGAGAAAGGGCTATCACAATGCTTCGCCAATCGTCAGGAGGCCGTGCAGGGCGAGATCTCAGCCACAGGCATTATCCTCGGCGCTGGCAAGAAGGTAGACACCCTTCTCACTCAGTACCAAACCTCGCGGGAGCATAATGCCACATCATTCTGTGAGCCGCTTGGAGCATGGGACCCTCAAGCGGAGGGTAATTACGGCGGTGGGAGCATTCATCCCTTCGAGACGATGTTCATAAAGACCAACAGGGGACTCAGCCCGGAACTCATTGAGAGTTTGAGTGGCTGGACGGATCAGATGGAATATTCCAGTTATAAACAATGCTCATAGCTGAGTGAGTAGGCTTGATGATACCGTTACACCAAGCCTGGATCTCAAAGACGCTGTGGCCGCGAAAAGAACGGCTAGAAGAATCCTCAGTATTCAAATACGGCAACGTACAAAGGGGGCAGAAATGCAAATGTAGACCATATAGACCATATAATACAATTCGAAGGCTTAAAGACTGCCCCTGAGCCAAGTTCTCTTTTCTTTTGACATCCTCTAGCTATGTCACATATCAAGCCTAATGCAGATGAAAGGCCTTCAATTGAGAACAAGAGAGAACAATTTCCCCCATGCATGGAGAACACCTTCTTCAGTCTGAAGAAGATTTGCTTTAGGTCAAATAGGCAACCAAAGGGGTGCACCTTTTTGCTTAGCTGGGCACAAACACGTGAGGAGGCGATGAAAAGAAAGAATCAACAGTGGAAAGCTTCATTTTAATGTCCTTCTGTTCCGATGTACATAGAAAAAGACTACTCTATGCAGTTATAAGAGGCTATGTCTCCAAACACAAGCCTTGTCTATCCTTTGTGACCTATTGCGGCTGTCCTTCGTGACCGCAACCAGCCTTGTGCCTAGAGCCATGTGGACACAAACAAAGGTACTGCCTAGTCCGGAATTTCAAGACTCTCATGAGATGAGAAAGGCAACGCCCTTTGCACCTCGAATTCCACTCTCAGATAATTGCACCGAAAAAGTAACTCCCAGGCCCGTAGACCTCCAGCCGTGACCAACAACAACCTCGAATCCATCATGGCGAACATGCTTCCATTGACCGCGCCAGACACGGACACCCTCTTCGGGGAGCTCCACACCTTGCAGGAAGACTTCAGCGCCTTCCAAGCGACGATCCAGCGGCGATGCGACTGCAACGCCCAGCCATACCCGCCGCGGCCGCCCCCGGCCAACGCGCAATGCGCCTGCAACCCGTGCAACTGCCCGACGACGGACCACCCGTGCAACCGAGGCTCCGCGCCGACAGGCAGAGATCTGAGTGATGCAGGCCTGCGCCGGATGCTCAACCGGCTGACGAGAGAGGTGCGGAACTTCCAGGCCGGGCAGGGTGCGACGTGCGGCTGTGCTGGACGTGACGGGGCCCACAGCGCAGGTAATACCAGTCCAGCCCCAGCAAGCAGCTAGCCAGCGTCGCGTAGATTCTTGTGTGAGCTCGGTGGCTGCAGTCTGATGTTGCTGATCTGGCACCACGGCAAGGGTGGTCAGGATGCACTTTCGCGGAGGACGGTTTGAGGCAACTGAAGCTGAAGGCATCATTGCCATCGTGTTCCAAGCCTCAACGATACCCGAGGGTCGCACACGTTCGTGTTCCAGACTCTGAGACCCGGACATGTGAAAGGATGTAGGAGGGGAAACAACACATGAACGAGAGAAGACCACCAGCCGTCCTGTTCGCTACACACCAAGTCTGCCCGTACTTTGACCGAGGAGCTGAGGAGACACTCTCGAACAGCCTTTAAACACGTCAACGAGAGACACGCGTGGCCAAAAAAGGTCACTTGTACGTCCGCACTGCACGCGGGCGACGTTGCTTCCTTCGAGACATTCGCACAAGGCGAGACCCAGCCAAAACCAGATCCACACGCCTGACACACACGCACACAAATACTGTCCCAGCTTTGCACGACGCAGGCTAGTCTCCAAACCATCCAGGTCAGGGCAGCTACAGACAGACAGACAGACAGACAGGCAGATAGGCAGGCAGGCGGATGAAGAAGAGAAGAGAAGATGGGATATCGATATGCTACCGTGATGGACAAAAGAAAAAAAATGAAAACAAAACCCCGTGAGATATCAATCAAGCATAGCCGTTTCTCATGCACGCAACGCACGCACGCACGCACGCAGAGAGATCCATCCAAGTCAGGTCAAAGTGGGAGGAGATAGACATCAGTAACAACAAACAACAATGAACAGAATATTAGACTCTTGAAACAAGTACACCACACCGACCGGGCCGGCCAGTGCTACACGATGCCTCCCAAAGAACCCATGATCGGTCAACAGCAAGGAGGACCGGACCAGGAAGGAAGGGCAGTTCCAGAGCATTTTACACCTCGCAATCCCCCAATCTTTTATAACGCCACGCCAGAAGTGCTCCTGCCAATAGTCTTAAAGCTCTCGCGACTGTTCTCCCAAGACGTCCAGCCGCCGGCCTCGGCGTTCCACACATCAAACCTGCTCTCGGCGCCCATGGAGTCAATGCCAACGCCGAAACCAGTGAAGTAGTAGCCCGTGACAACGACGAGGTAGCTCAGTAAGAGGATGGAGCCCTTGAAGTAATTACTCTTGCCCTCGCCGTACATGTAGCTGAGCAGGAACACGCAGAGGATCACCGTGACCATGTCCCACTGCGGGAACAGCAGGCTGAACGTGTACTTGGCCATGTCGAGCGGCGCCTCGCCGTTGGGCATCGTGATGGTGTACACTGCGCTAAAGAGGACCAGTGCGGGAATCTGCAGGAGGCAGACCTGCAGTGCGTATGCGGAACCGATCTCCATGGAGAGGGCAATGTTGCCGTTCATGGCGAAAGAGATGGCGTTCTGCATCACGGTCGGTCAGCCTGGTTCAAGCAAGACAGAGTCGGCATGTAGTGTGAAATTTAGAAAAGGTGAAAGGGGGTCAGGAGTAGATAATTCAACGTGTTCTCAGCAACCGCAAAAAGTGCGTCTGAGTGAGCTGGGTAGTAACGCATAATGCTCATCACAAAATCAACCAAATACAGGACACAAGCTGGGATATGAACTTACCAAGAATTCCGTGGTATTTGGCACCAGCGCAAAGAGCGTGATACCCAGGAACTTCTCGTCAATCGCAAAGCCCTCGAGGACCACATCCACTGTGTCGACAAGGATCTCCGCAATTATCGCATATAGTACAGTCGCGCCCATCAGGATGACGGCGGACTTCGTCCTGCTCCAATTCGGCGCATCGTGACCTCCATGACCACCAGCGTGAGCCTCGGCGCCGACGGCGTCCTCGTGCTCGGGGAAAGTCGCGGTGCGGATGGGTGGCGGCCGGTGAGAGCTCATGGCGGTCTCTCTTCCAGAAGAATGACCCTGCGGTAGGTGAGGCGTCGTCGCAGGAGTGCTCTTAGCGATGCTGCCTCGCGCGTCTCTAGCTGCAGCGGTAGCAGCCGTGCTGGCAATCTCGGCGATCTGCTGCACGAGCTGGCTATTCTCGGCCTCGGAGAACCCCGGGATATGCATCGACGAGCTGATGGTATCAGACCTTGGAGGCGGGATGTGCGGTGTCACGGCAGCGCCGTTGCTCGAAGTGCTGGGCTGCAGGCCGACCTGCCTAAGGGTCTGGCCCAGAGTTCGCTTGTAAATTTGGCTGTCACGGACATCAATGCCGCTGGCCTCGCCAATGGACGGGTACCCGCTACGAGGGGCTGAGCGGCCACCCATGGCAGCGTGGTGCATTTGCTCCTCATGCCTCTTCTCGTCCTGTTCGCTATTCCAAATCACCGCAGCGTGGGTGCGCAGTGTGAACCAGAGACCAATAACATAGCTCAAAAACAGCAATGCCGCCGCCATGTAGCAGTATGGGCGGACTGCCTCGAGGTAGAATCGCTCGTCGAGGGCGGGAGTCTGACTGAAGTAGCAGCGGCGGCAATCTCTCGCTCCCATACCGTGCTTAGAATGACCACTGCTGACGCAGTCGACGCAGTTGAGCTCATGGGAGCCGTATATCTGGTAGAACAGAGTCGGTCCAAATGCGCCTATCACTGCGAAGAGCAACATCGTCGAGGTCACACCAGCCGAGCGGGCATTGAAGCGTTGTGTCTTGCGCTTAATCGCTCCAAAGCACATGGAAAGGCCGGGCAGGAACAAGATACCGGCAAAGATAGAGCCAACAATACTACCTTCCACAAGAGCGCCTTTTCCATCTTTGAGCGCGACACAGTACAAGAATACCTCTACAATAGTAGAGAAAAACGCATTGATAGCGGCGCCGAATCCCATGGACGACTGTGCTGAAATGGAAGCCACAGCTTGACCAATGAAGTACGCCAAGGGAATGATGGAGAATAAACCGGCAACGAAGAGGAAGCCGGGGGAGGTGATGAAATTGTGGACTTGGAACACGCCCTCCAGCAATGCCCAGTCGAGGATGACGAACAACACAACGGCCATGAGGTTGATGAGGAAGATGTTGGTGCCGTCCACCGTGTACTTCCAGTACTTCAGTCCAACAGCTCGATAGGTGCAGACAATAACGGAAGAGTGAGGCGCCGCCGGTATGCGAGCGTACGAGACGTCGGACTCGAATGACAAGGCCAACGGATGCCGGCGCAAATGATCGAAGAGGAGCATGGTGACCTTCCCCATCGGGATCCAGAAGACTAGGAACCAGCATATGGCCGACACCATAAACAGCGAGGGTGTAATGAGGGCGTAGAAGAAGATGAAGAAGATGAGCCGGCCAATGTTCCACTGACCACGGCCGAAGAGCCGCCTCTTGATACGGGGCAGGTCGTCGTCGCTGCTGTGGCCGTGATAGCCTCGGCCGCGTCCCAGCAAGCTGTCGGTCTCGCTGGGCTCGGAATCAATACTCCTTCGTGATCTTCCAACTATAGACCGGGTGCCCATGTCGGGACCGAAGAACAGCCTTCCGTATTCCAGATCGCCGCTCTGCCATTGCTCGTACTCGCTGATGCTTCGACCCTCGCCTTGATCCTCGTCGATGTACGCCTCCTGCTGCTCGAGTCGGATGAATTTGCCGAAGGGGTAGAAGAGATATCCTGCCAATCCCCATAGCACACGTCCATACTCACGCGCGCTAGGAGCCGCGGCGAAGAGGAAGCACACGATAGCACCTGAGTAGGCGATCAGAGACATCCACCAGCCGAAACAGAGTGTCCAAACAATGTTGAACAGCAGTAGCCACTTGCTGACCCTACCGCCAGGCGAGCTGTGGATGTCCACTTCTGCATTCTTCTGGACCGATCTATCCTTCTTGTAGAGAGCAGGTTTCCACAGCCTTATACCGAATGGATGTGTCTCGTTGATGGCGGCCTGCCTGTCCTTGAGTGTGAAGCTCTCGGCGTCACTAATGTCACCGTCGTCATCGTCGTCGTCGTCGTCATCGACCGGCGTGTCGTCGTCCATCCCATCACCTGCCTGCACACTCTCTTCGACGGCTTCGGCTTCCGCAGTGTCATCATTTTCCTCCTCCACAATTACGGGCGTCTTTGGGGGTGCCAAGTCTTCGCTGGATGCAACCTCGTCTCGGCTCGACTGTATCCTGCTCAATTTTGGAGCCCCAGCTTGCCTTCTCCGAACCGTTGCGTAACTTTGGCGCTCAGCCTCTTGATCTGCCGCGATTTCGTCGAGCGCATCGTCCACGGAGAAAATGCCGCCACGATGGGGTGCTTGTGTATTAGAGGAAGCTCGCCGCGACAGAGGCGGCTTGCGTGGCTTGGCCCTTCCACGGTCGTGGGCCGAGGGCGGTACGGGCGAGCGCGAAGGTTGTGACGAGTTGGTCCCCATTCGTTGATGGTGCCGCTCGTTGGAAACTACGGGCTCGAGATATTGCGACGAGGAGGCGGTGCCAACAGACGGGCTGCTGGTGCCTGTTGTGGCGGATAAGCTTGGTTAGCATAGGGCCTATGGAGTAGGACGAGCGCGAGACACGCGCGATGTCATCGAGATTGGAAGATGCAGAGGCGAAATTTAGGGGCACAGGGCCCTGAAATGACGGGAAGTGGCAGGTAGTACGTACCATATCCTGCGGTAGCATCTGGTCTCCTGCGCACAGTATCCGTAGACTGATAGCTCTCTGAAAGACCGTCGTCGTCTCGGCCAGTGATGGACTCGTATCTGCTCGCGCTTCGGACGTCTGTGGGTGAATGCGTGATAGAGGAGCGGCGCGACGCCTGACTGGCGTCGTCCTGGTTGTTTTGGTGAGGAGGGTCCATCTTGACGGAGCTGCTCGTGTGGAGGTCCGGCAGACTCGTCCAAGGGAGTGCTTTATATCACACGCGCATACACGGGGCGAGCGAGGTGTGCGCGGTGAGCTCGCTGCTTGCCTAAATCGAGGCGAGCCAAGTCGCGTTGTGTCGGGCACGACGATATAGGCGTAGCTTGGGCTGATGTGCTCGAGAAGAGGTGGGTATCGAGTTGCTCGTACGTACGAGAAAAGCAGATAAACAAGGAACAGGGGCGAAGAAGAGAGGGCGAAATGGGGGCCCGGAGCGTTACATGTAGTGGTGATTCTGGGGAGAAGCGAGGAGGAGGGCCGATCATGTGTAGAGCTGGTGTGGGTCGAGCTGACGGAAGAGGGAGGAGAGTGAAGCTCCTATCTAGAGGCAGGTCGAAGTCATGGCAGTGCCTGTTTTGAAACCCAGGCAGACGACAACGAGAAGGAGGATCGGATCAACGAGCTCGGAAATTTAATCTAAGGCAAAAGTAAAAAGGAAGCCGTCGTGGGCGTGGTACAGTTTCGCTTCGAAGGTCGAAAGGACGAGGAGGGTCGAGGAACAGGCCGGTATGTACAGGACTCCGCCGTGGTACGTATCTACAGTTACAGTTACATGCAGCTGCAGTTGGTGAGAGTGTGGGCGTGGGCGTGGGAGTGGGAGTGGGAGTGGGAGTGGACAAGCTCCCGCCCACTTTCTTGGACCTGGACTTGAACTTGGAATTCGGACGTGACTCGAGCCCAGCTTTGCGAAAGATCAACAACATCGGACAAAAAAGTCTTGGGACTTTGGGACTTTGGGACTTTGGAGGAAGGGCCCAGTGCCCCAGCCAACCAACCGCAGGCTGATCCTTCCACCAGCTTCACCTGTACCACAGTATAATTAGCAGGCACCCTGCAACCCTGGCCATGACATGGCTCGAGCATGGCTAACATTAGCAGGCAGAGGTAGTGTTGGCTGCCCGTGGGCGGCACATGTACCGGGTCCAGGGCTGCAGAGATGGCACGGATGCCCCAAGCTACAGGCGGGAGGCACCTGTACCTAGGTAAGCTGGCCTACCAGATGAGGGCAACGCAGGGCTGTGATGGGCCTGTGTCCACCCCAGACAGCCCCAAGAAAAACAAGAAAACCGGAGCCGAGCCGATCAGGCCTCGGCCATGGCTGATACCGTAGTCTACCTCCTCTGCCTCCACTAACTCCTCCTCCTCCTACTCTTCCTACTGTTGCTGCTTCTGCTGTGTAGGTGGACTAGCACGATGGACAGGTACTTTGGGTACCTGGCTGCCTAGGTACTTGTGGAACATAATGACGACGATCGGTAGGATCCCAAATAGCAACAACCACGCGGCGGGTAGCAACAGCTGGATTGCTGATGATATTACAATCTTCCTGCAGCAGCATCAGCCCGTCTTCTGACATGCAGATACTTTTCCATTCTGGTGTCCCGTTTCACTGGCACTGGCACCAACACCAACACCAACATCCACAGTGCCACGCTGATATCGATCTCTGTTGCAAATCGCGGGCCCAATGCAGCCGTGTGCGGGTGGGTGTGGGTGTGTGGATGTTTGTGCGCACAGGAAAAGAGAGGGTCGTCATGCCCGATGATGTCGCAATGCATGCCCTGGTGCAATACCATGTTGAGGGGTACAGATCCGTACCGTCTGACAGTGGCCCGGCGCCCCGACTCAGCCCACCAGAAGTGCAGTGATGCTGCAAACCGATAGGTATCTAAGACCTCTAAACGTATGGTGGTCTACAGTAGTCTACATTATGGAGCTGGTCAGCATCATGCCACTGGTCACTGGTCGCTGGTCACTGGTCACCTTTGTTCGGTGCCGTGCCCAGAGGCATCATCGTGAACAGGGTCCCATCATCTTTCGGGCCCTATTCGCTGCGGGCGCTTTGCCGCCTCAACCTTGTGCAAGTCGGCTGGGTCGGACGCAACCCAAAGGGTCCACATCTCAGATCATCCACCTTGGGCTGCTTGGGTCTGCCACCCCATGTGATGCGAGAGGCTCTCCCGATGGTGTGGTTGCGTTGCTTCCAACTTGTGTCAAGTTGACCGTTGGTTTTTAGTCTTCCAAGACCAGTACAAGACTACCTAGGGTACGGGAGGCAGTCGATCTTACCGCCAATTGCCCCCAGTCTTGGTGTTATTACACAGTACAAGCTCACAAACATGGCTGCCCCCTTGCCATGTGCTACGCCGCTTCTATTTGCTCCAGTTCCAAGATGATCGAAGTGGCTGGCTACTGTAGGTGCACTGAATCAGTTCCGGCAGTTGTGTTTGTGACTGTGAAATCAGGTCGGATTACCGTGGACATCACCGATAGACCGAGGCACTGGCTAGCGATTATGTCTGGTGGCGCTTCACCGCCATCTTGCTCTTTCTCTTGGGCACCGATTGAGTTTGAAACATTCGAGCAGTATGTTGGCACACCTAATAGCAGTCTAAGTATTTCATAAAACATGAAAATCAACCTGGGATATGCCTCGCTCCCCCCACCAAAGACCAACTGGGACAGGGCACCGTGAGGGACGAACCCAAGCCTACAAATCAAGGGTTCCTGGGAAGCATCCAGTATTTTCGTTTTCTCACAAGTGGCATTATGCGGCTCGTTCGGAAGCGCCAGGTGATGTCTAGACTTGGAGCTCTGCGCCAGACATGCGCGGCCGCGTGACGGTTCACCTGTGAAGGAGGGTGAGTTCGCCCAGACGGATGACCTTGGGAGGCACAAATCACAAATGATTGCGCTACCCTCCCACTAAGATACGTACGGCCTTAGGCACTTCATGACCGAGACAGTCTCTGCGGCTGGCTGAACATGAGTTTACAATGTGCCGCGAATACCTAGCACCTGGTACCCAAGAGTAGACTATCATATATCGATATATACAGGCTGATTGTGGACTCAAACAAAGAATAATGTCAAGTCAAGCTGTCCCCAGACGTAAAGCGTGAGCTTGGTCCAAGATGACGTTTCTCTTGCTTATCTAATACCCCAGCTCCATCGCAGCAAGAGAGTCGACATGGGTCAGGAAGCACGGGCCATCAGCGGCCGTGATGGACGCGTTGGCCGAGACTGCCTGCGGCAACGCCTGTGGCAGCTCTTCGCCTTATGCTTGCGCCGCATCGTGACAACCGACATCTTCATATCCATCAAACAACACAACCCATTACCAGCGCAGCTCGACCACACAGCCTCTAACTCCCTCGCAGACGGTCAAACCTCCTCCACCACCGAGGACAACGGCGGCCAGTCTCCCTCGAGCTCATCCCCTCCGACGTCAGCCCCAATCCCAACCTCAGCTGAAGCTCCCCGAGCAGCCTCCATCACCATGGCGCTCGACAACTACTACCACAACAAGATCGAGGCAATGAAGCTCGAGATCCTCAAGGGTCAGGCTGTCTTGCGCCGTCTCGAGGCCCAGAGAAATGACTACAACTCAAGGGTGCGGCTTCTCCGCGAAGAGCTGGGTCTGTTGCAGCAACCGGGCTCCTACGTTGGAGAGGTCGTCAAGGTAATGAGCACCAAGAAGGTGCTGGTTAAGGTCCATCCCGAGGGCAAATATGGTACGTGTTTCCTTGTTCACCATCACGATCTAAGCACAATGGGGCAGACACCGGGCCAGTCATGCGACGATGGTTCTCACCCCAACATTCTGCTGACAACCACTGCAGTCGTCGACGTATCAGACTCGGTTGATATCGCCAAGCTCACAGTCGGCAAACGGGTTACCCTCCTGTCAGACTCCTACAAACTCGAGAAGATCCTGCCTTCCTCCGTGGATCCCCTCGTCTCCCTCATGATGGTGGAAAAGGTGCCCGACTCAACCTACGACATGATTGGAGGTTTGGACCAACAGATCAAAGAGATCAAAGAAGTCATCGAGCTTGGCCTCAAGCACCCCGAACTCTTCGAATCCCTCGGAATCGCACAACCAAAGGGTGTCCTACTCTACGGCCCACCAGGAACAGGCAAGACCCTCCTGGCAAGGGCAGTAGCCCACCACACAGACTGCAAATTCATCCGAGTGTCCGGATCGGAGCTCGTGCAAAAATACATCGGCGAGGGTTCCCGAATGGTGCGCGAGCTGTTCGTCATGGCGAGAGAGCACGCCCCATCCATCATCTTCATGGACGAGATCGACAGCATCGGCAGCTCGCGGGTCGAAGGCTCCAGTGGTGGCGACTCGGAGGTCCAGCGCACGATGCTGGAGCTGCTCAACCAGCTCGACGGTTTCGAGCCCACCAAGAACATCAAGGTCATCATGGCAACGAACCGGCTCGATATCCTCGACCCGGCGCTGCTGCGACCCGGCCGAATCGACAGGAAGATCGAGTTCCCCCCACCGAGCGTCGAGGCTCGAGCCGACATCCTGCGCATCCACTCTCGCAAGATGAACCTGACCCGTGGACTGAATCTCACCAAGATTGCCGAGAAGATGAACGGCTGCTCCGGTGCCGAGCTCAAGGGCGTGTGCACCGAGGCTGGCATGTACGCCCTGCGTGAGAGGAGAGTGCACGTCACGCAGGAGGACTTTGAGCTGGCCACGGCCAAGATCCTGAACAAGCACGACGGCAGCAAGGAGGTCAGCTTACAGCGTCTGTTCAAGTAGTTTGGCCGGCGCTGGCGAGTTGTGACGCGGTGTGGTGGCCGAAAAGGGGTGGCGGAAGGAAGCAGTGCTTTGAAAAGCAAAAGCAGTGCGCGGGCACTCCTCCGATTTGTACAACACTACGGGTAGAGGTTTTTATTGATGAAATGATGAATAGACTTGCACTGAGCCCAAGTCACCCCTGAGAGCAGCGTCGTGCAGTATCTGGACCCAAAATTCCTGTCGTGTCTAATCATACATTCAATGGGCCTCTATGGACTAATTACATCTATATCTTGAGGAAATCTGTCGGCAGCCACTATGGGATCTGCACAATATCTAGCAGAGAGGCGCGACTGTGGCTGCCCTTGGACCCGTCAGTGTTCTTATACTTGGCCATCCAATCGGTCTCAGCCATGAGCAGAGCGTCCACACGGGCGGTGGCGTTAGCTTACGATCACTTCTTCGTGGTTCTGTGAGAGCATCAGCGCCCACACCCTTGAATATGCCAAACATTTCAATCTTGATCCAGCCTGCCAACTGTTGACTGGAGCTCACAGGCTGCAACTTTGGCGACAACTCCTGAGGCTCAAAAGTATCTTCGCGGAGGGGAATTGATGAATGCCTGCGTGCAATTTTTGTCTCCATCTTTCCAGGTCGACCGCATACTCGACCGGCCGACAGCCTCAAGACATTCCAATTGCAAACACCAACACTTTCTTTCCTCACTAAATCTGAAGAATTGCCGGCAGAGACAATATTGGTATTCTCTTCGATGAGGAGGCACTGCCGCGCGGGGGGCCTGATGGCGAGTCTGCGCGCTCTTTTGAGGGATCCGGCTTTGACATCAGGTTTGAGCGCGAGCGGACAGCTGTGGCGGGCTTGTATGGGACGATAGTCGATGCCAACGGTGAGTCTGAGGACCTTGAGATCTTACGGCTTCATTGTTTGAGTGGAACAGGCTTTTGTATTCCTTGGTCATGCATGACTGTCATGAGAATCAACAGTGCTATTGCTATAAGACGCCGGCTTGATTGTTAGACTGTACCGGTATATCCTTGCCATTGTCAGTCAGGAGACGTGAGTGGTGTAGCTGATTATGTTCTTAAGGCTGTGCTGCATCAATTGAGACCTATGTTTCTTTTGATTTACAATTGCATACTATCCAATACCTGGCAAGAAGTCTTCGGCCATTATTCAGTACACATCGTCGAAGCGCGATCCTTCTGAGCTGCGCTAGTGGTGCGTCTCAAGTAGTGCTTATATTGACTATTGACGTTTTCAAGCTCTTGCTTGCCAATCTTTGCCCGTAATGTCTATCGGTAACTTTAACAACCCGCATGCTTTATCTCCATGTTTATTCGGGCTTTCAAGTCCGTTTACTGTCCGCTTCGTGGCATCCATGTAAGGCAATAATTATTCAAAGTGTCAAGCGATTGGCCGGCGGTACGAATACGGGACCGACGCAGGAGCATGGACACGTTAATGGTTCATGCACCTCAATCTTAATTAAACGTGGAGGTGAAGGGTATCAAGCCTCATCATATCAACTAGACTACATATACTCAGCGCTCATCGACTACTGAGATATTCAGAGTCTTTGTCATTGCTTATCTTCATACAAAAGTAGAACCTTGAGAATGTGGTTCATCTGGTCTATCGCGTTCCTCGTCGTCTACCTCCTCGCGAGCACCGCCATCTCCCTCGCGACGAACTACTCCATCGCACGCAAAACCGGCCTGCCAGTGGTCGTCAGCCCCGTGAGCAAATTCAACCCTCTATGGCTCGTCTTCCAAAGGCGCCTGGCGCCCTGGATGAGGCAGAACCTCCCGCTCGGCCTCGGGTCGTGGACGCGGTACAACGTCCTTAGCTGGTTCTTCGACGACAAGTACCTCCTGGCCCAGGAGCTCGGCAGGTCGTGGATGCACGTGACGCCGCGCGAGATTGAGTTCCACTGCGCCGACCCGGCCGTCAACGCGCAAGTTTTCGGCCGTAGGAGGGACTTCGACAAGCCGCATGAGGTGCTGAACCTGGTCGACATCTACGGGCCTAACATCTCGTCCGTCACGGGCGCCGAGTGGCAGCGCCACCGCCGCATCACAGCCTCGCCGTTTAATGAGCGTAACAATCGTCTCGTCTGGGATGAGGCCCTGCGGCAGGCCGGGCAGGTTGCTGCGTACTGGAGTGGTCGCGGGGCTGAGGGGTTCAACTCCACTGCTGCGGACACGGTGGCTGTGTCTCTGAACATCTTGGCAACTGCTGCGCTTGGAGAGTCTTGGGACTTTCAACCTGCCCATCATGCGGAAACCACAAGGCGTGAAATTCAAAGTGGCGATGGCCAGGCTACGAGCTACCGCGAGAGCCTGCACACCCTTCTCAGCAGCGTGCGCACGCTGGTGCTCACGCCTAAGTGGCTGTACCGCGTGCCGGAATGGTGCATTCCGAGCGAATATTTGTCCCGATTCGTGAGCACTCACAAGGTGTTCGGCAAGTACATGGAGGACATGGTGCGTCAAAGGAAGGCCGATATTGCAAACGGGAATACCAGAACGGATGACTCGACGTTCCTGAGCGCTCTGGTCTTGAAATCTGAAGAAGTCAGACGAGACGAGGAAAGCAAGAAGACCGGCGGCAATACAACTGCAAGTCTGAGCAACGCTGAGCTCTACGGCAACTTGTTTACGTACAACCTTGCCGGGCATGAAACTACGGCCAACTCTCTGAGCTTTGCTATCTATTTACTGGCTGCTTTCCCGGAGTGGCAGGAATGGGTGCGTGAGGAGGTCGATCTGGTCTACGGAGCACCTGTCGATGGGAAGGTGAACGGGGCTTATGAGGATGTATTCCCTAATCTGAAGCGTTGCCGTGCATTCTTGGTAAGCTATTCCCACTGACAGCTCCAGCAGCACGAAACATGGGTATGTCCCCGTGAACGTTGCAGCACTAACTGCTTTCAATTAGTTCGAGACACTCCGCTTCTATGCCCCGGTGCTGAGTATCAATAAGGCCACTGTCGGACCTCATGGCCAGGAATTATTGATTGGTGGCAGATCCGTCGTAATCCCGCCCGGGACGACAGTGGCACCGAACGTAATCGCCTCCCACACCATGCCTGAGGTATGGGGAGAGGATCACCTGGTCTTCCGACCCGATCGATGGATTGAGCAATCTAGTGACATCGCCTCTGAGGTGCTTCTGGACATGCCCGTTTCAGTTGCAGAGAAAATGACATCTTCCGACGGCAAAGGCATTACTTACTTCCCCTGGTCATCCGGTAGCCGCGTCTGCCCAGGAAAGAAATTCTCGCAGGTCGAGGTGATGGCCGTCGTCTCGAGTCTCTTGCTGGATTATAGAGTCGAGGTCGTGCCAGAGGGTTTAGAGACAGAGGAGCAGGCTCGGAAGCGATGTCTTGAGGTTATAGAGGATAGTGAGACCCAAATCACTTTGCAGATGAGGCGGCCTGATACTGTGTCGCTCAGGGCGGTGAAGAGGACGTAAAATTAAAGCCATAGAGGAGTACGAACGAAAATTAGCCAGCCAGACTGAGCTGCGTGGGGGACCGGAAGAAATCCATCATCAGCTACTAGACCTCGCGTTCTCTGAAGTCAGGTGGCTTGATCTTAATGCCCATTTACTCCATTCACGCCGTTCACACCGTTCACTCCATTGGTCTGCTGCCCTTGCTGCCTCTGCCCCTCAATAGCAAACGCCCTCAAAGTCTCCAGGTCGACACTTCTCAGCGCGCTCTCCTCCGTAGCCTCCAGGTCAATCTTCGGGACGGCGCTTCTCGGGATGCTGCCACTCTCAAAGGCCCGGAAGGCCTGGAGCCACCGGCCTGTACACAAGCACCACTTGCACCCTTCGCTGAGGCCCACGGGGCGAAGGTCGTTGCCCTGGCGCGCCGTGTAATCGAGAAAATCCTCCGAGACGATGCCCGCCACGGCGTGATTGCCGCGGTCCATCGCGGTGGTGCGGCAGTAGCCATCGCGGTGGAAGCCTGTCATCGGCTGTGTCGAGAAGAGCTTTAGGGGCTGGCGGAACACTGTATCACAGTGAGTGCCTACTCAATCTCAAAGGGGCATGTTTGAATGGGAGTTCAACGTCCAAAGGCCATACTCACCGTTGAGACTTGCGTTAGACATGATGTACAGCGGCCAAATGTAGTGCATGTGATGTATGTTAGTGAGTGGAGAAAATGTGTAATTTTACTACATGAGACGATCATCAAGCGTTATGGTGGGAAGAATAGAGGTTGTCTAGATGAGAGACGCTTAGATTTGCCTTCACAGTGATGTCATAGACATATCTCAGTTCCGGCAGAAGGCTAAGCTATGGCGCCCTTCTTACTCCGAAACAATCCTCTGTGCCGTAGATGGTAATCTCACTGTTTATGGAAGCTTTTATGTTTTTACTGTTCTGACCTCCAAAATTCGCTTGATTGGTTCTGGTCAGCAAGACTAGTCCTAGCCGCACACGACTGAGCAACCAAATGCTTCTATACAGATTGCATCTTCCCTGCTTTTGATTCTGATACTCAGCAGTCGTAGCACATTCAGTGTAAACATGGTTTCTGTAATTTCAATTTTCAGCAATCAGAGAGCCAGAATTCTTCTGGTGCACAGACAAATATTGATATGTAAATCCAAAACAGCAGCACAGGCGTGAGAAGTTGGCAGTGGATTGGCAACAACTTCAGCAGTTGTTCTCACCTTCTTGACGGGAGACAGGTGTGCCTTTCCATCTTGCTTCTGAGAGCAAGATTCGTGGCCTCTTCTCAGCATAGGAAGTGCTTGGTGGCTTGTTATGAAGAAGTTCAGGCGAGAGTCAAAGTGTGGGAGATAGAAACATCAGGTGAGTGTTTTTAAATCTTGTTGGCCTCTTGTCACCTCTTATGCCCCGTACGTCAGCTTCATTTCAGAAGCCTCTTGAAATATTTGGAAGGCCTCACTGGGAGTTGATGAGTGTTCGAGCGGTGTTTGGGGTGCTGGAGCTGGCGCTGGAGCTGGCGCTGACATCTTGTCTTGGTGGTGGCCATATGTGGCAGCTGAGTCCCGTACCACGACTCTACGACCATCGACAGAATCAACTCTTCGTCAGGAATGACGATCATTGTAACAATTATGAATTTCAAACCTGGTGGTCCATTTTTCGGGATTGCAGAGGTGGGCTAGAAGACCTCAAGCTGAGTGTTGTGAAGAAGATACAGCACAAAAAGTGTTGGTGCAAACAATTAATGGTCTTTATTTACTTATCCGGTAGATTGTGTTTTATCTAAATGGTTATTCCAAATCTTACTCTCAATTAGGAATTGGCTTTAGCTTCGACACTTTGGATATTGTTCGTCTCTGGGCAGAATCTTGGTAATCAACGAATATACATCCTCGGAGAACCGGAAATGCGTCTTCGTTCTCCATCGAAGCTCAACTATTACAAGTCCATGATTTCTAAGCCATGCATGATTTAAGGAAACATGACTAGCCTCACCCGACTTTCAATAATACACATCGCCAGAAAAGTTTTAGACGCTGCAGAGTCAGGACATGGCGGACCCATCTGGCATCACGAGTGGCCACAACCCGGTTCCGAAGAAGTCAGATCTGAACAACTCCACGGCTCTTCCCGCTCCATGTCAGCACATCACCAGCCAACATAATCCCTGTGTGCCATGCTCTTGTGAGACATTCCTGGTAAATGCAGCCTTTGCTCCAGCGGCACTGGCCAGCCGGGTCTTCCGCATTACGATCTCATTTTTCAACATCGTGGAGTGTCGCTCATGATCAGACTACAACCCACCACGAGATGTACTTTCGCCCACCGGCTGTGCTTTCGGACAATGGAGTTCAGTGACGTAGTTCCAAAATAATTCAAAGAATATAAAATGTTGATTGAGTCTCGCCAAAAGCCGTGGAGATTGGAGCATCACCGAGCTGCTCACATCCTCTTCCATAATTTCTACGTCCCGTCTACTCAGGTCTTTCAAGATCACTCCAAACCTCAGGTACCCCTTCTCAACCCGCAAAATGACAGCCGCCGAGCCGCCTTCCTTCCCATTCAAGCGCGCCTCCGGCCTCGAGCCACCAGCCGAATACGCCCGCCTCCGCGCCACAGAGCCCGCCTCCCGCGTCAAGCTCTTCGACGGCTCGGTGGCATGGCTTGTGACCAAGTATAAGGATGTCTGCGCCGTGGCTACAGACACCCGCTTGTCCAAGGTGAACCTTTTCAGAATCCCTGATTTTTCAAAGTGGCTAACACGACGCACCGTAGGAACGCACGAGACCAGGTTTCCCGGAACTCAGCGCCGGTGGCAAAGCAGCCGCCAAAAACAAGCCCACCTTCGTCGACATGGACCCTCCTGCCCACATGTACCAGAGGTCCATGGTTGAGCCTTTCTTCGTCTCCGAGCATGTTGAGACGATGGAACCGTACATCCAGAAGACGGTTGACCAGCTTCTTGATCAGATGATTGCGAGGGGGTGCAAGGAGCCAGTTGACCTCATTGAGAACTTCGCCTTGCCAGTGCCTTCTTATGTAAGTGGGACTTGCAAAGTTAACTATTATTGAGCGTTGGTTGGGGTTTTAAATCAAACTTGTGATGCTGACGTGAATGCCGGGAAGATCATCTACACCATCCTCGGCGTCCCCTTTGAAGATCTCGAATACCTGACCCAGCAAAACGCGATCCGCACAAACGGCAGCGGCACAGCTCTCCAGGCGCAAGCCGCCAATCAGTAAGCCGTCTCATACTCGTTTTCTTCCATCAGCTTACCCACGCGCCCTTCAGGGAACTGCTCGACTACCTCGCCACTTTGGTCGACAAGCGCTCCGCACAGCCCAAGGACGACCTCATCAGCAAACTCGTCGTCGAGCAGCTGAGACCGGGACACATTGAAAAGGCCGATGCCGTGCAAATCGCGTTCCTGCTGCTGGTCGCGGGTAATGCCACGATGGTGAACATGATTGCGCTCGTAAGGGTCTCTCCTCTCTAGTGTGGTCTGGCTGATGGCTAACGCAAGCCAGGGCGTGGTCGAACTCCTCCGCAACCCTTCCCAACTTCAGGATCTGAAATCCAATCCCTCCCTCTCGAAGGCCTTCGTCGAGGAACTCTGCAGATATCACACTGGGTCCTCCATGGCGATGAAGAGGGTAGCCAAGGAGGACATTGTCCTCGGCGGCAAGGTAGGCCTTCCATTCGCCTGCCCCGTCTTTCCTAGGCTACCCCAGGGGGATGGTCGAGACTGAGATGATGTAGACCATTAAAGCAGGCGAAGGCATCATCGCTGCCAACGCCTCCGGCAATCGTGACGAAGAAGTCTTCCCGGACCCGGACGTCTTCGACATGCATCGCACCCCAGACCCGAACCACGCCCTGGGCTTCGGCTTCGGCTCGCACCGGTGCATCGCCGAGCCCCTTGCACGCGCCGAGATGGAGCTTGTGTTTGGTAAGTAGGGCTTCTGTGACATTTCCCTCTGAACCTCAGTTCTACACGTTCATGTAACTTCCCCGTCCACGCTTCCGTCAGCTCCTCCACTCCTCCGTACTCTGTGTCACTATCTTTCGTAGGATCGCAATCTGGTAGGCATAAAGCATGTAATGCAGATGACTGACGCGCCAAACCAGCCACTCTCTTCCAGAAACTGCCCAACCTTCAAATCGCTGTTCCAATCTCTGAGCTGGAGTTCACACCACTTCACAAGGACGTCGGCGTGGTAAAGCTCCCAGTGACATGGTAAACGCTGTCATCTACACAACCAACACGGATATTGCTCGGGTCTTGAGGACTGAAAGCAAGACATCTTCTAACGTGTCGAAATGGGGAGTGGGAAAGCACAAAAGCATTCCGCGAAGGGCTGTGTTGGAGTTTACATTGATGAGGACTTGATTTGTACTATGTTTCCATATTGTTGGCCAAGACGCTGCTCTAATACATCCATTATGTCTATAATTCCCCATGAAAAGATTCTCAAGCTCCATATATAGATTGAAAAGCATGAACTTTCAGAATTTAATTGTTTTACTATCGCCAGTTGTACACAATATGAATACTAGTAATGCGTGTGCTACACCTTGTTGAAGTGTATCCAAGTTTGAATGAATCGGAGGTTACATTAGATGGCTTGAGCGTGTGAATATTTGGAAGTCACACAATACCGTTCTTGCGTAGATGATATTTGTCGATGTAGATACAAACAAATAAAGTTAAACCAGGCACGCATCAACCGTAATCCCAGCCAGCCTGCCTGTCCAACCAAGAAATACATGTCAAGCGGAAGGCAAATAAAATTGTACTCATGGACAGCATTGATATTGATATTGGAGGTGTAATATGGGACACATAATCGACCGTCTGTTATACACAGATGCTCCGGTGAACCCAGACCCGTGCCGTTTCTCTGTTCTGAACCATGCCAACGCCGTGGGAAAAGGACCACAGTGGTCTATCTGTCCCAAGCCTACCCTAGGCTCCGTGTACCTAATAACGCCTGGAATAATAAGGGTTTGGTATTCCCTGTACCGCCCGTAACCGAAATGTATCTGATGCAACCCGTATCTGTAGTGGTAAAAAAGCTGAACGACCGATATTTGCTGCGAAAACTCATTCAATCGAGATCCACCGTCTTCCAAACCATGCCCACGACCGACATCGCCCCGGGGATTGGGGCATTCTCGTCACCGCCTGGTGGATTGGCACGCAATTCCTACTTCGAGTGTCCCACGTGGGCCACAGTTCCGCTGCGGCCCCTAGCCCGCATCGCGGCTGTGCCACCGGCTCCTGTCCCGGGTGCACCGACAACAGAGCCCGCAGGGCCGCCGCGCTCCTGCAGTCTCCACACCCACTCGACAACCGTCTCGTAGCAGAGAACGAATTGGCGGAGCGTTTGCACCATCGACAGGCGCTGGCACCGGAAATCAGTAACGGTGGAAGCAATGAGATCCATAGTGTCGTCGTCAATCCACGAGGTATCGATGCTGCCATAGTCGTCCTCGCTATCGGATGAGGAAGAAGAACGAGCGGGAGACGGTGATGCCATGGTTATGTCGGGGAAGACAGGTGATAGCGGCGGCGCAGCGGTGCCGGGACTGATGGCGTCGTCGAAAGGATCTCGCCGTTCGGTTCGGTCGCTGAATGCGCCTTGAAGCGAGTTGAAAGACAGACCGGCCATGGCGATGTCTCCCTCCCGGTCGTGGTTGGCCTGGGGAGGGGGTTGCAGCTTGTGGGCGCGGACCTTCTTCTCAATATTGGCGTTGGCCTTCTTGATATTGCGCATCCTTTGACGCTTGAGCATGTCGATAACGCTGTCAACTGTGCAGAAAGTTCCAGTGCGTCCACAGCCTGCGGAGCAGTGGACAAGCATCGGCCGCGCATTCTGGTCCGCCTCAGGCTCTTCCCACCAAGCGAGAGGCATTCCACTTTGGGCACGACTGCGTTTCTTGGGACTGCGTGCAGGTTTTCCCTGTCCGGACGATTCAGACTGCCGAGGACTTTGGGCCGAGGCTAGTGTGGTATTAACGTCAACAGGAAGGGCTGCCCGCTGCATGACATTTGCGAGGTCGACAAGGGCAAGGAGGTGACTGGGCTGAGCGGGCGCGCCGAAGTCGGGCCAGGAAGGATAGTGCAGATGCGTGATCTCGCGCATGGGAGCGAAGGGGTGAGCAGCATGAGACAGTGCGAACTTTCGAATGATCACATATGGAGTCTCGCCATGGCTGGAAGGATTCGCAGCCGACTTGGGCTGACCCTGCTGTGGACTGGCATCCAGAGTCGTCGTGGTGTTTGCCCTTCTTCGGCCCATTTCAGCCGCTGCGGCACCAAAGCCGAAGGCATCGTCTGGCTGGGCGGTGCTGGAAGAGGAGCCTGAATCACTGGAATCGACCGATGTGACGGGCTGTGAACTATTCTTGTCGATATCAAGTGACACTTTCTTCTCTGACAGCGCCCGGAGTTTAAGGGATCCGAATTCCCGGTCCTTCCAGTACGGGTGACATTTGAGTTGACCGCCCTCGGATTCTGCTGTGAGCATCACAATCACACGAACATCTTGATCCCAGATTACGGACCAGAAATCCTATGGAAAGGTTAGCTAATGCGCACTGGTGCAGAAGTAGGCTCGATTTCCTTACCTCGAAGGTCGCCGGCAGTGGGCCCTGGCTGGCGATGTACCTTTTGTGACTTCTGGACGCCTTGACGTGGCTGGCGTTCACATAATCGCAGGCGCCTTCAGGCTTCCCCTCCAGTTTGACACGAGCATGTTCGAATGGAAGGATGTCCTTGTAGCGGTTCTTGCTGCCCTTCTCAATACCGCTCAACACGACCTTCTCATTTGCTTCTCCTCCAGCACCCACGGCTGTCCCGGGGTTGAGGTAGGAATAAGCACCCTTCATGCGTGACTGCTCGGCCAGTTCGATCTTCAGGAACTTGTCGCTGACCTTCTTTCCCTTGTCCGATGGAGTCGCAGCCTCACGCAACCATCCCGGAAGTGCTTCCATCTCTGTTCCTTGCGGCACTTTAACATCCATCTGCCCGACACCATCGACTAGGTCCTGGTTCTGTCGAATATTGGCAAAGAAGGGATTCGCTGCGCTACTCGTGTTGGGAAGCATTACTCCGCCGACGACAGGTGCGATACTCGGTCTTCCTCCGTCGTTGCTCGAGCCGCCGGCGCCTGCTAATGACAGCGTCGGCCGGCCAGGAGCCTGCTCTGAAGTATTGCCCTTCTCTATGAGGGCCGGATAGGATGCGGCAAAGGCGTTAAATCCGCCCCTCAAGACCGAGCACTGACCAGCGTAGCCCTCGTTAGTGAATTTCTTGATTGTGTTCATAGCGGAAACAGCGTCTTTCCTCTCGGACGAGAACGCGTCATAGACCACGATATGTTTGGTGTCTCGCCACTTCGCAAACTTCTCCTGATCAGAATTGCCTTGAAAGGTTTGTTGAAGCTTTTGAAGATTGAACGTGGCACGCTTCAGTAATGTCGTTGGTATGCACAAATTCAACGCTCCTTTGATGCGAGACTGTGCATATTGTGGAGAAACCCGTAGATCCAGAAGTAATACCTCGTTTTTGGAGGGAGAGTCCAACATTTCCTTTAACTGTGTCGGCGCGATCATAGACGGCGCGGCCGCTTCCAGCGTAGCAGGCACCGTGTCTGATCGGGCCTTGAGATGCGAGACTGGATTTGGCGACGGCGGATCGGCCTTGTCATGCACCAACGACAATCTGGGGTGACGATCATCCACCTTGGACAGCCCGCCTCTTTTATCTGAGGATGAATCAAACTGCGCGGGCGACTCATGTCTTGGCAGATTGAAGAAGCTGGGCTGATTGACACTTGCTTCTGAGTTACGTTTTGAATCGGCAGAAACATACGCAGAGTCGTGTGTGTTGATGCTGGCGCTGTCCACATCCATTTTCTCGGGAATCGCCTCCTTCAACCTCGGCATCTCGGTGGTATGAAGAGGCGACTGGGTGAGCACCGATGTGTCGGTGCCGTGAGTGTTCCATCTTGAAGGACGCGGCCTCATTGCTGGTGGTCCCGATGCAAGTGTGAGAGGCGTAGTGCCTCCAAAATGAGATGATCCCAGGTTAAAAGATGATCTTCCCCTATTTGCATCTGCCTGCCTTTTGAAAGCTTCAAAATCCGGGTTGGCATCGAGAGGCACCTGCTTCGGTAGAGCGGCGCCAAAGCTCTTCACCGATGACGTTGAGGGACTCCATCTATCTTGACCGGCACCGCCTGTTTCCATAGCGTCCACGGACTCGACCTGCTGCCCAAAATAGTTGGGAGAAGGAGTTCTCGCATCTTGACATTGTACTTGTCCTAGCGGTGTGGACGAGAGATGTTTGGGGGTGGCTGACGGAGAAAGCTTGGGAGGCTGCGAGGCGGCGACCGACAGAGGACCGCGGGGAGAGGCCATGGGTGACGAGGGCTTGGTCGAGGTCTTCGACTGGTTACTTGATTGTGACCGTGCGTGGGAGGAGCTGGTCGAGGGAAATGGTTGCGCAGGGTGAGATTTTGACGTAATAGGCGGTGGTCGTGAGGTTTTCATGTTGTAGTAAACGGTGGGAGCAGGGCGCTCGAAATTGTTCCTCGATTCTGGAGGCGCCATCGCCCTGTGGTTTATGTGGGCTCTATGCGAGTTGTCGCCGCTGACATGCAAAAGTGGGTTTGTTCTTAGGCGAAGCTTTCGTCCACGTCTTGCGGTGTCAGGGCCGTCCTGCCTTCGAGTAACTTTCATAAGGTCATGTTCACCAAACGGCTGCATATGGTGATTTCTAATTTCGTTGGTCGGAGGTGGCCAAGTTCGAGGTATGGGTGGCGATGGCTGACTTCACCCGGCTTGCTCTCTCACCGTGTCTCGGCGAGTCTCGAAATTCCTTCTTCGTAAGGCCGGCGTGTGACCAAAAAGTGAGAGGTCTATTGTCTCGGATAGTCGACTGGCGCGGGCTTCATGTGAGGCTGGAAGGAGGCGAGGTTGTCGAGCAGCACAGAAACGACCGGAGCAGAGACGTGGGAATCGAAGGTCGCCGGGAAATGGGAATTGATGTCGGAATGGGATTCATGGGGGTCCAAGGGTGGATTGGATATGATAGTAGTAATACTTGGTGGTCCCAGACCCTTGCTGCGTTGCCTGTGGGGAAGGTTGTCCAACAAGTCGAGGCTGCTGATGGGCACAGTACATAGATGTCATCAGCAAGTTCCCTGCAGAGAGGGCGGCAGGGGACAAGGGGGTCTGGGATGGGGAGGGGTCGAGGCCCATCAATTTCAGGTCAGGGAACACGCAAATGGACCCTTGGGATGAGGAGACCCAACCGACCTCGGGGAGGTACGTACTGTAGATTCAGGTGGGTCGCCAGGTTGCTACAGCTCTACTATGAACAGGGAAACAAGAGACAAAGTCAGAGTGTTAGACAGGAATTGATCAATGCGCTTGGGAATTATTGAAGCGAAGTCAAGGTGAAAATGTGAAAAGGGACCACCAAACTTGGTCACGGCCACTGCCACGGCCACGACCTCCAGAAGCAGAGGAACCCGAAAAGTAGGGGTCCAAGAGATGGGGGGAGACCACCTTGCCAGCCTGGGTGCTTGGGTAGTGTGAGGTGCGGAACAAGCCTTTGCTGGACTTGGCCGTCTGTTTTGGGAATCGCCTCGACCGTCGCCTGGGCTAGAGAAAGAGGGGTCCTGTCAGACGTGATACGCCGTATCTACCTACTGCTAGTCTCATGCCGACATGAGGCGAGGCCTAATAGCACGCAACTGGTCTAAAGCTCGAACAGGACTGGCACGGCACGTCGTCTTGAATGGTCTATGTGATGCTGAGCGATAGCTCTTCCTGTTCGCCCGAGATCATCAACATGCAGATTGTACTGCCGAAGAATAACCCCCCGGACCACTGATCCGTTGTGTCGGCCATGCTGATCGACGCCGTACCGCGCAGACAGTAGTTTACTGCACAGACTCACAGACACACAAACATCTTGGATGGTAAGATGGATGGAAAGACACGAGGTGGACGAAGACAGCACACGGGGAGACGAGGGGGGTCGTGCAAGGAAGACGTACGGAGCAATTGTTCAGAGAGGGAAGTGATCTACGCCGCTCGCAAACCACCAAGGTACAGCACTAGACTATACTGCCATCTTATCGCACCGTTGCTTCAGCGAATGGCTATCACTTTTGTCTCCATCCTTACCACTTGAGAAACTCATGACAGCTTGCCTGCTGTGTGCATATCAAGAAAGTGTTTCCGCAGAGCAGTGGGTAGTCGGGATATGTTTGATGTCTAGCATGCATGTCTCCATACGAACAAATGGAGCCCATTCCTCCTCACAACAACTTGGATCGCTGAAACAACGCGCGTGCCACCACCTTGGACGTTGTTGGCGGCCTGTCTAATGTCAGGTACTCAGGCATCTGGGAGCTCAAGTCAGGCACCGCGCCGTCTCAAGCACTTGATCACTTGGAGCTCCTCCTCGTGACATTCGTCCCCTCTCCAATCGTTGTCGTCATGATGAAAGTGCCGTGACGACGGAAAAGCGGGTGCTCTGCTCTTGCGAGCATGCCTGGCATGTTGGACGTCGCCGATGGTGTCCCACTTTCCATCCAACTTCAGGTTTAACTGAAGGGAGCCCGTTGACCTGATGGTTTCACATCAATTAGATGCGAACTGTGAGTACCTCCAAGCCGCCTGTGGTTCATGATGGCGGTGGGTTCCGTAAATAGCCAGACTGGAGTCACACAGACCTGATTGGAGCTGAAAGCCAGAGAGACAGAAGAGGCAATCTTTGGGGGAGGGGGGAGGTCCTGAACGAGGACGGGTCCGTATCCAGAAAAAGCCAAATACCAGCCAGGGACTGCCGTGTACCTGTTGCACGCGTTGCGGCAGTCGCCCAGGTACAGTACGTACCCCAGGCATGCTCCTTGGTGGCGTACCAATGACGACATAAGGCAGCTTGCGGCCCCAATCTGGTCGGGCCTGCCTTGTGCAGACCCAAACTCAAAACCGCAGCAGCGTCACATCTCAATTCGGGGTGCTGGCCAATGACGAGGGCCCAGCGAGGCCAGGACCCCTATTTTCCAGAGCCCGCTGTTAACGACACCGCTGGGGAGGGACAAGCGACGCAGGGCGCCTGTCCCCCGCGCCAGCCGGTTCCTTCCTTATCACCCACCCCCACCTGCCACTCAAACCTCATCATCGTCATTGATGGGACTTTGGGGCTTCTAGAACCGAATCCATGAGCCCAGTCCTCGCCAGAGCTGTTTCACTCAGACCACCTCAGCTGCCAACAGGAAAGGGGGAAAGAGGTGCAGCCAGGCCTGCCAGGCTGCACGGCGGTGGTACTGCTGCACTGTATAGCAGCGAGTGTTTGTCAGAGCAAGCAACCATGCTGGGCTTCGCAGAGAGCATCGAGATGTGAGCGAGTCGAGTTCCATATTCGCCCGGTTACTCAGTCAACACTGCCAGTCATTCAGTCAGTCATTTCTATCCATTACGGATCCATTTCTTGTGGTCTCGAGCGGTCTTTCTTTGACCACAATGTGCGCCGCCCTCCAGGGGGGGCCACAACAATCTAATTATCGTGCGCACGAGGCTGCGTCACCAATAATGGACTGTTTGTCCATCAATAGCGTCCGCTCAGCAGCATAATTTGTACAGCACCCAGGAAAATGTCCACCCTGAGCCCCTGCCAAACTCTGTTTGAGTTGTTGTTCACTTTCCAATGCCATGGTAAAATACACGGCACTTCGGGAGATGCCAAGCTATAGTCTCCAGGGCGGGCAGGGAACTCGAGATCTCGTCGCCTTGGTCGGTTGGTCGCTGGCCTCCTCGTCTATTTGTCCACCACATCAGGCAGGTCCAGTCCTGCCAGGTCTGGTTGTTGTCGTCTGCAGGTCAGCTATTACCACAGCATTCCATGCGGTGGGGATTGATTTCCCCCAGGCTGGATGATGTGCGTGGGAGGTTCCACTCGCTTCCAAGTTCGATGCGATGTTCCACCAGTCCACCAGGAACTTGACCGTGGGGTCATCTTACCGCCGCATTCACGTGGCCGTAGCTCTCCCGTCTTTCCCAGACGAGCGAGCCCAGATTTCCAACTTCTCGGGGCTCCTTGCGGAACCGCAGCAAGAATGATCCACCTGGCTTCGACAGCCATGGCAGCCAGGCACGATGCTAACGAGGAACCAAAACCCCCCCTCGAACTTGCTTTAAGGTTTGGTCTGTGGAGGGCTCGACAGCTCGGCGCGAGGCTCTAGATGCCGATGCGATGCTACATTACGACGTATGCCGACAGACCACCACCCTGAAGGCTCGTCAGTACTGTACTGCTCCGCTGCGCTCGCGAACTACTGCTACTGCTGCTGTACGGACACGGCGCAGCACAGCAGTCCGCAGCATTGCCAGCAGAGCCAGTGCTGTGGTGTTGGCAATCGTCATCCCGCTTACCCTTCTCTCCACCACGAGCGTTCTGGATGAATCGAATGGGGGGTTTGTGACGACATCTCACTGCCCATCCCGTCGCACAGGGTAACTCCGGCGTTGCTCATCATTCATCTGAAGAGCTTTGATGCTTTTCGACAGACGAGCCTGCACTTGTTGATGTGTCACCTCTGAGGCGACAGTGCAGCTCACGCTGATCCAGGTCTGCACTGATTAGCCCCGTCACCCCGTCTACTAAGGCATGCAAGACCATGGCGCCTACAGTAGCAGGCAGATAGTCAGGGACAGCCCGACAACACAAACGCGCCTCTAAAACACCTGCCACGGAGACTCTGCTCCAAGCCTGTGGACTAAGACAGGAATGATCTGGTCGTGCTGTCGGTGGAGACTAAATTCTGACAGATTGGCTCACAGCCGCGGGAAGAGAGTTTGATTACACTCAGAAACTGGGAAAACTAACGGGACTTGGATTCCCAAACCATGGTATTTTCTGCATTTCCCATAGTTGAGCCAGGGTCTAGTAGAGTTCCGCTCGTCGGGATGGCGTGGTTCGTGATGGACAACGCGGAGCCAATGGATCCAGCGGAACCGCGTTTCGTCCGCCTCACTAACGATAGTCTTGATCTCATCACTTGCTCCAGGGCTCACAGAATTTGAGGGCTGTGCCAGGCAAGTAGACAAAGGCGCAGACAATACTCGTGTATGATCTTCTCCCGGAGACATAGACCCGGCCACGCTGCACGCGGTGTGTGAGGAGGATGGGGCGCAAACGCCCTCCTCCGCACATGTCAAGGTTTAGTGACGACAGGAGAGAATCTAGACCGCGACGGTTGAGACACCTGAGCTGCTGGTTCCGTCTTGGCAATCCTGCGTTCCCGGCCTCCAGCAGCCTTTTGGGCCGTGGAAAGGAGGTGGTGTGTGTGGATTGTACTGCGAAGAGTTTTTTTTTTCTTGCCCTTGCGCAAGTCCGGCTCCGCGGTCGAAGCACCGCAGCAGGCAACTTGACTCGGAGTCATCAACATAACCTCTAGGGCTGCCTTTTCTTTCTCACGGTCCTCACCGCCCAGGGGCTGAACAGGTTTGGCTGAGGTACTATAGTAGGTAGGATGGCTTGTCGCGGGAGGGTCTCTCGGAAGGGTCTGCGGAAATCACATCACCCGCTTTTGTGCCTTTTGCCCGGGCAGCATGCATCTCCAGTCAATCAGGCCGCTGGAGAATAAGGTCTCGAGAGGCTGTCACGGGTTTCCATTCTGACGTCGCTAATAATAGATGGACCTGGTCAGAGCCGCCGCATCTGTTTATCACAGACGAACTGCCAAACGGGTGACTCCGCAGCAGCAACTCTGATCACAAAAGCATTTATGGTCGGGCTGGCCGGCCCACGTACCTGTTTGCATGCAATAAATATATGCACGAGATTAATATTGGCTCTTGAGAGGTATGTGAACCTGCTAACCTATGTTCATGCAGACAATTATGTTACATACTGTACCATAGAATGTATGCGAACCATCCCAGGGACCGATTCCCCTGGATCCCACGTACCTGGGATCTGGAGAGAATAAGTTGGCCGGATCTTGGTGCTCACTCAGTGAATGCTCCCCAATCTTGGTCCTGGGAAATGGTGCCTCGGTTTCCGGGGCAGCTCGTACCCCAAACCCCCATCCTTAAGTATGACACCCATGCGTTGCTTGGTTTCCGTGGAAGGAACTGCCTCCAAAAACATCGAAACTTGGCAGTTGGCAGACAAATGCAAATATTAGGATCAGGCGAGATATCCAAATATTGAAACATTGGCGGACGAAAATACCACCACGGCACAGAGTACCCCTTCCCCCATGTTGCGCGTCGCCGCTGTCGTATGACTCGTCTCCCGTCATCAGTATACGTGTATACCCCGTCGGCAAAACGGAATTAATCTCGCCAGAGCCAGGACCTGCGCCTGTCACTGCTGCTTGCTGACGAGCAGACCAAGATATAAATCAAGAATTCAAGTTGGACGCCCCCTGCCCCCGACTGACACCTTCCTTGCCTTGCCCTTGCTTGCCGTGGCGGCGGGACGGCGGGTTACGGCTGAGCTCCGGGGTTGCGCGTGACTCTGGCAACCTCGCCCTTCTGCCCCCCTGGTCCGTCCAAGATCAACAATTCCCCGGGCCGAATCCGTGACCGGGGTGCCGGCATTTCATCTGGGGACCACCGCCACGAGCGCCTGTGACGAACGGCCGCTCCACAGGGTACAGCAAAGAGGGCGCCGACAAGGCAGTACATTGATCAGACGGGTCGGTCACACGCCGCCACCATGTCGCCTCCCAAATCAATAGAGAAGACCCTCTCGAGGGAAGAGAACAGGCGCAGGGCCATGGCCGCCGTGCAGGCTATTTTCGATCGGTATGGCGGCCCCCAGTGCATCGCATCGCATGGCACCGCATTGCATCACGTCGCACACACCCATCCATGACAAACCACTCGCGCACAGAGCAGCCCCTCGCTTCCTTATGAATTATCATCAGCAGTATCGGCTGCCTCATGATGCCCGAGTAGACCCGCACCGCTAACACAGTCTCCTCCCACCCATCAGGTACAAGCTCGTCCAGGCCGGTGTGGGCCTGCCGGCCTTCGACAACGCGACCATGGCCAACTGCACCGTGGTGGACGCTTCCATCGGCCCGCCGCACGCCGTGCCCACCAACGCGGCCGGCCTGCCTGCGCCGGAGGCGGGCGTCAGGGCGTCGTGCACGACCAGGCTGCTCATCGGCGCCGAGCTGGGTAACTACAACGGCGTCATGCATGGTGGTGCCGCCGGGGTTATTTTTGATATGCTCACTACGATTGCGCTGGGCCCGGTCGCGCGGCCCGGGTTTTGGACGTGAGTGTCCCTCGGCTGGTTTTCGCCCGCCAATCTCCTTTGTCCTCGTGTCTTTTGACGCTCGCTGGCGGGACTGGGTTGGGCGAGATGGGTGAGCGCGGGTTCGTTAGGGACTGAGGCATGACGAGCTGGCATCTGTGACGGCTATTGAAAGGTCGTGCTTGATACTGATGATGTTCCTGGTTGTAGATTCTTGGGCGGCGTGACGCGCACGCTGAATATCAGCTATCTAAAGGCTGTGCCAATCGGTAAGTGGATAGGTCACCTTGATCTTAAGCTTCAGCACCGGGTCAGCGCCCCCGCTGGCTGAAGCATTGTCTTCGCTGGGCCTTCTTGCGAGAGCATATCCCGACCTGGCATGGCACGGCGCGGCATAGGGAATACCTCCTCTAACTCCACGCAGGCACGACTGTCATCGTCCACTCCTATGTCTACCAGGTAGGCAGGCAGACGGCTTACATCAAGGGATGGATGACGAGCGAGGATGGCAAGACTACGTATGCGGTCTGCGACCACCACAAGATCCACGTGCCTACGCCGGCGGGGCACTTGAAGCTCAAGGTTCCGTGGGACGAGCAGTGGGACGAGGATGGAAAGGAGAAGACGGCATCCAAGTTATGATATCCAACACCACAGTGCTGCTGAAGAGTCGGCCTCTGGTCATCTTTAGAGCGTGCCGGTAGGTTTGTTGCTCGAGCATTGGCCAGAAAGCAACTGCACATAGACATGTCCACAGCTCATTGCACATTCATATGGCCGTTACGTGACTGGGTCTACCGCTTCTTTGCCGTGGCAATTGAGTGCGCTTTCATACGATAATTTTATGAACAAAAGGGTATTATGACATCGTGGCTTCCCGTTGGCCCTCCCAAGATCCGGTAAAGCCAGACGTATGTGTTCCGTTGCTCCAAGCAACAGAGCCCGGGATGCCAAAGACCAATGGAGGCACAGAAACCAGGCTATGCATTTTCTTTCCAAAACCAACCAGCAACTCGTCACGACATGCACTGATCACAGCCGGATATAGACGTCCAGACACTCTATCCTCCATTCCCTCTTGCCCAGCAGTGTCCTCAACCACTCCATTCCTATGCCCGTCCACTCGCTCCTCGTCTGGGCGACCTGCTCGACCGCGGCACCCATCATCGCGTTGGCCGTGGCGTTGACAGTGTCCTTAGCCACGAGGTAGGTTGCGTTCGCAGTGGCCGACATGTTCTCCATGGCAGACAGGGCGCCGTCGTGGCTGCAGCCGCCGGCCTCGGGGCACGTGAAGGAGGCGGTGCCGTCGGTGAAGTAGGATACGCCCGGGCGAGGCTGGAACCAGTTGGAGCTGAAGTCGAAGAAGCAGCGGTCGGACCAGTTGCACGAGGTCATGAACAGGATCAGCAGCAGGAAGGAGCAGTAGATGCAGGGCCGGTTGAGGAAGTATGTGCAGACGAAGAAGAGGAAGATGAAGGCCGGGGAGGCGTTGGTCGGGATGAATAGGAGGGGCAGCCAGCTACGAACACGCGCGTGAGGTCAGCTTGGGTTTCACTTGTGAGTCTGAAGCGGGGCGAGGTTCTGAAAGGGGACGAGGGGCCAGGACGATCTTGGGTATACCTTCGTAAGCAGAACATGATGCCGGCTCGCTGAGGAACACTATATGAGGAGGGAATTCGGGTGGGATGTTGCAGTCCCTGCGTGGGTTGTGTACACTATGTGTGCTCGGTTCACCGTGACAGGCTCGAGACCCGGATCATGGCAGGAAGCAGGTAAGCTGGGCGTATGTTGCGGAATATGCAGTTGGGTCGATGTCAGGTAGGTAGATAGGAGTAGAGGGTAGGTGGCGTGGGATTCGAGCGCAGCGCAGGCGGCAATGGAAATCGAGAGCGGGACGTGGCTGGCCAGAGGGTGAGGCACAGAAAGTGCAGTACAAATACAGATGGATGGGTGGAGGATTAAAGAGCCTGTCGAGACGGGCAATATGAGGCCGCGAGGCTGTATTCTATTAAATGCGCGCTTTGTATGCTGCGGGAGTGTGGAATGCTCTCGGGCGTGTTCCTAGGGGAGGAAGAAGAAAAGACGTTGGTGAAAAGACAGACAAGACTGACGTCGGGGAGGATGGCGATGCATTCGGATTCGGCGCTTTCCTCTGGGCAAGTCGAGGGGGATCTAGCCCATGCGCGCCAACTAGCTCGATGGGGGAGACTCGCTCAGCGTCAAGAATATCTGGGCCGAATCTTAGTTGCACAGTAAGCACCACAACCCAGGGACTTGGGCACTTTGGTGAGCTTAGCCGAAACGGTCCCGCCCAACGGCAGACCGGAGACTTTCAGAAGCACGAGCCTAGAAGCAGCAGCGTCTCCGCCGTTTCTTTCGCATAGCTATAGTTGGAGAGCATTGGGTTCTGATTCAACATCAACAGATGGGAAGGCAGCCAATCTGCCTGTCAGACGAACACCAGACGACATACGACAAGACAACAGACAGATAAACAGACAGAGAGACAGACAGACAGACGAACAGATAGACAAGGCTTTGGGATTGGAGGCTGGTGTCCAACCACTCGACTGGTGCAGCGTGGCGGGCGTGTTCTGTTGGTCCAATTGCCCCATCTTTTACATGACCCTGTCACTGTCACTGTCACTATCACTGTCATGTCTCCCTCTCCCGCCCTCCCCTCTGCTTCTTCTGCTGCTGCAGCTGCACAAGCTACAGGCGACAGGTGAGCTGTCAACCCAACTCCAGGGCTGCCGGCATATGCCAGCCACGTACCGTACCTAGGTAGGTAAAGTAGATACTAGATAGACTACCTGGCTCCCAATCCTGGTAGACCGACCACCTGGGCTGGACTGCGCCAGAGCCTGAATTGAACGCTTGGGCCGACAAACAGAGAAGGGGGAAAAAAAAGAAAGCCGACCTCTCGCCCGTCTCCTCTCCACTCTTAATCACGCCTCGCCTCTCCCTCACCTCACTCACCTTGCGCCGACCTTTCCCCCTCCGCGTCCGCGTTCGCATTTCCTTGAGGTGTCACCATCAGCACAGGCCGTACTCGGTTGGTGGTGTTCGAGGAGTCTGGTCTCGCACTTTTGGAATTGCCGATCGAGGTTGGTTGAGCCGAGCTCGCTCGTTACGCAAGCAAGCGTAATAGGGCTAACCTGGGTGTCCGTGTAGTGGTAACACCCTTGCACACCCCAGCATCATCGACCAACTTTCCACTTTTCTTTTTCGCCCAGCCGTGACTTTTGAGCCGCAACCCAATCCCTTCAAACAAACGGAAAACCCAACAGCATCATCCACTCGCGCCCATCAACAACTCCCTCCCCCCTTCCTCCATCCCCACCCCAAGACCTGGCCTGGACGGAGCTGTAAAGACGACATCGGGGCTGACCGACTCCAACTTCGGATCACTCTCACCTCGCCCTGGTGCTAGCCACACCATCAGCTGCAGTCCAAGCTCAAGCTCAATCATGGCTAGCTACGGCGGAGGTGGCGGAGGCGATGGCTCGCTCAATTCTCTTCTCGCCCAGCTCCAGCGCCAGCACTCGCACCACTCCCAGCAGTCCAGCGGCAATGAGAACATCGATCCATCTGCTGCATCTCAGTACCAGCAGCACCAGCAGCAGCAGCACCAGCAGCCTTACGGCTATGATCTGCGCTCTCAATTCAACCCGTACAACAGCAGCCAGCAAGCTCCCCAGTATCACCACCACCACCAGCAGCAGCACGTAGACGAAACGCTCCCTTCTCAAGACAGCACCGACTACAACCCTCCTGCCGCTCCGACCCCGCCAGCTGGTGCCATGTACGCGTCGCAGCATCCCCCCGGATTTGCCGCGAGACCAATTGAAGGTGGCGACGATCGCACCTCGAGCTTGTTGAGCCTTCTGAAATTGAACAGCGGCTCAGGTGGACAGCAAGGCCTGTCGCAGCAGCAGCAGCAGCCACAACACCAGCCATCGGAACAGCTTCACCGCGAGTCCCTCATTCGTCATGCCTCAAACCAGCAGCCCAGCACCATTCATGCCCCCGCACCGTCCTCCGCCGATCCCACCGGCCTGCTCGCTGCACTTATGAGAGGCAAGTTCCAGGACGATGAGACCAGGTCAGAGCACTCGCCCAAGCCTCAGCCTCAAGAGCCCGCGACTGAAACCACCTGGAACACCGCGCCCCCGCCCGAGAACACGCAGCAGTACTTGCTCAACTTGTTGAACCGACCCAAGCCTAGCCAGAGCGACGCCCGTCCTGAGCCTCGCGCGCCCAGCGACGCCGACCACTCGGCCAAGATCGCCTCCCCCGCAAGCGAGAAATCCAACAAGCAGGACATTGCTACTCTCGAGCGGGTCCTGTCCGACTCCTCTCATCGTGGTGGCAGTGGTCCTGCTGTCCCGTCTGCGGACTCGTTCGAATTCGTCTCGCAGGACGCCGTCCTCCCGCCGCAGCTCAAGTTCAAGCCTTCTCCGGCTCCCGCACAATCCAGTAGAGATGGCACCCCTCCTACAAAGTCTGGGATTTTCAACTATACCAATCCGTTCGACGAGCTCACTGCTTCCGTGTCTCCTCACAATCGAGCCAACAGAAAGTCCACAACGCCTGGAGCGTCCGCTTCTCCCAGCATCCAGGGTCAAGCCCCAGGACTGGTCCAGATATTGAAGAAGCCCGGATCAGCCGGCGGGCCGGAACACAAGCGCCTGTCAAGCTCCAACAGTCACCTGGAAGGTCGCGAGTCTGTTCGCCGAAAGGTGGATGCCTCCAGCGCACAGGATCACCATGGCGAACCCTCTTTCCCAGACCGCGAGCCCGAGGCTAAACCCAAGGAGACAGTGGCTGAGGCTGTTAGCGACATCGCCAACCAGGCTGATCTGCAGGCACGCGAGGCGATCAGTCGTGCTGAAGATGAGCAAGCGCAGGCTAGGATCACCCAAGATCTCAAGGAGCTGATGGCTGCTCAAACGGATAAAGAGTTTGACAAAGCAGCTGCCCACGCGGCTTCAGACATCAAGGATGAGCTCGAGAAGGAGCAGAACAGGGATGCCCTCGAGGACGCATTCCGTCCCGAGTTGGCGAAAGTCGTTCGAGACATCATAGATGACGCCGCCCAGGGCCCTGTCGCTGACAGCTGGGAGAGCGCCGAGGCCGAAGACGAGATCGTCGTTATCGAAGAGACTACGAGCCCTGTCAAGGTCTTCAACTTCCCCATGAAGCCGTGGATCTCCATCTCGATCCAAGAAGGCGCCAATGACACTCGCCCCGTCTTCCGCGATGAGGCCATTCTCGACATTGCTCGGCTCAAGAAAGAGTTCGACCAAATCGACCGTAACCTCGTGGCTGCTTCTGAAGCATATCTGGCGTACGGCATGTCTAAGGCTGGCGGTCTCCGCGTAATTAGGCAGGACGATGGCCGTGATGCCAAGTTGTTTGCTGATACGAAGGATCGCATTTTCAACCTTGCGATTTCTTCCACCCCCGCAGACCAGGACATCACCCAGAAGGAGGCAATCGTTGGCACCGGTATCAGTGGCACGGTCTACTGGGTCCAGGTCAGGGACGGCGAGAAAGACCACCTGGACGACGCGCATCTAGAGCAGTATGGATTTGCTCTGCCACCAAGCAGTGCCCAGGAGGGCGGAGACGCCCCGGGCGGTGTTTTGAAGACACGCGCTCGCACTTCTACCAACCACCCAGAGTACTTTGCTGTCGGCCGTGGCAAATCCATCAACATCATCTGGCCATCGTTTGTCTTGCAGAGAAATCTCATCAAGCCCGGCCATGACCGCGTCGTCGACACAGACCGACTTGCTAAGGAGTGCTCCCTGAAAATCAATACTGGAAAGGCTGGTAAGGACTTCACTTTCAGTCAGGATGACTCTGTTGTTGTCTCACTCGACAAGTCGGGCCGCGTCAAATTCTGGGATGTCCGTGACCTGACGGCCCCTGACGAGGAATCTGACCCTCGCAACCCGATGCCAGCACACACTTCGGCCGAGGTTAAGGAGCCTCTGATGACTCTAACTACAACACCAGAAGGTGAAAAGGCCTGGCCCACTTCTGTGTTGCTGTTGGATAAGCTCCGGCCGTACCAGAAGCGCACCGCGCTGCGCTACTTGATCGTGGGTATGAAACAAAACCACACGTTGCAGCTCTGGGATCTGGCACTGGGCAAGCCCGTCCAAGAATTCAACCTGCCTCACAGCAAGGAATCCGACGCGGTTTGCAGTGTCATGTATCACCCCCCGTCAGGTATCATTGTTGTCGGCCACCCGACGCGGAACTCCGTCTACTTCCTCCACCTTTCGGCGCCTAAGTACGCGTTGAAAAACAACCCGTCTCAGGTCGACTACATTCAAAAATTGGTGGCGCAAGACCCCTCAATCCCCACTCCTGACTCTACGGCAGTCATCAGTGGCATGCGGGAGTACTCGTTCGCCAACAAGGGAGTTTTGCGAAGCCTCTACCTTCTCCAGAACCCCGCTTCCTCCAGCGAGGGCGCTGAGGCTACGCTTTTCGAGCTCTATGCCATGCACTCCAAGGGCGTGGCGTGTCTTTCCATCAAAGCGTCAGAGCTTGGATGGGACGAGGACAACAAGGTCATCAACCCTGTCGACGCTACTCAAGCCGGCGTTGTAACAATCACGAAGCTGAGGCCACCGCCGCCCCAGCCCCAGAATCAACTTCCCGAGGACGCAGCAACGCAGCCCGCGATTCGGCTCGCTGTGCGACCAAAGGAAACGGCCGCTGAAGCCGCACCGGAGTCATCGGCGCGGAAGGTAGCCACCCCACCGAAGCACAAAGAGGCCAAGGAGGAAGAAACTGCGGTGCCAGCTCCTGCTGAAAAGCCTGACAAGAAGGGCCGAAAGAAGAAGGCTGCTGCTGAAAAGGCTGCCGCCCAGGCTGCCGCGTTGGCTGACCGTGAACGTGAAGCTGCCCAGACTAACGGCCACCCTCCCAAGGTCGTAGCTACCACAACCCACGAGCCAGCCAAGGCCACGAAATCCACTCCTTCCTCAAGTTTCTCGCAAGAGGTCGACACTCGCATCAACACCATGGAGAAGCGCCTCGTTGAGAATATTGCGAGCTCGTTCCAGGCCGGACTGTCTGGTCTCCGTCAAAATCTCGACAAGGATGCCAAAGCTCGCGACGGCCAATTCGAAGGCAGCCAGCTCAAGCTGCTTGGTATGGTCTCGGAGGTTCTTAACGAAAACTGCCAGGGTGTGCTCGCCAAGATTATTGAAGAGGAGATGGAGAAGTCCATCGCGCCTAGAGTCGGAGAGGTCGTCACTCGCACCGTGTCTGCGGAGCTTGGAAACAGGCTCGGCAGTTCTGTCTCGCAGTCTGTGCAGAAGGAAATGCAGCGCGCCCTCCCGCATGCGATGGACCAGGCTCTGCGGAAGCCCGACCTGGTCAAGTCCATGACCGACAAGATGGTCCACACACTCTCTGCCAAGATCGATGAGCAGCTTTACGCAGTCCTTGATGATAGAATCATCCCTCGATTCACCAAGCTGGCTACCGAGGCTGTGACAGCCTGCGGCAAGGAGATCTTGGTGAACGTCAACAACCAATTCAGTGCCATTGAGCAGGTACGCCTGAAAGACATGCAGAAGTTTGATCAACTCGTTGCCCTCAACACCAACATGTCAGAAACTCTGAACACCTTGGTCACCGCCCAGGCGAGCTTCCAGGAGGAGATCTTGAGGCTTCAGACCGAACTTGTCAAGCAGCAGCAGCGGAAGGTGTCACCACCGCATTCGTCTCGCTCTCGACAAATTGCGCAGGAGAGTCAAGGACCGGGCAATGGCGCATACCACAGCCCTTCTCACAGCCAGTCTCAGGCTTTGCAACACGTTGCCCAAGCAGTCTTGCCTCAGCAGCACTACGGCAGCCCCCAGAATGTGGCACAGCAGTATTCCAACGCGGCTGCAGCTGCGGTGAACTCGCCGCAGCAATGGGCACCTGCGAGCTCCATTGTCTCCCCACCGCATCAGCACCAGCAGTACCCCAATCAGCCTGTGAACCCCAGCATTCTTTCTCTGCAGCAGTCTCAGCAGTTTGGGAGCCCGTCCAGTCAGCAGTCCAACCAGATCTCTGGCCAGCAGCAAATCCAGCAGACGCCGCAGCAACCACAGTCACTTGCCGCATCGCAGCTCTCCGGGTCCCAGGTTGTATTTCAACCCACAACCAAGGACAACCGCGAGCGTCTGGACCTCGAGCAGGCTTGTGAACGTGTGCGCAACTACATGGCCCAGGGCAAGTTTGATGACGCAGTTATGACCTGGATCCAGGACACCCGTAACGAGGAGGAAGTCTTCTCGCAGGTCCTTGCCAAGTACGATGCGACCTTCATCCAGAACCTAAACCCGCTGCTGCTCTTGACGGTCGCGGCGACCGTCACAGCGAACCTGGAGAACCCACAGCTGCTGCACACCAAGCTCGGATGGACGGAGGTGGTCCTGGTGACCTTCTTCGAGGCTCTTCCCCGAATTGTAAGTACTGCCACAATACGGCCTCTTTCTTCCGTCATCACTTTCGCTTGGGCAAGAGCTGACCACACTCATAACTTAGGAGGGACAAGTCCGCGAGATAACACCAAAGGTCATGTCGCTGCTCAAGGGCCGCCTTGAACACATATTCCTGCGCCTCAGCAGCACGGTTCCCAGTGACCCGGCTCTGAGGAATATCTCCACCATGACGAACCTCACGCAGCGGATCACAGACACCATGCGACCTCTTACCGCTAGTACGTCATACTAGAAAGGATCAGAAAGCTACATCTGTTTGAGCTGCCTGATCTTGTGAGGCTTGGAAGTTTAAGGTCGACCCGAACAAGACTTGATGATTCGTCCATGGCCGATTGGGACCATGTCGGAAAACGGACAGCACGAGTGAGGGGTTTGACGGAAGCCTTACCCTTGTGCTCACCCTTGTGGCATTAAGGATATTGTTTCGTTTGTGTACAAACATAACCAAAACATACATACGGGTGGTCAACGGGTTTGGGACCGGGGCTGAACGAATCAGGAAAAAGGATACCCACAAAGCTACTTTGGGGGATAAGGAAGATTTTCTTTTCCCGCGAATCTCGTACATATTTGGCTTGGCTTGGCTGGAAAGTGGAGACAAGGAAGAAATAAGGGTGGAAAGGAAGAAGGAAAAACACGCGGGAGGATCCGAAAAGCTGCTGGCATGAACGCAGCTGTTGGTTGATCACGTCTGCTACGATTCGATAGCGCGTGCATGGGAGGCTCGACTTGGAGAGGCCATCCAGGACCACCAACCGGGTAATACTGGTCCTTTCCTGGCTTGGTTCATACATAGTCCTGTCTTTCCCCCCAGTATTGTCTGGTAATTCTGTAGCATTGGGAGTAATGAGGAGGGAGAGAGATTTCCAGCCATCTGTCTAATTTTGTCCCCTGTCATCTGGATTGACGTGTGATTCCGTGAGGCCTGTAGTGGCACGAAGCTGAGTCTTCTTCCGCCTATGTGCCGTTGTGACCAGGAGGCACTGTAGTCTTTCCGAGCGACAGCCATGTCTGAAACATTGTCTCACATGATTTCACGAGGCGATGTTGACCATGGAGACTGCTATCGTGGTGTATCATCCAGGTCGACAGGTGTCAACGCTCGTTGGCTCCTGATCCCTCGCAACCTTCAAAACTCCGACTCCCTGGTTGATGGTGTTGTTGTGACTTCGAGGCATAACATCCTATCCTCAGACTGGAAATTTGACATTAAAACCTATCGCTCATCGTCTGAATATGAGGCGAATCTGGTGGAGATCACGTGAAAAACGAGCTGTGGTCCGCATTTCCAAATGTTCGGAGTCTTTCTGTGGGACGGGTTCATTTGCAGCCTATTCTCCGAGAGCTTGTCCGACCATGGATCTGACCCCTGTATAAACTAATGCAACGGTATACCCAACCAAGAGAAGCAGATCAGACCAGGTTACAGTTCAAATGAAGACGAGAGATTCCACCACGTGCCTGACGATCATCACCGTATGTGCACAGCCAGAGATGCACTTCCAACGTACAACATATGAAAAACATCCAGGAACTACTATGCACAGAAATCAACAGAAACTTGACTGAGTTCAGAAACGGTCTTTGACCGATAACTTTTGGAATGGGTCACATCCGCTGGTGCCTCTTGCACAGCTCAATCAAGCCCCTCACCAAACACTATCCTCGATCGTGACCAGCTTCGCCCATTTGCGCTGCGAATTGAGTTTTGATCCCGCACACGACGCACCATGCTGCAATGCAAGTTTCCCATCACAAAGCCCGTCAGCAGCGACAGGACCACTATTTTTATTCGTTTTGTATCTTTGCCAGTGGCCATGACCGCTTCTCGCACACCTCCAAATACGTCACATGAGGTGGCCTCTGGTCACGAAGGACACTCGGAAGCAGGGTTGCAACCCACGTTACATTGCTCAGATGATAGTTCGCACACTTACGCGGGGCATATCTGCCTGCTTCACCTGCCTAATACTGAAGCTCATCTCTTAAGATGACTCCGCCCCTTCGCTTTTCTTCAGTGTCATTTTCCCGATTCAATATGCAGCCAGCGCTGCATATTCCTACAGATGTCACCTGCCCATTCATAGACATGCTTACAGCCACGTTGTGACCCACTGCCCCTGTCGACCCATGCGTCTGCCGGCTCTATTCACACGGGCTGGGCTGTCACGGCGCTGTTCTTGTCAGTCTGCACATTGGCGAGCTTCTTCATCGAACGAAGTCGTTTGTAGTTGACGAAAAGCGCGGACATATCCGTTGGCCTGCTAGCATGAAGCTCAAACGTTGCTGTGCCCCTTTCGTCGTCCCATCTTTTACTCTTCTTGACTTACAGCGATCATGCCGCTCGTTTATACTATCATCATGGCGGTCTTGTCATCATCCCTGGTGACTGCTGCGGACTTGACCGACTATGTGCTACCAAGCGTGAGTCCTTCATCTCGGGGGTACACTGGTGAGCATCATTATCATGAGCTGACCAATGAACAAAGACTGGTCAGGCGAATGGGGGCAATACCTTTCCGGGCGTGAGCTGGCCGTTGGGCATAGTGAAACTTGGTCCAGATCTGTACGACGGATCTGACGCGTATTCTGGCTATAGACCTACCGGCAACTTTACTGGCTTCTCCATGCTTCACGAGAGTGGGACAGGCGGTGCGCCCAAGTACGGCGTAGTCTCGCAAATGCCGGTCCTGGGAACCGTCATTAACCCGCTGGCCGACCACAATGACACAAGATCTTCCCCTGATGTGAGCCAAGTTGGGTACTATCAATCGTTTTTGGGATCTGGAATCACGGTGGAGTTGGCAGGCACCGAGAGAGCGGGCTTTTATCAGTATACGTTTCCGGAGACCAACCAGACGAGAAATGTCATCGTCGACGTAAGCCATGTGCTGTCGAGCTACCGCGGCATGGGGCTCCAGCAGTCCTACCTAGGAGGCAACATTGAAGTCGTTGACGGGGATACGAACCAAAGCTATTACAAGGGCTATGGTTCTTACAACAATGGCTGGAATCGAGCACCAAAGTGGACAGTCTACTTCTGCGGGCACTTCGACCCTGCTCCATCGACATACAAGACCTTCCTCGGCACTGGCAACACCAACAGCACTCTCCTTGAGTATCCTGCTGGTGATAATGTCACATCAACTTCGCGTCTTGGTGTTTCCTTCACATTCGATGAAAGCAAAGTCACTTCGAGGGTTGGCGTATCCTTCATTTCCACGGAACAAGCCTGCTCCAACGTCGACTCGCAAATTTCCACGGGGACAACTTTGGAGAGCCTGAGAGAAAGAACCAAAGATGCATGGAACAGCAAGGTCCTGTCCAAGGTGACGACTACGGATACGAGGAATCCGACTGATTTGCAGCTACTATACTCATCACTGTACCACATGAGCATAATCCCGACCAACAAGACGGGGGAGAATCCTTTGTGGGCTTCCTCGGAGCCATACTATGATGACATCTTCACACTTTGGGATCTGGTATGCCAAGACCAATTCTACATCAAGGCCGAGAGCTGACTTCCACAGTTTCGTTGCAGTACTGCTCTGTTCCATGTCATTCAGCCTGTGGCATATGAGGAGTACATTCGCTCGCTCATCGACGTTTGGAGAAATGTGGGTTTCATGCCCGATGCGCGCTCGTCTTTCTGGAATGGGGCGACCCAGGGCGGCTCGAATGGCGACAATGTCCTTGCAGACGCGTATGTCAAGGGCGTACGGGGCAAGATTAATTGGGAGGATGGTTATTCTGCAATGCTCACAGACGCAGAGGTGACGCCGCCCAACAACAACGATCCCCGTGATCCCACTGGGTCTACCAGAGAGGGCCGAGGGGCTCTGCCGGACTGGCTTGAGTATGGTTTCATCACTCCGTCCTTTGGCCGCTCCGTCAGCCGCGCAGTGGAATATTCGGTGAACGACTTTGCTGTCTACACTGTCGGACATGGGTTGGGCGATGAGACTGCATCGACGTATCTGAAACGAAGCCATAATTGGAGAAACCACTGGAATCCCGACGCCAAATCCCTCGGCTTCTCTGGATTCGTTGTCCCACGGAACCTCACTGGTTTCATCCCGCAGGATCCTCTAAGCTGCGGAGGCTGCTACTGGGCTGACTATTGTAAGTAGTCCGGGAGGTTGTTTCAAGACGGCTCAGGTTTTCACTAACAGCGTTAAAGATTACGAAGCTTTGCCTTGGGAGTATTCCTGGAATGCCCACCACGACATCGACACACTGATATCATACTGTGGCGGAGAGGCAACCTTCGTTAAGCGCCTCGAGAAGATGTTCGAACCAGGAGCATACCCTGCGGGCTCATTCGACGGGATGATCTTCAACCCTGGTAACGAGCCCTCATTTACGACCCCGTACCTTTTCAACTTTGTCAATCGCCAAGATCTCACCGTCTACTACACACGCAAGTTCGCCAAGGCCTATTATTCTCCAACCCCTACCGGTCTACCGGGTAACTCAGATGCAGGTGCAATGGAGACCTGGGTGCTATGGGTGATGCTTGGCTTGTATCCCATGACTGGCCAGACCACTTTCTTGGTAGGGAGTCCCTGGTTCCGCGATCTTACGATCGATCTTGGTGGTGGGAAGAAACTGGAGATATCAACCAGCGACGGAAGTGAGACGTCCTACTATGTTCAAAGCCTCAAGGTGAACGGAGAAAAGTGGAACAAGTCGTGGGTCACTTGGTCCGACATCTTTGAGAAAGGCGGAACAATGGACTTTGTTTTGGGACCTAATCCGTCCAATTGGACGACTGGTCCACCGCCACCGAGCCCTGGGACCGAGGCCGCTGCTCAACGGCCCAGGTGAAGTCGGCTTAGTTGTGCTACCTTGAGACGTGTGCTCACGGTGAAGATAAGGTCGTCTTCTATAGGAGGTGTAGATAAGAAACGCTGTCAGATCGAATGACACATATACAAAAGAGCCAGGTTAACGTCCTCCGCATGCGAAGACTATTGAGTGGCCACAAAAATGAGGCTCAGTCAATAGCACTTTATGCACCGTCTTCCCCTAGGATTTCATCAAACCTCCTCTGCACGTCTTTTGGATCCCAGTGATCAATTAATTTCCTCACTTTGGTCTCTTCCATTCGCTTCTGCACGAAGGATTCCATCTGGTCTCTTTCCCTATCGTTCAACAAATGGAGTCGAGTAGTCCACAGCTGTGCCCTTGGCAGACCGTCTGGCCGTTTCCCAAAGAACCTCTCGTCCAAATACTTCCAATAGATCTGGTCAAATGCCCAAGTCTTCCGTATAGCATAACTCAGCCAGAAACGCCCCGTTTCCCAGCTCTCGCGCATATACCTTGAGAGAGCCATGCCGTGAGGGAGGCGTAAAGATACAGGGTCGACTTTCTTCTCTACCTCCTCGACGGCCTCGAGCCATGTCTTGACGCGTTTCTCATAAACTTTTGTGAAGCACTCGAGCCCTCCGTCATCGTAGTTATGGGGATTGTCCAGACAAAGCCACCAGGGCGGATCAAGAGCAAATTGTGTTGGCCCAACGTAAGTGAACTCCCAGTCAACGATGCCAACGACCTCGTCCCCTTCGCTTAGAAGCACGTTACCTGGGCGAAGGTCGTCACACCAAAGAACGAAGTCTTCCGAGCCGCTAGGTGCCGAACACAGCGCCCGTGAACGTGCACAGGATTCTTTCGATTGGACGGACCAAGAGTCCTCTTCGAATCCAAATTGTGACAGCTTGCCTTCCTTGGCTAATCGGTGAAATATCAGACGAGAAACATACTTGTTTCTGCAATCGTTGGCCGTGATAATAAAGTCATTTTGTTGGAAGAGCAGCGGCGCTATATGCATTCTGGAGCAGGCTGTATACCATTCGTCTGCTGTGGAGTATGTTTCATCTTTGCGCGGTAATGCTGATCGTGGAATGTTTGACAGCTCAATCATTTGCTGCATGTGAATTGTCAACGGCCTTGTTTGGACGACATATGTGTTGTGTTTGAGGCGAGCCAGTGTGCCAATACGAGGGAAGCGGTGAGGCAGCAACTGAAGAAGGTAATGTGCCATTTGCATATCCAATGCTTTGAGTTCATCCCTAGGTATTTGATTATCCAGGATATGTCGAGCTCCTCGGGTTTTGTATCGCTTGTTCAGTCTTGAAGACATACTCCAGAAATGTTCAATGCGTTTCATGATGATATGTGGCCCAACTTCTGGGGTCTGGTGCGATAGACCATAATGAAGGACCGATGCAGTCGGGATTGATGTCCGATCTTGCAGAAACTGGGCAATGACACACTCTCCAGCGGTCTTCTCATCAGCAAAAGCAACATTAGCGTTTGGTACTCTCAAGAGACGCTTAGGTGGAGAATCATCCAACGCCAGCCCGTATATCACGTTGTAGCTGCCTCCGATGACTGGCGGCACCTGAATCTGGGTTAACAAAGGTTGTTATCCCAAAAGCCACCAAACTGTCACCGATGACTTACGATTCTTGCATCGGTTTTGCCAAGCCTATCTATCGCAAGGCTTTCCAAAAGATCACGAAAGACCTGGCGGCCGAATTCCTTGTGGCTAGCCTCCAACGCTGCTTCTGCTCTATCATATTGCATATCATCTGGAGCAGCCCATGGGATGTCAGGATCCTCACATCTTGGGTTGATTGAATCATTGATGTCAGACATGGTCGAAAAAGAATTAGTGGCAGGCCTGCTGAGGGGGGGGCACCTGATGAGTTGCGTAGGGGCTGTGCTGAACGCAGTTTAAGCCACAGCATTGAGCAGCAGCAATAAATAAAAGAACAACTTGCGGGCTCTGCATTAGCTTATAATCTTCACACCGTTGCTTTCATTGGTTATTCGTAACAGGGGTTATGTGCAATTGGAAACCAGAGGGTGAAGGCCCCCGACTCACCAACATGCATACGCAAAACTGATAGTTCCACCGAATTCCCCTGCCGATGCAGATTGCGGTCTTGGAAAAAGAATTGATCGCATGTGTCTTTTGAGACTTGACACCTCAAAATTTCTATATTTAGGATGCTTGGGACAACGAGGGCAGGGCTTGTCCAGCCTCAACCAGCTTCAAGGAGCGGCTGGCTGGCACATTCTTTGGTCCCTCGTTTTACTAACATCTGCCCCCAATGGGGGCCACACCCTCCAGCCAGCAATCAGAGCGTTCTCTTGGACTTCAGCTGAGGAGGCCACCATGCAACCAACTGTACTTTTGGCATCTGTTAGTAGTTAGCAAAACTGCTGGGCCAACATTGCTGTCCTCAACCGGCCAAAATCTGACACTTGTTTCGGGCGGCCACTGGACAGGCAATGAAGAGTCTCTCAGCTGAAGGGAAAGAGACCAGTTCGGCAGGCCTTAAGGTTTGGCTTCCCGTACCAGAGGGAAACACACACTAATTGAGAAATTAGCCAAGTGGTATTTACTGTGACTCGCAACCAAGCGTTGTACATCATTTCGAGTTGTTGTTATTTCTGCAACCAACAGTGGGCCGTTGTTCATGTGGTGTGGTATGCGGCCTCTGTATCAAGCCAGAAGACATGACCTGACAAATTGGGAAGGGAGGGGGGATTTTCTCTGAGGTAGTGCAAGTCAGTGCTGAAAAAGGAAAGACTTATATTATCAGAACAGTGCGAGGAATAATATAAATTGGACGAATGCTCAAACGTTACCGTAATTCTTTGCAAGAGGCTTCGTTCACCACCATCACTACTTACTGATAGCAGTTGGCTGGATCAATTGTGTTGGTCAATATCACATTCATTATAATCTTTTCTCACGAATCGTTCAATACCCTACAAGTACCAAGTCCGAACCCAAGCTATCCTTGGATTTACTCATTTCAGTGTACCAAGATTGTCTTGATTGTGCTGGCCACAATTCCCGGGTCTGCGCTAGATTTTGCTAACTCTAAGGGCAAGTGAGATACAAAGACTCCAGCAACGATGAGTACCTCCAGCACTTCGAAGCCAAGCAGCGTTAGGACCTCTAAGTCCTCCAACTCTACTAGTATACGCTCTAGTAAGAAGTCCAATGGATCCCGAGCATCTTACAGCAGAAGCTCGACCGATAATCGATCTGCTACGCTGGAGCGGGGCCAGAATCAGCATCAGTGGCGGCAAACTGCCACATTTGGTGGCACTATACTTGATCAGACCTCGGAGAAGAACCGTCCAGTTTCTCAGGCCCCGTCCTCGGGGCGGAATTCCCAAGAGACTTCTACATCGCTTCCGGTTCAAAATTCGAAGAGTTCCATCCGCACTGGAAGCAGTGGAAGCTCCTCGATGAGGTCTGGAGACGATGAAACTGACGGATTCACTGCCCTGACTCCCCGTGTTCAAAGTGAAAGGAATGCAGCAGCTGATCGAGCTAGACGCCAGGCATTGGAACTGCAGAGGCAGGAAGAGCAAAGGCAAAGAGAGCGACTGGATCGAGAGAGGGCGGAGGAGAGAAGACGACTGGGTGAGCAAAAACCGGTAGACGTTGGGAAGGCATCTACGGCGCAAAAGAGTTACCGTGTGGCCTGGGAGCGTGCAGAAATGGAACGACTAAGCCAGAATGATTCGGGCTATGCAGTAAGCTTCGAAACTGGCGAAAAGAGCCAGGAGGAAAGAGTGCGCAATCGTGGCAAAAGGATGAGACCTGAAGATCGCCCAGGCAAGTGAGATGGGGCCAAGCTCGAAATTATTTTGATAGATTCATCGTAAGTCACTCATCAATCGATTCAACCAGTCTTCCAGTCATGTGATTTCAGCTCAACAACAATTTTCTTCAGAGAGCACTCCCCCATCGTCCGGCAATACGAAATGGACCAGACATAGCGTTGCCCTGCTGTCCCAAAGGAGCACATCAACGATTTTCAAGCACGAGCTTCATTTGACCAGCCCAACTCACCATCATCACCATTGAGATACCATGAGTGCGATGAGTGGATTGCAGGCATGGCCCATGTAGACATCGATGCCATGCTCATGAGCTGTGGGCCGGTGGAGCGCCCGTCAACCTTACACGAATACGACTCCGAGTGTACCTCAACTCCACTCCTCACTCCAACTGCTGGGAAACAAATTCGGTCGCTGGTGTAGACTGTAGACAACTTGGACTATCTTCTCGGCTCATTAGTCCGGTCCACGGCTTTCGCAGTCCCAATCCATGCTGTAACCCACTTGTTCAAGCTCCGCCTACGCAGGGGAGATGTTCTTTGTGGCCGAATTTCATAGGACGCCCAGGCGCTCTCGGAGACATGGAGCAACATCAAGCCGCCCGTGATTAGAAATGCGAAGTTCTTTAGTAATGCAAACTTTTATATATATTTTATCATCGGCGAAAATAAATACAAAATCAGGGAATATAGTGATGTAGTTCTATTGGCACCAAAACACCGTATCGATTCACCTGCATCTTTCCAGTCCAAACAGTCTATTTTCTCTTCACCATGGCTCCCAAAATCTTCATGTATGCTCTTTCAAGTCTTTATGGCTAATTGAAAACATTTCCACAGGCCTGCTAACATTATATAGGACAGGCGTTACAGGATACGTTGGTGGAACTGTTTTCAATACCCTTGTGACAGCTCACCCGGACTACAACATCACTGTGCTCCTTCGTGAACCGAAAGCGTCTTTCTATGAGAAATACCCTAGCGTGAAAGTCATTCAAGGGAATTTTGAAGACTTCCAAGTATTGAAAGATACTGCGTCGAAGGCAGACATGGTCCGTATGTTCAGACAGTATCAAAGAAGACCTTCTGTGGAAAGTTGCTAATGGGATTGACACAAGACCACGGCGACTCCGATCACGAGACTGCAGTCAAAGCACTTCTTGCAGGAGTGACTGAACGTGCTGCTGCGTCTCTGCCAGCTTTCTACATCCATCTAAGTGGCACAGGTATCATCGTTGAGTGGGACAACCTCGGTGAACTACACCCCAAGGTATGGTCTGATATCGATGATATCGATGCCATATGGTCCTTTCCAAGCGAGAAGCTCCATCGTAATACTGAGAGCCTAATCCAAGAAGCTTGGACAAGCCACGGGGACAGGCTAAGGACTGCGATTGTTTGCCCGCCAATCATCCATGGCAGAGGGACCGGGACTGGCCGTATCGACGGCGGGTTTTACACATGGCTCTACGATGAGAGCGTTAAGAAAGGGGCGACATTCTATCTAGGCTCTGGTTCCAATATATACTCCAGGGTACATGTCGCCGATGTAGCTCAGGTCTTCCTGAAGCTCATCGAGTCTGCTGCTAGAGGTGGACAAGGCGCTGACTGGGGTCGTGAGGTATGTATACATCTAATACTCTTCGTTCAGTTCGGAAGAAACATTTTCTGCCAGCGCTGGAGCTGTGCTATTCTGATAACACCGTCTCCTGCCACACAGGGTTACTATTTTTTGACCAGCGAAGAAATATCGCAAAAAGCAATCGCAGAAGCCACTGGGAAGATTCTAAAACGAAAGGGGTTGATCGCAACCGAAGAGGCGAAGCAGGTGTCCTTAGAAGAGTTGGACTCCATGCTTGGTCACATCCCGTTTCCGGGCGTCGCCCGTCTCCTCTTTGGATCAAACTCACGATCCAGCCCCGATCGTACAAGTAAGGTGCTGTCCTACGAGCCCCGAGGGCCGAGTTTCTTGGACAGCCTCGAAGACGATTTGGCAAGAGCCGCGCAGTGACACCATCACCGAGGGCCTTTTTTAAGCCAGAGGCTGCTTTAAGATCAGGTGGACCGGAATAATACACGACTATCCAGAGAACGCCTCGAGCCTTGTGCACTTGAGTTGGTTCTTGGTCAACCGTGTTGAGACAGGGATACCTTGGGCGTGGCTGGGCTGGAGTTCGCATGTTGTCCAATAAGATGAGAGTACGCTTCACATCATCCGGTAGGTCAATCCACCCGTCGCGTCCGGCACGCTATGGTACCTAGGTAGGCAGGCAGCCTACTGGCTTTTCAGAATGTTATTTTCTACGCTCTTGCGCTGGCGCATCTTTTTCCCCCTGTGATGGAACGGATCACACCCAACAACAGATTATCTATACACGATATCACCTAGACTCTGAACGTCGCGTCCAGAATGTTCTCAATTGCACACTTCCACTAGCTCCAAGACTTTCACGTGCTTGAATTTATTCGGACGTTTACAAATAGATAGTCTTGCGTAAGTTCGACAACTGAATAGTCAGGCGCCTCATCACGATATCCCACATGGTGGGAGGCTGCAACAGGCGTCTTTGCTGCCGATGGTTAGCAGCGCAGACACGTGACAGTAGTTCTTTCTCGTGACATTAGAGTCTTTGGAACGAAGGTGCGTCTCCTTAAGGCGGCTTCTCTTGCGCTTTTTCTTTCAGTGAGCGCCATTAATGCCAGTCACATCACCGATACATTACTGACTGTTTAAGAAGAGACGACAGATCAGTCTAAGCAACTCATTTTCAACTTCATTACCCAGGTCACCAGTCGTGCGTAGTACTTCGCAAGAGCAACGAGAGCCGTCATCGAAGTGCTCGAGAGGTACAGCTACATTAACACCAATGCCCACGACACGGCCCTCAACAATATTACTACCGTCGCGTCAATCACCTATTGCCATTACGGCACCATCAGTCAAGGCGCAACCGGGGGTCAGACAGCAGAGATCAGTGTAGATGCCGGCCACGTCGAGATCAAGAGGCCTGCTGCCCTGGTACACAATATGCCTCATCTGTCCGATTGGGATATTGGCATTCACGACACGCACGCCGATAGAAATAGTTTCGACAATCGTGCTTTCATTAGCAGTGAGCTACATTATTGGATGGTTGGAAACCAGACGAAAGACGTCGCCTTTATGATCTATGACGACGGCATACTGCAGAGATCGCAGACCTGGCAGACTGCACACAACGTGTTCGCCGTAGCACAGAGGACTCCCTTCCCTCGATATCCTGGCCATGCTCTTCCATGCCATTTTGCCGGGGTCGAAATTTCTGGCGGTCGCTGTCGTGACGCGGGAACGTGAAAGCCGACCATAGGTTCAGTTCGAGGGCGAACAGCGATTCCTATCCGAGGCTCTGAATGCTGCATTGGTGGCTTGGCTCCTACCTCTTACGTGGCGTAAGGCTTCTTCCTTTGCTGATATTCTAATCATCTAACCAGTTGTTATAACCTCAAGTGTACTGTGGTCTCTACTAATGTGTTTGAAATACAGTGGAACTCATTTCATCTTCAGTATCTTAATACGCTTCGATTGTTGAAGAAGGAAACGATGGGTAGCGCAGCCTCAATATCATTCACTATAGAAAATTCTAGCCCGTCTCATTGGGGTGTGAACGATATCAAGCATGTCATACGCTGATCTCAACGTTGGTATGCCACCATCATTAGCGGCAAAGATAACAGACAGAAACGTCGACTCTTATACTTTGTCTCAACTTCGGAAACGGCCTGAGCCGGCATGAGCCATCAGCGGTGGCGAGCGGCATAGAGTCCATGTATGTACATGAATTATGAATATGTCATTATTATTTTTGAGCCAACGACTATTGAAACGAGGCTGAAAGGTCCCCCATCTAGAAAGGTCGGCCTTAGGTCTCCGTGGTTGCTGCGGCTGGAAAATGCTGCATGCATTGAGGGCTTCGACAAGGCTCAGGGATCTCTATTTGGTCAGACGTCCGACTCTCCTTTGCCTTTATTTTTCTACTACGTCTCTGGACAGCACGGTATACGGTTTTAGGAAGCCCAGGTTACGCCAAAAAGACACCCAGGTTTTGCATTTCGGATGTCAACGTCAAATACCAATCCTAAGATACATAGTGTTCACCAATAAAACGTTCAAGCAAGCTGTAATAAAGACTGTGGGTCCTTCAACCACAACAACTTTCCGCATAAATTGTTGTAGTGGTGCGAATTGAAGTCACATTGCTGCTGAAATAAACGTAGACGTAAGTCCCCAATACATGTTGCCTAAAGCCTTCAGTCTTGCATATCTAATATGCGAGCTGAGTCAAATTTCCACTGCTCTCGTAACCACACTAGCAGACTAGACGTGGAGTCGAACTCTATTTGTCCTGTGAATGGGTTAACAAGGCCAAGCTATCCAACAGCGAACAGGCAAGAACTTACGAGGCAGTTGGAGCAGCTGCAGTCCGAACCGCATGAACAACCCTTCCCAGTAGACGAACATCCGCAGTCCATGATGATATTTCCAAATGGAGGAGCAATATTTTTCGTATTGACTTGAGAGGGTCAGAGGATATTCAAGATGCGATGTTGAGGGTGGTTATATGTCAGATGGAGATAGAACATGCCGATGGCCAATGTTGGGCCCCTCCCTATTTATAACATCAGCCAGATCCAGACCTTCATTAAGGCCCAGTTGATATCACATTTCGACTAAAACTCAGTTATACGCTTGAATGTTAACGAGGACCAACCATTGGTTCCGCAGTATAAGGTTGAGGCTAGACCGTCGCGCTGATCAACGCGAGACGTCGCTGTTTCCCACAAAGTCTGCGAAGTCTGTGCGGATGAGGTGGACGTTGCATACGCGAAGCGGGGCGGCTTGACAAGATTCGTCATGTCGAGCTTGTTGTTCCGGTGTTCCCAGTATCTGAACCAAGCACGCATTGCTTCCTAGCTTTCCTTCACAAGCACGTTCCTGGTCCTTGGCATGCTGGGCTCATGTCGCAAAGTGGCTTTCAACGATACTGTTTGGCTTCTGAAACTTTACAAAACTGATAGGGCGAAAGTTTCCGACACGCGGTGGTATCTATGGAGTAGGACACAAACTCAAGTTGGGATCTTCCAATGGATGGCAGAAATACCGAGAAATTCCCTAGAAAGGGACTGAAGACAGATGCCTGCACTCCAAAATATTGAACAGAAATTACATATTCATTCATGTCGTTCATATATTTGTGCTCGTCACTCGAGGTATCGGTGCGGGTTCTTCAAATACGGATCTCGGTCACCTTCCCAACTTAGTCGAAGTGATCTAGGTGAAGGCATGGACTTCGGATTCTCTTTTGCATCGTTTATGTACGCAATGAAATCTGCCGGTGGGATACCGCACATGAAGTACGACGACAAAACTAGCTTGGAGCGAGGATTTTCAAAGCAATGTATTGTATTGAGTTCAAACACCTTATATTTATAGACTTAGTCAACCATATCAATATTCTAGTCGGAAATGGAAGATGATATCGCTAATCTGACTGGAACGATTGATTGGTCGCCAAGTGAGGTAAATAGACCGCTGTCTGTGGAAAGCAAAATGAGCCCCCCCCCCTCTGTCGTTTTGTCAATGTTGCTGGCAAATTTGCCGGCAAATTTGCATTGGTTTTGCAGCACGGCTCACTCTCAAATATTTTCATACTAAGCAAAACTTGATTACTAATCAAATTTGCAAACATCAACTTTCATCATTATTTTATCAAAATCTTATTGCGCATTATCATTAATTCTTATTTTTATATATATTTGGAATGCTTAATAAGTGTAGATTTAACTCTAATTGATTGCATCTTAATTGAATGTATACGCGGCGTGTTATAGAGGATATTTGTAAGTTGCTGGTGTTGCTAGCAAATTTCTATTGTTTTTGCAGCACAGCTTAAACAACAGGGGGGGGGCTCATTTTGCTTTCCACAGACAGCGGAGATTGTTAGTGCTTATGCTAGATCGTGTTATGCAGACAGCAGGAATGCGCACATCACTTCTTACCTCTCTTCATTCCCGAACCATCTCAGGGCCTTGACCTCACACTGCTGACTGTGAACCAGACCCAGCTGCAACAGAGGAGACATTGAATGCCCGTGACTATAAGCGTGGCAGGTCTTTGAATCTTCTGTGATCACTAAGTACATAGAGCGACGCTGATCTAAGCCGATCAACCTCCTTTGGCTCGCATAAGCACGGATTTGAAGATGCCCACAGGGAGCTGTCTCTGCGGCAAGATACAAATCGCTTACACTGGCAGCCCTGCATATACGGTACGTTGCCGGAGCATTCGCAATCCGACAGTCTAAGTCTTCTGTCAGTGTTGTTGACTCGACTGAACTGTTTCTCAGGCGCTCTGCTACTGCCATGACGACCGTAAGATCAACAACTTCACTGTTTATCAGGTCCCGAAGAAGAACTTCTCCGTAACGCAGGGGGAGCCAAAGGTGTACACGAAGACATCGGATCACGGAAATGTACGTTCTGAATCACTACTCATTCTATTCAAGCGTGCCACAATTTGATACAAGTAATTGAAACATCATAGGACATCAACAACCATTTCTGCTCCACATGCGGCACAACTCTTTTCCGAACGGGCGGCGAGCCAACAATGAAGGACAACGTGGGCCTACGAGCCGGCGTACTGGATGACCAAAGCATCCTGGATAAGCCACCCGCAATAGAAGTATATGTCGAGAGACGACCACGGGTGAGCCATTTTCTTGGCGGTTTCTGTTTGCTTTCACCGGCACGGGACGGATGCGGCTCCCCCCCCCTCGTCTCTGGCCGGATTCATCCCTTGATGGAAGTCAACTTATTACAGAGGGTCCCCCAAAAGAGCATCGCTAATTGTTTCATTCTAGTGGATCAAGCCGATAGAGGGCGCTATCCAACTGAACAGAAATTATGAGTTGGTATCCTACTGGAGCTTATGGGGGGTCTTGATCGGAAGGGCTAAGCTTGCTTTCTTGAGCATTTGGCCGTTCTAGATATCGTCGCCACCCTGTATTTGTCCACGGGTAGACAGGATGGAAAACAACGAGTCCGAATAAGGAGAGATGACGCCGCAGAAGTACTCAGACAGAGCTCATGTGCGGATCCATGGGTGACTTTGTTGTATTGGAAGCCCAGGAAACGATTCCATTTCCGAACAGCTTTGCGGTGTTAGAGCGACGTAGCTCACGGCACTACTCTTGCATAAATCTGCCACACTGGTCGACTGTCTTTAAAACCGTCCAGTTTGCATGGTGATACTGCTATTTCCCACTCAGCGAGAGCATGTTTCATCATGCAGCATCTTTGAATGGCTGCGCTCCAAAAATCTTCGACATTGCTCATTTCAAAACTATAGGCATTGGGAGTTTTTTCTTCCCGTAATTCTCGTTCGCCACGTGTTGATCGTGCGTCTATATCGTATGATGGGCATTGAATTGTTTGCAAGTCCCACAAACTCCTTATGTAAGGGCGGCATCAACGTGAACGAACACTCAATTACAAAACATTGTGCAGAATCTGCAACAAGAATGGATACGTTGCCTCGACAAGTCCGGGGTGAAATATCTCGTGGGTCTTCCAATGCTCGTTTTCAGCAGTGGGCAACTTGATTCAGCCGGGATTCATGTCTCGAGTTGTGCCTAAATGAGTAAACGTGACTAAATAGAAATGTAAGTACTGGGACGGAAAGAGGTTCGATTTGAAAGGGGACTCCGTTCCCGTCGCCGTCTTTCATTGTTTGATCGAAACGCCACCCCCTCCAGTGTAGTGGCGTCTCACTGGAATTTTGAAACAAAGACGGCAATTATTATGAGCGTTCACCTGCTTTTTTGAATTAATCATTTAAATTGTATAAACCTACTCACATATCACCCACTGGAAAGAAGAAGTGTCCTGTGCTGCTATTTCTTTTTGTTGCAGTCTTTCTGGCAAGACGATGAGCACTAAGCATTAATTAAGCCCTCTGATCTGTTCTACACAAGACAATATCTGCCATCTCCGTGCCTAAAAGCCAGCATGATGGCGTCTCAGCCAATCACCAAAGATGGACAGCCTGAAAAGACACGCTTCAAAAGCCGTGCTGGTGTCGTTAAAGCCCGCGCACGGTCGGCGAAATCGGGGAGAAGGGAGCACAGACGACCTCGCCAACCTGATCTTGTCGCCATATTCGAAGCTCAAGATATCCTGGTGTTTATACCCGGCCATGTGGAGTACGAACGTGCAGTCGCGTGCTCGAACCTGCTCTATCGCTTCTCAAGGCCCACGTATGTCATTCGACCACAGACTGTTGCGCACGTCCAGACAATCGTGACAGAGGCGAAGGAGCGCAATATTCCTATTACGATCAAGAATGGCGGCCATTCGTACTCTGGCTCTTCTTTCCCCAATGATGGCATCATGCTAGACCTCAAGGACATGAGCAGTGTTCATTTGGACAAGTACGTATCTGACACCTGTTATACCGACCGTAAAATAAAAATCGTATTTTCTTTTTTGATAGATTCGGCCATCGCTTCCTCTTGATTAGCGTAAAGAATTTCCCTTGTTGGTATATCCTTCTAATATTTACAGGCAAAACCAAGTGTTGACCGTAGAAGGAGGCGCCTTGTGGGGAAATGTGTATAGAACCCTCGTTGATAATGAAGATGGGCTCATGATCAACGGTGGCCGTTGCCCGAGTGTCGGCGTGAGTGGGTTCATATTGGGCGGGGGCATCGGGCCTTTTAGCAGAAGCCTCGGCATGGGAGTCGACTCTCTTATTGAAGTAACGATTGTTGCCGCTGATGGAGAGACATATACTGTGACTGCCGAAGATGCAGCAGACACAGCCAATGGTTAGTACCTGATCGAAAATCAACTCCCTCCCTGATTGATACAACAGGCACCCTTGGAAACTGTCCCGTTACCCACAAAGATGCGGAGAAAGAAATTTACTAAAACCCAAATTTCTAGGTATGTTATTCTGGGCACTATGCGGCGCTGGAGGTGGCAATTTCGGTGTGGTGGTTGAGATGAAGTTAAGAGTCTATCAATTGGCTGATCCGGATCACACTGTCGTGGCTGGGAGACACACATGGTTTCCAAAGATTGATCGAAGCCGGAGGGGGTTCCTCGGCTTTTCGAGGCAAGATGACGATGGGACCGGCTTGATCGCCACCATGAACCATTTCTATACGACGAAATGGCCAGAACAGATGACGATTGATAGCTCCTGGCTTTCCGACCTTGAACAACAGAACGGAGATATAGGGGTCCGTTTTCTTGCCTACTTTGATGGCACAGACGACGATTTCTCGAGGCTGATTAATAAGGGGATCTTGAACAAAGATCTGGGAAAGCATCTAAAACGCCGAGCTCTGCCCGAGCCGACTACTCGTTTCTTGCACGAAACCCTCTTCGCTCAGTGGGACGAGGAAACCAAAAGGTCAACTCCGGCTAATAGCACGTTTCGTTTGTTCAGCTCATTTTGTTTCACAAATGATCTGAACAGGATCACAAAGATCACAGCTATCATCAAAGAGGAGCTGGAAGCGTTCAAAGCCCTATTCAGCGGGGAGAGTTCTGGCCTGTGCCAGGTCTCGTTCATCCATGCCGGAGGTCAGACGACCAAGAGAGAGAGGTCCGCATCAGCCTTTCGCTGGCGTGAAACCATTTATCACGCCTACATAATGCTCCAGTGGAAGGACAAGTGGCTGGAAAGAGACATGAGAGGATTTGCCAAAAAGTTCAAGAACAGGCTGAAACAGTACTCCATCGCAGGCAAGGCCGCATTCGTCAACTTCCCGGACGCGAGTCTACCACAAACCGATTTTATGAAGTCGTACTACGGCAACAACCGAGACAAGCTGCAGCAAGTCAAGCATATCTGGGACGAGGACAATTTCTTCAGGTGGGATCAAAGCATTATGCCTGCTCGGAATGTTGATGCAACGGATATCCAGGCCGCAGACAACGCTGTTAACGAGCAAGAGGAAAACCTGTCCGATGGAGAATCAGAGGATGAGCAGGCTGAGACGGACTTGCTGGCAACAGAGCGCTGGGAGTCACGGCAGTCGGCGCCGGCGATACCCATGTTGACATCAGGGATCGATAATTTCGGCGGCTGGGCGGTCGACCCGGATGATATGATATCTTACTATTAGCTTTCCTTTGTACAGCTCATGAACAGAAAAATTGCAGCCGGACACTAGTGCTTCAGAAGCATAAAGGACGCAGGGAAACGCCCAACAAAAACGTTCTTAGTCGTTATGTCTAGCCAGAAAAAGCTTAATATTACGTCTGTCACAGTAAACAAAACTTCTTACATTCCCGTCGTCCCTCTCAATTTGAAGTGATGCAATGGACTTCGTGATATTGAGACTCGAGCATATGTCAGGACTCCTCCGCAGCAGCTACTAAAATCTTGCCTAGCTCCTTCACCTTCTCAGGGACCAAGAACATGGCACAGTGCCCACAGTCCATGTAGACCTCCCCTAGCTCACCTGCAAAAGCCTGGACTCCGCCCTGTCTGGCATCCTCCTTTTGAGCCTGCTTCACCATGTGCTCGGCGAACTGCAGAGGAACTGGCTTGTCCTTGACGGCGTACACGTAGGTTGACGGTACATACCTCCACCCAACATACTTGCGTGGTTCAATGAACGGTGCCAATGGATGTGAGAGAAGTGCCTTGAAGTGCTTTTGCTGCTCTTCCTCTGGCAAGCCGTCGTACATCCACTCAAGTGCCTTCTCATTGCAGGTGGTATTTCCGTCCTTTGCAGCTATTGGTTAGCGATCGATGCCGGAGACCCCGAGAAGGACAAAAAAAAAGGAAACAAAAGACCATCCCGACAGTGGGGCTAGAGTTCACAGAAGCAAATATTCGGGAATCTAAGTCGTCTTACCTGACCAACATCTATATATACAGGCACAAACCCCGGGACCACCGAAGCCGGCGACCCTAAAGGCTGGCCTTCAATCGGGATGAATGCGGCAACGTAGATGAGCCTCTTGATCTTGCCTTTGCCCTCTCCCGGGCCGGCCCGGAGGAGCTCCTCGGCGATCTTCCCCGTGGCCTCCGTGCCGGGCCCGCCACCGTACGAGTGCATCATCAAGATCACGTCTTTACCGGCGTCCAGCACCTCTCCCACCGCTGCGGCGACGGCATCGGTGTCGACGTCCATTGTGGTGGCCGGCGGGTCTGACCCCACGGTTGGCGTCGTGACTGCCACGGAGGGGTATCCGTGGTCTGAGAGGTATGCTCTGATCTGGGCGAAATAGTCTGGCCGGTGCCATGCGCCTGGAACGAGGACGAATGTAGGTTTTGGGGGCATCTTGGGCGTTTCGTGTTAGAATTCCTTGCCGATACGAGAAGGTGATTTGTTTGCAAAGGCGCGACGTTGCGATGTATTCTGTGAAGTTGTTACCAAGCTGTGCGAAGCCCTCGGTGACGTGAGACAGACCCGCTAGTGATGAAGGTAAGCACTGGGCGTTGATGGAACTCTGTGAGGGCGTGACGAGCACTCATGGCCTGCGGGCTGACTGTTGGTTCTGTTGGCCAACCTGAGTGGCAGCTGCAGGCTAATCACTACTCCAGGCTCGTATTGTAGGATGCGTTAGTGTGTTTAGGATCCACACCTCTCATGCGGGATCGTGGCAAAGCCTCAAATAGCCCCAGAGCCGCCCACAAGTTGTTCCTTGGGAATGGCGGCATAAGTTTTCTGACCCGAGAAGGACTCGTTGCCTCTGCCTTGCTGCAAATCGCAGCCCAACCTTGTGAGGAGTTGCCTTTCTGCTGCGGCCAGGGCGCTGCACTTTTGTTTTCAAAGTACTCATATTTTCCTTGGCATAATTGTACAGGATTGTCTATCTTTACAATTGCATCACGATCTATCGTCGCTTTTGAGTCCAGCCGTGGAGGAAGCTCCCGGCTCTTGGCTATTACTCCTAGAGCTCCGCTTCAGATGTCTCGCCTAACTTCTCCTTCTCCTGGTCCCCCTTTTCGATTGTAGTCTGTTTCTTCCACATTGCGTGATATCGTCCATTAAGTTCTAGTAGCTCGTGGTGACTACCGCGCTCTACGACCTTGCCTTTGTGGAGCACCACGATCTGGTCGGATGTGGTGATGGTGGAAAGGCGGTGGCTGCGGCATGTCAGTCTCTGGCTCTTCTGTAACAAAGAAAAACACACGCGGGTTGTGAATCTCACTAGGGATTCAGTATCGACTTACGCAATAGTGATTGTGGTTCGTCCAGCGGTGACCCTTTCCAGAGCATCCTGGATCAACCTTTCGGTATGCGTGTCCAGAGACGCGGTGGCCTCGTCCAGCAGCAAGATACGAGCGTCTTTCAGGATCGCTCTTGCAATGGCAATCTAGGATAATTCACGTGTTAGTTCACACACATTCTAGAGGCTCACAACAGAAGCCAAGCTCGTAGCGATAGTTTTAACTCACTCTTTGGCGTTCACCGCCAGACAGTTTCAAGCCACGTTCTCCGACCTTTGTATCGTACTTATCCGGGAAGGCCAGTATGCGGTCATGAATATTGGCCGCCTTGCATGCCTCATGGACATCGGCCTCGGAAGCTTTAGGATTGGCATACAAGAGGTTGTACATGATCGTGGCATTGAACAGCACTGTGTCCTGCGGCACAACGCCGATATTTCTCCTCAAGCTGTCGATCTTCAAGTCTCTCAGATCGAATCCATCCACCGTGATTGAACCGTCATCGACGTCGTAGAAGCGGAAAAGCAGCTTGAGGGACGTGGACTTGCCACTTCCAGATTCTCCGACGATCGCTGTCTTCGTGCCCGGCGCGACAGTGAAGCTGACGCCGTCAAGGGCTGGGTCTTTCGCCTTGTCTTGGTAGGAGAATCTGACGTTGTTGAAAGAAACTTCGCCACTCGGTGATGGGAGCTTGATTGCACCAGGTCTTTCCACAACACCAGAAGTCTCTTTGAACTGCGAATCATTAGCTTGGCCAGGATGATTCTCATCGAAGGGCAACTTACGAGATCGAGCATCCTCTCTGCCTCGATCAGATTGTTTTGCAGCATTGTGTAGTACGTGCCGAAGAAGTTGAGGGGCGCCTGGAGCTGGGAGAAATAGGAAATCAGAGTGACGAACTCTGAGACCTTCTGCTCGCCAACGGAGATCTTGTATGCCGAAACGCCAACAAGCAACGCTGTCCCAAGAGAAAAGATTGAGCTCTGCGTGAGGTTGAGCCCGTTCAGAGACCACAGCACTAGACGTTCCGCCTTTTGGTAAATCGTGACGTGCTCCCTAAATCTGTCGGTCTCCTGAACGACAGCACAGTTGTGTTGCACCGTCTCGAAAGCCATGATAGCATCGGTCTTGACCGCATCCATCTCTCTGCTCTTGGTAGCCATGTCTCTCCTTTGCCTCGAACGGTATTTGGCCATGTAGATGGTGAGAAATATGTAAGACCACATGATAAAGAAAACAATGATTGTGTAGAAGGGATCGTACTCCACAAAGAAGAACAAGCCAGCTACGAAGATATCGAAGACCATGGGGAAGACCTGGAACAGGAAATTCTCCAGGAAAGTATTCATGGCAGCGCCACGACTGAGAGCGCTTGTCACCTCACCAGTCTTCTTGCTCAAGTGGAATTCCAGGGAGAGGCCAAGAACATGTTCAAATGCAGCGCAGGACAGACGTCGATAGAGGGATTGTGACACCGGTATCCAAAGAACAGAGCGAGCAGCACCGATAGCTCCCTGATTTCCTTGCAGAGCCCGATAGACGACGTACAGGACGATCTCTTTGTACGGTATGTGGCCGTATCCTAGAGTGTCTACCAGGCGCCCGAGCTGAACAGGGACGAAAACGTTTATGACACGCTGGCAGACCAGGAGGATGATGCAGATGACCACGATAATTTGATAAAGAGGCGAGTCTTTCGGCCTATTGAGCAATTAGAGACATGAGAGGGACTTGTAGGCAGGTTTGCGTGGTCGCACATACCACAAATAGGGGAAGAGAACGCGGAAGCCGGCGAAATAGTCGAGCCAGCCAGTGCCCTGAACCCCTGGAGGCTTCCCAGAAGCAGGCTTGATGGCGGGCATGTGCGCGTGGGCGCCACCGTAGTCGGCCACAGGCCCTTGGCCATTCCCAAGGAGAGATTGTCTTTCCTCAGGGGCCGCGTCCGACCGAGATAGGGATGATCTCAGCTTATACTGCCTCAGGGCCATGAGGCCGATCATAACCACAAGCACAGCAAGCCTGGCCAAGCTGAGGGTGAACAAAGTGTCGACGACCTCCTCTGAAAGTCCAATTGCACGTTGCTGGGTCTTGAGGACGGCGGCGATGACGGCTTCCAGCAGCACGCCGGTGACCCAAGCGTGCCCATTTGCGGCGACAGGAGACCATGGTCCTTCTGGGTCGGGCAGCAGGCCAGCTAAGAAGTACAGCAGTACGCCGACATGTGCTGCCAAGTAGGCGCTGTCGGGGAAGGCAGCCTGAGGACCGCCAGCGTGACCGGCGATAGCATCGCGCAAGACCACCACGATACTGGCCAGCTGTGTGGGTGAGACAGAGTGAGGGTCAGTTCAAACTGCTCCAATGGCTTCGCCGGCGTGTCGTAGACTCAGAGTGACCTACCAGTAGCAGAGACAGCAGAAGTTGGAAGCACCAGATCAGGCGGGCATAGAAGCGTCGGGTTGCCTCGGCCTGTTTCTCGTCGGCCGTTGCGTCTCGGTTCAGCTTGCCGTATCGCTCTCGGTAGTACTTGACGGACTGCGACCCCAGCAGTGTCGCGAACAGCCCACAAGGGTAGAGGTAGAAAGCTACCTCCAGCCCCGTCTGGACTCCCGCCATGGTGATGTTCGTAATGGAGGAGAACGAATCGAATTGATGAGTATTTGACGCTGCGGTCGAACCATGAGCTGAGAGAGCTGTGCTGACGTCGGGTCGTCGAAACACATCCGACTCTGCCGTCGATGAGGTGCTGACAGGGGTCGCACGATCCAGCTGTCCCTTACAGGCGGAGTGAACCCCCCCCCCCCCCTTTTCCACAACTGGAATCAGTCACGCACACACCGCCAAAATTGCAGACAGACTCAAGAATCCCCAGATCTGCTCTTTACAGAATCACTACTATTAAAGACTATAATATGTTATTATTCATCCTCATTGTGACGGCGTGAAGGCGCGAGTGTGTGACTGGAAGTGACTGCGCACAGACCACCAGCAGCCCCAAGCCCTCTGCTCTTAAGCTGGAGGACCCTGTGGCCAGGGCCCCTATCGGTGGCTTATCTTATCAGCTCACTGCCTGTAAGTAGCTTCGAGCATGTGCGTGCAGCTTGGCGAGGCCGGTGTCGAAGTGCGTCAGCCATTGGATGCCCAGTGCGAGAAGAACTTGACGAGAACGTGTTGTCGTGGGTCATTTGTGACAAGCAAACAATCGAGCACAATGATAGTGCAACAGTGCCGTTACTGAGCATGCACGCGTGCTGCCCGCCGTAACGCCTCTCTTGCAGTCCTGCGACTCCATCCAGCGGAACTCATCAGCCATAGTCCCATATGTTGTGAGGGCATCATTGCAAAATTACTAGTCTCATGTAGCAGCGTTGAACCACCATGTGCTGTTCCCCAGACCTCTCACAAGACTTTTGCGAGCGTCGCTACCTGCCGCCATCTCCGTGAGAGTGTGCATTCCGTAGCATTCGTCATCTTCCTGGAAGTTGCAAAGGAACTCTGTCCATGCGAAAGCAAGAAATTTGATAAAGGCGAAGATTTGGTCATATTCCTACTGAATGTCTGCTGGTTCCCGGGTGCCGTACTTGTCCGCAATGAGCTTGGTCTGAGGAAAGTACTGGCTTCTGCATCAGAGTTATTCACAGATTGGCTTCGACCTATCGTAATGGGCACCTGGGTGGAATGGCCGCTGCAGCTGGTTTCCATCGGTCGATATCTCTTGCCCCTTAACTTCCCTTTTCAGATACATATCTCAGTGTCTCGTATAAAATTGTTTGATGCGTCGCACGTGCTTCGTCGATTGATGATGAAATTAAAATCCATTTACGTGATCAATGGAGAAGAGTGGGCACATGGTGTTTGCTCGTTTCCAGTGTGCTTACCTAGTGTCATTTTGTGACACTCGGGGCCTTCTTATCTCCTTGATTCAACAGCGATGGGAAAAGCATTAGCGATGCCATAAGGGTAAGCTCATTGCGGCTGAAATTGTTCAGCCAGAAGTTGTGAGAAGCACGACCAATCCCATCCGACCCCGTCAGACTGACTTGGGGACCACTCGTCTCCCGTTATAGGCATGTCGCCCATAGTATCGTACCCGAAGTCTGCGTCGGAGACAATATAATTCTGGTTGAATAGCGGTGCCGCTGACGCGGCTGGAATAGGGCCCGCATCTTTCATCTGGCCCTCACTCTCTCCACGCCGACTGTCGGGAGTCTGATTCGGCTCGGAGGCTTGGGCTGACCAATAATTACTCTGGGCTCCTGTTGTTGCTAGAATGGCTTCCCCAATGGTTTGAGCACCTAAGCGATTTGAAGCTTGCGTCGCCTGTAACAGAATCCCTTCAACCTTTTGTAGCAGATTGTCGAACAAGCCGTCAACACGGATCCGTGAATATACTTCCTTTATCGTCTCGGAAGCCATACGAAGAAGCTGTTCGGAGAATAGTCAATGCGTTTGTTCGCTTACATACTAAGCTGCGTGTGGGAGGTCACTTACGTGTAAGTCCATCGCCGAAATACGGGAATCGGGGTGGGTAACGATGTGTATTGCCAAGGTAGCCAGGGCATGTAGCGCGACAAGCAGGCTTGGATATATTGCATTGGATTTAGAATCAAGTACCTCAACTTGTAATCGCAACATCTTTCTGGCAGCGTTGACAGCTATTGACTGCCCGTTTCGTACAATGTAGTCCCACGGTTTTCCTTTGGCGATCGTGTTTGCGGCTAAGGATATTGCCTCTTCGCTGATAAGGAGGCTGTTGCGTGACAAAATGACGAGGCTACAATAGTGTAAGTAATAGTGACAAATACAAACCATGTTGGGCATGTCTTGAGTAGCACAACCTACGCGTTATTGTATTGCATGGAAATATATGACGCGAATGGACATATTTTAGACCCAATAAGAATGTCCGACGTCGGTCTTTAACGAGAAGTTAGCTTTGGAATCATCTTTGATGCTTTATGGTAGCTCACCTTAGTTCATCAGGGACTGACTCGGCCCATCTGGTAAGGAGTAGTTGTGCTTCGCCCACTTTTTCAACCTTCTCGGCGATGACAGCCTGTAGGGCAAGCCCTACAACACCGTCTTCCTTTCTACTAATGACGACGGAATTCCGGCCAATCTCACTGAAAATTCTCGCAAGATCAACAGTGACGGCGAAAGCCCTGCCGTTGGATGATGTTCCGGCTTCTGTATGTGTTGCAAGGTCATACACGTGAGGTGAATAACACTCCTCATCGTCAATCAATGACAAACGGCCCATCTCAAACGCCAGAAACTTTTCAAATGAGTATATGCCTAGCCAAAAAATCCGACGTTCTTCGTAGTCCAGGGAATCTGGTTTGCTGTTCTGGCAGTTGCGGCGAGAAGTGCGTGGCTTGTGAAGGCCCATCGACATCGCCATTGAGACTCCGACAGTGAGCGTGTTCCACGCTCCGGCGCAGTCGTCGTAACAGTGCATACATATGGCCAAAAGAACAGTCGCCCGTACATTCTCGACGCTGTTAGTGGTGACGAGGTGACCAAGTAAGTTCTTGCAGTAATCCAAATACTCCTGCGGGTCTACCACTGGGTCGAGGAGAGGTTGTGCAGCGAAGCCAATGGACCAAACCAGATACAATTGAGCGAGAAGGGCAATGCCTCTAGCTTCGGCAAATCCTGTCGGACCTGAACCCAATGCCATGTCCGTGTCTTTTTCGAACCGGTCGCGGTTGAGTAAAGGGTGGAGAACATTGAGTCCGTCGAAGAACCTAGCCGCCAACAAGCGCGCGGACTCGGCGGGAGGGAAACAGCATGGCCCAGATGAGAGGAGTATGCGTATACGATGATGGGATGATCGGTTATTGGTGTATGGCGGCAGACCCCTACTGTTTGGTAACCCCAACCGACGAGAGGCGAGATCGAGCCAGTCGGCTAGGATTTCTACTGAGGTGCTGTGACGGCTTGGTCGGACTACGGGTAACTTTCCTTGGAACCTGCCGTTGCTGGGAGCAGACTCCTCTTCCTCTTGGGGGACGGAAGGTGTGGAGCTTGAGCTCCTCAGTTCAGGTGGACGAGCCGTCGATGTATTCGAGCCATCGTCTTGTCCCAGTCCTGCCACAGGTAAGCCCTTATGACCGGGGATACCAGCATTGGCCGAGCTATTGCAGATTCCGGCCTCTCCGGCCGATTGTGGGGACGCATACGCTCCCGCCGACGTCGACGACTGCGGTAGAGACGAGTTGGATGCTCGAGACGTGCGGCGCTTAGCCTCTCGCCGCTGCACCTCGATGCCTGGACGCCGGCGGTCAGTGGTGACGCACTCGATCCCGGCGGCTATGCAGGCCCTGCAGGAGGGTTTCTGCTCGTCGCAGCGCGTCTTGCGGTTGCGGCAATAGTTGCAAGCGAAGTTGATACGTCTCCGCTTGGCCAGCCGCCCGTCCGAGCCCGGGTCGGCGAAAGAATCTGTCGGAGTGGATATGGGGTTCCCGAATGATGGTGACATTGATTGTGTGAGGACCAATGAGAGAGCTGGACTGGTTTACTGACTGATTGAACCGAATGAATCCTACTCCCGAGCCAGAGAGCTCATTGTAGCGTCGGCTGGTGCAGCGGTTGAAGATATCGAAGTGTGTCGTAGAGAGAGGAGTGCACTTTCTTGACTTAGGTTCCGAATCACTGGGCACGGTTCGGACCAAATTGACATTCTGAGGGACGGCCCCTCATTCCGTCCCGACGACGCTCAGAGATATCCGAAGGTGGGGGATGCTAGTGAGCTCCCACAATCACAGATCTTCACCGGATGAACTCTTCTGTGAGTGGCTGATCATGAGTTTTCCCCAGATCATCCCCATGGGGTTAATTTCAGTAAAGTTGTGGGGGCCCGGGGTAAACTGCCCCAACCTATGCGCGTTTAGACGTATTCCGCAATTAGGGCCAGTGTCCGATGTAATCGGCATTTGATGGGTCTGAGCCGAACCGATGAGCCAACCAAGTAGGGCGGATGTGTAATAGCACCCGCGCGTTAATACTATGTAAGTCGTATTATCATACACGCTTGCCTTCGACTGAATGAACATGGGAGAGCTTATTAAGATGCTGTGCGCAGATAGCTCGTGAGTAGGCTCCCGGGTATTTAGAAGCAGTCATGGAACTTTATCGACCCCAGACATATTCTTGACTCTGAACCACCGACCTCACCTCATGGTCCGGAGGCATTGTTGAAGCTTGCAAAACTTGTCTCGAGTACCACTTAGGCCGCTATCACACTGGAACAGTGAAACATGTCCAAATATTCTGCTCCAAAAGACGATGAACCTACGGTCGACACAGTCGAGTCGCCAAACCAAACACCTCACACCCCACAAGAAACCCAAGCATATGGCACAGTTCAACTACTTCAAGGAGGGTCTGTTGTCCTCATCCCAACTCCAAGCCCAGACCCAAAAGGTATTTCTTCACCCTGTATTTTTGAGCTTAGTGAAACTTGGAGATATATGTTTCGTCAAGTTGATAAGAATCGAATTGACTGGAAACGATAGACCCCCTCAACCTCCCAAAATGGCACAAATACCTCATAATATTCGTTGTCGGCTCGTACTCAGCCATTGCTGTCCTGGTGACTTCTGGCCTTGGTGCCGTTTTTCCGTCAGTTCTCAAAGAATACCCACCCGAGGACGCCACTCGAGCAACAGACCTTCTCACCTACCCCACACTGTTCATGGGCATCGGCAATCTCTTCTCCATGCCTCTCAGCGTGACAGTCGGCCGACGTCCTGTCTTTCTTGCATCTCTAGTTCTGATGATAGTCTCTGGAATTTGGTGCGCCTTCTCCGGGTCCTTGAGCAGTCACATCGCCGGACGCAACTTCTACAGCATCGCCGCTGGCCAAAGCGAGGCGTTGGCTCCATTCATCATCGAGGAAATCCACTTTCTCCATGAACGAAGTGCCAAGCTATCATGGTTTATCGGTGTCCAGACCGTAGGCACTGCTGGGATGTTCGTTGCCACGGCTTACATCGTTCCGGCATGGGGCACTAAGTGGTGGTACATCATTATCACGATCATCAATTTTGTCGTCTTTGGCTTGGCATTCTTCTTCGCGGTGGAAACCAAGTACAGCAGACCAAGTGATGCTGATCGTAAGTTGGCCTGGTGATACAGAAGACTACTTCGGCATGCTGACGGATCTAATTTGCAGGTGGTGCTGTTCATCTCACGTTAGATGACAACGGCAATGTCACCGACAAGGGGGACACCGAGATGGTTTTCCAGGTCACAACTCGTGAGAACCATGTGCTTCAACCTGAGGTTTTTGGAGAGCGAACCTGGAGATCCGACTTGAGGATATTTCACTTCAAGCCAGAATGGAAGCAGACCCTTGTGTTCTACAAGGAGACGCTCCAAGCACTTTGCCTTCTGAACATCGTCTGGATACTCCTAGTAAACGGCACGTTCCTTGGCATCTACGTCTACCAAGCATCAACCTTTGCCACGATTCTCATGTCCCCGCCGTATTCCTTCCAGTCTGAATGGCTAGGATATGTCCAGCTTGTTCAAGTGTTGGACTGTGTCATTATGGTCCCACTTCTCGGTTACGGGTCTGATATCTTAGTTCGGACGATGAGCAGGTTGAAGAACGGTATCTTTGAGGTACGTGACTTCACCATTATGATACTCGGTGGTCAGAGTCGGTGTATTCTAACGTTAAGCAGCCCGAATACCGTCTGATTATCCTAAGTGTTCCCATCGCATCGGCTATCATCGCCTGTGTCTTGTATGGCCAGGGCGGCGCTTACCCAGAGCGCTGGCATTGGATGACAATTGTAGCTCCTTACCACATGGGATTCTTCGCCTTCTTGGGAGCCAGCCTGGTCGGCATCACCTATGCTATTGACAGTTTTCCAAGCAAAGCCGGACCCCTGCTTTTGTTAATCTGCGCCGGGCGAGGGTTCATTTCATTCGGGCTTAGCTACTCGACCGTGCCATTGATCAGTTTGACAGGTTACAATGGCGCAATGAACATCTTTGCGATCATCTCCGGTGTGCTTGGGGCAATTACGGTTCCCATGTACCTTTTTGGAAGCCGTATTCGGATGTGGGCCACGAAGAAGCTGTGGCCTGATATGGCTCAGGGATAGCTCGTGTACGCGCCAGAAGAAGAAACGCAAAATGCAGACACTTTGGCAGTAATACAGCAGGATTAGCCCGCGAACTCCGTGATACTTGCAACGTGAGGTTCGCGCCCGTGACCAGCACTTTGTTGGAAAACTTGACCTATAGCTCCCATACAAGCTTCGGTAAGGTACCTGCGCGCTTGGTGCGATTCCTCGATGCCGCTCACTGCTAAGGACGCAGCCATGTGAGGTTTGGCGCAAGATGGGGATGCTCTGGTGGCGATAAAAGCCATTGAGAGTGTAGTAGAATACCCTCTGCAGCGTTTGAACTAATATTCCCAGCGACTGCGGAGACGAAAGTCTAAGAGGCTTTGGGTGCGGTGCATGATATTGCAGGATCGGGATTCCATTCTGTGGCCATTGACCAGACGGCCAGGCCGACGAGATCATGGGACCATAAGAGGAGAAGAAGAAAAAGACAAGCATCGTAACAAGTCCAAAAAGCAACTTTATGCCTTATTTCGCCCCAGCGGAGAGACGCCAAGGGCTCTGCCTGAGCAGCCGCAGCTCACGCTGGGAGAGAGGCAAGCGAAGGAGGCAGAGGGTAGACATGGTCTAATATTAATCATAACCAGTAAGATTGGGAGATGCCTATCGGTTGACATTTGCACGTATCTGACAAGAGCACTCCTGGACGTTAATTCTGCAAATAGAATGATTTTCTTCGAACAATTTATAAAGGTATCTGTGTTTCAGCCCGACCTTACCTAAATCCTTGCAATAAACTGGTACAGAAATAAGACAAATCCTCCACGCCGGCTCTAGGAAGCCACGATTGGAGCACCCTGAATATAGGGAATACCAGTCATCTTGAACCCGCTCTCCGTCAACCTGGGTATCTCCCTCGGCTTCCCCGTGTTGTAAGGACACGGCTCCCCGTTCCTATTCACGGGGAGGCCGCCGACGTGCATGGCGTTGGGCCAGTGCGTGGTGCTCTGCAAGTTCTCAAAGGCGGCCTTCTTCCTCACCAGATCCTCCTGCGTCGCCTCCGCGGCGGGCATGTAGCACGTGTACACGCAAAACCTCGGCGACTCGCCCTCCGGGGTGAGATTGTAGTGCGGCGTCCGGCTGTCCCAGACCAGCAGGTCGCCCGGTTCTGCGTTGATCTTGACCCACTCGCACCCCTTGTCCTGTAGCCACCGCATTCCCGCCTCGGTGAAGCCATACCATTCCTTGGTCCACGCCCACACCTTATCAGGTTCGTCCCGGAATGCGGCGTGGAACTCCTCGCTGAGGAGATGCGCGCCCTTGCAGACGATCAGCCCACCGTCGCGGTCCCCGTTGGGGAGGATGTTAACGAGGCCCTGGAGGCAGCGGAAGCCGGGCTTCTCCGGGTCCTGGTCCTCTGCCATATGTTAGTCACCTGCTACGGAACCCGGAACAATGCAGTCTGGAAATTCTAAAAGAAGACGGACGGACGATCATAGCGAGAAAAATTGTACATACGGTGCGGCCAGGGCTTATTGGGGGCGACATCGGCGCGGTTGGGAAAAGCCATGTTGACGCCGTCGAAGGAGACGATGATGTCCGGGGTGTCGTACACCTTCTCGAACGCGGAGACGAGGCCCGGCTCCTGACGGATAGCCCACGTGAAAGACTCGTGGGCGATCCCGTAACCTAAGCACATTCCCTTCTCATTTATGATTGGGAGATTGGATTCTTTGACCGTGCTGGGGTCGTTACGGTCGAAGCCGAGACCGCCGGCGCTGGAGGGGTACACTACTTAGTGACTGACTGTTTGGGAGAGGGGGCCCATGCCGGATGTGAAGGGGAACCTGGCTTGGACTTACAAATTTTCGAGGTAGGACATCATCTCGTCGCCGTATCTGTCTGCCCTCTCGCGGGGGATGGCGCTTTTCACAACGGCGTAGCCGTCTCGCAGGAGGTCATCACGAAAGTCGCCGTAGGTGACGCCCTCCTTGGCGAAGAGCTTGTTGGGGCCAGCTGGCTTGGGGGCCAGAGGCGCGGAAGAAGACTCTAGCTTTTTGCTGGCTAGGACCGTAGTGGTCGCGGAGGAGGAGGCGTAGTCTGTGGCGATGACCATGTTGACGAATTTACGAGGGGTGGAATACTTTCTTTCGCGAGGGAAGAGAAACTTTGATCAGGTCGGGTTTATACTATTGAGTTCAGAGTATCCCGTGTATTGACTTTACAACATGTAGGGAATAAAGCTATGAAGAAGGTTCGTCAGATATGTTTTATATTCATCTGTCGATTGTTAGTTGAGCATCTGATCTTCTCATCCTCATCCTAGTACTTTGTATGTCATTTCGTAATTCTAACGCGGCCATACGCAGGTAGACTGCCCCGAGGATACCCTTCTGGCCATCTTGCTCAGTTCTTGAGTTGTATTCTCGGCCCGGCACGGAAACGGTGGGTGAAACATGAAAGTCGGCACGGAGAGACTCGGTTCGGGAACGTCGGCATCAGCTTGGTGCTCTCGGCTCGGGAATTGGTGGGCCCCCTCCTCCACGGAGGTGAGGTAGTAGTGGCATGCATTAACACAATTGCAGCAAACATTTCACTCCCGAGCTCCATCACGGGGAAGATTTTCGGCTGTTGATGATATTGGAAAACTTTGGAGGGAAAAGGGAAAGAGGAAAAGAGAATAACCCATCATAATAAAATGAAGGCAGAAGTCACTATGTTTCCACACAGCTCCCCCCTTGCCTGTCGTGTACTTCGTGACCCTGGCCACACTCGGAGACGCAATCACTTGATCGTCGAGCTCCTAATTATCTCTCCCAGATGAAGTCTACAACCTTCCGCGGGGTGGAAGTCCCGATCGAATCTCTCAATGCCCCCGTGAAAGGCAGAGATGGCTACGCCGGTCTCAATCCACGCTCAGAAACCCTCCCCAAGGGCTGGAAATACCCACATACTGACTCTCGCCCCCTCCCCTGCGACATCCGGATCGATCACGACGTCGGCATCAAAGTCCGCGACGGCACGACCCTCTACGCCGACATCCTTCGCCCTCCCGGTTCGGAAAACGTCCCAGCCCTGATATGCTGGTCCCCCTTCGGCAAGAAGTTCAATGGGCTGGCGTCCCTTGGCTACATGACACCGTGGAACCTCGGCATACCCGCCGGGACGCTCTCAGGGCTCGAGAAATTCGAGGCACCAGACCCGGCGGATTGGGTCCCATGCGGCTACGCCATCGTCAACGTGGACACCAGGGGTGCCTTCGACAGCGGAGGCACGATGGTGATCATGGGGACGCAGGAAGCCGAGGACGGCTACGACGTCATTGAGGCCGTGGCCGAGATGGACTGGTGCAGCGGCAGGGTCGGCCTGGCCGGGAACTCGCACCTCGCCATCGCGCAGTGGTTCATTGCCGCGCTGCGCCCGCCCAGCCTCAGGGCCATCGCGCCGTGGGAGGGCTGCGGGGACCTGTACCGCGAGCAATTCGCCCGAGGCGGCATCTACGCCGGGGACCTCTTCGACCGGCTCATCGTCGAGCATATGCTCAAGGGGCGCAACGGGCTCGAGAGCTTCCGGGGCATGTACGAGCGGCACCCGCTGGCCAACGCGTGGTGGAACGATAAGAGGCCGGATATGGGCAGGATCAATGTCCCTACGTACATCACGGGCACGTGGACCAACACAATGCACGGGATGGGCGCAATAAGGGCGTGGTTGGAGGTCGGTTCGGAGGACAAGTGGTTGAGATGGCACCCGTGGCAGGAATGGTTTGATCTCTGGGGGAACTCTCAGGCGAAAGCCGAGCTGTTCGATTTCTTTGACTACTATCTCAAGGAAGAGAAAAACGGGTGGGAAAGGACGCCGAGGATGAGGATGGCGTTGTTGAGGTTTGGCAACAAGGTCCCGCAGGCGATCGAAAATATCGTCGAGGAGGACTTCCCACCTAAAAGAACCGAGTACAGGGAGTTCTATCTCGGGCAAGAGAAGGAACTTGTGCCTGGGAGAGCACCGTCGGGCAGGGCAGTCGAGGTCAGCTACGATTCGACCACTAGCGAGAGCGTCGGATTCACGTACACCTTCGCGGAAACGACTCGCATTATGGGCCTACCAAAGGCGGTCTTGTACATGTCCTGCCCCGAACACGACGACATGGACGTGTATGTCATGGTTCAGAAACTCGACCGCGACGGCGAACAGATGAAGAACCTCAACATCCCGTGGAACGGGATTCCGGTCACGTCATTTGACGAGTTCTCACCCGAACAGGAGACGGAGGTCGTGCTGTACAAGGGCCCTGTCGGGATTCTGCGCGCTTCGCACCGGGCAATCGACGAGAGTAAGAGCATGCATCCGCATTGGCCGTATCACCCCCATGACAGGGAGGAGAAGATTACTCCGGGGCAGGTGGTGAGGTTGGATATTGGCATCTGGGCTACGGGAATTGAGTTCGAGGCGGGGGAGAGCGTTAGGGTGGTTGTTAGCGGGCGGAGTTTTGCTGTGAACAATTTTGGGCTCGATCATGGGCTCAATCGGGGACGGCATGTTTTGCATTCGGGAGGAGAGTATGCTAGCCATGTGATTCTTCCGTTTGTGTAAATAAGTTGACGAGATCGCGGGTGGACTATAGAGACCTCAGCTCAAGTCTTGTCCCCCCCCCCCCCCAACCTTTGAATGTGACCACCCAGCCCTGACCCCACTCGCCCAGGCGAGCCTTGCACTGTCAAGATCCTCCCCGCACTGCTGGGTGCAAGCATGAGCGCATATCATTTCCGGCGATAGTTCACATCTCCTCCACTTGCAATGCATCCTCAGAATACCCGTCGGCAAATAAACGCCGGTGCGCTAATCAGACCAAGATGCTGTGGCTGTAGCTGTAACGTTGCTCGCTGCTCGGTCAACTTCACGACGAAATGACGATGCCAATCAAAAGCAGGTGTTGGGTACACAGAAGAAACATGTAGACATACAGTCTTGTGCTGTACACGACTGCACATAGCACCTACCCCCTCTTCACCCACCATGGGCCCTCCACGCGCCGCCCACCTCATCCTTCTACTCACAGCGCCTCTCCTCCCAGTTGTACTGGCTCGCGACCAGCAGCAAGTCATTGCCTATCCATATCCAGCGACAGAATGGATCGAAGGAGCTGGAGTCCACGGCACGGGCCTGGGAAAAGAGGCCTTCATCAACGCTGTCGTCTCGAACATGACCATTGAGGATCTCGGTGAGATGTCACCAACCCGAACTCGACATCCAAAGTACTCTATTGCTTACGATAGGCAGTCTTACAGTTGCACTTGACCTTTGGCGGTGATATAGTTGGTGTCAATTCGGACAATGAGCTTTACGGTGCGCCTCTCCCTAGGTTCTTGAGCTTTCTGGCCATGTAAATCCACACATCGTGGCTGATTGTAAAGTTAAGACTACACGATGAGATTCAGCCCCGACTCACCAGTCGGCATCATTCACGACTGGTATGAGGTCTTCCACTGCGCCACCAGGAACAATATGAATAAGACACTGAGATCCCAGCAGGTACTCCCTGAATACGTCACACTACAACGAAGTGCAGCAGCTCAACCTCCAGAAAGCCCGTCTGAAGATACCACTGATGCACTTCGGTGAATGTCTCCACGGGGTCGGCTCTTTCAAGCAGTCAATGTTCCCCCAAAGTCTGGGGCTCTCAGCAAGCTGGGATGCAGGCCTGGTCCATCGCGTGGGTCGCGCCATCGGCACCGAGGCAAGATCTATTGGCATTCACGCGTGTTTCTCCCCCGTGCTCGATATGGGGTTGGACCCGCGATGGGGGCGCATGCAAGAAGCGTGGGGAGAGGATAAAGTCCTGACTTCTCACATGGGCGTGGCCTACTCGTCCGGACTGTCAAAGAACAGCTCTTGGTCCGACCCCGACGCCGTCGTGCCCGTCATGAAACACTTCGCAGCGCATGGATCTCCCCAGGCTGGTCACAACGCGGGCCCATTCATGGGGCACGGGAACCGTCAGGTCTTCCAGGATCTTCTGACCCCCTTCAGAGCCGCGGTGCAGCTTGGAGGTGTTCGAGGCGTGATGATGGCATATAACGAGTTCGACGACATCCCTGCTCACGTCAATCCCAAATTGTACGACGCACTGAATGATATGGGATTTAATGGCTTCGTCATAGCTGATGACACTGGGATGAACGACATCTATACTCAGCACGCGGTCGCTGATTCGCCTGCCGATGCCATCAGACAATGGTACAACGCTGGTGGCATGGTGCAATTCTACGACTGGCCACTGGAGCTTCTACTGAGCACCACGAAAGAACTCGTCGCCAACGGTTCGCTGGAGCTTTCAACTCTCCAGTCGCATGTGCAATCCGTGCTTGGCGTCAAATGGGATCTGGGATTGTTTGACGACCCCTTTGTCTCACAGACCATTGAACCGGTTCGGATAGTGAACGACAATAGAAATTTGACGCTCGAAGCTGCCCAGAAGAGTATCGTCTTGCTGGAGAACCAGAATGCAACACTGCCTCTGAAGCCAAGAGAACAGGGCATCTCAAAGGTTGCACTTATCGGGCCATTCTCTGATATCCTGAATTATGGCGACTATTCCGGTCAATGGGGAGAGTACCCAGCCAACAGCGCCAAGACAGTTCGACAAGCTATACTGTCATACAGCGAAGACATGGATACCACTTTCGATTTGGTCTCTAGCTGGGGATCAAACACTTGGGAGTATAATGCACAGCATGTTATCCCACCATATCTTCTTTCAGTCCCCAACGGCACAGCGGGCGGCTTGCAAGTGACATACTTTGCAGATGCAAATTTCAGTGAGCCGCTGATCACCAACTTGGAGGCTCCTGCACTTGACTGGGGAATATATCCTCCCCCGGGTCTGCCATCCAACAACTTCAGTGCTATTTGGGAGGGCACCGTGACTTCTCCAGTTGACGTCGACGTGGATGGATGGATCGGTGTTGCCGTTGGTGCGAATAGCACGTACAAGCTCCACGTTGATGGAGAGCTCATCACATCATGGGGCTTCCCACTGACCGCTCAGAGCAACATCTTGGGCAACATCCAACAGTTCACCTATACCCAAGCTAACAGCACCCTGCCACCCGATGGCGCCGCCCCTTTCAAATTTCGGAAGGGGGAAACATACGACATACGTATCGAATATCAAGCCTTCAATCTCTACAAGAAGATCGAAAATGTCGCCTCCCTAAACTCTCAGCTTCTGCTCTTCTGGAACCTAGTCAGCAGCGATCCCACCAATGACTCAGTCTCACAGGCTGTGTCAGTCGCCGAGTCCGCAGACGTCATCGTTCTTGCCGTCGGCGCAGCGTGGAACAGCGACGGCGAGAGCGGCGATCGAGCTACCCTAGGTCTCGCCCCGAGCCAGGACGCTTTGGCCAAGGCCATCTATGCTTTAGGCAAACCCGTCGTGCTCGTCCTGCAAGGTGGACGGCCATTCGCAATTCCAGACTACTATAACCAGAGCGCTGCTGTATTGAGCGCCGGGTTCCCCGGCCAGAGCGGCGGGCAGGCCATCGCGGATGTGTTGTTCGGGAGGGTCAATCCCGGTGGGAGACTACCTGTCAGCGTGCCGAAGCACGTGGGCCAGGTGCCAATTAATTATAATTACAAGAGTCTTGGGCGGAAGATCAAATATCTCGACGTTGACTCCCAGCCGGCCTATCCATTCGGGTATGGCCTGTCGTATACGACCTTCCAGATATCGGGCTTTGAAGCGAGCAGTGCTCCGGCGACAGCGAAAGATGGTAATGCCTCACCGAGTCAAAGCACGTTCACGTCAGGAGATATCATCACCTTCTCGGTGAACGTCAAAAATAACGGCACTGTGGACGGCAGCTATGTTCCGCAGGTATATCTCCTCGGGCGAACATCTAGTATAGTCCAGCCAGTCAAACAGCTAGTGGCATTCCAAAGGGTCTACTTGGGCGCGGGAGAGGAGGCGACCGTGAACATGGATCTGGATGTTGATCGGTATCTGAAAATCATCAATCGATGGGATGAATGGGAGCTGGAGAAGGGCGAGTACACTTTCGCGGCGCTGGAGCATGGTGGAGATGCAGTGAACACGGGGCTGAATGTTACGATGAGCAGTGTGTGAAAGGCCACATACGTGAGCAATAATTCAACGAAAATAGCATTCAATCCAAGCTGAATTATTTATGATCGAGTTGTACCCGCTGGAAACCTCTTCGGGTTGAGCAGAGTGATAAGCTCATCCAGCCCGCGGCCAACACATGCCAGCAGACTTTCCAGCATCGACCAGAAGGTGCGTGGGACAAAACAAACCACCTCTAACAGCAGCCATACGCAATCATTCCAAAAGAATGCATTCAGAGCCCTCCAGGACACCGCCACCAGTTGAGATACAAAAGACCATATTTCTCTGGGCAGCTTGTTGAAGAGTGCATCCACGGCAACCAAAAGGTCATGCCCAAGGTCCTTCAGCTTGGTCTCCTTAAGGCGACTGATGACAGCAGCGAAGAGCGAGTGCAAAAGTGAGACCAGCCGGACGGCTCCGAAGGCAATGGCACCACCGATTGCCCTCGCGCCGTCCACCAGCCATTTTCGTACAACTTTCCAGGCCCGCGGCAAGGCCTTTGAGATCCAAATAACCACCTGCCAGCCGAGACGTGGCAGCCCCTTGAGTTGAAGATAAACAGCCTTGAATATTGACATCAAGCTTGTCGGAAAGCCTTCGATCAGCCGATAAGTAGCCTTAGCAATCACCATCAAGCCCTCCGGAACGCCCTTGATCAGCCGCACACACAACTCCCCAAACAGGCGCCTATGCCTCCACGCCCACTTCGCAACCTCCCTGGGAAATTCCCACAGCAGAAACCGGGGCAGAGTCCAACCGAGAAACCCAACAATCCTCCCGGCGGCGGCCACAGCACGCCGCGCCCTCTTCACCTCCTTACTGTGCTTCAGCCGCCGCCACGCGCCCGCCCGCCGCGCAGGCAGATACCGAACCACATCACGGTGGCCGCCCTCAGCCGCGAGCCGCAGCACGATCTCCCCCGCCGGGCCGACCAGCGCGTCGTCGGTGCCGTGCTCCTCCATCAGCAGCTTCACCAAGACGAGGTTGCCCATCGCCGCCGCCAGCATGAGCGGCGTGCGGTCCCGGCCTGTCTGTGGGGGAATTAATGTTGGGTCCGGGCCCACCTTGCCGAACTGATTCGGCTGAGCGCCGAGCGCCAGCAGCGTGCGTGCCATGGGAACGCTGCGGCTGCGGATGGCTGCCAGCAGGGGGGTCTCGCCGGTTGCGTTGGGGCAGTCTGGGGCGATGAGGCCCTGTCTGATAAGGTACTGGACTGCGGCAATGTCTCTCATGGTAATATCTTCAAAGAGGGCGGTTAGGATGTCAGCCTGGAGGTTGTGGGTGTCGCTGATGGCGGCGGATTTCCATGATTCGGTACTTGAGAGGTTGTGATGGGGATCGGGGTTTGGGGTGCTGGGGTGCTTTGTCACTGGGACAACTGGGTAGCTTGGATATTTGTTTTGAATTGCCTTCAGGCGAGCAAAGAATTCCCTTTCGTCGGTCTCAATGTACTTGGGGACTGGGACTTCGTCCAGCTGAAGAGACTCAGTCATCCTGTGCGTATGGATGACTTTGACTGTAGCTGGTATTTACAGACCTTGTCAGCTCCAATCTGTACGTAAGTAGAAGTATGCCATTATCTAGATGGGGGAACTGGGCATGAGGCAGTCAGTCTATTTGGTGGACATTTCAAATATCATAGCTCAGTCACTCATTGGAGGGAACTCATCAGAGGAATACTAGTGAGTTAGCTCGGCCTCTGATATGCCCCGATTAGGCATCACTATTTGACGGGCCGAAGGATGATGAGCGGTCTGGAGGATCGAAGAGCAAGTGTGGCTATGTAACTAATTGACCCAACGTGCCGGGAAGCTAGAAGTCTTTTGCTACGGCGTGCTGAACCATGAAAGCGTCTTGAATTGGCCTAGGTGTTCAGAAGTAGCGTCTGGAATTTACTCTCCTGGCTCCAGAGTTGGCCATCCAATGGTGAGATCGTGGCTTGGCAACAACTTCACAGCCCCAACCACCTGGCCTAGACAGTGAACCCCGGCCAGCAGATCGCCCTGCTGTCACATTCAAATCGAATAAACACGCATCGGCGGCTCCTCATGTGACTAGCTTAAGAACCACGCGTCATGTTTTGTTTCCCTTGTCTTTTGTGCAGGATCTTAACGACCCAACTTTGGCCAATCTGTGCGCTGGCACCCATTATAATTTGACCCAGCCTCCTAGTTGCCTGCTGTCTGCTCCTTAGTCACTGACCTCAATTTCAAATGTAAGAAGACTCGTTCATCAAACACCACGTCATCAAAGAGGTGCCACTTGTGGGCCTGATACATTTGGCATAGTTGTCGTTGTACGTATGTCCGCAGGGTCGGGGCTGGTGCATGAGTGCGACATTTTTCGACTCTCATTCTGGAGATTCTGGGGCCCTGGCTGTTTTTGAAAATTTCTTTATCCTCTTGTTCTTGGACAGACAAAGTGGATCCATAGTTGAAGGGGACTCAATGTGCTGCACAGTGGCTTGGGTGGACTAGAACAGAGGAAAATGGATGCACACATGCCCTCTGAGCATGGTTTGAGCCCCACAAGGCTTCCTGGATTCAACAGGTGGTTGCGATATCTGCTCTCCAACTGCCTTGTTATACCAAAGCCCTGAATTTTCACACTTCATTTTGTTTGATGATTTGCTGTCTCATTGATCGGTTGTTGCCAGTGGATATTGTTTTGAACATTTTCTGTCTCAATTACGAGTATCATGGCAGACTGAAAGTAATTCGAGCTTGCCCATTCCTGGTCCAGTGACTGTTGCAGCCCGACATTCAGACTCAAAATGAGATCATACCGGGGTTGACAGATGTCTCTAACCAGACATGCAAGATATCCACTGGGAATTACTTCAAGGTGTAGACTTTGATTGTCCTCACACCAAACCACGATTCCTGAAAATCCCCAGGGTTTGCCGCCACATACCTCGCACAGCTACTATAACCCGTCTCTGCGGCACATGTCATAGTCCACTCACTCCCTGATCCGGCCGTGTCACCACAGAAGTCAACATTGAGCACGATAGACTGGTTCTGAAAGGCCCTGTCAATGTCACAGAGCGAGCCGCCCACAGAAAGACCAGGGAGGCCCCAGGTATTCGGATCAGGCTTTCCATGCTTGACATCCAGCGGCACTTGGTCCGGGTGCCAAGTCCACATTCTGATGTACTCGCTTGTCCACTCCATAGCGTAGAAGCCGCCAGTCGAGGACCCATATGGACCCTCATAGTCCCAGCTGGAGCAGCCGTCATTGTTTGTCGCGTACACGTCGCAGCTTTCCCGGTACATGTAGTTGGACATGTCGAAGCTGTGGTAGCCGAGGGCACTGGTCGAGTTGTAGGTGCAGTTGCCGACTGTCGCGTTGTGGTCTGTGTGGAGGGTCTGTCTGTTGAACTTGTACGCGTTCCATTGCTCGTAGATGTCGACTGGGTGCCTCGGTGTCAGCTTCATGTTCAGCTTTTGATCGGTAAGGTCAAAGCACCGCACTCACGTTCTCCACTCTTTGGCCAGCCCGGTCCGTACATCCAGCTACATCGAGGTTGTCAGTGTCACATAAGAGACTGGAGCTATGGGGCCACCGTGGCTTACAAGGCTGGCCATGTTCCACACTGGGCCTTTGGGAGATGCGAGAAGTCGGCAATAACCAGGCCGTGGTTGTAAGTCGCGGTGCTCTCGATCCTGACACTGTTCCGCCCGTAGCCTCGTGGATTCTCGATCACATTGGTGTAGTCTACCATGATTCCCACGACATCGCCCCAGGTCTGCACGAGGCCAAGGCGCTCGGCCTCGGACCGATTCTGGTAAAGCACAAAGCCATGCGTCGGGTCAACATCGGTGTATTCGTCTGTGCCCGTACGGCTCTGGGCATGGGTCAGCTTTGTGGCAAGATCTTGGTTGAGTAGGGACATGTAAGCTCGCTCACCTCCATGAAAGAGAATTTATCGAAGAAGTTGGTAGAGTCATACAGATCCGAGAGCTTGTACACACCAGATGTTCTGCTTGAGTTGGTGTCGTTGCGCGTGGACAGGTCACGGTGGGAGAGAAGTTGAAGTTTGCTAATCGCGATGCCATCAACATGATTAGGCGCGTGGGCATACGCGTCGCAGGATGCAGCGAAGGCCGCCAAAATCAGCAAGACACAAAGGAGCAGCATTTTGAACGATTTGAGATGAAATACTGGTGGGCAACAGAATTCAAACCATGAGGGATGGAAGCAATGACCTTCGTATGTGTTGACACCAGGGTTCGATGAACGCTAATGATGAGGAGGTGTGAGTGAGTGAGTGTCCATAGGTGGCCGTGGCGGTCGCTAATTGTATAGCACACAGCTGCTATCGAATATCTGCAAGGGAGATGAATCTACTTTAGACAACTTTATTTCTAAGGATAGGTGCATACATAATGCGATGTGTGGATTGACAAATCAATGAATTGTACCTCTTCCCTGGTCGAGAACCGTCAGTTCAAATCGATGATTGACCCCACGATCTTTAAGACTGTCTCGTGATATCGACTGCGAAAGTTTGCCTCAAAAGGGGCTGTAGATTAAGCACATGCATGCTTGGTCAATATCAGAGCTGGGATCTGCATCCTCCTTTCACCAGCTGGATGCCCGGGGCTTAGCTTAAACCCCTCCCATGACTTTGGACACCTTGCGGGACTGCAGCAATCACAAGCAGGGCCAGAATTGCCCCCACACTGTCATACGCTGTGTCCGATGAGTGGAAATATTCTGCATTGAAGGAGGGGTCAGCGGGTTTCAAACACCTCTAGCAAGTTCGCTATCATGCAGTAACTGTTCATGTTAAGGATCGATTTGTGTTAAGCTTTCTCGTAAATTACTTGGTTTAGCGGGCGGAACTCTATATTGAAATCCTCGGAGAACGGCAGCCCATGTGTGGCTGCAGCATTCATTTCCCCCTAGAAGCGTGGCACTCGGGAATGCCATGCGGCAGGGGGAATAATTGATCGCGGAGGTAAGAACCTTAAAATTAACTGCTTAGGGAAAATAACTTCTAGATAAGTCCATTCTCGCAATTTGCTCTGATCGCCCACCTGTGATGCCCTTGGAATCCCCTTTCGAAGTAAATACTCCTGATTAAGCGTATAAATCCGGGTAAGCAGCCTTGATCATATCGGCTCCCTGCAACAATCATGTCAGCATCCTCTACACATATGTTGGTTCAAGAAATAAATACCTTTTCTCCTATCGCGTAGACCGAGTTCTGGATACGACAATCAGGAATGACGGGGATTACCGAAGCATCGATGACACGGAGCCTGTCGACACCGAAGACTTTGAGCTTGCTGTCCACGACTCCCTGACTGATGTCCTTTCCGAGCCGGCATGTGCCGCAAGGATGGAAGCCGGTCTGGAAACGCTCCTTGATCATCGTATTCAGAGCCTCATCAGAGTTGCGAGGAATTGGGAAAGGATAGTCCTCGCCGATGATGTCCTTCATCCCATCACCATTCATCAGTATGTCGTCCACAAAGCGGAGCCCCTGGCGTAGAGCGATGATGTCCAGCTTATCCTCCAGGAAGTTGAGGTTGATGCTGGGGTCCACGAGCGGGTCCGCCGACTTGAGCGTCACGACGCCGCTCTTTGAAAGCGGGCGGAGCAGGTCGACGATGATGGTTAGCCAGTCACCCTCTGGAGGGCAAGGAATGTGCCACTGGAAGGCATCGGAGAACATTGGGACGAAGTCAATCTCGAAATGCGGCTGTCCACCTGGGCCGAACGGGTCCACGCCTCCGTTGGCCTTCTTATAGGCAACGTACTCGGCGTCCTGCTCGAGCCATTTGTCTATGCGTGGAAGCCCAACGAGCTCGAGCAGCCCGCTGGTGTACGGACCCCTGTTTGAGGTGTTATAAGCGTCAACTGCTGCACTGTGCGCTGCACCGGGACGGAGGAGGTGTCCGTCCAGACCGTACCCATCTTTGAGTCTGAAGACGTGGGGTATGATCGGATGGTCAAGGAGGTTCTGGCCAATGTTCTCCGAAGCGACAACTTGGTCGATGCCGAAGTCTTTCAGGGTCTTCTTTGGACCGATTCCAGAAAGCATCAGAAGCTTGGGAGTTTCGAAGACTCCCTGTGAGACGATGACTTCGTAATTGGCGTAGAAGGAGTAGGTCTCGCCGTCTGGGCCGCTGACCTCAACGCCAACCGCCTTTCCGTCCTCAGTGATGATTTTTCTTGAGTGGGTTCTCGATAGAACAGCCACATTGTCCTTTCCCTTCAAATACATCCAGCTCGATGAGCGCTTCCCGTTGTAGATCGAGTTGGTGCATTTCCATAGCCCCCTCATGGTGCCGTTATGAACGTCGTCGGTCAGTTCCTCGCCCTTGCTGACCCAGGCTTCTTCCAGGGCATCTCGGAATGGCTTAAGCTCAGGAACCAAGTCCGAGTGAGAAACTGGAAGTGGTCCGTTTTGACCAATGTACTGGAGCTCGGGCCTAAAATCACCGTGGTCATCGTGGTACGTCGCGGGCTAGACTTCTTCAGCAGATGATACATTATCAGAAGGCTTGCTAGGGCTTACCTTGTAGAGGTAGTCCTTGATGCTTTCCCACGTCCAACCATCGCCCCCGAATTCACTCCAATCATCAAAGGTTGCGGCGCTGCCGGGGATCCAGGTGTAGTAGTTTAGACAGCTGCTGCCTCCGAGGACCTTGCCCCGAGTATTGGGCTTCTCAATCCGAGTGTACTCAGGCCGGTCGACCATGGTCGTCTTGTACTGCCAGTCGTACTTGCTGCCTCGAAGCTCAAAGGCTCGGGCGGGAGTCGTGATAGCATCAACATCCTCTGGGTTTCCTATGCCTGCCTCGATGACAAGCACGTTGACCTTGGGATTCTCCGCAAGACGACCGGCCACGACGCAGCCAGCTGTACCGCCTATCGAGGAAACTTAATCACTGACATGAACATTCAGGCTTTTCTTCACTTACCTCCGACGACTATGAAGTCGAATTTCTTGGGCGCTTCGGTGATGATAGGCATGATGAGCGGCGACTCAATTGGGCTCAATGTTGTCACTGGTCAGGTATAATTTGAATACTGAGAGATGTACTGAAAAATCAGTGGATCTTTGAGAAGGATAATTTTCGAATGTCACAAAATCTGGCTACGATGGTGGACAGATGCCCTTCTTATATCTCCAGGTGGACATGCCATGTTATCTATTGAGACGTGGTGTTTTGCCAGTAGTTGAGGCAGATCAGCTCCTTGGATTGTAACACTGTCTGATTCCCCTCAATTCTGAAGCTTCTCTGAACCTCAATACCAATGATTTGTAGGTTACTCAGAGAAGCTAGCCAGACGATCCAGGGAGACTGTCTTCACCGGTGAATGCCGTGTCACGACACCAGGCTCGCTCCCCGAGCTTGAACGCGGCTGGGGCCGAATGAGACGGTCTTGCCAATGGTTCAAATCAGATACTGGAGTTTTGATACCATGCAGGTCCATGCAGGGACTTACACATGCCTGTTGAGCAAGTGTTGCAGAAAGTGTCATGAAGCGTGGACCATGACGCGGCGATGGTTCGGGGTTGGGCAGACTCGCTGTGTAAACCGTCATTGGGCCATGCAATGAGTAAGCACCACTTGTGTGTGTAGCGGAGCAGAAAGGCTAAGCTTGCGCCGTTGGCGTGAGCAACGAACTCCCCGAGAAGCCCCACATCTGCAGCGCAAATTCGGCATCTCAAGTGCAGTCACTCGACGCCCGCGAAATGGCCGACAGAACAAACTCCGAGATGAGAGGCATCTTCCACATTTTGTGTAGCTTGCAACACAAGTCTTTGCGTTACAGGCTTCTCTTCTTGCATTGGAGAAAATCTCTAGACTTCAGTCTTTTCACTTTGTGCAAATGGAAATTTGATTAGTTCTTCCAACTGCGTTCCAATCACTCATTTGATCAGCATTGCGAGAACCCGGGGCAACTCCGAGAACGTTTTGCTTTCGTGGACAGTCAACACAGGCGTCCAACATTGCATCTATTCGAAGAAAAGAAAACTGAAACAAAAGGACGGCTTGTAAAGTCATCCTTAAGTCACAAAGTTGCTTAGTCTTGTGGCTCAATCCACCGCTTAACCTCGACATTTGAGCTGCATCCCTTCCAGTAACATCGAAGTCAACTCGCCTACTCTTCCGTCCCTGTTTGCAACGGCTCAACTACCACTCACCTCGACCAGTGATGGATCCAATATGATTGAAGATGAATAACATTTTCATGTAAGTCCTGATTCAAAAAGTGGGTTTCCACAGCATCCCTGTTTACAACTATTTACTCGCTACTTCAACAGAGTTCAAAAATTTGGTAGTGTCACAAGCTGGCGACAGAATACTTCTGGCTGTGGCTGCAGATTATCGCAAAAAGGTCGACTTAAATAGTAGAACAAACAGAAATTACACAAATTAAACCATATACTCTGCACAGCAGTGCTCAGCTGGCCCCCAACGACTGCTCAATAACATCAGAACAAACGCTACCCTCATTTCGCCATTCTCCTGTCATCAGAGTGTGAAGTATGGAGACTTGACACCAAGCGAGTATATTTGCTGGTCTGTTATCGTGTTTTCCACTGAGCGCGGATTCACAGTTAAGCATTTATCAGCTTTTGACAACACCCACATGCATTGGAAGGCTCCGGCTCATCTCCTTATCAAAAACGTCTCTGGCCAGTTTCCTTTGATAGAGATTCTGACCGGTGGGCTTATTGGTGAGGTCGCGAACAGGCCAGAAGTCTTTTTTCTGGTAGCATGAGTGTACACTCATCATCTCAAGCAGGGGTAAATGTGCCACCAAATAGGGCTATTTGATATTCATCTGAGGATTTGTATGTCGTTGTACTGCTGCCTCAAGTAGGACACGAGCGCGAGCAAAAATCTGTCAAGAGACTTCAGGAAGGAAGCAGCTTGCCAAGCCCTGCGACCCGCCTTGCTGATTGTACTGACGGTTGAATTAGGCAAACGACTACGAAAATGCAACTCGCTTCATATTGAGAATTGATGCACTAGGTATTTTGTGTATTCTGAGACATCTTGTTGAAGAGCCAATTCAATGAATGCAACAGAAACGAGTAGATCTGTGAGCTGACAAAAAGATGGCCATGCCGCGTTCACCAGTGAAGTCGCAAGGCAGCATTCTGACGCTCTCGCAGATAGCCAAAGAAGGCTCATTCATTGGCAGAGTCTCGACGACGAAGCCGTTCAATTATATGGATCCTTTGAAAGAAACAGCCCTCCCGTTCTCTCTACCCCATCCTCATGCATGAGAACTCCTCACGAGTAACAAGTTTGTACAGCACAAAACAACCACTCTTGTTGGCAGTTGTTGCCTCTCCTCGACAGGGCTCTGCCAACATGAAAGCTGGTTGCACTGTCTCCATCACTGTCAGATCGAAAACCAACTTTGCTCGATGAATGTGAGACAGTGCGTTAGCTGCACATCTTCAAATGTTCAATACTTCCATAGAAGCATACAACTCGTTACTTAGATACAACTGTAGAAGAGGTCTCTTATCGTAGTTCTGGACAGGGTACATTTGTGTGCTCTCGAGATTGTGTAGTCGGTACCAACTTGGTACTTTCTATGACCTATGCTGAAGGTGGCGAACCAAGCTGTTTCAGCTCTGCATCAAATGCGGGCCAATTCGAGACTTATCTGTATCGACAGCGTAGGTTTCTGTTCAGATCCGTGGGCTGTGGAAAGCGCCAGGAGTGCTGTGGTGGTAATACGGTCGCCTATTCCTCGGAAGTATCAGATGGGGGATCTAGTCTGGGCAAAATTTGGCGAGGTTGTGGACTTCCTGCCGTGTTAGCCGCGTTCGGGATGTGGTGGCGTCTACGCTCTTGGCAATGCTTGTTCAACGTTTTGCCAGAGAAGATCTTGTAAAGCTGATACGCGCGCCAACCTCGTGAACTTTGTCTAAACCTTCCATGATCGAGAATGGACATCATAACTTGGCAGCTGATAAGAGTATGCGACTAGCACGTCAGCGCCCTTGTAGCTGGACCTTAAAACAGGGCTGACAGGCATCTTGGGCTGCTGTGCATGTATGCGCGCGGTAGGTAGACGACGAAATGTTTCATGTGAGGCGCAGAGTCTAATGCTTCATCGATTCCCAGCTATATGCGACGCCTTTATGACTCGCAGGTGGTTTCCTTAACATCCCACAATATACTTTCAGCCCTTTTTCTCGATCTCTCCGCGATACCATCTATTATTCCGGCGTATTCGGAAAAGCTGCTTAATCAAAATAAAGGCTAACAACAACGACTTTAATGTATGCATAGTCAGACCATCTTTGATTACAAATCCGGCGTCGAGATAACTGTTTGGTAACGCCCAAATACAGGCAAGCAGGGAGACCTGTGCATGAAACAAGCTATTGCTTATATTAAACCACACACACTTCAGCAGCCTGGGTCATTGTTCTCGCTCCTTACCACAGTAAGTGCAGCCATACCGCCATTGATACGCAATTCTTCCCGTGTATAGTCCAAAGGCCTAGCGGCGGATAATCTGCGGAAATTTGCTGCATTTGCTTATGATAGAAAAGCAAAGGGCTTTAAGCTGCATATCCCTTAAACTCTATTTGGTGAGATGTCTTTGGCCATCCCGAGCCTGAATGTACACCCACCATTTCCAGGTGGTGTGATCGCCATGCAGCCCACTGAGTCGGAACCATCGCTTTGTGCTCCCACGTGGTAATCGGTATTTAATATGATGCACCCTACTTGATTTGCGTCGCGTATACTCCAGGATCATTAGCTATCGCGTCGTGCATGCGCTGTTCCCTGTCCGAGCATGGGCTGAATCATCCGCCCGTCCAACCTCTCCCTTGAGCCCTGGCTGCCTGCGTGAGGCGATTGCCGAAGTCTACCCTAGAGACACATGGCACACAATTTGAATCAGCAGGGTTTTGTGTAAGAGTGATAGACATTGATATCGAATTTAGGTAGGCAACAAATGCCTCACAACTCCTAGCCATGCTCCAGCCTCACGAACATTCGTAAACCGTCTCTAGACGCCAGCCAATGCACGATAACACCAAATCTATCCTCTAGTTTTCCCTGCGCAACCCTCCATATTCAAATGAAAACGCCCCTTATTCTTGCCTTATAATGACTTGCTTGTGCTAAAAGGCACAGACTTCACGGTTGGGTGCTCCGTTGCAAAATGCACCGATCTAGAAGCAGAAGACCTGATCCGTGATCTTGGATGATGCCCCGGGCTTTTCGTACCCCAACTCCACCAAATTCTTCTTCGCAGCGTTCACCATTCCAGGTGGCCCACAAAGCATAACCCTTGAGCCGTCCTCCTTGGGGTCAGGAAACTTCTCGGCCATGAGCTCCTTAGTGACGTAGCCCGTGCCATACGCCCAGTTCTCCGGAGGGTTGTCAAGGAGGTAGAACATCTTGAAGTTCTTGGGGTATCGCCTGGCGAATGATTCGAGGTCCTTCCGCAGCAAGATGTCGTCTTCAGTCCGGTTGGCGTAAATGAGGCTAACCTCGGTGGTATCCCTCTCATCTTCGCAGATGGCGCGGATCAGCTGGTACATGGGCGTTATACCTGTGCCGCCTGCCAACATGCCAATCTTCTTGCATAGTCCTCTCTTGTATCGCATCGCGCCCTTGGGGCCACGGAACATCACCTCGTCTCCGAGAGACAGATGCTTCAGATACTTGCCGGTGAGCTGGCCGTCGTCGTACACCTTGATGACAAGCTCAAGTATGCCCTTGTCTGAGTTGTTTGACACGGGTGTGTAAGATCGCTGGACTGTCGCGCCGTCAATTGTTGTCTTGATGGCCACGTGCTGTCCAATCGGCAGACCCAGCACGGTGTCTGGCGTCGGCAGCTCAAACACAAGTCTGTAAACGTTTGGTGTGACAAGCTCCTTCTCGATCAAGGGAAGCGGGTAGTATGTTTGTGGGTCCAGAAAGCCTCGCTGTAATAATGGGTCGGCCTTCGCTACCCTTGGGATCTTCTTGTGTGGTGCATAGTGGAGTGCTCCAGCCTCCATATCGAGAAGTTTAGAGAATTTCCTGGCTGCGACGCCTCCTGCCACGAGCGCAAGTGCTGCTGCAATCACAAAGCCCTCGACAAAGCCGAGTCCGCCTGCACTTCTTGGGCCCTCGATCTGTCTTATCTTGAGGAAATTTGACAATGCTGACAGGTCCATCCTGCGCAGACCAAGGGTGGCACCGGCCAAAGCACCAAGGGATACAACCGCGCCGCCTACAGCTGTGGATGCGCTGCTGCCGGACTTTTTTGATGCTGGCGGTGTCTGCAGCGTTACACGGACGGGCTTTGGTGCTGCGGCTTTGCCGGCGCCCTTGAGCTTGCCGATACGGAAATCTGCCATGATCTCGAAAGCATCCTCAGAGTGTCCGGCATTGTCGAAAGCTTCGGTTGCGTCTGTTCCGGCGGCTTCGATCAGAATCTCTGAGCCTCCTGGATGCTCTTCCAGATATTTGGTAAGGTCATAGACTGGATGTCACTTGTTAGCTTCTTTGTCCCGCGCGTGACTTCGCCTTGAAGTTGCTCACCTTCGCCATTGATGACCATCCAGGCGTCCTCGCGCTCCCGGTGAGCTGCGACTTCTTTCGCCGTAAATTCTGTGTCCACAGACATATTGTCTAGTGTTCCAAAGTGAGGTGCGAAAGAGACTTTGGAAGGGGAGGATTCTCTAGTTAGGGGAGCTTATTAACTACACGATTGCCATTTTTTATGATGGGTACTGGTGGCAGGCTTGTATATAAATGGACAATGCTTATCATATCTGGTCATCAAGTGGTTCTCCTTTCCTGCTTGGCCGGACTGCGCGTATCGGACCCTCAAAAACTAGTCAGGGATGGACCTTTCGATTTAATAGTGGGTCGCCGAGGCTTGAAGCTTGATTACGACCCGACCTATCGATCTGCCGAGGCGCCGGCCAGATCCGGGAGCATCCGGAGCGGCGAGGCGGCCGGGAAAGGAAGCACTCGCTAATGGAGGATCTTCTACTGGTTGGTGTCGCGTTCGTGCTATTCGTGCTATTCGCGCCCCGATCTTTCGCGTCGGCTCTGCGTCATGACGCGCCAGTTCCTGAACAGCCGGTATCAGCATTGCGCTAGATTAAGTCGTGTGGCGTGAGATTTTGGTTCAGTCGGACATCATTTTGCTTTCCAGCACCGGTGAGCCGAGGCAACTGGATGGGCACAGCAAGGGTCCCAAAAATACCTAGGCAGCTTATCCGACTCCACTGAAAATTTCTGATGGGATATTTTCAGCAGCGCTTCGTCGCATTGCTTGGTTGAATCTCGCCTTGCCCGGGTCCACCACACCAGTGACACCTGTCGCGGCTCGACTCGCTTCTTCGTAAAGAAGTGGTTCGTCTACGCCTCGGCAAGTGGACATTGTGGAATTAATAATGCCGCTCGCGGGCTTTAGCTAGCAGGATTCGATCGGCAGACCAAGAAAGATATGCCTGCAGCAATGGGGTTCCCGGAATGCTGTCATTCTTCGGCAACGGAGGTAGCCCCTGACCGCCGATAATGAAGCCGCCGCGTCCACCCTGGACTCATTTATATATCGTCACTCCCAATGTCCCTGAGTCTGTGATGCAGACGTGCTATTATTGTGTCAGGTCATCAAAGTAATATCCTCTCAGTCTTTTAGACAACTAGACCACCTTCAATCAAGTCTACCCGGAGTTCCATTTAGACAAACCCAGCTGTTGGCCAAGATGAGACCCGACTTTGCAACTAAGCAGTTCTATCTGCTTGGCGAAGATGTCTCCACAGCACGAGAGATCGACGTCCCTACAACAGTAGATGAGGACGAACTCAGACAACTAGTTGCATCACATTTCGCCATTGTGGCAGCCAAAGGTACGTATTCGGACACAGCTCTCATCGTTTGGCTCCTTCTTACTGATTGCAAACCCCAGGCGTTGGATTTGTGAATGACCACGAAGCCTTCTCTTCGGTCGCAGACGTACTCGATGCCCAAGGTCCAATCGCCATCACTATTGACGGCCGGGGTGTGCGTGACGTTCAGGGTCCCAAGGGTCTGCCATATGTCGGCAACTACTTTGAGATCTACCCCGATCATCTGGGAAATCATCAACGACTATTTGAGAAATATGGCCCTGTTTTTAAGACAAACAACATGGGCAGTACCACTTATCTTACAAACGACCCCACCCTGGCAGGCATCTTCTTTTCAGAAAACGACTTCTTCACCAAGGACATCATCCCCGGCCATCCGCTCTATCCCATCAAGAACAATGAGGCTGGTGTCTTCTTGGGCGATACCGACACCGAGGAATGGAAAGTTGCACACAAGTTCCTGCCGCCTTTCTTTGGGCCAAAAGCCGTCCGTCACTATGCCCCGACCATGAACAAGACTGTTGAGGATGCCTTCAAGGTTTTCGACGAGCTTGCAAACCGGGATGAGGCGTGGAACGTGTACTCGTACATGCTGAAGCTCGGCTCACAAGCCGTCGGAAAACTGATCCTCGGCATGGACTTCAACCACTTCTCCTCTGTGGATGCACCACCACACGAGATGGTGATCCTCATGGCCACCTCTCTCGAACTTAACAAGAAGATTACGTCAATGGGCAGTTGGTATGCTCATCTCCCATTCGGCGACCCGAAAAGGTTATATGATGCGAAGGAGCGTATGCGCGTGATGATCGAAGAGGTCATTGCGGGTGCATCGAGAGGCGTGGAGGACTTGGGCCTGCAAGAGGCTGCACTGAAGGCAAACAACATGGTGGATTACGTGCTGCGCGCCACCGATAACAAAGGCAATAAGATCCCAACAAATCGGGTCTTGGAGCCCCTGGTAGTCGCCACTGGAGCTGGCTTCACCACAACCAGCTCTCTCCTGTCGTGGCTGCTCTACGGCATGGTTAACTACCCCGGCATGCAAGAACGCCTCCTCCAGGAGCTTGTTGACAATGACTTCACCGACGAGACAGAAGTGACTGCCGACTTCACCGCCAAGTTGCCCTTCCTCGATCATTACATCAAGGAGACTCAACGGAGACACAACCCGTCATACCAGCCGGCGCGCACGGCCAAGTGCGATCTTGTGCTTCCCGGTGGCTACAAGATCCCCAAGGACTCGATCGTAATCCCGGCCCTGCACCACATCCACAACAACCCCAGCATCTGGGGCAACCCGGCTGACTTCGACCCTGACCGCTGGGACAGTGACCGCGTGAAGAACAAGCCCAACAACAGCTACATCCCCTTCGCCACGGGCCCGCGTGGCTGCATCGGCTTCAATTTTGCGCTCCAGGAGGTGCGCATCTTCCTGACCAAGCTGGTCTGGCGCTACAAGTTCACCCTGGCCACCGACGGCGCCATCGACTATGACCCCATGTTCCAGCTGATCCGCCCCACGAACCTGTACGTGCGCGCAGAGAGGAGGGTGAAGTGGCCCCCACGAAGCGACGTGTAGTTGACGCGGGCGCGGTCATGACTCGCCGAGCAGTGTCGCCGACGATGACCTGAGCGCGGCGCCACTATGGACCGGCATTGGTGTAAACTTCTCACCTGGAGTTTCTTGTGGGTATGTTTTTGGGGGGAGTGGGTTTGCGGCATTGTTTACGGAGTTCAAGGCATGAGAATTGGTGTTTGGTGGCGCGCGTTCTGTAGATTTCTGTGTACTATCGGAAAGTGGTGGCACGTAGATCAGTGATCTCGCTCGCAATGACAATCGATCGACGGCGGTCGTTATTTTCTCCCGTGTCCGCGTCTTACTATTTGTCCGGGTCGTGCCCGGGGTGCGAAAAACGCCGGGGTGTTTGAAGCTATGGCCTGATGCTCTCGTTCCGTGCTGTGTCGAGGAAAATACTCAGTCAAGGGAAGCGAAGCGCGCTCTTGACAGATCGAGCGATCCGGAGCCTGTGGGTGGAGTTCTCGGGCCCATATGCACGCGGCTTACTCGGAATATTCGACGAAGTTTGAAGTCGACAAAGCGGCCCATACCCACGGAGCCTTTCGCTCTAAGGTTCAGATCAAGCAGTCGCTTACACAGACCTCCAACGGTTGTGAGATCCGAGATACGGTTTAACAGCGGGCATTGTGTGGCCTAGGATGGGTGCTCCGGCTCGTGGTAGGGCCATTTGGCGACACTCGTGGCGTTTGGACGACCCAGGGGTCTGTACCTCGGGCGTTCTTGGAAAGCTTATCTAGATCGCTGGCTGGATTAGGAGATAGTTCCGATGGGGGTTCTGGACCCAGGCTGCTTCACTGCCAGAGATCTGCGATGTCAAGTTTCAGCTCAACAGTGGAAGTACCCGTACGCGCGTGCTTGACAGGAAAGCTGCAGATACAGAGTCCAGCGCACTGCCCATTGCAGCGAAGAAGTTGGAAAAACATGCTCCCGTTTCTGTGGGTACTAATCTGCCAGACTCTTGACATCGGTTGCTTTAGAGTCTAAATGGAACACATCTCGAATTCGTAAAAATGACGTAGCAGTAAAGCATAGTGATTGCCGTTGTCAAGTTCCCAGACACTTTGTGGACAAGGGCCGGAAACTGCATGGGCAGTGGGCTCGTCTGGCGTGTATGCGAAATCTTGGCCCAGATGTTCGGTACCCGATATCAGATTTGGCTCTTGTTCCCAAAAAGCCTGGAGAAACTTGCATGACTTCGATGATCGACATATCTTTCCAAATCTCCGGGCATCAATCCTTGGTCATCGAACCATGAGTGCGTTAGCTTGCCAAGATCTGCGCATGTGGCCCAGCTGGACCACACGACAAGCCTCACAGATCCGTCAGGGTACTCTAGAAAGCAAGGGTTGCAGATGAAGCCTCATTGGCCCTGAAGTACTAGGCTAGGCACATTTCCGCCATGCGAGAGTGGGAGGAGCCCTGCCCTCCGATCTGGCATAACCAGCAAGAATGTTATGCTAGTGGCCTGACATATGAAAATTGCCTGGTTCCGAGGTACTCTGGGTGAGATGGAAAGTTACGTACCTGGCTGATTATTGCTGCGTGACTATTATGGACGGAAACAGCTCTTGAGACCAGACATGTCCTGGGATGATCCGGCAGTCGGCAGCATGAAGTCCAAGATCACGTGCTGTTGGTACCCTACTGTGGCATCCGGGAGGTGTTACAGCAGAGTGACTTAAGCTTATATTGCCGGGAACGGCTGTGCGGTCGCAGAGTTCGAGAGCAGATCAGACGACCCTTGACCTGTACAATCACTCGCACTCGCAAACAACAATATTGAATCTGTCAATGCTATCGAAGCTAGCTCGACGTCGCGTGAACCTTATCCCTAGACGTACATGATCAGTGACTACCTGCAGTGGGGCACTCGAAGATTGTAGCAGGTGCTGCAGAAGACCTTTAGGAGGTGCTTAATGAAGTTGCATTGTGTACGTGAGTAGCGTGGTACGATCAAATACAACGTCGTTTTGTGGATCGCAAATAAGCTTTACGCTGGCAAGGGTCCTGTGTGGCATCCACGATCCAAAGGGCGATCTAACAGGCGATCCAGGAGGTTTGCTGTGCTGCCCTGTTGACAGCTGCTGAAATGCAAACATGCGGAATTGGCCTGCGGGATTTAGGGGCTCGGATCCGAGGCGCGCGCTTCCTTGAACGTATGTAGCCCTGCAAGGCGAGGCGAGGATCGCGGTCTGCACCGTGTTTGGGAGCTGTGACATTTTCCTCCTGGAAGACAGCTACGATGAATAGGTCACCAAGAACCCACACCTGTCAATTTCGGCCATTTAATTCTAATAATGCCGTAGAGTAGCTTCTTGATTTGGCGCTGAAGCTTTTATGCAATTAAACCCCCTAATGGCATACAATGTGAGTGCACCGTTTGCACCTTAGGTTTTCGTATCAACCGCCTTTGGCACACCACAGCTAGAATACGTCTATCCAAGTAAGAGCCTTAGCGCTAAACTTGAAACAAGTTCCAAGAATAGAGGCCAAGATCAACCATATTTAATTACCGAGCCAACGGAATCTCTGGGCGTCAGCACCCTCCCCCGCCTCCCAAGGCTGCATACGGTGACCAGCATCATGAGTAACGTCCCGGATATTAACCTTTCTAGCTAGATTAAACTCCCCAGGTCGTCTTACAATTCTTGTCTAGACTAGTATTTTGCAGGCCACCTTGTTTCCACTCCTCGTGGGGTACATGAACGGATTGTCTGGTGACGACTCGGGCATCACACTGGATAGGGTTTCGTACCGGAAACCTGTATGGTTAAATTGTCTTGACCTGGTTCGTTTCGAACTCTGCGAGCCTATTTAACATCAGCACATAGCCGAAGGGCCCTAGCACTGGCCCATCGCTCGATTCTGCCGCTGTTGGACGAAAGATGCCGCCGCGAGACCAGGGCCAGCCTTACCTACTATGCGCAGGGACATGGTCACGGCGACAGGGCGCACCTGTGGCACCAAATCCTAAATCTGGCGCTAGCCCACATTCCACCAAATGTTTCAAACATGTCCAAACGCTATGTCGTTCTGTCAGTCTTGTGGTGTGGTCCCTCTTATGCATCTTGGATGAAGACGGCCAAGAAAAAAACCCTATCGCCCTCGGCGTAACTCCTTGATTGTAGTGACCGATATCCTAGCCCTGCTTAGCCCAGTGCAGTATATGCGATTAAAGCTGAGCTTAGCGTGCTTTAATTCTGGAGCTGACGAAAGTTGCGTTTGCCGATTGGATACTCAAAGTCCAGCCACGTGTATTTGCCAAACTATCATCGCGGCTCAGAGGCGGCAGTCGCGCAAGCCACAGCTACAAACACAGGTAGGGTCCACTATAACCAGCACGTTGCCATGTACACTTGCAATGTTCTAGAATATGGCAGCTTTGTACGCTGTAAAGAGTGAAGTGGAATCACCTTGTGTTGATGCAGCTGAGCGCCACCCCTCTTGTGGTCAGGGCAACTAGGAGCCCTCACTTGTGAGACATGCATGAAGATAGGTCTTAACAAATCTAATTCATAATACTTGGGGAGAATGATGAATTCCGCAGGATTTGGTGTCCATTCGTGATGACCGAACTCCTCTTCTCCGTCCGTTTCCTCAAGGAGAGAGAAGTGAATGGCCGCTCTGGATTACTTCCTCGGCTGCAGGGATCAAGTATCTGCCCACGTACAATCAGGACGGCCAGAGTATCTGCACGAGAGTTTCATATGTAAACGATAACGTGAGGTACCATAGGTTCCATTGACATCCTGTTGGGAGTTCTGTGCATCTGCTTCATGCTCCATTATACCAGAATGGGGAAAAACCCGTCAGCCTCATGGACGCGCCCGTGCCAAGATAGGATCAACTGCCGTTACACGGCGATCTGCCCCCGTCCCAGCAATGTAGCATCGTGGTCAAAGATCCTCAGCGCGCCCGCGGAATACGGGAACTATCATCTGTACTATCTTGTTTCATACCTTAGCTGGGAACCGCATTTGAAGCGGAATCCAATTGCGAAGCTGCAAGTTTGCACCCTGGATTTCGGCGACCGAATACAATAAAGGCATCACGCCCTTCCCAACTAGGTCATGGTTTTTCGGCGATCATTCCTGATCATCTTCTTCACGCGCGTATTGTCAACGGAATAGCTGCTCAGCTACCGGTTTTGGTGGATTCTCCGTGCACCGCCTCAGCCTTGTTGAACTTATACATAAATCCAAAATGTCTCCCTCAGCGACAACGACGACGAAGACGCATACCGGCGACGCTTCCCCCACCCAGACAACCCAACGTACAAGGCCTCGACAGAAGCCTGGCGCGGCTTGTGAGGAATGTCGGCGGAGAAAACTCAGATGTGACCGGCGGCAACCCCAGTGTGGCTCATGTCAGGCAACTGGCGTTCCGTGTCACACAACAACAGTTCGGGCGGCACGGGGGCCAAAACCAGGTTACCTCAAGGACCTTAAAGCTCGAATAGGTAAGTCGGCCGTTGAATTTAAGCCTTTATCTAACACTGCTGACTGTTTATGCCTACGATCTAGCCGCTTTGGAGGGCACTCTCATACAACAGGCCCAGCAATCTGCCCGCACAACATCTCCGGATGAAGACCCAGCATCATGCTACGATCCTTTTCTGTTCCACGGCGCGGATTCGCTCAAGCTTTCCCATCCGGGTAGCGAGCCCGAAAATGTTTTCCTCCACGACATGGCAACGGCCAACCCGATCTCAAATGGATTGGAACCATCACTTAACTTTCCGTGCCTCGGCGGCACCACCATGTCCCCGACACCGCCAATGGACACGAGCTTGATGTCTCCTCCGCTCACTGCATTCGGCGGCATTGGTTTCGATACAATGCTCCCAAATGGAATGCATCCATCAGGAGAACCAATTTCATCTCTCAATCTCAACAACATGAGGAGGATGTCTACTGCATCGAGTTCTTGGAGTTCCCCAGAGGGAACGACAGAGTTTAGACTCTCACCTCTGATGCAAGCTGACCTGTGAGTGTTGACCTGGCATACATGTCGATTCAAGTGTGCTACCAGTAAACACTTGACACAATGGCACAGTACCGTTGCTAATCATTGCCAGCGACCAGATCTACTGGGATAGGACCCACACATATGTGCCCATCGTCCATCAACGGCGCTACATGGCGTGGAGCCGGAAGCCGGACAAAACCGAGGGCCAGAAGTGTCTTCAACTCGCCATGTGGACCCTGGCAGCCTCAACATCACCCGGCCAGTATCAGACCATGGCCAACTACCTATACAGATATGCCTCACAATCTCTCTTGAACCTCGAGCAATGGGATTCAGGGGATGACTGGCACCAGATGCAGCCCAGTGACTTTGCGCAAGTGCAGGCCCAGCTCCTGCTGGCTTCTTACGAATTTAAATCCGTCGACTTTAGACGAGGATGGATGAGAGCGGGGCGTGCTTTTAGACTTATTCAGCTCAACTGGTTTTACGACATGCTTTCAACGTCTTCGACTTTGTCCGATTGGGTAGAGGCAGAAGAAAGGAGGCGAACGTTTTGGTTAGCATTTTGCCTTGATCGGACTATCAGCTTACGAAATGACGCTCCTTGTACATTTAATGAGCCGGTAAGTGACGCCATATGCCTCATGGAGGAGATCAATACTGACATGACGCAAGATCTACGTGCCTTTGCCTGCGCCTGATGCAGAGTTCCAAAATGAGATTCCCACGGCGACCGGATACCTGAACGGTGACTCCCTAACCGTCGGTGCAACCGACTCGCTCTTTATCGACATCATTCATTTAGCTACGATTTGCGGTAGGGCCGTGACGCATCGTCACCAGTCCATCATTGACAAGTCACTTGGCGTCCACAACACGGCCGGTATTTGGCAGCGCCATCGACAGATCAACTCGCTGCTGGCAGACAATCTGGACTCGACCACATCAAGGCACCAGCCACCCACACAAGAACCTGACCCTCTAGATCCATTCATGGGTATAATGTGGCGGACAGTCATTCTTCATCTTCACTCGACCTTGAACTGCACAGTGTCGGCTGGAAAAGATGAGTACGACTACATGTTGATGGAAAGTATGCAGCGCGGGACCCTAGCTGCGCAGGAAGCGCTGAGCTGCATAGAGCGGCTGTCGCAATTTAACAGTCTCAAGGTTCGATTGGCCCCCCTGTCCCTACAACTCTGAGCTCAGACTAATATGTATTTTACAGCTTCATCCTATTACTGTTGTTCCTCTGGCTCTCTGCTCAGAGCTGATGGAAGCGTGGCCAGACCTTGCAGGACCGTTCAACACTCACTTGGCAAAGATTATGGATGCTACTCATCGGGCAAACAGTGGGGACACTCCTTCATAGACCAGACGGGATCAAAACCAGCGGCATAGAAGTGTAAATTTAACCAGCAGGGAGTGCGCACAAAGGAATGAAAATATTACATAAGGCATGGGCCTGATAAGCTTCAAGTCTCTTACAAAAATCTGATCTTCCCAAATGTGACATCCATGTAACTAGGGGTTCAGGATTTACGCATAAGCTCTAGTGGGGTGCCATATATGCGAACAGCTTACTACGAACGTTGCGATCGGTGGTCTCCCTCCAAATGATTAACTTCGGATGACTGGCACGAAATGCTACTTCTTGAGGAAAGCAAAGCATAAAGTCTAACTAGAGTGTAATCCTCGACCCCAATTTCACGTCTCGGCCCGATGCGAGCTGAGCCGCACAACGTAGGTGTTCAACCACAGGAACCGTTATTCCCTCGCCAACATATTACTTTCAGCCTCACTTGTAACACACCATCTCCATGCAAGCAACGAGAACTAACAGAAACGATGGAGGCTCAAATGGAGTTTGATCAGCGCTTCGGCCACAGTTCATCGGTTTCGCGTTGCATTTCACAGGTAAGACGATGCCGTTGACAGCCGAACCGTATCGTGATGACACGTAGTGGCTGTCAAATTAAGCTCAGTCCTCGAAAAATCAGATGAAGCCACAAATGTTGCGGCCGGGGGAGCAAGGAAATATCGGACGACATTGGCACAGCATGCGGCCACTGTAGCGCGGACGGCTGCATAAAGTTGCCTAGACAGCGCTAGAGGTCTGCCGACTCTCGAGTTATCGCGCATTCGCATAGCTACGCCGCAAGAGAATACGCAGTTATCTTCAAAAATGAATCCGCCCATCTGGTAGATATTGACCCAGGAACAGGGTGCAGATTACTCCGACATCCGATCGATCGATCTCCGAGGTGGCTCGTGGCAGCCTTGTCTGCGTTCGGCAAGGCGCCCGCAGCCAATCATCTTACACGCGTGTTACCAAACCTCGGAGAGCTCCTAGCCTCCCCTGGCAACCTCGCCGCGGGAATATGTCGGTCTGCCAATGCAAGACCGACGAACTCGGCCGACACAGGCAGCGACACAGGGAACAGGGGGTAATAATCTCCCTTCGAAACACTACTCTTGACCACAACGGCTGCAAATGGCAACCTTCGGGGCCGATTTCCCTTCCCAGCCTGGCCCACTCTGAACATCTGCCGGTCTTCGACTCGAACAACGCTCGAACCCCGGCTCCATCTTTCTCACCTTCTCCCCACATCGGGCTGTTAAGCGGTGAGCGTTGCTAAGCCCATCCAGCACGTTGGTAACTAGCGCCCGGACTGATCGACACCGAGCCGCGCATCGCTTTCGTGAGGAACCTTTCCAGAACTGCCAACGGCTCATCGAACAGAACTCCACTTTTCCAACGCCGTTCTCTAGCTGTTCGCAAGCTTCCGTCGTGAGACAGGAAGCACTGGTAAAATGCCACACGGCCGTCCACGTAAGCTTCGTCCTGTGTCAAGACTTGGGCGCTTACGATCGAACCACTGGCATCGCATGATGAATGGGGATGCCTGCCGGATGAAACTATCTTCTGCTCAACAGTCGAGGTAAGTTTCGGCTCTTATAATGTGGACACATTCTGTGGGATGGCCAAGCTCATCGACAAGTCGCATCCCACTTTGCGCATACACTGGAGGTATATCGGCCCCTTGCCGGTCTAAATGGCTCATTCATAGCATCCGCCGCATCCGATTCCGAGTCTGATCCGCGCTCAAGTAGTGGCTGACATGCCATCGACGATTGCTCTGTCCAGACCAGAGGTAAACGGGACGATATATCGTCTTCGCACTGGTTACTGACCTGAGATTATTGCTCCTAGAAGTCTATAGCGACAAGAATCAAAGTCTTTGCCTCGCGGAGAAAGAGAAGATGCATACTGTTTAACAATGCAGGGAAAAGGCCATCTGAGAGGCAATGCCAAGCTCATAATATTCTCTAGAATCGAAAAGCATTAGCTTTAATGTACACCCGGAATAAAATCACATAATACCAAATAGCCGGAATTCCGGCCCCTCCCCTCCACATATGACCACAAGGCATTTGAATTGCTGATCACAATCCGCACTACGAAGTGAAGTTGTCACAAGTTATAAGGCGCCCAACAAGCTCTTCCGAACAATGATATCGCACACTTCAATTGAGCCCCACTCCAAAGTTGGTCAGATCTATGCTGTTCGTAATCAGGAAGCCAAGATTTCTCGTAATTGTATCAAAGCCCAAGATCACGATCACACATGGGATGTTCCATAGCCGACTGATCGATCAGTGGCGTTCTTCTGCCCTTGGGATGTAGATGCCGAGCTACTTGCCGCAAAAGTGCATGCTCGGTACATATGTACGCTGTCTCTGAGACCTCCGAGCTTGATCCTGCTGTTAGAACTATTGGCGCCTCGGCTAAGTCGTGGCAATTGTGTATTCTGTATACTGTCTTGGCTTGTTTGAGAGCTCCTCGTAAGACCTCCTCGTAAGACCTCCGTACACCTGGGTGCGAAGCCAATTTAACTCACAGATACTCATGTATCCATGCGCCTCCCTATCAGAGCAAACATATTTAAGCACAGGCTATGAGGTCACTGAAGTTTACTTAAATTGAGTGTTGCCTATGTTGAGACCATGTCAATCTAGTACTAGCGTAGCCTTCGTCGATACAGAAGCCCATTCAATTGTATTGCGGCTATCGTGGACTCCATGGCTGCCAAGCCCTGTGCGGATATCGTATGCACTGCAGTGCTTAGCCCAATACCCAAAAAGAAAACAGGAAATCATGAAAGACGATTACAGGCCAAGCGACTTTTCGGCAATATGGTGTTCTGATAGCACCAGAGAAGACTTTCCAATCGCGATTCGAAATCAACAATATGGCGTTATTTGAGCATAGCCTTAGACAAAGGAAGTAGCTTGCCAATGGACAACATATCCGACACTCCTAACTCCGTGCGCCCAACTTAAAAGCACAGACAATCAATACATATTCGTCAGCGGCCCGAGGCCCCCATCGCTATTAGAGCCTTCTGGGCTTTCCGCTCCCATGAATGTGCTGCTTCCGACGCCGCACAGGTTGAATTCGGAACTTTGTTCTGGGGGCGAGTGATGGCAAGGCATGCAGCCTGGCGGAGTGGAAAAATTGCCATCCCCGCTGCCGCTCAGCCTCCCATCGGAATGAAGTGCCGCGTCGTGCTCCTGAGTCTGATAGCCTGAATCGCGGCTCTGCGACGATGGCCCGCTCGAAGGATTGAGGCTCTCTCCCGGCGAGCACGGACGGCCATTCTGGGACAACATGGTCGTGTACGGCGCTGGATACTTTGCAGGTGCGGGTTGTGGGGCCGCCTGTTGTGTCGGGATTTCAGATGACGGAAGCACGCCCGGAGCGGAATCTTGAGAAGCATGGATGCCGAAAGGACTGGGATCATACGACGACGACGAAGTAAATTGAAAGTGTCCGTCGTTGGCATCGAGATTGTCTCCAAACATAGGGTCGTTCTCGTTGGGCATCCACTCGTCTGGCAAAGTTTCGGAAACATGGTAAACAAACGCAGAGGGCCTTTGCTGAGCGCCGTATTGGCACTGACTTGTGTTGAATCTATCGCGTACCGTATTCAAGAATCGCCGATCGCGCTCAAGTCTCTTCTCGGAATGATCGTGAGATTGTTCACTACGGCAGTGCCTGAAGGTTTCAACGATGTATCGGAAGCCGTGGCCTTCTGTCGACCCTATATCGTTGTTCACTGTATGGTTCTCGACGAAATCATAGAGTGCTTCTTCACTGTAACAATGTTCTTGTACTTCGTCGAGCTCAACAGGCGGTTCGTGGTCTGTGTACAGTCAGCTGGCCGGTATCCTGCGATGCTCTTCAGTTTGGGAGGTTCTACGAACCTGGAGATGGAATAGCATTGAGATTGTCATCAGGAAATAAGAGATTCCATAATGATGCCCATGAGTCGATTTTGTCTTCATTTCCTCTCGCTGTAAGCGCTCGAAGGGTGTCTTGGGTGATGCCATCCTCGGGATCGTCCTGTCCAACAGGCCTGCGAACTGTGCAAAACTCGGGTCGGACTAAATGATCGTTCAAAGCTGCCTGGTTTGGAAACTGTTCTTGGCAGCGAGGACAGGAACTTGAACTGTTGTCTTTCTGATGGAAAGTCTTGATGTGTCGTCTGCCAGATGTGAGTCTTCACAGGGAGATTGAATCTTTGAATGGAAAGACTTACTTGAGTAATGCGAAGTCCCCAAATGAGCTCAACGCACAATTTCCGTGCCCGCGAACGTTGAAGCGGTTTGGGTTCCTCTTCCGGAAAGGGCAGCTCAGATTGACGTCCTTTCTGCCCATTTTCTGCTTCTTGATTCTCTGTTGGTCCTTGCTGTGCTTTTCTTCTTGGATGTCACCGGGATCGTCTTCATCCTTGCCGCTACGCTTGCGAGAATCGCCGGGTGCTCCATCGCTCTTCCGCTTTCTTCTGCCCGTGCTGTCTTTATTGCTACCTTGGTCCTGAATATGCATGTCTGATTCGCATGCATCTCCATGAGACTCATTGTTTTGTATTGGGAGGCTGCGAATCGGGAGACACAGAGTTTGACACTCAGGGGAAGGCCTTGGGTGATTCATGATTTGCTCAAGGAAATTGTGGATGTAGAGCTCCACGGGGATGTTTCGATCTTCGGGGTTATCGACGCAAGAAGACTTCAAAATGAGGTTGCTAATACTTTCCACTAATTCATTATATGCGAAATCATCGTCATCGTCGCTTGCCAGACTGCAGCTCTCGTTCAGAGAGCTGATGTTGTCATCGGAGTCAGACCAGGATGATCTGCTAATTTTCATACCGTTAGTGACATTCAATGTGCCTAGTAAAGCTCTGAAATCTTACCGTTTTCTCTCTCCAGATGGCTTGTTTCCAGGACTCGGGGTTGGAGAGCGGGATTCCTCGTCTTCCTCGCTTGGGAGGATTTCGTTCCTGCTAGGGTCTTCTGGTTCCACGGTAGCTTCCGAGGCCACGACTGTACTGGCTGCGGAAGACATAGTACTGTCTGGGCTACATGTTCGCTCTCTATCCACCTTGGAACTCTGTAAAGTCGTGTTGATCACTCGTTCCGCACTTTTCCGTGCCTTTGAAACCGACCTGTTCCGAGACGTCTTCTTGCGATGCCATGACGGTAACTCGATCGGCTCATAGGAGGCGAGTTCACTAACCAACCTTAGCGGCTTGGAGTTGAGTGAGCTGGTTTTTGAATCTTTCGATGTTATGAGCTTTCGTTGTGCAAGCATTTCGGTTTGCGCTTGAAAATGGTACACATCTGCCTCGTCCGACGCCACTTCTTGCCTAGAGAAATGGTGGTAAATGACCGTGCCCGTACTTTGTACCTGGTGTTGATGAGGACCAACTACACCAGCCATATTTGATAAGGCAGAGACTGGTGAATCAACGTTTCCCTCACATAGAAAGGAGCGTGTCTCATCCAGTCTTTGTGATTCCCTTGACCGTTCTACGGGAAACGTGTTTTGCTTCCGAGCTGGAGGCAATTGTCTGAGGTGGAACGGCACTCCCTTTTCTCGCCCGTCTGACCACGTGGACAATCTATTGATTTGGCCATTTCCAGAATGATCCATGGGAACAAAAAATCCCCTTGGGTCTGGGAAAGCTGAAGAGCTCTCAAAAAACGACCTAGGAACGTCGACCACGTGAATATTTGCTCCCTTCGGGAATGAATCGGCATCAACAGGACGTGAGCCCATGGCTGTAGGAAAGCTTAATGATCTGAATATAGGAAGCGTTTCATGTGAATAGGGGCTGATTTGGCTATATAGAGTGTTGGCGGACTCCTGGGATAGCATAGAATTGGAAGAGTTGAGTGTGCTGGACCGTGAGAGGCAGCTAGTGCTTGATGCGGTAGGCGTGTCCGGTCGAAAACCTAGAGAGGGATCCATGGCTTTTTCAAGGCTCACGGGAGGAGGCGACGTAGTCCTTTCGCCTTCAGAGAAGTAATCGAGAGGCTGAACGGGATCCTCGGTCTGAGCTTGGGCTTCCTGTGCGTTATGCCTGGGAGGTGACGCGGGCCTCGACCTCCATTTTTCTTTCGCTTTCTGGAGAAAAGACGGTCCCATGGCCTTTTTGTCCATATTCCTGGTCGGAGGGCCCAATCTTAGACCTGTAGACGCACTTGGCGAGGCTCAAGAAGCGAAGTGTAGTTACGACGCGCCCGGTATAAGCCACGATCCAGACAAGCTTAATACCTGGCTCAAAAATTGAAATAGAGTATTGTAAATGCTTAGAAAGTTTGAGAACGAAGGACCCGAAAGCAACTTGATGTGAAGGTGGGCATAAGCTTGCAATACCTCACCCACTGCAGAGCCGCAATTCATTCTGGGCTGATGACGCCGATACCCTGCTGAATCCTTCGCTACCTGGGGCCCAAATTTGGGGGCGGAGGAACATTTTTTACACTTGCTCAGCATTTTAGCTTGCATTAGCCCCACGATATCCAGTCAGCGCGAGGCCATAATGGTGTTGCTGCAAACTACTGCATCCTGCTGCATCAGTCACACCACATGCAGGCACACAGCCAGGATGCCTTGGCTGATAGCTAGGCATCATCTAGGGCAGTTCAGACAGACATGAATGAATTCAATATGGCGCAGGCCTTTTTCTGACCACTGGTTCCCCGACTCAGCCTCGTCAACACGAGATAGCAGCGGCCCTGGGACTATGGGCCTCCTTGAGACCCCCAGCCCTAGGCCAGATATATAGCATGCTGCATTTCCTCAATCGTGACGGTGTGCTTCTTCTTCGTTTGGCCGTGATTTCGAATTGGACAGGTTCTCCTTTTCCTACGTCCGATGGATGGGCTCAAAACATACTCTATGATGTCCCCAAATCCCCTTGCCCGATCTCAGGCGCTCACAATCACGAGACATATGCACGCATTCAGATTGTCACCACTGGTATGTCATTGTAGGCATTGTGGGCGATCTTGTCCAATTCCAGATCTTGTGCATGGAGTGTGCTGGAACAGGTTTAGGCGGGCGTAAAGGATGCACACCTGCGTTCCAAGGTGCCCCCTGATTGGGCCACAGCCATTTGAATCACCGTTGTTTGAATTCATACCGGACTTAAAGCACGTAGATACAGTATCAAATCGTGAATTTTTGTATTCATCTGAGAATTCAAACAGAATCATGGCATCAATTAACAAGAAGGACTATTTAAACATGGTCTCGATCGTGCCGTGCTTTGGCTTTGAGGATGGAGCTTGCGTCAAACAACACAGCTCTAGCAAGCATATTCCGTGAATTACCAGAAAGAACCAAATTCATGCCCTCATTCGTGGTTGATCAAAAGATCTTCCAAACAAGCCCATACTATGAATCAACAAATTCAGCACTGTGGATCCAACAGCTCCTTTAGTTCCCAAACGCGAAGGCATGTCCCATTCGACTCTGAGCTCATGATCATCGACTGACTGATATAATACAGGAAGCCCGAAGGAGGGAGCATGCTCGGCGCATACATCTATGACACGTCATCTCTCTCAGAAATACAATATCGAGGCCCTGGGATGACACTTGACCAGCGACGCCAAGAGATGAAAAGTCGAATTGATAACTTCGACCACCAATTCACAGTCCATAGTGGTCAATCCCGATGTCAACAATCGCGTAGTGGTTCTCGAAGATAAAGACTCGGAGAATCATAAAGGGCGAGCCTCCGATGATCAAGACCCTCTTTCACGGCCTGGGAACAATTGGGGGGTTCTTGAATGAACGAAAACGGGACTGTTTTGGCACTTGGGAGATTTCTCACGGAGAGGGCAGGGAGTACAGGTGAAATTGCAGATTTTATGAGATACCCAAAATAAAACTATACATGCACATAAGATCAACTAGACCTGCACTGGCGAAATGATGTCTTTGAATCCAAGGACCAGAGAAGGACAGTGGATCGAAGAGATCTGGCAATACAAAGTGGACTGCTGAGCAATTATCATCATCTAGCACAGTATGTATTATATCATGCTAATGAGGTATATCGAAGGGATATCGAAATCTCACTTGAAATCTGTAAATGATGCGCTAGGATTGTGTCAGTATCGCATAGGCAGCGTAGCAATGCCTTCATGTATTAAACTTAAATCAGCTGCCTAAATCTTGTAAATGCCGTGAATATTTATAAGTGGTGTGTAGTGATGGTTGAGGGAGTTAGCAGTCTCCGCAAAATGATGAAAGCGTTTATGCATTTCTTTCTTTACCTCCTTTGCTTTTCTCTTGGTGGGAAGGGGGGCAACAAGTGTTCAACTTTGCCACAACATCCCCTTGATGCGTACATACGCATTCGATTCGATCTTGATGGCTCCTTGATTTATACATTCAAAGCGGTGTGTTGTGATTTTCAAAAAGCCAAACTACATGAGGAACTCACAATTCCACTGGCGGAATATCAAGGGAGAACTATGCCGATGGATTTGAGTAAAAACAATACATATTGTTGCCATGACTTCCAAGCTGCCAGCTTCGCGGTCGAGAAAGGCATGGCTCTTCATGAACATGCAGCCAAGTGTTTGACAACACGCCATTCCATATTGACTCCCCCATCCCAACAACACTATTGTTTGGTAGGTGCATAGAAATTTTGAAAGTGAGACAACTACGAGGGCATGTCCCAGGATGTGGATATGTCTAAGCCCATCGAGTCCCCTCTTTTGCCTAAAGTGGGAAGTCTTTGATGCACGTTGGCTTGAGTCACACTACGTGGCACCGGCCTCCGACCCACAGTACACGTATCGAACAAGCCGCGGAAATATGCACAGTCGAGGCGTAGCTAGGCAGAATCGGAGGCTCTGCGGCTCAATAAGTGGAAACCAACAGATTGGCCTCCTTCATCATTCTCGAGCCGATGCTCATTTATGAATTGAGACGTCAATGGTCGCCACAGTACTTGCTTGTGCATGCATTTCCCTCTTGGTCTCATCACAAACTTTATTCAGGTCCTATCTCACAAATAATCAGCTCTGCAGCATATTAGGAACATTGAACACCTCGCAGCAGCCAAGATGACCCAGTACAAGGAGGGAAAGGCATCGAAAGATACACCGAGCCGATATAGTCTACCAGCCTGGTTCATCGAGCGCAACGTCAAGACTCCATCTGATCTAGAGATATTGAAGGATCAAGCTATTATTTGTCAATGCAAGATTTGTCAAGATTATCAAAAAAGCTACGAGGACATCGATTCGGATTCGGATGATCAACCCCCTGAAAGCGACGTTCTTGAAGCAGACGAGGAAGAACACAATAGCGCTGAGACTCACGAGATCAGCCATGAAGATGCCATATCCTACGCCAAGTTCTCAGAGCTACGCGATCTTGTGGCCACGAACATGCTTTGGCGGCATATGCGGCCTCAAGACTCATCCGTTCTGCTTCGCCGGTGCTCTGTTTCGGGTTGCAGCACCTGCGCAATGGAGCCGTTGCTCATGAACGATTTCGTCACTCATGTGGCCAAGTCTCTGGGAACAGCGTTGATAACTCTCAGCTTTGAGGATCTGGAGGAGTTGGGTGGTGACTTTCACGCCCAGGATAAGCGACAAACTCTCAGAAACGCTAATAAGCAGACTTCAGAGAAGGGGTCCGATAGAGAAACGAACGAGACGACTAAAGAAAAAACTCCCTTGACCGTGGATGGCTCAGCAGCTGGAGCCAGTTCAGACAATGGCAAGGAAAAAGAAACCCAGGAGACTTCTGATGAATCCACAACACCAAAGCAACCCACCAAAGACGAATGGAAGGCGGATTCGGCAGATTGGGCAACTTACTCAACACACTTCTTTGCAGCACGCTCAAAAAAATGGGAGGACGACAACTCGATCTCCTACTCAGCTTGGCGAGACCGTGCTGAACAATCATATGCGGCGATTCTGGACGGCGCCTTGGTTAAAGCAGGCCAGCAGGCCAAGCCACAGAGTGAATTGCAAGATGTGGCAGACGTCGCCTCCAGTTCACGTGGGCTTCTTGTGCACTTCATCGACTGTGACTACTCCGTCCTCCCTTTGGACTATCGACAAAAGAGGAGGATTTTGGTCAGACTGGGAGAGCTTGTGCAGAAGAGGCGTACAAAAGGCGAGAATGTGGCCATGGTCATCTCTTCCAAGTTCCTGGATTCAGGAGAGAAGCTTTGCCAGAAGGCAGGAATATCAAGCCTCTCAAATGTTGTGCTGTCTATAGTCAACCCCTCCCAGAAGGCTCGTGAGGAGCGAGACCTGCGGCGCAAGGGCGACATCAATACGCGGCGTCTCAGACGCATCCTGATGGCTGGCATTACTCACACAGACAAGGCTGCTCGGACTATTGAATGGTTGTCAAGTAGCTCTCACGAAGGCCTCACATCGTATGGACAAGAGATGTGGTCTATCGATGCTAGTCATCACGCGGCTGCACAAATCTTGGCCAGGATATGGATGAAGCCAGAGCTTGTCTTGTCATCAAAGCATGTCGACTGTGTGCTACGAAGACTGAAGATGCTTACAAAACCCAAGGCATCCGAAACGGCTGACGAGGAAAAGGACTCGGAGGAGCTTGAAACGATAAGTGATGAGGTGGTTGAGGAAGCTGAGCAGAACCCTCTGGATAATATAACGCTGGACGAATACGAGGAGAGACTTCGTGATTGTGTTGTCAGCTCAAGTATGTCAACCCCAATTTCCTCAACCTTTCCAGTACTAACCAGGATCTTGATGCAGAAGATCTCAATACTTCTTGGGAAGACGTCATCTTGGACCACGACACAAAAGAAGCGATGCAGAACCTGGTACCATCCTCAAAGCTCGAAGTCGAAGGATCCTCGGAATTTCTGCTCTCGCAGTTGCGCATCCGCGGGTGTCTATTGTATGGGCCCCCAGGCACAGGAAAGACGCATCTATGCCGCGCGATCGCAGGGACCTCAGGTTTACGCATGCTCTCGGTCGACTACGCTTCGATCCAGGGAGGTATTGTTGGAGAGGCCGAGAAGATGATCCGAGCCGCATTCTCGCTCGCTGCCAAACTTTCCCCGTGCGTGCTCTTTATCGACGAGGTCGACTCTCTGTTCTACCGCCGAAGCTCCGGGGATAAGAGCTGGGAGCGGTCGGCCATCACACAGTTCCTCGTGGAGATGGAAGGTCTCTCGCAGAACGCTGAGGCGCCGCTGGTGGTCGTCGCTACCAATAGGCCATGGGACTTGGATGAAGCGTTCCTGCGACGCCTCCCACAGAAATTTCACATACAGCTTCCCGACCAGGACTCGCGCGCTGCGATCCTCCGTCTTCCTCAAGAGAGACGATTTGGATCCGGCGGTGGACATCGACGGCATCGCAAGCGTGACGAAAGGCTTCTCCGGCTCCGACCTGAAGAACCTCTGCGCGGAGGCCGCCCTAGTCTGGAAGATCGAGCAGGTCAAGCTCGATTCCCTATACGGCACTATGTCCCCGACGTTTTCTACCGCTCGCAAAGCTCCCAAGAGACTGCGGCTGGAGGTAGATCACTTCACCGCGGCGTTCGAGAGAATGCAGCCGAACAAGACCGAGGAGTTGAGTGAGCAATTGGAGCGGTTCGCTCGGCGCTTCAACCCCGACCAAGGCGAGTTCGGCCAGGGCAACGGCGGAAAGAGATACATCTACAACGACACCGGCAGGAAAAATGAAATATTTAGTGTGCGAGATTTAATTTCGCGGCCGTTGCCGCTTCAGGAGGACACGCCCGCCAACATGCAGATGGTTGTCTGGCGTAGCCCGGAGTCCATGCTCTTTCCAACAACAGTGAGCAATCAGACGAGAGAGCCGACCTCCCTATCGCCAGCCTCTGACATGAAGTCACAGAAAGACGAAAGTAAGATTGAGGCTTGTGCTGACGAGCGGCACAAAGACTCTGAGGATGGTTCGATGGAAATGAAGGTCCACAATCTGGAAGTGTTCTCTTGCGCTGGATTTGACACGGAGAAGGCTCATACGTCTCCCGACCACTTTCAAGACTGCGAAATAATAGGCGAGAGGGATTGTATCGAGAATAGTCCTGAGCCGATCGGTCTTGCTTTATCACAGACAGAACGCTCAGTACTCAAAGCTCATAACCCGAAATCAGGGGCTGATGTAGATTTGTTGGCCTTGCTAGTTACTTTGGCAGCCGTCTTCTGGTACAGTTAGTTGATGGCACACCTGGCTTTGAATGCTTTGAGCGCTGAGACATCTAAGCACGCGGTTTTACATTCAATATCTATGCAGACCGAGAGACACGGTGATGATGTGGAGAGTATCACGCAGACTAATTCACATTTATCATGAGCACATATAGACTTGCATCAATTCTGTGATCAACAAAATCACTTGATGGGCATAAATGCTCGTGACTCGCATTAGCCTTATCTTGTCCCTCATGATGACCGTAATGCAAATGCAATACATGCTTCGCAATGATATATGCACTTTTAGGATACCGGAACCGAACACCGACCGCGTATGAGTGACCAACCACACAAGCTCAACCGGAAATTACTGCGCAACCTGTACCAGGTAGCACAGAGCGCCCAGTTTGTCCAATCCCTATGCCACAGCATTCCCACCAGACCAGACCAGACCAGACCAGAGATGAAACCAGGCCATTCACAGACCAAACCGGACCAGACCAGACCAGATCATGTTGCTTTTTGTTTTTTCATTAATCATTCTCGTGAACCGTCCACTATTAAGAACAGAGCGCAGGCAGTGTGAAATTAATCTACCACCCCTCCTGGCACAACTTGGAGAACGGCCATTCAGAGTCCCCCATTTCCACAAAGTCGATAGGTGAAGGAATTCTCGATTCGGCCGCGGTGATGTGAATTAGAGTAGCATGCTGGTTCGCACGCTCGGTGCGCCAGGATATGTCTGGCTGCTGATGCAAGTGATGTTGTACACGGGCACGGCGATGGCGACGGTCCGCCGTTTGAGAGCCTGAACCATGACCCAGTCCTCGTCTCCGCCGCAGGTAGCGCTGGCGCGCCCCCTAGGACGACGTCTCGGGAGCATCACGGCGGGGGCCGCCCCGGCCCCTGGGGCCACCACGTCCACGGCCACGGAAGCCATCGCCACGGAAGCCGCCTCCACGGCCACGACCTCGTCCTCCGCGGTTTCCACCATCGCGGTTTCCACCACGACGCTGGACAGATTGGAAACCGTCATTGGGGTCGGTGGGGGTCGAAGCCTGAGTGCACATGTCAGTAGTGTTGGGGAATGAAGTGAGCAACATCTCAACGTACCTCTTGCGAGGGCTCCGGGTGATCGTCAGCCCAAGATGGAGCGGCAGCAGTGGCAGTGGCATCAGCGGTCACGACAGGAACAGCGGGAGCATCGGTCGGGAGAGTCTCGGGTGGCGCCTGCACCTCAACCCACTCCTGAGAAGCGGCCAGGTCATTGCCTGTATCCCATTGGTTTTCTCCTGCCGCGTTCGCAGCGCTGTCGCCGACATCAGCATTGGGAATTGTGCTTTCCGCGGCGGCCTCGTCCAAGTGTCCATTCGTCAAAGCAGTGTCTGTGCCAGCGTCTATCTCAGTGAGGCCAGCGTTGGCGACGGTTGGGTCGGTCTGAGCAGTTTCAGTAGCCTCCGTGGGCACGGTCTCGGTCTCGGTCTCGGCCTGCGCAGCGGTCTGGTAGAGGGGTGCGGAATGGGCGGCAGCCGAAGCCTTGACGGTCGCGACTGTGAGGCAGGCAACAATCAGAAAAAGGCTGGCAGCAGTCAATGGAAAGGAATTTGTACTTACAAGTCGTCTGCAGAGTCTCGCCTCCCACACCAGCAGTCTTGTCGTCGGTTCCTTCACACAACTTCAGCATGACACTGACAGCAGCCTCGTCACCACCGTAAACACCCAGAAGTATCCCTTCCAGAGCCTGGTCCTCGTCCTCAGTGGACTCGGGAGCTTCGGCTCGTCGGTGGGCGGCAAGACGCAGAAACTGGGAGAGGACCAAAAGACCGTCGTGCAGCGACTTCTTTGCATCAGCCTCATACTTGTTCTTGACCTCGGCAACAGCGTCTGCCTTTTCCTGCTCGTATTTCTCGGACAAGCCCTTCTCGGTGTCAGACCTGACAGAAGCAACCTGGGCACGGTACTCTCCATCAATCTTCTCGTACAGGGCTAGCTGCTCCTCCAGTCTGGTAACCTCGGCCTTGAGGGAGTTCAGGTTGTCGACTTGCTTCTTTTGATCGGCATTGATGATCTTGAGATTGACGAGCTCTTCGGGGGTTTTGCCTTTGGACTTGTGCTCGTCGACCAGAGCCTGAGTCTTGGACGCATTTCCCTGGGGAGGAAAAACGGATTAGAGTGTGTGGTTGGGAGTCGGAGGTGGATGTTGAGCGCTTACAATCTTCTTGTTGGTGTTGCGGATGCCCCTGGTAGGTGTGTTTAGATGCTGTCTCACTGACCGGGTGGCGACTGAGGGGCACGACTCACTTCTTCAGCTCACGGATATAGGCATGCTCGGAGACTTCGTTGTTTCCGGAGACAGAAGCAGCCTGGTCTGGAGTAGCAGCCGGGGCAGGAGACTCGGTGCGCTCTGCAGCAGCGGCGGCTGCCTTGGCCTTCTTCTTCTTGGAGGACTTGGACTCAGGTTGGGCGGGAGGGTTCTGGACTGATGCAGCGGCCATTTCGATGACGGACAGGCTAGCTTGAGGACAGGCAAGTAGACAGCTTGGTTTGGAGGAGGTTGAGACTCGAGGTGGAAAGGTCTACAAAGGGAACAGTAGTGTTTGCCAGTAGGTGCAGCGATATGACGCAGCCGTATGTTGGATTGACAGGATTGCTTTTGCAAGCACGAAGATAATCAGAATTGATGTGATGCAAGGATTCGTCGCAAAGGTCGTGTCGAGGTGGCTCGTACAAAAGTGAATGAAAAGGGTAGGAGGCTTCCTTAGGTACGGGTGAGAGAGAATTGGATGTTTGCGGGGCTTTTTGCAGGATGTTGGTGTTTGGTGTTTGGTGTTGAGCTGATGGAGAGAGCTGTCGAGGCTGCAGGTCAAGTGGAAATTTTGAAGCGGGCGCCCGACGTCGTTGGACAGTGCCAACCCTGCCTGACGGCGACGGACTTGGGACAAACGGACCCTGGGCCGTGCTGGCCTCTGGATCCGGTCCATGAGCGTAAGCATGACCGTTTGCACTTTTTCTAGATCACACTCGATCTCACTATGTAGCCTTTCCGGCCATCACTTGCGGCCCTCTATAAACAGACAGACTCTCTGGGTGCATGCTCAACTTCTGCATCATATTCGTCCTCTACAATATCAGATATGCACATGGCTGCGGGAATCCATTCCGTCCTAGAGTAGCTCCCGCTGTGGACCCTGCCTTCTTCTCCCTTGCCCCATTCCCGGGCCAACAGCTTATTTAAGGCCTTGTCTGGTGCATCATGAGGAACGGCTCTCAACTAGCAGCGGAGTATGCGCATTCTGAATGCGGCAAACAAGAGTTCACCCACAGCTGCAGGGCGCGTGGCTGTCCTATAGTGATATGTAGTGTTCGGCAGCGGTCGCGCGTCTCTCAAGGTCGGCTCGAGGCACGCGACCAGCACCTCGGCCAGGCCGAATGAATAAATTCAAGTCTGATCAGTGTTTCTTCATCCCTTGAACTTTGCAAGGGTATTCTGGTCGTGTCAGCATCGTTTTCGGTGTTGCCTGGGCATACGATGCTTGTCTTACGCCTGTGACTTTCTTGACACTTCTGGCAGTGATACCCCTCTCGCCCCCTTGCTTCGATTCGATCCCAGCCTCTTTCACTAATCTGTCTTTCTGTTCAGTCAATCGCGCTTGGGTACGGAAATCACGATATATTGGCGTACGTTTCCATGAAGATGATATAGTCGAGGAACATCTGTGCGACAGCCAAAAACAAGGTCAGCGCGTGTTGACTTCAGGAGAACGCGTCGGGCGGTTTTGACGGCTAGCTTACCGTCACGTCCGCATTCTTGCTGACATTGCAGTTGGAGTGGGCCTTGACGATCTTCTTGACAGTCGCCCGTGGGTACATTTTCTGTCCTGGCGCCATCTCGTCGTCAAGTGTCGCGTGGTGAAGAACAATGCTGGGTAAGGACAGGCTGATGATATGGTAGAGTCCCTTCGGCACTGCTGCTCTTAGTACAGAGTCTAGTTTGGACGGACCGAGGTCGGGTTGTTGACTTTCGGCTGCTTCCTCGCAGAGCTCGCCAGGCCCTCCAATCGGCAGCAACAATTCATTTTAGTGGACCCTGCCAATCACGCCTTCAACGTCATACCGTTCGCGGGGACCGTATACGAGTAGAGAGGACTGTGTTCTCACACCGTCCCCGCACAAGCCAGGCCGGCGGCCCCAGAACTCCAGGGGAGAGGAGCTTGGGGTCCAATTTGGAGATCTTTTGACTTGCCAGCGAAAAGGTTGCCTGCCTAGGAGATAGCTTTCGCCCACGACTCTTCATTACCCAGCGCTGCATAACAACAGCAGCAACAGCCGTCAACATGCAGAGACGAATGGTGAGCTTCAGAGACCCATCCTTTCAGCGTGCAGCCAGCCTTGAATCACTAACACATCGGCACATTCAGCTCACGAAAGAGGACGAGCAAGCCGTCGGCGACGAGGTCGAGGTCAGACGCGAAGACCAGGACAAGATTAACAAGTTCAGCCGCCTGCACCAGCGCGAGCTCAAGTACGAAGAGGAGCTTAAGGTCAAAAGCGTGCGCATACTTCCCCTATCGTCCCAACTCGGGCATGCAGGAGCTGACGGCGTGTGCAGAAAGAGAAAGAGGAACTCGACGACATTACCATGGAGCTGGAGCTGGCTGACGAAGACGACAAGATACCGTCAGTACTATAACATACCACCGTACGAGTTGAAACGTTCCGTTATTGACTTGGCTCTTACATGCAGGTACAAAATCGGTGACTCGTTCTTCCACGTCACAGTATCACAAGCACAAGGAATGCTCGAGGCGTCTACGGCCAGGATCGAGGAGGACGTGTCACAGCTGGAGGACAAGCTCAGTACCGCTCGCGAGGAGATGACACAGCTCAAGGTCGAGCTATATGCGCGGTTTGGACGAAGCATCAACCTCGAGACATGATCAATGATACCCATCCTTTCCCATCCCGAAGTGTTGTCCGAACCCACCGGCAGGCACGCCGAGCTCCTTGACAACGTCCGCGTCCGGTGGCCCGATTGTGGGTTATTGGAGCAGGGACGCAGGGCTCGCAGAAATATATGCAATGGAGCTGTGTCTCGCAATATGTTACCTCAGACCCACGCCTCCTGGGCACTTCTGGGCACTTTCTGGGTCAGGGGCGCCGACATCGCTAGCCAGGACAGCCTCCTTCGGACGCATTAGACTAATCGGCATAGGGCGCATGTCAAAGTCCCTGACACTATTGAAGTGTGCCGGGGGCGACTGGCCGCCAGTCGCCCGAGGACGTCTGTCCTAAAGCAGACACGCGCGCACACACACGCAACAAACACACCCACCCACTCTTCCTCTTCTCCAACTACGAAACGCATATTAGCGGGCCCGTGTGACGGCAAACTGCAACTACTGCCACGACTGCCCCAGACTAGGTCATGTTTAGTCCAGATGATCGACTGTTACCCCAATCATCTTGATTTCTGTTTGCTCTTTGCCCGCGGTAATAACCCACTCTTCTTAAGCCCGGATCTATAACGGTCGCGGCTCGCTTCTGAAATGCAAGACGAGTCATCAGCCTCCGGTGGTAGGCACTACCTTGACCAGGACGGCAACCGGCAAGCACAATTAGTAAACTGCCGGACAGCCGTCACCAATATGGATGAATACATAGCCACCTTCCTCTTCACACCGTTATTGTCTGGGACTCTTTTCACGATCCAGTGACTTGATCTGCTATTGTAGTATTTTGTCCCTACGGCCTGTACGTAGGAATGGGTTCAGCTTTGTCGTATCAGCCCTTGCACAGCATTTCCAAGAGTACTCCCTCTTCGTCTATGCCAACCCTCCTTCCCAGCGCATCATTCTGTGTCGATGCCTCGCAATGACAGCAATGAAGAGGTTGGGTCCCAAGGCAGCCCTCGCCTCAGCCGTAAGTATTCGACTACTTAATTCAACAGTCTGGTCTTCCGAAGACGTCAAAGTAACACACAAAAGGAACTGAAAGCCGCTTGCAACGCTTCATCAGTGAGATCGACGAGGAGGATGCGAGATCACGATACCTCGAGGAGGAAGCAGACAATAATGTTATCCAACCCAGTCACGGGTCGATCTCGTCCGGCAGCGGCGAGCGGAGCATCGTTGCTTTTAAGCCCAAGGACCCAGAGAATCCATATAACTGGTCTACGGTAATCCAAAGATCGACATCTGCCATCGAAAACCATTAGCTAACAGGTCACCTTCCAGAGGAAGAAGGCTTTTATCGTATTCACCACTATGACTACTGTTATCAACTCGACTATGGGCAGCGCGCTTCCCAGCAACGCCATTCCATATTTCACCAAGGAATGGAAGGTCACCTCTCAGATTCAGGAAGTACTGCCTATTGCTATCTTCCTTGTTGGTACGTCCAGAAAATTTGATATGTGTTTCTGCGATTCTTAAGTCCATAGCTGACCGAATATCTCTCATTACCAGGGTACATCTTCGGTAAATAAAATACTACCCAAAAAGCCTCACGAGATCGGTCCCTAATAATTTTGAACTCTTCAGGTCCAATATTATGGGCCCCACTGTCCGAACAGTACGGTCGGCGGTGGCTTGTCATCGGGACCTTCGTCATGTTCTGTACGTGGACATTGGCTTGTGCCCTGGCCCCAAACTGGCCAGCCTTCCTCGTCTTCAGGCTCTTCGTGGGTACATTCGCCAGCGCGCCCATTGCGATAGTAGCAGGCATCATGGCAGATATATACGGCGAACACCGGACGAGGGGACGCGCAATGGCGGTTTTCATGGCAGTGAGTCTGACTCGTTCTACGACAAAGCGACCACCATAAATATTACCATGGCTCGATCGGCTTTTGCTGACAGACTGTAAACACATTCAGACAACCGTCTTTGGCCCGCTCTTTGCCCCTATCATTTCCGGCTTCTCCTCGCCCAGCATCGGATGGCGCTGGAGCTTCTGGATCGGTCTCATTTATGCGGGCATGTCGATGATCCCCCTGATTTTCCTTCCCGAGACCTACGGCCCCGTACTCCTCCTCAGGCGGGCCCAGCGAATCCGCAAGCAGGACCCCAAGGCAAACGTCGTCGCACCGCACGAGCTCGAGAGTACAGACCTGCGCCAGCTCGCCGTACGTGTCCTGACCAGACCGGTCCGCATGCTCTTCTTCGAGCTGATCGTCTCCGCCACATGTTTGTACCTCGCGCTCTGTTACGGCATATTCTACATGACCTTCCAGGCCTATCCTATCATTTATCAGGACTTGTACGGGCTCTCGCCTGGTGTTGAGGGGCTTTGCTTCCTCACAATTGGCGCTGGTGCGCTGTGCGCGCTTCCTGTGTTCTTCGGTTGGGATGCATACCTCAAGAAAGCACAAGACCAGGGAAGGCCTTGGACAAAGAAGGAAGAGTATCGACGAGTCCCATTGGCGTGCCTCGGCGGCCCGCTGTTTGTCATCAGCCTGTTCTGGCTCGGCTGGTCGAGCAGGGAAGGAGTCCCATTCTGGGTGCCCATGTTGGCAGGTATACCCTTTGGCATGGGCTTTCAGCTTATCTTCATGGCTCTGGTGTGTTCTGTTTCTGTCCAGCAAACTCCAACACCTCCTTTAGCTAACCTGAGGTGCTTTACATAGCTGAACTACCTGACCGACGCATACGAGATCTTCGCCGCTTCCGCAAACGCTGCTGCCTCCTGTACAAGGTCCGTCCTCGGCACCGTCTTGCCATTCGCATGCACGCCGATGTTTCGGCGTCTCGGCATCCCAGGCGCATGCTCCCTGCTTGGAGGGCTCAGCTGCCTCGTCTGCGTCATTCCTTTCGTCTTCATATGGAAAGGAGAGAGGATACGTGCTGGCTCGAGGTTCTGCATCGTACTGAGGGAGAGGAAAGAGGAGATGGCGCGACGAGTCGAAGAGCAAAGGTGTAGGGATGAGACTGCTGATGAAGGCGAGAATAGAAATAGGACTGGTATTTTTGAACAGGAAAGCAAGGAAGAGGTCTAGCATATGAAGACATCAACCCCACTTCGTGTCGATGGGCTGAGGGCCAAACTTCTGGGTGCACGCGTTGCTGGACCTATTTTGAGAGCGGTGGTATACCGATAGGTAATATGAAATAAGAAACTTCATCTCCGCCGAGGTCATGCTAGTGCTGGCCGATAGGTTGAGCAGTTTCGAAGGAGTGCACACCTCTTGATTTGCCCTGAAAGACCTCATGTTGAAGACATGAGAAATCTGGCTTTGGTCGGCATTTATGATCAGGGCAAGGTCGATATTTATTGAATTGATTTGTTTGGGATGGCAAAAAATGGAGCTGGTGTCTTGGAGCAAGCCTGTGTGAAAAGAAACTTTCACGACGTGGAAAAGAATTCTTCAACGAAAGCATGGCCGTCTCTGTTCATAACTGCAAATGATGAAAAGAGCTTCATGTATTTTGGGTCCGCTATCACGTCATTTAGAATTTTCTCTCCCTCTTGGGCTTTCTCTCGAATATTGCTTAAAGTCAACGTTCTCTACTCACACAGGCCCTCATTCCACAAACCTGCACGAGGGGCTCAAGCTCTTTCTACAGCGTTGAGAAGCTCCAGTGATCATAAGTATGTCAATGTAACTCATGCATAAAATCGCAATACGAGTAATCTATGAGAATCCATAATATAACCAAGTTCTAATAAGTGACTAGGCATGTCCAGGTCAAATCAGGATCATGCTCTATTATACGCTCCATTAGCAAAACCCTGACTCTTTTTTACTTGAAAGAAAACAATTTATAATCAAAAAGAACAATTGAGACAGGTCTCAATTAAATGACTAATTCCGAGACTCCAGCTCTGTCGGAACGCCGTTTGTATATGGACCATCACCGTGTAGCTCGCCTGGCGGCCCCTGATCCAGCTCATGCCGTTGATGTAAGCTTCCAGCATCCAGGCCAGATCTTCTCCCGTATCTGCCTTCGCGCCATACGCTCGTGCCTTTTGGTGCTTCGATTGTTGTCAATGTTGTGACTGGTGTCCGTCTCGCTCGCCTCGATCTGCGCATCATGATCAGCCCGGCGGCTAGTGTCATAACACCGATGCACCCCATCGCTGCCCCAACGCCGATGCCGATGATGTCCCCGTTGCCGAGCGCTCCGTTGCCTGGAGCGCATGTTGATTCTGCCTGCCCGGGGGAGTCTGGCGTACCTGTCTCCTCGGCAAAAGTCCAGCCGTTCACATGAACTGCGACAATCGATGAGGTCTCACTGAACGACAGGTTGGTCTTCTTCCAACCGCTGAACCCCTCGTAGAAGGTGAAAACGGCACCTGGGCTGACCATGCTGAAGCACTGGCCGATGGAACCGGGGGGCTTCCATGTACGGAATGTGTAGTCCCTAAAAGGGAAGCCATCAGTTCTCCAAGTTTCTCACGGAATCTGCTTTACTTAGTAGGGATGATGGCGAGAACGGCGACTCACGACGGGCAGCAACCCACAAGCGTACTGGAAGCGTCCAACACAGACGTAGTCATCTGTACAAATGGTTCAGGGCAGGTGAGAAGAGGTCCGATACTCGTGATGGTCTCGATGTTGGGACCTAATCTATCCTGATCCCACCACGCTGTGACCGCTTTGGGCCCACATTGAGACCTCCGATCCACGCTGATGCCGAACCCAGGGTCATATGCAATGATGGCTTCGGAAGGATCCCACCGCATGAGAGCAGATGTGCACTCTGGAAGGATTGAGTAGGGCGTGATGAGCGGGATCCAAGAAGTGACAGTCCCTTCCCTAGACTCGGGCGGCTTGTAGACTGTTGCTGCGGCCTGAGATGTGGCAGCCATCCTTTTGGGAAAATTGATGAAGAAGATGATTGAGCTCTTTCGAGTTGAAACTCTGGACAGCCAATTCCTAAAAATGCCTTGTTCTTTAAATATCAACAAACCTGTGCCACATAGGTGCTCACACGGGGGCTCAGCTCACGTGGGGGCCGTGTGAGACGCGCCCAACGCAGCAAATACACATAGGTTGCGCGGGCACACACCCTTCCTCCCGTTATTCTATGCATTGAAATTCGAGGAATAGAAATAACTAGGCGTGTTTAGTTGATAACTGACCTCAATTTAGCCAGGTCATGGAAGCGATAGTCGAGACGAAGACGGCATGGTTAACATGCTATAGCCCTGGGCAGGGTGGTCCACGGAACATGTTAGTGTATCCTACTCAGACAACTATCTATCTTGCAAATCCTTGTTGATATCTAGTCTAACAGCATCGAAGACTACTTGAAAATCACGAACATGAGTAGAATTCCTCTTGTCTTGTTGTAGTAAAGAAATGTCACATTTTGTCGTCAATTGGTTAATTCCATTGAGCTTATGAACTTATAATATTGGCAACGAGGGCATGAAAACGCCGAAATCACGAAAATGATGATTCAGAATTTGTCAATTTCTATCTGGGACTAGAACGCCAACCTTCAAGTAACCATTCCGATAAGTAGTATGTACACTCACCATGAAGGGACCTACTTACAAAGATGGACCCACTTGTTCATGGCTTTCATCAAGAGTTTGCTTGTCGCTGCGGCGTATTCCTCGGAAAGGCCATGTTGTAGTCCTACAAATCCTCGAACATGCTCTTCCAAATCCATCATTCGGTTGATGCGGGCTATTGTAGGATCTGTCAAAAATTCTGGCGAATCCACGGAAGCAATATCCGTTTCGAGATTGTGGAATGAAGCCTCGATGAAACGTAGCTGCTCCCTGGCCTGGCATGCATGCCGCTTGACTGCGTCGACCTTCCTGAGAGAGCGGATGATTTCCAAAAGTGTGTATAGAACATCCTTGAGGGCGAAAGAAAGACCATGGACGTTGTTCTTGGCATTTTGAAATTTGAGCCATGCCTCCTCTTCTGGTGAGCTTTGTTCATCCGCCTCAGGACGTGGAGCTTCGTATGGCATATGTTCTTCACGCGCGTTCTCTGGAGCATCCGGATCTGTCTGATTTCTCCACTTCTTCTGCTGTTCCCTGTTCGCACGTCGCGCTCGCTGACGCCTACGAGCGTTTAGCTCGTCCTGGTCAGCATAGAAACGAGGATTGCCAGGAAACTGGGATGGCTGGGGCCCACGAGCACCTCTATCTTTCTTCTCGTTGAAACCCCAGCTAGTTTCACTGTTCGGATGGTTATCTTTCGTTTTCTTAGCTAGCTGCAAGCTTTCATCGTACTTGCTTCTCGACTGGGAGTCTTTGAGCACGTTGTATGCGGCAGATATAAGAACGTACTCCCTATGGGCTTTCTCAGCTTCGGATTTGTCTCGTTTATCCGGATGTTTAGCCAGAGATTCCTTAAAGAACGCCTTTCTAATTTCTGCAAAGCTTGCGTCAGCTTCAACACCCAACACTTCGTAGTATTTCTGAGCAGACATGTTGATTGAGTTGATGAGGCGTTTCTCTTCTACTTCTGGTATTGTTATCAATGTGTGATGAAGCAACCAGAGAGTTTGGATACTGAAAGAGGAGTTCGAATTGAGTAAAACCAGGAGTGACAGTCTATTTATAGCTCTGGGATTGCTTCTGAGATGCCTTTGAACAATGGTTAAGTCGGGCGAACAGAGTCTTTGTTGCCAACAATGCCTCTTCCACGGTAGATGGCCCTTATAAACATTGTACTTAGTTTGCGACAAAGTCAGCGGCTTGTCATAAATGCATAAAGACAAAGAGAAAATAGTGCTGAGGGCTGAGAAAAAGACAATGCGGCGGTGCTCATCTATTGTGCGCCGCGAGTATCTGAAGACATTTCTGTTGGACACCACCCTGGCTGAGGCCGACCATTGATCATCATTTCCCGTCATGGTCTGAATGCGAGAGTGCAACTCTTCCTTCCCGACGAACACTTCAGGATGTCTTACCACCTGTGCATCTTACCCGCACAGTTGTTCTCATTATGAAACCTGGAGCTATTGAGGCTGCTCACGATCATGAAAAATGGTTGCATAGCCGTGGACTCGAAATAATAAAGCCCAAGGCATCTGTAAAGCCAAAAGTTTAAGTCGTGTTCGTGTTCTATGAGTGAGCTAAATTACTCCTCTGAGACTTGAATTACGGCCAGATTTCGCTACTGAAGAAAGCGGAAAGATATCAATTCTGCAAGCTCCTTGTGCCTCTTGATGTCTTGACCTCGATCTGTTGGAGAAATGCGCTGGCCAGCCATCATGTCCCATCACAACAAACGAATGAAGGAAGTCAAAACAGCGGAGGAAATGTACGTAATTCTCCGGATTTCATCAACCAGCATTTTCAATTCTGTGAGAGCACACGAGGTGGTGATACAGGGGCAGCATGTGTGTTGTTGCAACATCCGCACTTGGATCACCTTGAGTACCGGTTTGCTTCGAATCAACGTAGTGAGCTCGAAAGGGACAAAGCGGAGAAGTTCATCATCCAAGCCCTGGAGATAATGCAGAACGTGCGGCGGACATTCCTGGAACAGCAAAGTCAGATCTTCTCAAATTCGTGGTTCCTGTTGTCTAATCCCCCACGTGCATTTTCAAGCGTCGCTATCCAGTGAATATGTACTCCAGGTATGCCTTCAACAAATCTCACCAACTCCCTATGTAGATATGAGAGTCGATACATCGGTTGTCATCATATAAATAATGAATTAATTATGTACAATCGACCGCAATTACTACAGGCCATTAGTCTACATGTGTGACCGAGTAAGAGGAGCCTGGGTGAGCTCACTTCCGAGTGCAAACCTCTACGGTACTTACATTTTTGCCGAGAGTCGTTTCCGATCATCGCAGGCTATCATGCATGGTGTGATAAGCCAAACTCCCACTCAAATGCTGCGATTTCGAAGCAGGTGCGGGGCGATGAGGCGACATCCTCACTATCCTGCAGCTGCACAGAATCCAATTTCAAAAGCTTACAACTACTAGATAGAGTTCAAGAAAACAATACTTGGAAATTTCTTTATTCTCAAAGTTGCTGAACACTATGTCCCGAACTGCCACAGCCTCTGAGTCTGCGATAGCGCCGAGGACTGTCACGTTGCATAATGGACAAATCCTCACCTTCAAATCCAACATCTCCACCAATCTGGAGAGCATACCCATCACCGATGCTAGCAAGATCTGGTCTGAATGCTTAGAAGATCGCCAGGCTGTCGCTGAAGAGGTTCGAGAGGCTTCGCGAACTATTGGTTTCTTCTACCTCATCAATCATGTAAGATTCATTTATTTCGAAAGTAGTTTTGGGAACGAGATATGGCTGATCATGAACAGGAAATACAGGAGAAGTACGCTCAAGATTGCTTCGCACAGGCGAAGCGATTCTTCGCCTTACCCGAGGAGAAGAAGATGGAGGTATGGACAGGGCAATTGCCCACTGAGTATGCAGGTTTTCACCCAATGGCGGCGTACAATAGGAACGGTTGGAAGCATCACGGTAAGCCACTCAGATCGGTAGCTCATCTTGTAGAGCAGAAGCTGACAATGGTTCCCTGACGAGCAAGATCTCAACGAGGCCTTCAACTGGCCGTATGATCCCCGGCAGGACCCCGAAGCCGTTAGCGATCATGCGCCTTCACCGAGTCTCTGGCCTTCAAACTTACCAGGTTTCCGCGAAGGCTTGTATGCCTATCAGTTACAGCTTCTCCGGTTATCGCGCCAATTGACGCGAATATTTGCCCTCGCTCTCTATCTACCCGAGGACTATTTTGACGAGTACATCAAACGGCCTGAGGCTGGTATGCGCATTCTGCACTACCCAGAGCAGGAGAATTGCATCGACGATCAGAACGGCATCGGTGCTCATACAGATGTCGAGTGTTTCACCATCGTGACTCAGGACTCAGCCGGGGGTCTCGAAGTGCTCAGCAAATCTGGCAACTGGGTGAGGGCTGACCCGATCCCAGGAGCTTTCGTGGTGAATATTGCAGACTGCTTCATGAGACAGACCAACGACTTCTTTGTCTCTACCGTTCACCGTGTTATCAACAAAAGCGGAAAGGAGAGGTATTCAGCACCTTTCTTCTTCGGATTTGATAAGAACAAACTACTAGAGCCGGTCCCTACTTGTATTAGCAAAGATAACCCTATGAAGTATCCTATTATGACTGGTGGCGAGTATTCTCGATTCAGGGTAGGGAAAGTCAAGGGCTTACAAGAATCAAACGACAAGACCTAATTTCAGGACTACTGGAGCATTGACAGAAGCGGAGGTGTCGAGCAATGAGCAAATGGTGGGTGATGCAGATCACCTATGACGCATACATGAACGCATCCAACGCAGGCAACATCGAGCAACCGGCGGTAGAGCTATTTGTTGGGTCACAAGTCATTCTTCCATCAGAATAATCCCATACCATCTTATTTAAACTTCAACTCAGGATCACAAAATTGTATCACGAATATGTCCGGAACAGCGCCATCAGAGAACCCAAGCGGCGGTGCACCGGGTGACCGGGGAGTAGAACAGACATCGCTTGACTCGCACCAGCACGGCCAAGCGCAGTATGTTCGGCCAAATCTGGTGTCGGATTCCTTGTTCTAACTAGCGACAGGAACTTGATCGATGAAGCACAGTTGCGACAAGAGCCTACAGACCGTGACATAGGCGCAAACAAGGAGGCTACAGATCCGAGGGGAGTACTACAGGGGCAATCCGGCACGAAGGCTAAAAGTGAGGCAAGAAACAATCAGGGTTTCCAGGTCGGTGACGAGGGAGACCTTCATGATTTAGCTGCAGGCAAACAACCATAAATTGTTTCTTGACTACGAAAGTACGCAGTCCAGTAGCTAAGAGGAAATACTCTTTGCTGGGCCGGAATGCATCGTAACATCACATTCAGCATTGTTACGCCCTAGATAGTCAACGAAAGCACGACTTATTCAAACATTAGACTTCAGCCAGAACTAAGAAGTGTCGATCATGTTCGAACCGGAAAACATACCTAAGTGGCTCTTCGTTCAAACTTTTGCCATGATGATATGTCCGAAGTAAGTCCAGCTGCTCAGCTTTGCCTGTATCTAATGTTGCACTCGCTGAGACATCCAAAGCCGTTGTAACAAGAAGAAAGTTTATGCCCTCTACATTTTAGTCTGTAATGTTTGAAAAAAGGGCAATGACCAACATCAACAGAATATAGTCAGGAGCTTTCATTTATTCAATACAAATATAGATGTCCACAAGCCGGAAGAGCATTGTATATTAATGAGCGGTAACTTAACTGCGTTTTGATGTTCTGGACATCAACAATGTCGTGCCGCATGAAAGTTCTTGTCCCCTTGTGTGCTTGGAACACAGCCTCTTGTGCATAACACCTAGATATATATCTTCCGCAAGAAAAGGTAAGGAGTTGGTATACAATATACATCCACGAGGAAAGGTATCGCATAACGTTAGGTGAATGCATTAGCCACTACAGCATCTGGAGTTAGCTACTAAAACACTAAAGAAGAAGCTTCACGGAGATGGGGAGGAAGAATCACAGTCTGAACAAAAAAAAAAAAAAAAGGACGTTGAGGCATATACTAAAACAGACCATGGATGACAAATGTTTTCTCTTGAGAGGTTTAAATTTGTATGTGGAAGCTGCTTACAAGGCCTTGCGTTCGGGCGTGAAGGATAGTGGAGCCATCTCCTGAGCCAGGCTTGATCTTGTGCTGTCAGCACGGGCGGTCCCAAGACGTTGTCAAGAGTATGTCGCAGCTGTTGAAGCGATGGCCTGTCGATGGGCTTGTGCATCAGACATGCAGATACAAGAGCACAAAGATCGTGTCCGTAGAGCTGCACATAATTCTGATCCATTATTTTTTGCCCGTAAGTCCAATGATTCTGGTTGGCGGCGTCCTGCGTAGCTCTCGGGGGCTGGATAGGGTGCATGAGTGTCATGCAGCACCACATCACCTGAATACCAAATCAGTTAGGCTCGTAATGATCCAATGTATGGCCTACCATTCCAATTTGCCACACATTTGACCACTCTCCGTAGTTTGCAGCAACAGTATTAAGATCACCAATTCTGCTTATTGGGCCCGGTGGGTCGGTTCCCAAGTCTTGGGAAAACGGATCTTGATGTTCCCTTAACTTATCCCAGTCCGAAGTGAATTGTTCCTGATACCCATCGAAAACTTGTCAATTAAAATTTCAAAGACGATAAAATGCCATTGGCATGACTCTTCAACCAACTGTGGCTTACCGGCAAATAATACCCAGGTTTGCCTATCTGCCGATTATCCCATATTTCCATCATCTGTTCCAAGGTATACGGAGGACCACCATCGGAGCTACGAGTTTCATTGGGGGTCTGTGCAATTCCAAAGTCTGCTATCTTGCTGTGGGATTAGCCACGAAATTGGGCGACAAATTTGTGATCAAGATCTTACTTTGAATACCGGCATAGTCCGGTGGTTGGCGTCGGTGTCGTACACAAACACATTCCGAGGGTCGATATCGAAATGAACAATATCATGGTGGTGCACATGTGGGCCTGGATTGGGAATTACCTCGGGTAGCGCTGCGCCGGTCTCGTCAAAAATGTCATTTTCATTCGGTGGCCGTTGTTGTCTTGGCGGGTAGGCCATGGCCACGCATGCTGTGATCACTAAATGACAAGTTAGTAGCTTGTTATATATAAACGAATCAGGTCCCGACTCAGCTGACAAATAACCGACAAGACTCACAGCAATCGAATATTTGCCAAATGATCGCTCCGGGGAGAGCATCTTGAGCTCTACTCACTGCATACTGTGTGTTTAAATTCCTCAAACTGATCTGATTTCCTCTGAAAACCCGACGACCAGCTTTGGAAAGTAGCGCATGCAGGTCTCCTCTTCTTGCCCATTCGATCCAAATTGTACGCCTATTTCTATCCATTACACCGGCCCGTGCCCCAGGTGCCCCCTCACCAATGAAGCTTCGAATAAGGAAGCGCTGTATAATATGCGTCGCCCGAGCTAATAGCTACGTGATCCCAGAAATAGTCAGCTAGAGGTTACATGGCTAAGAAAACGAGGCGCCGTGGTCAGAAGCAGAGTCTGGCAAAGGGCCTTGGGAGGATGGAATTGGTTTTAAAGGGCGTCCACAGACTCGAATTTTAGGTTTTTCATTGGCAATCGCTTCGAGACCAGAATTGTTGTTAGGTATCGCGGTCTTAAGAACTGATCTGGCGATTTGTTGTGTTGTCGTGTTTCTCCACTCCCAGAGACTCGCGATTCCCATTCCTGCATTGACATATCAGTCAGTCGTTGACAACGGTTGGAGCTCAATAAGCCAGTGGTGACATTGGTTAGCTTGTCTCGAAACACGCAGAGGGAGGCATGTAAATTTTGATTGTGAGTGAATCAAGTGAGCACACTGGACGTACCACCAACACCGAGGCATTTTATAACTAATTGGGAGAATTTTTAATATCACGAGATCACAAATTGAGGAACATGTTTGTCAAGAGCAATCACTGACACTTCAAACTATTTCCCCAGTTCGCTTGAAGCTGTTGGAAATCACCCAGAGCTCGGACTATATCAGCTGGATTCCGTCTTGCGACCTGCGACCTGATGTTGGGTCTTGGATTGGAAATCCTGTTGAAGCGGCCGGCATTAAGAGCGGCCCGTCTGCGGTTGCTCAATCTAATGGCAAGTACTGGATCGTACGCGTCAATAATCACTGGCTGTGGTAAATCTCGGTTACCGAATGCTTGTTTTCTAGCATCCCGGTCCCAGTCTAGACCTTCTCTGTAATATTGGAACTTGTCGCCGTATTCTCGCTGGTCCTTAGGCAATTGGAGCATTAAATGCAGAAAATTATTCATCCCGGCCATTATTATATATTCGAGCGCAAAAGAAATATGCTCCTTTACTGGTCTGGTGCTGAGGTGTGTTCTGAAGCAGACCATCATGGTTATATGATTGAAATGCAATTCGGTGATTCTGGGTCACCGGCGGGGCAATTACGTCGGCACAATGCTGAACAAAGGGAGACACCGAATCAATTCCAATTTTTGCGGACAGGATCCATCCGTTTCGGCGATTTTGCCGATACCGCAAACGTCTGCCGCTTCTTCTAATCCAGCTGCATGCATTTGGCTCAATGATCTAATCCTAGTTGACAAAATGAAGGCACGGAAAGCAAGGCCAACATCAAGAGACATCGTGCATCTCAATTGCTACAGATTCTATCTTGTACACTCAAAAACACAACGAACGTTGTGCTCACCAGCAGTTTGTGCGAGAGAAGTAGAGGAGTAGAGTCTACTTAATACTCAGATTTTCCAAAACTGGACCTGAATCGACAGTTCAAGACAGTGTGAATGAGAGAAGGGTATCCTCGAATAATATGACGATGGAAAATAAAAGTCCATCAAGGCCCAAAGCACCCAGAAATCTAGAAATTGTACCTTGTAAACAAGAGAACGAATTGGACACGATATGATGAGCAAATTATTATCTTTATCAGCAATCAATCCGCCTTCGCACGTCCGTTAGCATGGCCATTTGTAAACCCCTTCATGTAGCCTTTCGTATTCTTTCCTTTCACCTCACCGTTGGCCGCTCTATTAGCACTTCCATTTGTATACCCCCCACTATCGGAATCCAAAATAAACTCCAACCCTTTGGTGATGGAGCTGATTGAGCCAAACTTTGCGAACCACGATTCGGATATATATCCCTTGCGCTCGTTCCAGGGGTCGACCGCAGCCTTCCTCGGCAACTTGTCCCGTGCAACCATGAAATAAGTAGACTTCATGCTGATGATGGGTTCGGCTTTCATCTGTTCCCTATTCTGGACAACGGGCTTGAAGGCTACCGCGCCAATCTTCTTCGTGTGGTGGATGACTCGCATCAATAGCCGGAGGCACGCGTCGCTGCCCAGTGTCCAGCTCATGTCCGTGTACCCAATCACCATGGCCAAATTGGGCACACCCTCCAGCATGAAGTTGCGCCAGGCGAACCTTTCCGCGATGTTGAAGCGCTGCCCATCAAGGGTGCAATCCACGCCGCCGAGGATAAGGAGGCGGAGGCCCGTCGCCGTGACAATCACATCGGCGTCGATGGTCTTCCCTGATTTGGTCTTGATACCGGACTCAGTAACCATGTCAATATGATCCGTCACTACCTCGCAGTTACCGCCTCGCAATGCGTCGTAGAAGTCGCCGTCCGGGCAGACACACAGTCGCTGAGTCCATGGGGTATATCTTGGCGTGAAGTGCGGGTCCACGGGTATGCCTGAGCCTTTGAGCTCTCTGGCCATCGCTCTGATGAGCATCCTCCTTGCGAACTGGGGGAAGGTGAAGCAAAAGGTTTTGACAATGGTCTGAAAAAGAACGTCCTTCCAGAAATTCATTGTGTCCGCCACTCTCTTGGGCAATAATTTCCGTAATGCAAAAATATGACGAGGGGCCGCTGGCAACGGCATAACGTAGCTTGGGCTTCGCTGAAGCATTGTGACTTTTGCTGCTGTCTTCGCGAGAACAGGCAGGATAGTCACGGTGGTCGCACCTGAGCCAATGATGACCACTCGTTTTCCGGAGTAGTCCAGGTCTTCGGGCCAGAACTGCGGGTGCACAACGGTTCCTTTGAAGTTCGATATCCCAGGGATCTCGGCCTGCAACGGTTTCTCGTAGTCATAATAGCCGCTACATGCGAGGACGAATTGGGACCTGATTCTCTTTTTCTCTTCTCCGTCATTGATTTCTGCTTCCAGGGTCCATTTGTTCTCGGCAGACGACCAGTGAGCGCCTACGACCTTGTGCTTGAACTGGATGTGCTTGTCGATGCCTGCGGCCTCAACAGACTCTTGGAGGTAATTCTGTATAGTAGCACCGTCCGCGATCTCCTTCTCCTCGCTCCATGGTCGCCACCTAAAGCCGAAACCTGTGAGATAGGAATCTGAGCGAAGACCGGGGTATTTGAAGAAGTCCCAGGTGCCGCCGACTGTGCCTCGCGCTTCGAGCACGGTAAATTTGGCGTTTGGGAATTCCGTTTGGACCTTGTGCGCTGCGTTTATACCCGATGCACCGGCACCTATTATGACAAAATCGTAGTCCTCCATCACTGATAACTAATTCCTTGGCGGGGAAGACAGTTGGGCAATACCTCAAAAAGTAGGGTGGGACAACGAAGCATCTAAATTGTGTAGCATTTGTCGGTTGAAGCGACTGCGCTTCCTTATCTCATTGACGTCAAAACGGAGTAAAACTACCTAGATGCAAAAGCCTCACATGAACAACCCCCATTCGTTTCACTTGCCCAACTCGGGCCACATGGAAGGAGTTGGGGAAGACATGCGACGATCCTCGGTTGCATTCCGGGCTTGTATGGGTCGGGGTGTGTCCTGACAGGAAATGTGAAGCGATTTGTCGAGCACCCATGCGATTGGGTGGCAATGGTTCGAGCGAACTCAAGTTGGGATGATCTCTAGCCATCTGCTCCAAGACACGCATTTGTTTGGGAGAGAAGACAGGCCTTGGCAACTCCAGAACCTTCATGCCGAGGCTTTCCCAGCTTTTCTTGTGACAGTCGCGGCGCCCGAGACTCCTAGTGGTAGCTAGTTGAGCTACTAACACGGGTATCCCCTGTACCTCTCGATTTGGAGATTTGTGAAGCACACGATGATGGACAACTGTCCACATCCCGGGGCCATCCATCTAGCTACTGCTAATCGTCAAACATAAACCGAGGTACATACCGAGGCGTGCCTGAGTGACCTTTGGATGACGATTACATGGCGAGCAACGCTGCCGACAATTGCGAATGCAATTCCTCGCCGCATCCACTTGCGATCAATTAAGTATCAAGGTGACTGATTATCTCATTGCCTATCATTCACCGTGCCTAGAGAATAAGGCGCTTCGTAGCAGAAAAGCATCGTCGACGTCTCGTGGTCATTACGTACCCATGAACTGCTGCTTGAGCTTTAGCCTTCGCCAGTCTGATGATCTAGATTCATACATTCGGGCCGTGTGTGGTACATCGCAATGATCAAAACTCAGAGCTGCTCATATTGCCACAGAGAAAGCAGTGCACGGGGCAAAGGAAGCGGTCGTACAGATGCTGAAAACGGCAGTGCAATGCATCCTGAATACAAAAGAAGATACGATCTTATCCGTACAAGTGTCTTCGGACGAATAACGTAACAATTACAATGTAACCTCAAGTGATACGCGGGCGTTTTCTTTGGGAGTGCTTTGAGCATGCTTTATAATTTTATTTACACAGGAATTTCGCAATATTATTTTGCACCTTCCTGGGATCAGCCATGTTTTTACCGTCAAACTGCGATCTCTAAGATACCAAGCTTCTAAAGTTATCAAGTAGGCGGTATCGGGAGATATTCGAGGGTCGATGAAAATAGTCTCAGCCCATGAGATGGTCATGAGTTCATACACCTCAACTTGTTAAATACACGAGATCAGACACGGGAAAGGAAGCCATTAGTTGTTTTTGAAGGAGCTGAATGCATCTGCTTCCTGTATCTGTTTCCTGAGCTCTCTTAAACAACCTACTCATTATCTGGCGTCGACGTCGCCCTCTCTTTTCAGCGGCAAAACGTTTTTGCACGAAGTGGACTTCCGCATGGAAAGCGTGGCAGAAAATATGGATGCGGTCCCATGGTAAAACATGCCTTTCGTTATTGCGAACTAAACTATCTTTGTCATGATGAGCGGGAGATATTGTCCCAGAGTCTTGAGTATTCGAACATTCAGTGAATCAGAGTCAGGAAGAAGTTGCCAGTGTTTTCCTGACCGATCCGGAAAAGACATGAGTGGTCGTTACTCGGCTCGGATTCATGAACGTATCCCGCGAAATCTCGGCAGTCATGGACGTGCCAGATTCCGCATCGTCGAAACAGATCCAACTTCGCAATCACAAGCAAGGCCACGTCACTACTCAAGAGGCTCTGCCTTTCGGCAAGGGACCCATGATTGGAGCCACTTGCCCAAACACAGGGATACAGAAGGTCAGGCACAGCATCCGAGGAATAAGGCTTGGCTTCGTGACATTGAGCAACGGGCCCGTGCAAATTTTCATCACTTTCGGTTTTCACGTGCAAGTACAAATACATGTGAAAAACGAGAAATCGATTGATGGTACACGATCGACCTGGGTCAAAGTACGCGCATCGACCAACCATGCTCGCTTAATCAGATGTTGCGTAAGTTCAAAGACGGTCTGCTACATCTATTTCCTTTGACAAAAAGATTGAAAACAGGTATGTTTATATTAGGAAAGTCTATAGAGAACTGTTGTTGGGGTCATTTCTCGGTATGGGTATGTGCTGTCCTCCATGAATACAAGCTATCATCAGGTCGGCATACACACTGATTTCCGCCATCTACATGTCAGACTAAAGTTGCAAATTCGCTTGAAATGCCTCGCCTGTGCGCTTATCCAGCTGGTTTGAAGAGGTGATGCCGTTCTACTTCAAGCAAATCATCAAATAACATTGGGGACATACTTGACTTTTCCATAACTATTTCTGTATTTTGCCTTCCTGCTTAAACCCAAGCCAACGACAGTTCGTAGGGTGAAACAGACGTGCCATTCTAAGCATGTCAGCCGTACAATGTTTCCGTGCGCTGAGCTTTAGTACGTCGGATCAGACATCCTATTCCCTATCTTCTACTACTTGGTCAGAGTGCAGCCTCCCTGTATTCGCCATCTGCCGGTGCTGAATTATGTCGAAGCCTTCCGAGATCAACTCCGGATCTACAGGTATCACACACTTCAGCGTTAGATAGTCATCACGTGATAAAAGTGCACTATTTGATTCTGAGGGAAGAACTTGCGCTTCTACAGAAAACAGTCTCAGACTTCAATACGGCTTTGGCCTGCTCTTTCTTGTGGGAATCTTGGAATATTGTGTTCTCCTTGATTGCAAGTATGATAGGAGATCCGGGCCATTCCTTGCTAAAGCTCTCGCGGCGCCCCAGCTGTGTTGCGCAGATATGAGTCACCTCCTCAGCTTGTAGCATAAAGAAGGGGTGTTCTTAGATACAGATAAAGTACGTCGACAATCAGACACATGAAACTCGTCAATTGAGCTGTATCTACATGCAGTCGCACATAGGTCGAACGGAAATCAGGTGAGCATTGATTCCATTGCGTTGAAGAAACTGAGCCACTGTCCCATGTGGAACCAAAAAGAAAATAAGCTGACAAGTTTTGTGGCGTGGCGTTGGCTTGGTCCGACAGCGGGCTTGAAGCGGCCGCCGAGCTGAATGAACCAACATCCGAATGCTAAGCAATCTGATTTTTGACAGTCCAATCCCGCATTAGTCTGGAAAATCTAAGGAACCCAGTTGGTCCTGAAGCGGGCTGTACTCGAAACGTGGGGGGCTGTGCGGCTCACCTCTGTATCTTGTTGGTAATGTGGTGGAAATTGCTCTGCACTTGTTGGATATTGAGCGCCATGGGTGAGCATACCTCAGCACGGCGTACCCTAGCGCTGATCAGAGCTGGCATGTTTACTCGTTGGCTCCCATGATATAAGATGCCAGGTCCTTCCGCTTCTTGAACATGAACGAGACGATTTTCCTAACTTCGACTCTATTGTTTGTAGCCGTTTCCTTCGATCGCTATTCTCTTTGTTGTGCGTCATTGATACCCAGACTCCAAGTCTCAAAATGATTTCCAAACCTCTAATTACCTTCGCCGGTCTGTTGGCAGCTGTGTCAGGTATGTTTCTTCAATGCTGTAATGAAATATTGCCACTTTACCTAGGTACCCGGCTAACACAGAGTTTGCTCCAGCCATAACAATCACTGAGCCTCAGCAGGGCGCCAAGCTCGATTTCAGCGGTAGCAACACAATTTCTTGGACGTCGGTGGACACCGACCCCGTCTCTTTCGAGATCGTCCTCGTGTCGCCGAACAACTCCACGATTGCCCAATCTGTCATCACAAACTCTGTCAACACGACTGAAAACAAATACACCTTCTCAAACTTTGTCACCCCTGTCGGCGACAATTACCAGGTCAACTTCCTTGGCAATGTCGGCACAAACAGGGGCATTATCAGCCAGTCGCAGACATTCGCTGTCACCAAGTCTGGTGTTGAGTCGACTGGCACATCCTCGACCGGTGCATCTGCCACCGCTACTGGCGCCTCGCAGAGTGCTTCCGCCTCTGGTACAAGTGCTGCTAACGCTTTGAGCGTGACTTTTGGCATCGCTGCACCCATCGTCGCAGCCCTCGGCATGTTGCTTTAGACTTCACCAAAGCTTTCAGACAGGAGAGCGCAAAGGAATAGAAGCTCGGTTGCATTTACCTTTGGCCTAATAGAAAATATGATTTGAATATACTAGTGTTTCTCAAGCTTCTCGTTCACCAATCACACCTCTCGCCGCCCCATTGCCCCTGCGTTGCTTCTTCTCGTACACGGCTTTAAAAAGCGATCAGGCGCAGAATTTGCTCAACTTATCAATGATTCCATGTCACTCCACATTTATAGACTATTCTGCATTCTAATGTCATACATATGCGTCCATAACTTGGTTAATATGCCTAGATACCTTTGCATACACACGCCACTCGGCACCTATGAGCAGACAAAATGTTTGAGTACAGCGTATTACGGTACTGTCTTTCAAAACTCGATTTCCCTGCGTCAAATGATCTGATTCAGTATGATTATGTGAGCAAATAGTAGAAACCCAATCAGCACGTCATCGTGACCGAATTCCTACTTTGAAGCCTGTCCATGCGGATCCAGTATTTGATGTAATGACGACGATCAGCACTTATCTGAACATATTCATCTTCGAAGCTCGCCGCCGTGCTTCAATGATCAACTGAACACACGAATTCCGACGTTCGAAGCTTTAAGAAACAACTCGGAAAAGAAAAAACGCCAAAGTGAGTCTAGTCACTTTCAAGACAAACCCAAACGATTCTAATGGAAACTCAATCAAGAGACCAATACCCGTCACGAGATATGAGCAGTGACGCCGAGCCCACCATCCACACCGTCGGTTCTCGCTACAGCCCGGACCTGCCGGAACGCGATGGCAAGACGCCCGAGTACATAGATAAGATACTGCCCAGCGCGCTCGACAGCAAGCTAGCCAAAGGAGGAGACAGCAAGGCAGACAACCATGGGGACGTTGTCACGAGACGCCCCAGCGGTGCCACTGGGCCTCATACTTCGATCGATTCTGGTACAACCAAAGTGTTCCGGACCGTGGGCAGCGCAAATCCCGGCAGTTTTGGCGCAACAGTGAGCAGGGAAAACACTGAATAAGCACTGCCAGTAACAAACGACAATGGTTTAGCCGTGACTTTCGATAACTCTCGACTCTTGAGGTCTGGCCCGAGCGGACTGTTGACAAAAATGATGCTCGACAACAGTAGCCACTCCCAAGTCATCAGCCATCCTAATCTACTCTCGTTTCTTTGCAATTGAGTGGCAAACGTCTTGATTCCTCCAGGACAAAATTCAAGGCGTTATCTTGATCGTCTCTTACTGGTGCCTGTTAGGGTTTCCAGGTACCATCACAGGCACGGACTTTTCCCAGTTGCTAAACCATGTTCTTCCCTCCCAAACATCCTCAACCGGCTTCCTACCTGCAGATATTTTTGCAGAAACCTCCTCGTTCTTCTTCCAGGCCCTGAAAATTTTCCTCTTGTCAGCAAGAAGGTCCGCGCGTAGGGGGGTGTGTGTTGAAAGAGGGCTGGCTGGCTCACCTCAGGATGTTCTCGCCCACCAACTTCCGAATCTGTTCATCCGTGGCACCCCTTTTCATCACAGCTTGGATGAGTTTGGGGTAGTCGGCCACAGAGTTTACACCATCAGCGACATCGGTCGTGCCGTCGAAGTCGCCACCGATGCCGACGTGGTCCCAGCCAGCCACCTCAACCACATGCATTATGTGGTCGACCACCGTCTCGATATTCGCGGCTTCGGGATGGTCCTGATTCAGAAAATAAGTAACAAACATGATCATAATAACGCCCCCGTTATCCTTCAGCCTCGCCAGCACATCGTCGGGCGCGTTGCGGTATACCTTGGCCAGCTCGTAGCACGTGCTGTGGCTAAAGATGACGGGCGCCTCCGTAATATCCAGGACATCGCGCATTGTTTTGTGCGACACATGCGCAAGGTCCGCCATCAAGCCTAAGCGGTTCATCTCCCTGATGGCGGCCCGGCCAAACTCAGTTAGTCCGCCGTCCTGCCCCGTGGCCGTCACGGTCGACGCAGCGGTAGCGTAAGGATTGTCGCAATTGTGGGTTAGGGTGATATATCTGACGCCGAGGTCGTACAGCTGCCGAATCACCGCTATCGAAGACCCCGTCTGGTGCAAGCCTTCTGCGCCCAGCATGGAGGCGATCTTGCCCTTCTTGAAAGCCTTCTGCACACAGGACGAGACGCCGCAGAACTCAAGCTCTGGAGTCTCGGAGATGAAGCGGCGGGCAACATCAATTTGCTCGAGGGTATCTCGGACAGCATGAGTTGGGTCGTTCAGGTCCTTGAGATCCGAATCGCACTCGATGAACACGGACCAGAACTGGCCGCCCATTCGGCCCTCCTTCATGCGTGCTAGATCTGTATGACTGGCTAGGCCTGTGGTACTGTGAGTCGATCGATTTAGTTTTGGGGGATCGATAAGGTTGATGATTATGTCACTCACTATCACGGAAGGGAAAAGACTTATTGTCGTAGATCTGATTGTGAAGCTCCAACCGGAGCAGGAAAGGGAGGTCATTGTGACCATCAATCAATGGTGTTGACCTCAAAATCATATCTGTCCTTGTTGCATAATCGTCCTGTCTGAGATTGGCAGTCTCATCTTGGTTGTATGCAAAGAAGGCAGCCAGGCTAGCTCCAGCCAGGGCAACGAGACTGGGAATCGTCCAGCTCCAGGATGTGGCCGATGTCTTTTGCGTCGCGCTGTTATTCCCCATAATGATTGACGCTGGGGAGATATCGATGCTATAAACTAGTGATCAAACGCGAGTATCTCAGGATCAGAACGACTCGAAGCAAACTGGTTTGAACTCGGCTTATCTTAGCCCAGTCAGAGTATGCGGTCGTTCATTCATTCTATCGGTCAGCAGAGTTTGTTGGCTTCTGCAGCGGGCAAACGGGCCCGTCATCGGGGCTCTTGGCCCGGACTCGGCAAGCTCCATTCGGTATTCCTCTTCAACCACTTCTAATAATGCACAGAAATGGAAACACGTCACTCTTCATAGTTGATTCATTAATTACTTCAAGTCTGATTCCCTCACTACAGATGCTCGCGTGACCTCTCATCACCTTTCCCCTGGCAGGTAATACATGGCCGCATTTATTCCTGCGATCGAAACCATGTTTTAGAGTATGTCACCTTACCGGTGTCAAATACACGTTCAGTGGGAGTTTCGTCCAAAGAAAGAAGACCTTCTGATCCAACCAGTCTTTCTTGGGATCCACCAGTTCGATATCAAAGTTGAACAGTAAGCGTGCCAGTATCGTCCGCATCTCGGAGTAGGCCAAACTGCACAAGAATTAGGAACAGTTCTCATGACAATATACAGCCGAATAACATGGAAACTTACTTCTTCCCTATACAATCCCTAGGCCCCATACTAAAGGGCTGCACCGCTTCTAAGATGTCTCCTGGGAAGCTCTCGGGCGCGAGAAATCGCTCGGGCTTGAAGCTGAACGGCTCGCTAAAGTTGCGGGCGCTGTGGTTCATCGGCCACTGTGCGACGCTTACAACGGTATTTTCGGGCACGAAGTAACCAGCAACATTTGCACCGCCCTTTGGCACAACACGAGGCAGTGGGCCTGCTACTGGCGGATAGCAGCGGAGGGCTTCCCGGAGACAGGCAAGCACTGCAGAAATGCGTCAGTAAGCTGGAATAGATGAGTCATAACAATCACCTTCAGGAGTAGGCGAGTAATATGTCTAGTCATCGACGGTATTGTTGCAGGACTTAAATAAGAGGGACGTGACATACTGTATGACAGATTCTGAACGGAAGAGAATGTAATCTCGTGTTCTGACTTAAATGCAGAGCGTACTTCTTCTGTGACCTTGCGCAAGCACTCTGCGTTCGTCAGAAGCAAGTAGGTGACTCCAGAGAGAAGAGTTGCCGTTGTTTCTGACCCCGCAATGACAAGGAGCCCTGCGTTGGCTCTCAGGCGCTCGAACGGCATGTTCAACTCCTCCTGCTTACGCAACAAAGGTTCGATGAGGTCTGGACGCTCGACGTTGAGGCCCATTCTCCTCCTCAATTTCTCGGCTGTCTTCTGCCCGTTGATTCTGCGGAATTTCGAATTGCGTCCAGCTATCCACGATATCATTCGTCCCAGGCCGAGGAGCTTCATGGCTGTTCCAATCGGCTGCGATGCTAGTCCTCTCTCGATGTTCTTGACCAGTTCGCTTTCTTGGCCTGTCTCGAGACTGCCAAATGGCTCGCCAAAAGCCATGTCGCCGATTATGTCAAAGGTCGTGAAGTTGTACCAGTGGCGCAAGTCGAAAGCTGTTTTCGACGGCAACAGCTTCTCCTTCTCACTATCAGTCTTGTTGACCGGTATACAACGCTCCCGCAGCTGCTGAATTAACAAGTCAACATATCCCTTGACAATTGACTCCTGGTCCCGGAGAGTCCTGTCACTAAAGCCATGGCTGAGCTGCCGCCGGATGAGCGCATGATTGCCGCGAGTCTCCCCTAACAGGGAGGGTGTGACGCCTCGGGTCTGGTAAAAGAGTTCGAACTTGCCGAACTCTTCCCCCTTGACAACTGCTCCGTTTTGATGCGAATAAATGTCCTTCCAGGCATCTGGGTGAGTAAACAAGAGCTCGTCGGGCCTGATGCGCACGACGGGGCCGTATTTCTCTACCAGGGGGAGAAGTTCGGCGGTCCACTTGCCACGTAGCATAGAGACCACGTTAGGGAGACCGGAGGCACGGTTTTTGAGCGGACCGGGGAAGTTCCGGAGCGGATGCAGGAAGACATTGTAGAAACATCGCAGAACACTGAATATCAGCAGCTGGAGTGGTCATCGGGGAATGTCAGTCTGGATGGCTTCGATATCAGACACGAGGATAGCAATACATACCGCTGCTAATGCCCAAATCGTTGCGCCGGATGCGTGAGTGGGTAGTCTATCCATGATGAGGAAAGAACGACATTCAGATCGTTGTGTCTGCTTGTAGGTGAGCCTCGGCGAGCAGAGCGGTCAACAAAGGATGAAACTGCGGTTCAGCGTGGCTCTAATATAGAGTGCTCAACCCTGCAGATCATGACTCGTTGGGGTATGTTTTCTTTAATCCGGACGCGCTCGTCAGCAAGCAGCTTTCCTTCCTCTCCTCAGCGTGGCCAGTTGCTGATTATGAGTTGTCAGGCGGACTTTATAAAGAGATTAATATTCTGGCTCAAAGGTCTTGCCCTGCCGTGATCGTTGGATGCCTAGCTGCATATGTACGAATTGGACAACTGGTCTTGGTTGCAGGCCATCGGAGGAATGGAGTTCCCGAATTCCAGATGATGCATCCGAATAGTAAGCGGCATGAAAGGTTCGTCTCCAATTAAAGTTGGCCAATTGCCAAACCATGATTACTGCAATGAAACATCGTCCTAGAGGTACTCTTCTACTTATTCGCCAAGCTCGCCGCAGCAGCTCGTCAGCGTCGCACTCGGCAAAATGCACTGTAATCAGATCAGGTAGCGACGACGAAGTTCATTGCGCTACCAGCCGTTGTGGTGGCTGGTTGGTGTCACAGCACACGCGGCAGCGCTAACGTCACGGTATACTGAACTGTAGTCGGACATGTGAACTGAAGTCTCCAAATGCTGTACGCCCTGGGGAAGCAGCCCATGCAGATCCGAGCGGGCTTCGGCGTTTAGCAAAAAGTCCGTCTACAATTACCAAAGACAGCCCAGTGTGGGATTCTCGCTAGCCTGGGCAATTCGGGTGTGGTTGTGCGCAAAAAGAAAGGCCTTTATTCGCACCGCGATCTGAGACCGGTCTGTAACCTTAGCGTAACAGGTGCTCTCTCGGGCAACTACCTACCTAAACTGACTTTTATCGGAAGAGCTATGCATGCATGCTCGAAGAGTTGTACAGTAATTAAAGGGAGCCATGAAAGAATTCAAGCAACGCCGTTGAATCAATCCCGGGGCATAACTAGCAGTTCACCCTAAGCAAGCATCCATGGGCTCCAAATAATTTCTCGCCCGATTTCAGTCGCGCCGTCCTCCTCCCTGCTCTTGTGATATGTCATGCACACCAACAGCCCAAGACATCTTCAATTTGACTTACCAAGGTTGGGACCATTACCGGCTGTTAAATGCAACACCATTAAAAGCCAATTCAGGGTGTTCATGAAAATGCTGATTGGCGCGAATATAATCAGCGGAATGAGGGTATAGGTGAAGAAGAAAACCGCTCCCCCGGTCCTTCCCACAAGCTTTCCGAGCTCACCGTCTGCCCTCATCAACCTAGCGGCCTCATGCGCAGTATCTTCGTTAGCCCACGGCCCCACGATGCGGAACTTGGTCGGGAAGTTTGGGCCCAGAGCCCAAGTGAAAAACACCTCGCGCCCGAACGTCCGGAGGATGTGGATCCATGTCGGCGCAGACCCCATGTCGAGTGCGAGCTGATAGGCGTAGCTCTCCTGGTCAACACCGCGCTTCGTGACAGCAACGTCATGATCTTTATCACGGCAGTTGAGCTTGTACGACATCTCGTATTGTTCCACGGCATCGTGAGAACGCTGAGGAGGCTTGAAGCTAGGTGACAAATACGTGCGGTACTTGGAGCTGGTGATGAGGTGATATATCCAATGCTGAGCCTGGAGCTCTGCAAGTGGCGGGATAGCACCTAAGGCCAAATGAATATGTCAGTACCCAACAAGAAAACCATCCTGATGCAAGAGAATTGCCTACCAAAAGCTGGTCGAACGAAGCCGATGTATGCGATGCCATCGTCAATGTCTCGGAAAATGCCCCTGGTCACTGACGCATCCAGTGACGGGTATGCTTCGGCATTGGGGACGAACGGGAACGACTGCTTATACCCAGTCGCGAAAATGACGATGTCAGGCTTGATACCCTTCTCTCTCCTCATCTTCTCTGACTCAGGCCGCTCATTCCTCTCGAAATGTACCACACCCTCCCCATCAACATGAGTTGGCCAGGGAGCCAGATCAATCTTCTTTCCGCCAGTGGGCCTCAGCTCCATGTTCAGCAGCCAGGTTCGCCATCGATTCAACCTCGACTTACTCCGGTACTGCTCCGATATGTAAGGCATTGCCCTGTCACTCTTGCAGATCAGAAGCGAGTCGGTATGCAACCGCTTGGAGCTCACGCCTCCAACCCACTGGTCGAATCCGACACGGGTGCCAGATATCATCCACCCCATATTAGTCACGAACGCATCGTAAACTGCCCACTGCCAGGGTCCGTGCTGCACTACCTGCGGGACATATGCTGTGTCGAACAGGGACGCAGTTGCGCAGTCGAGGGGCTTGTTCGGGTTATTTGGGTCGGGGCCCCCGCTGCGGCCGCCCGCACGGTATGGCTGAGGGATTATCTTTGGCGCATGGTGGAAGCCGTCCCTGTGGCATAGTATGACCCGCTCGGTGGGTGATGTGATGGCCAAATGCGCAATGTCCATGGCTGTCTCACCGACGCCTAAAATCAGGATGGTCTTGTCTGTGCCGAATTGAGAACGGGTCTTAAAGTCAGCAGCGTGCAACGTTTCGATCCCAGCATAATTGGAGACGCCGGGCTTGTAAAGTGGATTTTGATTTTGTCCTTTCTCGTCGGAGGTAAATAAAGACGCATTGAGTCCTGGAATGTCCGGTATGAAAGGATCCTGATTCAGACCACTACATATCGCGACGGCATGGTATTTGTGCTCTACAAGTACTTGGCCTTGGGCATCAGATGTCGTAAGCACATGTTGTGATGTGCTTGTCGGGTCTGGTCTGATGGAAGTGACCTTTGTCGAAAGATGGATATGATCCCACAGAGCAAACCTTGTTGCGTACGATTTCAGATATTCGACGTATCTCTTAGGTGTTAGAAAGTCTTTCTCGTGCTCAGGGACACGAAAATCGGAGAAAGTTGTCAAATATTTCGAAGAGACAAGCTAAGAAGCTGCATTAGCTCTGGTCGAGATGGGAGACCAGTGGTGAACGAGCTCACCTCGGCGTCCTCGTAAACCCTGTAACTAAAGATACCACCAACGTCTTCCGCCTTCTCGAACAAGTGCGCCTCGATATTCGCGCCCGCAAAGAACTTGCGTGCTTCTAACAAGTACTTCAGAGTCACGAGACCTGATGGACCACCTCCAATGACTGCGACTTTGAGAACCATTTTAAGAATGATAGGAGACTGCGTGAAACACTTGGACCTATGTCAAAACAGGCATTTATGCAGCACAAACTGCAGAACGTCGTCCTAAATCCAAGTTCGTCTTTTACGAGGCGGATGGCACGGGTTGTGTCCAAGACACAGAGGGCCCACAACCCCCGGCTTCCTAGAACTAATTGTTTCAAGAGCTAAGGGCTTCGGAGCCTACAAGTCGGTGTGGCGTGTCCGGTCACGAGGCATGTGTGACTTGTTCTCTTCGAAAAAGAACACAGCTGGAAGGGTTTGTGAGAACCACTTGTTCTACAACCCGGTGCACGGTGTGACTAGGGCGGGGCAGGAGGCGAATATGGTCATGGGTTGCGGCCAACTTCCAAACGTATTACCGATGAGAGGAAATCAGTATGCACAGTCTTCGATTTTGTTGGCGTTCTGAGTTGGATTTCGTCGTCGGGATGCAGATTGGCTGTGGGGGAAAATGGCTTTACAGAACGGGATCCATCACAATGACTCGTCTTTATAGCTGGTGCGCCTTTACTTTTAGCTTCCCTTTCTCTAGGTGAAATCTGGTCAAAGCTGAGATAGCAAGTAAGTTGCTTGGCTTAATCAGTAAGGAATGTCAGGGTCTCACCTTTCAGGCTGTAGCGTAAGTGCCGAGGCCGAGTGGCCATGACAACCACTACAGCTGACCATGATTCCTTCTGGAGGAGAGGATGATATTTTCAAAGCGATTGGGGTTCAAGGATGGGCCGGAAGCTTCCAGCTACACTTTCGTGGCATCATTTGATATGTATGTCATCAAATAGACTGATCTTGGCTGCATGCATGGATTCTCTCGCAGTACAAGTGCAGCAAGCTAACCTCTCTGCCAATTGTGCCATATAGTCTAATTATCAGCTGTTAATTTCCTACTACTGTGTTTTTCGTGGCTTACTGTAATGGCAGCTTCGGTTCTCAGGCGAGGAGTTGTTTGTCGGGGATAGCGGCCACTGTCTTCGTCGGCCCGTTGTGCCACATGTGCAGGTGATTGACAGCGGGCATATGCAGATGCGTACAGATTACCGACAAGACAATTGGTGTAACATTGAGGAAGTAAAGGTGCATGTAGATGTCCTTATTTCTCGCATCCGTGATCGACAGTGCTTGAGTTTCTGTGAGGGAGGTAACATCGCGTGAGAAAGTTGCGTCTCGTTTAGCGTGTCAGCTTGCCACAGCTGAAAAGCTCTGCAAGCTAACATTTCAAGACGGAGGGAGCACCGAGCGTCGGAAAACAAGTTCAAGTCAGCTCACAAATCTTCAAAAAATCACATTGCTTTCTATTGATAGCTAGGCTTTAAGTAGATGACATAGAAGATTGAAATTTCGTCAACAAGCACACAAAGAGTTTCTAGTTTCTTCTCTGCAACATCCTAAGCTGCATCTGCTTGCGTTGCGAGTACAGTGGTAAGTTCAGTGCCAACTATAGTAATCAAAATCTTTTCAGTCTTGCCTCGCAATGTTTCACAGTGCAGACTGGTGGCTTTTCTAAGAAACGGTTAGGTCCCTCTGACGAGCTGATCTGTCAGTTTACCGTTCACAATTATGTGGATTGAACCCTTCCAGCAAATTGTCTCAAATATGTGTCTGCGCATCTTGATTCTTTCACCAATAGCCGTGAAATGGAACTCATATCGATGCTGAAAAATAAAATCCAAGCACTCGTGTATCGTGGAAGACATTGTGGTTCGCATCGTGGTGATCCTAACCTGCAATGGGTGCAAATACACCAGCAGAACATCTTTACTGCTTCCATTAACATGCTACATACACATCACAGCCTTGCTTCTTGGTCGTGCTTCCAACCTGGCATCTCACTCAGATCCTTTGCGGGTGCTGCGCGCGTTGACTTCCTCGCGTCACCGGATCCTGGCCGCCACCGCCATGCATCAATCAGGTCTGGTGCCAAGTTTCCCTCGATCAAGTCCACAACATGCTTACCAATATTCGGTAGCAATTTGAAAGAGTGCCTAGTGCCATATTAGCAAATAGACTGCACAGTTGCGGGCAACTTGCTGAAGAAAACTTACCCGCTATCTCCTGTCGCCAGGATAAAGTTCTTCCATCGCGGATGCTCACATATAAGTAACGACGAGTCCGCTGTATCGGTGCACCAGCACAGGGATCGATTGAAGAGCTCCTTTTGCTTGAAGCGTGGCAGGTACGTGGCTATAGCTTTTCGAATGGTGATCTCAGAAGCGTCAGGGTAGGTATCCGTCGGGTGCTTCGCATGAGAACGAGGAACTGATACTGGCTTGGGACCAACAGCACCGTACGGTTGGTGTTGCTTGTACCGGGTGAAACCGGGGAACTCATCACAGACTTTAATGACACCATACTCGTTGGGTTCGAAGAAGAAGCCGATATCACCATGATAGACCACTGGTACCCCCTTGTACTCGGCGGCTTCGTCGGGCGTTAGTTGTATATGAGCATAGACCCAAGCCTTTCGTTACATGTCAGCACAGAAATTCTAACGCTGGATCAACGTTCAGGTTCCAGTTTCTTACCTTTGAGCAGCATTGTTCTTCCAGGTCGACTAATGTTGGGCTCCAGGCTCCTGCAGCAAGAACGATCTTGTCTGCGTAGTACTTTGTTCCATCCTCCGTCTCGACTCCGATACACGTCGTCCCGTCATCTTCGAAAAGTGGGCGTTTGAAGGAGCCGGCACTGCGCCAGGGTCCGACGGTTAGTGAACTGTCTATGCGGTGATCGACGCTTTTCCCCAGAAGGTTGATTTTCTACTCACCCGCCGAAACCAAATCTGACGCCTTGCTTTTGGCAAAACTCGCCGATCGCGTTGATTGCTTTTGCCGCAGCAAGCCAGCCCCCATCGTGACTGTAAATTGCGTTCCAGCCCTGACGATATTCACCATCAGCAACTCAGCAAAATGTGGTATTCAATGATCCGGATGATGATTTGAGTAGACGATGTTCTCACTTTGATGTTCTCTCTTGGCAAAAGTGGTACTTTCGCCAGGATCTTGTCCTCACTGTCCAACCATTCGTGGGTTTCTCCGACCCCTGCATCAATCAGAGCTTGATATTGCCGCCGTAAACCAGCGATTCCTTCTTCTGACACTTCACAATCCAACTAAAGATTGTGGCACGTTAGACTCAAGGATCTGTAGGCCCCTTGCAATAGTTCGCCGGCTTACTCTTCCTGTGTTGTGAAAAAATGGCTTGAAAAGCTCATCATTCCTCCACATGTCACGCGCCTCCAAGCTAAGTCGCACAGTGGCCCTGTCCCGCACCCTTATCCCCATGATCTTGTTGAGGTCGTTTCCTGCAGACTGCGCAGATGGAAAAGGATAAGTGTCAAGCACGGTGATGTTTGACGGGGCATATCCGGATCGAAGGAGGTGCAGAGCCGTCGAGGACCCGATCGTCCCACCGCCCCCGACGACGATGACCTTTGTGATTCCCCGAGAGTCGGCCATATTGTGTCGAGTCTCTCAAACGGCTTGCTGGTCCGAGCCACGGACATTGAAGAATTTCTGGGCGTTTTTAAATTCCACTACGAGGATCGTGACGTTCAAGGCCCTCACGTGTCGGGTGGATCAGCAAAGTGGACATGGATCCCCCCCGCCTAGCCCATCGCTTCGACCTTCCTTGTGTCAAACTCCGTCATGCATGGGCTGGTCACCGTCGGCCCGGACCGGAGATATCCCCGCCAAGCATGCAAAATAACGGGGGCAGTCCGACCTCTTATCAACACCAACGACACATGTCAACTGCTGCAATTCGCCAGACTGTTGCCGGAGCACTCAATTTCAATGTCGTAAAGCAAGGACATGTTGCTAGTTCTCCCTCCCCTGTCATTCTGCTAAGCTTCGGCGGCTAAACGTGTAGGCTACGGTCAAGTCGTTCCACCTTGCAGTCTATCGTGTCTGGTCAACATCACCGTCCAACTATCACGAATCATGGCTTCGGTCGGGGAAATTACCCCATATTGTGTGTTTGGAGAACACACATGGTCGAAGATCTCTAGGCCCACAGATAAGCAGCACCATCCCAGCCAGGTTGGATTGAAGAAGTTTAATCACATACATATATATGTACCTACGTCCAGCTCGTCGAGACAAATTACAAATAGTCGTATGACCACAGCGCAGTTCGTCCGACATTGTTTATTCCTGTCACTTGGAGAATCTTAAGCCTCCACCACAGCATCATCCGAGCACGCCATGTCAAAAGTTGACAGCATTCCCACTCCCAACGGGGTCGGGGCAACCCGAGAGAAGGCCCCATCCCTCGAGGTTGTGGATAGCCGCCCTGATGTGCATCCGGATTTGGTTGATATGGAGGCGTACAGGGAGAATGTGCCTTTATGGAAGAGGATCTGGCAGCATAGTCTGACACAGATGTTGCTTCTAAGTGTCCAGGCATTCTGTGGGCCAGCTATGGATGATGCAATTGCCGGTATGTGATATTCGCTGGACGGTTCGTACTTGATATTGACTTTGCATTAGGTCTCGGTGGTGGTGGCTTAGCGACGCCGCAAACTTCAAACACCGCGTACGTACCCTCCCAAGCATTACTCCAGATCAAGACGCTACTAACATATCTCTTGCTACTATAGCACCGCAATCAATTACACAATGCTGGCAATTGTCTGCGCATTCGGCGGACCTTTGGTCAACAAACTCGGCGTGAAGTGGGCTTTGGTCATCGGTGCCGCAACATTTCCTATCCGTGGCGCCTCGTACTACTGCAACAGTAAATATGGAAACCAATGGGTAGGTCTAGACAATCATTATCTACGCTGCCCCGCATTTCTATTGTCTCTCTGATGAATACTCCTATAGTTCCTTATTCTGGCTAGCTTCCTCAGTGGCACTGGCACTGGCTTTTGGTATGTTGCAGAAGCCGGTTCCATCCTCTCTCTTGCTCCATCAGGGGTAAGAGGTAAATATTTAGCTCTTTGGATCGTATCCCGCAATCTTGGACAGCTTGTTGGCGGCGGAATCAAGTAAGTGCTCAGGCCAGCGCTACAACTTTGTATCCTAATTATTACTGACAGCTTTCTCCCCATGAAGTCTAGCAAAGAATCACATCAAGGGAGTGGAGGGAGGTGTGACCCCAGACACTTACATCGCTTTTGTAATAATTGAATGTCTGGCGTAAGAATACTTCCCTCCTGCGTCGAGCCATCGGTCGTTGCTTGGTTTTCACAAGAGATTTAATGGAACGCTGACAACTTCGGAAGCTTGCCCTTTGCATTCCTCATATCCCCTCTTGAACGGGTTGTCAGGTCGGACGGCACCAGGATCATTGTTTCCGAGTCCCTGAGCACCAAGCAGGAGTTGAAGCAGATCAAGATCACCGCGACTTCCAAGCTGATTCTATTGTCCTGCATTTGGGCATTCTGGTCATTCTTTTATAGGTAAGTCATTCATTTTTAATAATTCATTTATGATCTTCTTTAGCTTATTGATTTTACAGTGGGACATGGTCTACTTATCTGGCCGACTACTTCACTGTTCGCGCTCGAGCACTCTCGTCGCTGATATCCCCATTCTTCTGCATGTAAGTAGCCCGTCTTACCTTTTCCTTCCTTGCGCTTGAGATGTTCAAAACCCCTTCGCTAAACTTTGACTTTCACAGCGTTGGTTGCTTTGGACTAGGCTTCATCCTCGACATCAAAGGGCTAAGCCAGCGACGAAGGGCCCAGCTCGGTCTTTACACAGTCGTCCTCCTGAACATGGGCGTCTACATCTGGTCAATCGTGATGCAGGTACGATTTGACGCTCACAATCCGGGTGCTATCGACTGGGATGAACCTCTCTATCCCTCGGCTTTTCTGCCATATTTCTTTGTACAGACCACCGGACCACTCTCGCAGTCCTACATGTATTGGCTCATCTCATCATTTGCTACCGACGCACAATGTGAGTTTGCTTCTTGTCCACTGGCGTGATCGCGGTACACCATTCTAACCAGAGTGAAAAGCCAATGTTCGCAATGGAGCCGCATTCAGATGCGTCGAAGCTGTGGGCCAAGCAGTCTCCTACGGCCTTAACACTAACGCGAACTTGAGTACTCTTGTTGGTTTGTAAGTCATGTCATCAGTAGACTCGGAGTAATATTATTGAAAATGCTAACAATTTTTGTTCAAGCTGCGTTACCTTTGGCCTCATGGCTGTTGCGCTTGGCCCAATGATCGTATTAACCAACGATGTCCCGGATCGCATTCCAGCGGATGTGCTCGCTGAGGAGGACCAGGCTACAATCGAAGGCAAGAAAGAGGACAAAAATGCCAATAGTGTCTAAGTCATGTAGTGAGAGCTGATTTCCTGGAACGCGGGATTTGTGACGAAGTTCTTTAGAACCGTGAAGCTGTCGCAAGCTAAGCTCTATCGGAGGAACGACGCTTGGCTGGCAGTTCTAGCACATCAGACAAGAGAACATGATGCTTGATAATTACAACTTTAAATTTAGTACTATTTCAGAACTAAACATGCGTGTTTTCAAAGTCTAGAACATTTCAATTGTCTTCCACCATCTGATCAGGCACCAAAAAGTCAATCCCGCCCCAGTACTGCCTCTTCTCATGTTTTTGAGCCCAGAAGTAAGCAATCGCACGCAACAAATATAGAAACGAGAGGTGTATCCGATTCTTAATCCTATTTTCAACTACTTATCCCGTTCATAACCATCATTTGGTGTATGTTGCTAGCATCGAATACTCAGTCTCCGTCCGGGATGTCTGGCTCTTGCGGAGGGGTAATGACCCAGCTATCTTCGGAGTGTTAGATGTAGGTCTAAATGAAGGAGCCTTAATGCAGTATGTTTGCGCGGAATATTTTTAATGGAACATAACGCTGCCGCAATACGGTTTCATATATACTCACATTTTTCTGCACCAGTGTGTTCTTTGCCTTGTGCTTTCGTGGAGACCACTATCCTCCCCCTTTTGGTTTCGAACATGCCGCAGCCCTCTTTGCTAGCCAGTGCCTGATAATCACGCTCGCAGTTCCTGTCCCCGTAAATCAATCTTGTGGACCATGCAAAGGTTACCGTCCAGTGGTTCCAAGGGTCCATGAGTGGGTATTCCATTACGGCGCTGGCGACCTCGCCCGGTTGTGTGTAAACATGATTATCGCAGAAGTCGGAAATATACGGTTTAAGAACCTTGAGCGGAATTCCCTCCTTGTCACTGCACCAGACTTTCATCCGGAACGGAGGGGTCTGCCAAGGCTGTCAGTATTCATTCACGTCAGGACGACCTGGTCTTCTGAAGTAGTCTTCATACTCCAAGCTCACTGGCCGCGACGGGTGTGTAGCGTTGTTCATATCTGAGGCCTGCTTGAAGGCTCTCACCGACAATTCCCAGTGCCACCAGAGGTCTCAGCAGAAATCTGAGATTGACGATCATGGCGAACGTAATTGTATGGCAAGATTCATTCACAGTGCAGAGGGACGTCAAGGAAGACGGGGAAGACAAGCTGGAAAAGAAACGACCAGTAATCATGTCGAGGGGGCTGGGTAGGAGGGACCTTAAGCTGCTCATACCTGGATATGTTGGAAAGGGCCACGTCAAAGCACCTGAGTTGGCCGCGCTAAGTCGCTCAGTGCCGTCGATGCTTCATCAATGATGACTTCGTCATAAAGATTGTTGTCTACATCTACGCGTCACGACAGCTAAACAGTCGTCGGCTGGTGATCTATGTTGGATAACTCATCTTAAATCCAGCCGGGTCAGTAAACTAAATACGTCCATCAGAAAATCGCTCTCTTTGGTGCATCTGAATAATTGACCATGTCTAAACTAACACACTAGCCATTTCGTGACGCAGGCCCTAGTTCAGCACTAAATTGTTGTACGGGCGCGCATCATGATACCTTATGCTACAAAGAGACAGTGAAGAATACATACCACTTAAAGCATTTAACCTCTTCTTTCAATCTCGATCTCATCTAGTTTTGCTCATCTGGCCAGAACATACGATCCAACGCGTCATTCTTTGATACTAGAGTCCTGTATAGATCTACTTGCGCCCGTGCGCATGCAAACATTCAATTTTCTCGCTTGTTCGTATTCTTTTCTCAGCTTTTGAGGAAGCAACTCACCAGGTGATGCAAGGGATGATAACCAATTTAGACGATACGAGTAGACCCGGGACACGAGTTATGTGTTCTATTAACCTGACCCCCAATCCTCAGCCCAGAGAATTGCCTATGTAGGCACAGAATGAGGTTTCTATGAGTGTCTATAACTTTGGAAGTTTTAACAGCAGAATCCTTTGGCGGGTGTACACCGTGAACCAGGTTTCACCCATTTGCTATGGCCTCCGTCTGGCCTGATGGCATGAGTCGACATGTTCCAGTCCGGCACGAATCATGACTGTATAAGCACCAAGCAATACAAGTGGTGGTCCTAGTTTGTCGTTTCGGGCCGAGGCTAGCTACTTTTCTAGCTCTAAATGCTGTCTCCATGCGAGGCTGTGGTGCAGACATCGTTTGACACCTCATCTCTGGGACAGAACTCGGAAAGCTGCTGGCTTTTGGCATTTGTATCTTCGCCATTGATGCTGTGCCGATACACCTGAATGCATAGATCCAAGGCCATCGTATTTGGTGGTGTCTTGGATAATGACTACATATGTAGTTTTCCATTTGTGTGCTCCAAAACTTCGCGATTCACTATTGTCCGCTTGGTGTGCATCGAAGTGACGTCCCTTACCAGTGACGATGAGCATGAGCCGGCAATATATACCTGTCTGCCATGAAACATTTATTTAATCATTCAATAAAACGACTGTCTAATGTTCAGGGCATACTTGACCTCTCCCCATAACCTGCTTTTCCCAAATCGCAGGTTGCTTGCACCCCCGCAGGTGCATGCTTTTGAGACCTCGTCATTAATGTAAGTTGTTGAAGTGAAATTATATTTTTTGAATCATCATCGCTTACAGATTCACCTGCAATATATGCTTGTTCGCACGCCTTTTTTTCGCGTTCATGCCTCGACTCTACCTGAATGATAAGTTTGTACGGATCAGAGGAATCGGGGAACCGCGATGAGATGGTAGTACAAACCCTTCGGACTGTAGCGGGTGGAACAGATGACACAAAAAGTTGTCAATGTGCCTCTCAAAGCGACGAACATCAATCTGTCATATGCCTTGAATCCTGTACGCGTCTGCATGTGACATGCGCATTCTCTCTCTTTGTTGCTGTTTTGGTTGTAACTTTGATTTGCGGACGGAGCACAGACTTGGCAGGCACAACTGGATGTTAGTCAGCCTCGATTTCGTTTCTCCAAGTCCAGCTCCAGTCCCACTATAACTGAAAGTTGTACATGTATTGCTGTTGGACTAGTTCGTGGTTACATCTTGGTGACACCGCAACAGCAACAGCGGTTGCAGCCGTCTTGGTCTTTGGTTCGATCTTGCATTCTTCGTCCATGTTTGCTCGCTTAAGTCTGCCTCTATCGGTATGTACGTAGCACATATATGCGGCAGAGATGTGACTTTGACAGGAGTGATTGTTCATACGCAACAATCTTTGAGCCGCTGTATGAGATTAGAATCTCCCCAGCCGTCGGTGTCAGCGGTGTATCTGTGTACAAGTATCCCAACAAGCAACTTCCGTCAGGTCCTATTTTTGTTTCTTACTTCCCGAGTCTCTTCTTCTTTCTGACCTCTTCGAGCCCACATGATCTTGATCGACTAGAATGCTACTATACCTTGACCGGACGGCCATTTCAAAATAAGTACAGACCTCTCTTCACTACACAGGCAACCTCTCTAAAACACCAGTATCCTTCATACAGCATGGATGGCGTTACCAACATCGACGAAGGCCCGAAAGGCTCCTGGAAATCCCGCAACTGCCTCAGCCTTGGCGAGTACCTCTGTTCATGGTCCTTCAACGGCACCTGGTTGACAGTCGCGCGACGTTTTTGCATGTGGGCCATCATAATTTTACGAACAGTCACCAACATCCTGGCCATGGCCCACAACACTCTTGGAAGCAAGATCGTGAGCATGATTTGCGGTGTCATCATCGGCATCATCTCCTTCGCCTTTGTCTTTTGGTGCCTCACAATTATCGACCGCGCTCGTGGAAATCGTGCTTGCTGGTTCTGCGGACTGGTCGTTGTAGGTCTGCCCCCAAAGAATGGGAGATTTTGATGACGGGTTGCTAATGCTATATGATTTGGCAAGGGACGAACTCACCTAGATGTTTTTGTTATTGTCAATGCCATTCTCCACCTCTCCCTTCTGGCATCGTTCTGGCAGCTGGTACTTCATACAGCCGTCGGCTTCAACATCATCTGGTTCGCCCTCTGGGTTCTGATTGCTTTCTATGGATTCCTCTGCACAAGAGCCCCGCTGTCTATTTAATGGACACTCAGAAGAAGCTGATCACCAAGGGGCTCTACTTTCGTCCTCTTCATGGCAATCTGTTTAAGATGAGTCTGGTAGAGCCACAATATCAAGGGCCTTGTCGAGTCCTTGTTCGATGAGTCTGTCTACAGTGGCACTGTCGCCTCTCAAAAATTGTTTATTCTTTATTGATCTCAATATTACCATGTAGCAAGGCTATGTCTCACACTCATTGATAAGGACGGCTTCATATCATTTTCATCGGCGCTCTATGAACCCTTTAAATACCCTGCGTGATTGCTTCCCCACATACGTGGTCAGGTTACCAACTAGCACATCGACGTCGCGCCGAAAAGCCACTATGAGCGAGGAATTGCATCTTATTCGAGTTGTACTGTCATGCTAGATGGCTCCGACTGGTATTGGAACAATATTTGCCGCGATTGAGACAGCCGATTTCTACATGTGACTGCTGCTGCATCCAGCATCCGCAGAGCTTGATCAAGTTACTGAATAACAAGAGCATACGATGAACTCTCGAGGCTGTTCTTTTCGGGAAATTATTACAAGAGCGGTGGCTGGTTCTGCTCGCCGAAAGGACCTGTTGGGTGCAGAGCTTGTAGGTGATCAGAGACACGGCGCAGACATACTCAAAGTCAACTTAATCCAACTTAATCTCATAGGCGGGTTCAACATGCAACTAGTGGGCTATTTCTTGACGAAGAGATCCGGGTAATAAAAGACAGAAACACAGTTCCATAGCGCGAGAGATCGTCTTATGTCTTTTTTTTTTTTTCTTTCTTCTTGACTTTTGGCCCTGAAGCATGTCGTTCACGCATCTTCCAGAATAACACCCGTTTTCCGAAGTGCCACTAATTCCTCCCTGGAAACCTTGTCCTCGGCTTCAACCTCGTTCATGCGAATCCACCAGTACGACCAGAAGAAATCGCCCAGAGACAAGCCTAGCTCCTCGTACTTGACATCAAATTCGTGCACAAGTTCCTCAAGTCGTTCCGCCAAATATCGCTCCTCATCTTGGATCTCAGCTCCATCCTCAGGGTCCATCATCTCGACGACTATGTACTCTCCCCTCAAGATCGCCAGGGCCACCCCATCATTAGGACCTTCGTACATTCCACTATTTTCCACGTATCTGCAGCACGTGTGGCTCATGCCAAGTCGTTCAAAAGTGCTGACACGGATGAAACTCGACGCGAATTGACGAGCTCCTGAGTGATCGGATAGTCTGCTCGTCAGAAGGTCCATGGTGATTCGCCAAGTCGTCCGGTCAAGTTCAGACAACTTTTCCGCCGGGGTGGCCCCACTGAAGACTTTCCACACTTCTCGGGAGAAGACTGAGGCGGCAGAGCAGCCACTTTGCGTGCAGAGACACTCACATGGGTCCAGAACCGACGAAGTTAGTATTTGCTGTGAAATCGCGGTATACCGTTCACTTCCAAAGGCTGCTGCATATCGCAAGCTCCGCCCCATTTCGCTAGCGATGCGGTGGACCAGGCTGACTCTCCTGAAAATATTGCCTTTGCTCGCTGTTTTTCGGGTGATAGCATTTACTGGTATTGGCCTGCTCAGGTCTTCTCCATGGCTCAGAAACCATTCAACAAGACCTAGCGCGCTACTGCTGCACATGAGCTTCATGTCGTTTCGATAGCTAAGGCCGACGAAGTCTATTATCATCAGCGGGGTGAGTCCGATGAGCTCGACGTTTGTATGGCTGAATCCAGCGCGGAAAAGTGACTCGGCAGTCTCATTGTTCATATATGCGCAGTGGTAGACTGATCCTGGTTGGACGCTCCGGAACTCCTTGGGCACGCTGATTTCCTTCTCGTCTAGCGCCTTAATCACTTCAAATGCATCTTCCTGTATTAAGTCCTCTTTATTGAGGCTCAGGTTATCAAGGATCATGCTTCCGTGGAGTGTGTCATTCGCGAGGCTCAGTAACTTCTTGCGACGCGCCGCGAGAGCCTGCGTCAATACGGGGACAACGGTCAATCGCCCCGGAGTCGTTTCCCATTTCGCGATGTTTTGAATTACTTCCAAATCCATCTCAGCAGATGAATCCAAGAGCATGCTGACACATTCAGGCTCGACCAATTTGAGCGCGTAGTCCAGGGCCGTGGAGCCGTCGTCATCTTCGGCATTGATGATGCCGGTGATAGTATCACCTCCCAGCTGCAGAAGCAGCTCCATGCCTCGAGGCCAACATGTTGCAATATGCAATGGGGTTTCACCCACTTTACCCCTTGCCAAGAGGTATCTTTCGGCGTCGCTGCGTGCGAGAATGTCACACACCTGGGTGTCCCACTTCTCTAGCAGAGCACGGGACAGTTCTCCCTGGTCCATGGCTACCAGAGGTCAATTAAATATTTCGAAAATCACGCAAAATGAGGACAACTCACTGCCTTGCTCTTCAAACATCCCATGCCCGACTATTGGAAGAATCGATGGTCCAAATGTTCGCAGTGGCATTATGTCCAGAACATCGACACCGAGATCCAAAAGGCTTTTCACCAGTCCTGTGGCGACCGTAAAGCCCGAAAAGTCATTCTTTTCCCTACTGGCTAGTCTTTGTAGTACAATGGCAATTGGTGTCCTGCGTCGTTAGAATCGATAGTCCCAGATATCCATGACAAGTAGGGAAAACGAGAGGCTTACTCGTTTAAGCAACTCGTGTCTTTTAATGGGACACCGAATTCTACCAGTGTTTGAAGAAATTGAGAATAGATCTCTTTCATTTCGTCGGCCATAAAATGCCAAAATGCGCTGGTGGCTACCTGTGAGATTGTCGGTCAGCTCAACGTTGGAATTTCAATTGTTCATGTGAGAAGCGTCGATTTGGGCGTACGTGAAGTAAATTGTTTCCAGTGCTGTCTTCAATATCAGTAGGCCATGCTCGACCTTCCATGAACAGACGCTGAAGCCCCCGGAGACAGGACTGAAGGGTTCGTTGCAGTGATTGTACTGTGGAATAGCTGCCCATGTTGAACGTGATACCATCTATCAGGTCAAAAGCCGGGGAGCCTTGAGGGACTGTCGCTCGGATGGTGAAGTTATGCTGGATGTGCAGACTGCGCAAGAAGGCGTATTGGGAGTACTCGATTGCGATCTGAAATTGAAAGAAGTAATTAAAGAGCCTAATCTTTCCGATAAGAGCTCTTCGCTGTCTGTGTCTGAGTGAAAGATAGCAGGATGTTGCATGAGTAACTGGATAAGCAGGGGATATAGAGCCTGCGCAATGACATTTGAGCTCCCATAAGGGCCTTGTTGACGACGAGGTTTCTCCTGAGCTAGGCGTCCCTTGTACCTTGGTCATGAGTTCTGATTCATTCGTAGAAGCTTGAGGAAGCGTCGAGGCTGTACTAGAGTCCTTGATACTTTGAGCGCAATCGGGAAAAGCTTCTTCTATGCGTAAAGAATCTTTGATCATGGTTTCTAGACTGTCCATTCGAGCTTGAAGAGACTGCTCACTCTTCGCAAGTCCAGACTCAAGCGTCTGCGACAAGTCGGGGACCATAGCGGCAATCTGTTCCTGAATATCTTGACCTTGAGCAGAGATAATCGACGAGAGATTCAGAGACTCCGACAAAGTCTCTTGCCGCAGGTTTCTCATAGCATCGCTGGAATATGCGGTCAGCGGACTGAATGCGATCGAGGGTCTTCTCTTGACTCTCCTATGTGACGTACTAATTCAACAGCCCAACCTGAAAAGAGAGTGTAACGTGCAGCTGATTAATCTGCTTTCTGAAGGACTCAAACTTGTCCTTCTGTAACGGAAATGATATTTTGCGTGTCAAGCTGGTGCGGGACCTCTGGAGTGAACCCGTCATTGGTGGCGAGTATTTGTCGCTCAGTCGACTCAAGCCGTCGAGACAGGTTTTGCAAGCCTCTACACACTCGTCCATGGAAATTTTGAGACTCGGTGACATGGGCGGAAGACCGACTCCAAGGTGCTGTCTGTCGAGGACTTCGAGGTGTTTTCGTAACCGCTCCGCGTTTCCCTGGAGGGAGGTAATGTCATCTTCACGCGATCGATAACTTCCACAATAACTAATGAGCCCATTGCAAACCGTGATGCCGAGAGACACCAGCCCCCCAGCGCCAGTGACAATGGAAAATGGATCCATCCTGTATATTTTGAAGCTGAATCCCACCAGCGCGGACTACACTGCTGAAAAGTTCCATGGTGAGAACGGAGGTGGGGGTGCCATGTTTAGGAATAGACCTCAGGACGTCAGCTTGCCGGCCTGAGGCCTCTTTTGACCCTGGTGAGTCGATAGCTGCGCGTCCCGCACATGTGGGTTACACGACATGGCACAGCCAGGCCACCCGGGAGGCCAGGGGGCCGGCGGCTACAAAGAAGTAAGCGACAACTGAAAGCCAGGGTTGGAAACGCGGCATTCGCTACGAAGAGGCCAACAGTCGGGAAAAGCTGAGATGTGATTAACGGCAAGAATTGCGAAATATTCGAAGAAAGCTGGCTACTTTGCCCTGGAAAAAGTGGAAACCACGTGAGACTCAGTCGCTGTATAGGCGCTCTCCAAGAGAGTCACACGACAGGGAAGTATTCCCATCTTCTACAAAAATATCTAGGTGCTTTCAAATTGCTGAGAACAGGTATTTACATATTGAATCCTATCGAGAAAATGAACGAGAACAGTACGCCGGTTAATAACGCCAGGACACCGGACCTAGTAACAGTATATACGCGACATCTAACCCCTCTAATGCACCATCGACTTCCCGATCTCACTCGCCCAACCCTCAGCCCTCTCAAAACCTCTCGAGTATGTCGAGTAGTCTGTCAGAGCCTCTCGCACCTCGTCAATCGAATTCAGCACGAACGGGCCGTACTGCACAACGGGCTGATCCAGCACCTGGCCCGCGACAATAACGAACCGCGCATCGCCGTCACTGCCCGCCTCATTCTCGACCACAATCGAGTCGCCCTCGAGCTCAAACACAACATTATGATACTGCGGCACGGGCTTCTTGTCAGGCCCAAAGAGCGCCTTGCCCTCAAGCGTGTACACAAACGCGTTGAACCCCTCCGGCACAGGCTGCTCGACGCGGCCGCCAGGCTTGATAGTCACGTCGAGCAGCCAGACAGGGGTGTAGGCGAGGTCTTTCACCGAGTCGACGCCGTGGCTGCGGCCCGAGATGACCTTGACGGTCACCTTGCCGTCGTCCGCCTCCGCGGCGGGGACCTCTGCGGCGCGCAGGTCGCGGTAGCGCGGCTCGCACATCTTGAGCTCGCGCGGGAGGTCGACCCACAGCTGCAAGCCGGTGTTGGCGCTCCCGTCGGCGTTCTGCGCCGGCATCTCGCTGTGCACGATGCCGCGGCCCGCCGTCATGAACTGCAGGTCGCCCGCGTGGATGGTGCCCTTGTTACCGGCGAAGTCCTCGTGGTCGAAGGCGCCTGAGAGCATGTATGTGATTGTCTATTCCGCGGTCAGCACCAGTGCATGAACAAATTCGCGTAATGGGAAGTGAATCTCGGCAGGGCCGAACATACCTCTTGGCCCCGATGAGGGTGGTCCGGGAATCCCGCGCCTGGCTTCACGGAGAAATGGTCCAGCATCAAGAACGGTGAGAAGTTTTTGAGCTGGGGCGTGCCGATTGACCTCCTGACCCGCGCGCCTGCGCCCTCGGCCTGCTCAATGGCCAGGAAGGCCTTTCGAATCGCGCGAGGGACGCTCATATTCGTCGTGGTGATCTGCTGTTCCTCAGGGGACGAGTCCGTCGTGCTCGTGCTGTTGATGTTGCTAATGCTGTCGCTGAGGCTTCTATACAGGATCGTAGCCGTCTCGAGAATGTGTTCCTTGAACAGTAGTACCGACACTATTCCAACAATGATGGAGAGCAGGATCGCGAAGGGCTTCATCAGGGAGGGGCGGGCCACGTTCGCCTTTTATATAGCGAGCCGGGAGAAGAAGGTCAGGATGAGGGTGCCGGATGATGGTGGGAGGAGAATCTCCAAGAATATTCTAATTCCCCATCGCAGCGGCGCCAGCTACTTGTGTTCCCGTCGATGGGAGGCGGCATTGGACCAGTCGTCGGCCGTTGAATAATCGCCCCGCTAAGCCCTTAGTAAACGGCGTGTCAGCACATACGGCAAAAATCCGGCTGAAGGCCTGGGATGGGACCTCGGGAGGACCCAGAGTAAAGGCTCGGCCCCTTTTAGCGCATGATTTCTAAATGCTGAGCAAGGATAACGTCAGGGGTTTGTCAGGCCATTGCCCAATCATGTCGGCATCGCGGTTCTGACGTATATGGAGGGTGGCTCGACAGTGAAGCCGCTGGTCTTACTAAAACATATAGAAAAATGTTCTCTTCGACCGCCTGCCCGAATCCAATTCTGCCCTCTTCAATGTTACGTTGTGAAATCCATGCCCAAGAAGTGTATAATCTCCCATAATATAAGATGTATTGCATAAGGTGATTATTGCAGATCGGACCTGATCCTCTTTTGGCGGGATGTGCCGCGCGCATCCAACCTTATTCCCCCAGAGGCATGCCAACACGATGTTATGTTCACGCCTTACAATTTAAAGTAGCCCCCTGCCCTTGCCCCTTCATGATCGATAGAGTTCGCTCCTGCGGTAGTTCCCGTCACGGATTGAGAAGTAGCCTGGGCGATACTATGTAAAAGGCAAGGCATAGTACTGTGTAATGCCAGAACCTCAGTGCTGTCTCCGTATGGCGTTTCCCACCTGGGTTGCCGACTTCTCAGCTGCCGGCATATGCATACGGCTTTATTTTAAGCAAACCTGAGTATTTCTCTAGTGACACCAGCGGGTGTTCATGCATTCAGGCCTGTCAATGCAATGTCACACTGGTACAAGTCAAGGGTTTGGGATTAATAATCTGAGATTCATGTAGCATCCAAATGTATGTGATCAAATACATGGAGTGAGGGACGCAAAGTGAAGCTGTGTGCAGTGGTGGGGGGTTTGTATCGAGGTATCAATAAAAAGGTAGGTAGGTAGGGTAGGAAAGGAAGACCACCAAGCCGTACGTACGTGCGGGTAGGCAAGATGAAAAAGGAATGAAGGCACACCACACCACCACCACACCTCAAAATCTGCGCGAGACCCTTCTCTCTCAGGCAACAAAATCCTACATACATCTCCGACGTCCGAGTCCAGGCAAGCAAAACGTATTGCGTCCAAGCCAGTTGTCACCGCCGTTTTTCGACCCCTCTCTTGACATGCAAACTGTACGTGCAACGGTACGAAAGAATCAGAATATTCAACGTTTCTCCTCCAGGTAAACCACAAAGTCCGCTCCAAATGCCCAACGTTGCCAAGAAAACAAGACATCGGGAAACAAATAAATTCGGGAGCAATAAACAAAGAAATCAAAAACCCAACTAATCAGTCAGGTGTGGGGAATCTGAGACGTTTCGAGAGAAAGTTCCACAACGCCTCATTACGTAGCAGCTTCAAAGTCTTTCCAGAAGCACATCCCCCTGGTATAATGATCAGAATTTTTGTAAAAAAAGAAAATACTTGTACGCCAACGGTTGGCCATGTGTGTGCATGGGTGTGGTGTCTTCTCCGCCGCGTTTCGCTGTTCATCTCCAAAGCTTGTGGAGGTTCTGGTCGTAGCCCGCCAGTAGTTCAATGGATCGCCTCTTCTTGAAATCGGCATCGCGCTTCTTTTTCCGTTGCGCCGCTTCCTCTTCTTTCCTTCTCGCTTGTTGCTCTGCCCAATCGCAGGCTGCTTGCATTTCCATGGATCGTCGCTTCTTGAAGTCAGGGTCTCCTCGTTTACCGAGGGGGCCCTGCTTCGCTGCGATTCACCGCGGCCCGCCTAATGCACTTATTCGAGCGCCAGAGGGGCGGTGGATGAGGGACTCGGCGTGCTTGCCGACAACAGCCTCTTGCTGAGGTATCTCGTTGTCGCTGCGCTCCGTGTAGTCCTCCTCGTCATCCTCGACGATCTTGGTGGGGATCTCGTGGCCGATGCTGTACTGCTGCGATGATCTCTCGGGGGTCGTCATGGTGGACGCGATGGACATGCTCGTCGAGCTGCGGTTGGGGATCAGATCAGGAGTAGGAGGGATGCTCGAAGTGCGTCCCGAGGGGTTGAGATGGCTGTCTTCGCCCATATCGGAGGCGGCAGTCGAGCGACCGTCCTCGCTGTAGCGGCCAGAAAGATTGCTGCTCCTGCGACGATTGGCCGTAGGGGTGTCAATCTCCGCGTCATGGGCCAACTCCAAACCCTCCACAGCAGCTTGGCACTGCTCCGCGATGTTGCGGATAATGTGAGAGATGGCGTCAGTCTTGTCCTTCAAGTGACGGTCTGCTACATCGAAGAAGCTCGAGGTCGAGAAGCGCTTGCTGTTGCGAGCGGCTTTCATGAGGCGCTCCTTGTCAACCGAAGACATGCCGCCGTCTTCCTCAGCGGCCGCAACAAAGCCGTTTGCAATCTCTTCCTCCAGATCGACGGGATGAGTCAAAGACTGCACGAGATGCTCCATGTGGTGGCTCTGTCCGCCGATCAGGCTGCGCAGGTGCAGCACAACCCGGCGGGCCTCGTCACGCTGGCGCATGATGGTCACGTTGGTGTGCTGCATGGCAGCAAGCTCCTTCTTGTTCCTCTTGCGCTCGCGCTCAAGCTCTTCAGCAATCTCTTGCTGGAGGACAAGAGCCTCAAGTGCGTCATCACGTTGCTTCTCCGTTCCAGTGAGGCGCACGGACATACGGGCGGCATCGTCCTTCTGCTGGTCAATGAGGCCACCCAGACGTCGGTTCTCTCTCTTGTGGCCCTCGATCTTAACCTTGAGGTCTTGGGTCTCCTTCGTGAGTGTCTCGGCGAAGGCCTGGAACTTGAGGAACTGTGACGACGAGTTAATAATGCTTGCCATGCCATGGACAGATTGAATTTTGGGATACGTACCTGTTGCTTCCAGCTCTCCAACTCCTCGTTCAGGTAGTTGTTGCGCTTGGTAACCTTCGCGAGCTCGGTATCCATACGGCCCTTCAGGTTGATGAAATCCTGCCAAGCCTCCTGAGCGTCACGAGAGTACTGGTTTCTCTCGCGAACTATCTCATTGAGATGTCTCATAGAGACCTTGGTCATGAGCGGCTTCTTGACAGAACCACCCAAGACGGCCTTGATACCGGTGTTACGACCCATCTTCTCACAAACATGGTCCATGACAGCCATGATGGAGTCCTGGTTCCACCACTCGGGATCCTGGATCGACTCAACCTCACCGCGCATAACGATGATTTGGCCGGCAGGAACAAGCTTGCCACCACCGTATGCGGAGCGCAGATGTTGCGGGACCCCAGACGGGGTGACGTCTCCATTCAGCGCCTGAGTCAAGCGCGTGACAAACTTGTTGCGCTGTCCAGGATTCAGAGCAGTTGGCGGGTCAGAGGTCAGGACAAAGTTGCGGTCCAGGTCAACGACAAGAGCGTCATTCGGCGCTGTGAAGAGTGATCGGCACTCGGCGGTGACACCTAGGATGTAGGGACCGGGCTCCTGAACGAGCTCCTTGGCGTGGCGGGCGTGCACAACCGGTACGTACAGCCCACTCCACTCATAAACACGAACGCAGTACCGAATGGTCTCGGCAGCCACGGTGAGAATGGCTGGGTAGTGGCTGACGAAGATGATGCGACGTGTCGGTGAGATGGCGGCCTCAATCACTCCAACGATGTTGGGAATAGAAAGGCAAGCAAACAAGGGCCACATGGCGAAGTTCTGGAAACCTGTTGGGGACGATGGGAACTGATAGCACAGGGCATAGTCCTTCATATCGATCCGGACAAGATCGTTGAGGCGTGGCGCGGGGAAGCTCAGGATGCGCGAAACCTCTTCGGCATGGAAGAGGTTGGTGGCCTTGTTCCAGTGGATCCACATGCCGCGAAGGTAGTCACCCAGCAAGTTGTAGAGTGGGTACCTGGAGAGGAAGGACAAGCAGTATGGAATCCAGTATGTCTCATCAGTGTTGTCATAGAAATCGGGCTCTGTCCTCTTCCTCAGGTCACGAATGGTCTCGGCTCGCTTCTCGTCCGCTCGTGACCACACCCTCAAGCAGATGCCGTAGAGAGTGTGTGAAGAGTCCTGCTGGAGGACAAAGGCGTGGTGGACGCAGTGAGGCTGGCTGCGACCAGTGCAGATCTCGACATCGTGGGGAAAACAGGCCTAATTCAGGTCAGCGCGTGGTCAATCAATTAGGTGAGGGCGCGGAGGGTAAACCTACCCTCATGGCAGCATGGAGGGAGCGAGCGATGTCATTGTCCTGCTCCAACCTCGGGCTACTGCCCAGAATCTCTGGTAGCCAAAACTGTCCGACGGCACCCTTCATGTGTCCAATCTTGCCTTGAGTTGGGGCCGGGGCCTTGACCCACTGAGAAGGCTCGCGGCCAACACCGCAGACCATGTACGCATGTGTGAGTGTCTTGGGCGTCCGTTGCTGGGCCTTGGCATTGAGGGTCGATGGGATGGGCTGGGTGATTCTCGAGTGAAGCGACGACGTTCGGCTGGGGATGATCAGGTTGTTGTCACCCTGGTCACGGGTCGTAGGGCGAGCATCGCGATCACTCGTCCGGGGACGAGTGAAAGAGGTGTGCGCAGTGAGCGAGGGTGCCATGTTCGCGTATGTGACCCAGAGGTCGGCTTCCGAATTAGGAGAGGGGTTTGTAAAGGGAAGGGAGCTTCAAGAGCTTGCCGTGCAGAGCAGTCGTCGAGCTGGTGGCCCAATTGTCCAAGGTGGGCCTCTTCCAATGATGTGGAGGAAGCGATGAATCAAGAGCAAGGTTGGTCGGGTATCCAAAGGGTAGAGAATGTTTGTCGAGGGCGTGAACCAAACAGTAGATGGTGTATCGACCTGTGAGTTGGGCGGTTGGAGTCAAAAGGAGCGATTATAGTGTGGACAGAGACGCAAGGTTTCCCAAGTGCTGGTCGGTGCAATGGGTCGGTCAATCAGGTCTTGTCCGAGACACCGGAATAGAAAAGAAGAGGTCCAAGTCCTAGGATTTGATTTCGATTCCACGTTGATCCCCCCCAATTTGCGAGAGCCCGTGTTGTCTTGATGGGTCCTCGCTGCTGACACTTGCAAGCAGGTGCAGATGGGATGGAGATGGGGGAACGAAGTAGAGCAACAAAACAAAAAAGGGGGGCCAGAGGGTAAAGAAGAAGGGGGCGAAGAGGCGCAGACGGAAAGATTGGCGAGCCAAACGGAGGGACAGGCGGTAAATAGGAGGGAGGGAATCACACACGCGGTCGAAGTCAACGTTTGGAAACCCTGGCCGACATGGGAGGAAGAGGAGGAGAAGAAGGTGGTGGTGGTGGTGGTGAAATGGGAGGGCGAGCAGAGACGGCAGACACACAGAGAGCAGAGCTCCAAGCTCAGAAGTCAGCACTGCACTGCAACAGCACGAGCACGGGGCCGTTTCTGCCCTGGTCGTGACCGTGAATCAATTACAGGGACCCCACGTCTTCTAGCTGGTCTGGGAACAGGAAATCGTTGGCGTAAAATGTGGCACTTTCCAAGGTTGGAAGTGGGAGAGCAGGCATACGGATACGGACATGGGCGAGGCACTGTAATTTGCGCACTGTGGGTCCTGAGAAACGGAGGCAGACTCACACCCCGCTCTGGCGCCGGTAGTGGCACGGATAGTGCAGTAGAGGGTGGAGAAAAGAGAGAGAGAGAATGCAGGGCAATGAGCTGTTCCTGCAGGACGGATCCAATGTCATACATGCTGTTTGACTGTGCACTACCGTACAGTGGCCTGTCCGTCCTGGCCGTCTTGGAACTGTGGGCCTCTCTGCCTTTGACTCTGGCTCTGGATCGGAGGATACCACAGTATCATGCGGAACGGTCCTGGCGGTACGGGAGCTTAGCAGCCAACGTGGGCGTGATGCAATGTATCACAATATGATCTGACTTATTATGCAGCTAGGTGCTGAGCGCAAGTCACAGGTCACAGATCACAGGTCACAGCGGTCTCGACGCCTTGTCAGTGAGCTGCAGACTGCATTCAGTAGCCAGCCGGCCAGGCCTTCCGCCGCCTAGTTGATTCAGAGGGTGTGATGGGCGAGGACGCTGACAAGAACGGACTTGACAGCCTGCATCCGCGAGGGCCGGCCTAAGAGGCCTGAGGGGCTCGTGCGATTCGCGATGTCGCCTCTGTTGGGGGCAATTCAGGCCAAACCTGCAAGTGTGCACAATGTGCATATGTATGCGAGCTCCAGCAGGTTTCCAGCAGGCTTCCATCACAGCCTCGGAACTTATGTATGGCGATACCCCAGTGGGCCATGTGTTGGATGCAGTGTATCCATATCTACGCGTGTAGGTACGCAGTTGTCTGGGCTTGGTCTCTATCTGCAACGGCATATTCGAACCTTGGTGCGCTGCTGCTACGTTTGGCTTGATACGAGACGTTGAAGCGGAACGGAGAGCGAGAGAGGGAGTGACTGCGACGGCTTGACGCCTAGACGGTGGCAAGGATGCTCATCTAGCACGGTGCCCCACCCGTCCAGGGTCCTGTGTGCGGCCCTGCAGTGTGCACTCTTTTTTCCCCTGGATCGTTGCTGCAGGCCCTGGAGATGGAATCCACACTGGGCCTAGGCGTGGCATATCATGCAAGGGGTCCCATGTCCAATGCTTCCCAATCGCACCCGCTTCAATTTTGCGCAATCAGGTACGTGCCCACGCTCTCCACAGCTTCTCGACGAAGCACAGTATCGAGTGCGAATTCTCACCTTCCTGCCTCTGTCGCCCTCGACGAGAGACGCTCCTCAAGCTGCTACTATAAGCGACATCTGGCCCAATATACCATATCTGTCTGGCTTCACTTGCGTGCGATTAGCGAGATTGACTTGGGACCAGATGACTGCCACCAACACCTGGGCTCCCGATGACTTGGTCAACTCTAATTCTAATAGCACATAGCCAGAGACATGAGGCATCCGTACCGTAGTCCATTTCCAGCGCCCCCTCGTCGACTCCGTTGATCAAATCACAGGTGGCCATCGTCAGTTGCCACCACCGACGAAGTTATCACCAGCACTACTACACAGCTAGCTCGCCCGTCGCGTCCATACACTATACGCCAGGGACCATTCAAGAGCGACAATCGGTCAGCTCTGGTCACGTTGAAACACCCAACTAGTCGAAACATGTCCGAGCCCTGATCCTCCGTTGATCCTGACACGCCACGAGTGAGCCGCAACGGTCGAGGCATCCTTCAAGGCCTCGCTAGCCTACCACACTCTGCCTTTGGCTGCTGTCGGGCTTGGGGCAGGCTGCTCAGAGCTCAGCGTTCATCTCATGGACTGCCATGCGGCTTAAACCGACCCTCATCAATGCTGGCCTGGCCCACGCTGCTGACACTGGCTGAGTCACAAAGCTATCGTCTCGTCTCTTCCTTGCGTTGCCGTCCCTTTTGGACGCACAAGCTCCAGCTCTCCTGACATCGCCGCTGGTCTGAGCTGCTATGTATCACGGCAGTTCGAGGAAACCATGTGGCTGGCAAGCACAATCTAGCCTCGACTGCGTTGTTGGACGTCCTCTCGCTTACGGCGCCTTGGGCAACCTGCCGCGTTTCGAGGCAGGGAAAGCCTAGGTGATACCCTGCCCTCTCATAGCTCCGCCGCTCGTCCCGACTCACACGGGTCGATCTCGACTTCTCAGACTCCTCACAGTGGCGATGGTCACGCACATCATAGCAGCAGGCAACATCTACCACTACTGAGGGAGGGAGAGACAGAGCACTGTAGAGAGTGCGCCCCAGAAGTGCGGCTGTCCACTTTACCCAAGCAGTACTTAGTGGCAGTGTTATCGCCGCTTTTCATCTACACGCCGGGCTTCATTCGCTGCTGCGCATGCCGAGGCGTTGCGCTCTGACCTCCCGCCATGATCCAGCAGCAGTCCGCTTCGGCTTCTGCCTGCTTCTGGGCAGTGATCAGTCCTGTGGCGGCGGCATTCGTAATCCGGGCCCATCCTGCAAATGCGCAAGTCTCGACGATTGGCGGTGCTTGAATCTTCGCGGCCGCTGAAGAATTGCGCTCATCTAACCCCCTTCTGCATCCCCTTCAGTCGCAAGGAGACCCCAGGATATCAAGCCAAGTCGTCCTCCAATCCTGCGACCACGGCTCGTTGCACACCCTTCACAGCACACGCAACAACGCGGTCAAGAAGCGGATGCGGGTGGACATCCACTTGAAGAGCCGGCTGGCCTTGGGACACATCGCCAGTCGATCGTGTGGAGAGGCATGAGTGAAGGCGCGCCGATCGGGTTCGTCAGGGTCCCTCGCACGTACTGGCAGACATGCAGGCAGTGCTCAAAATAGCGATGCATTGACAAATCAATGTGGGTGGTCTGAAGGTGGTCAACTGCGAGAAACCGGTCCGAGCGCGAGGGTGTCATCGCTTCAAACTCGCTGAGATCAAGATATCGGATGAAGCAGGGAAATGCTGTCCTCCGGTCACAACAACTCTGCACCAACGCAATATCCTGATCTACGGACCGCTCGGCCGGAAAATTGTCTGCAACAACTCAATCGAAGGGGGCATCCAACGAGACGTTCGAAAAACAACCCGCGTCTCCGGCGCATTGCAAAACATTCGCCTCGATGACTCGAAAAGGAGCTTCACCGTCACATATCACACCTTGACTGTGACGGTAGTTCGTATCAGCAACCTATAACCAAGCGTGCTATAGGTGTATCCTGCCAGGTAAAACTGCCCAGACCGTCGACACAGAGGGGTCGCGAGTTTCTCTTCTTCACCGAAGCTCAAATCCGATGCAGGTCTCCCGCAATTGATACCAAGCTTGCGTCGACCAATCCAAGCCACAGGGCGGCCACTTGACTAAGCTATACCGAATGTGCCTCCTATGGCAGAGGCCAGATTGGGGGTCAGGAGATTGCACTGAGGCCCTTCCGAATTTCCTCATGAGGTGTCCGACGCATCATGCACTGTAGATCCACCGTGAAACCCACTGTGGGCTCGCTACAGTACCAGATCTGCCGTTTGCCAGAACTTCAGATGGAATGCGACCGCACAGCAGGCAACAGAAGCAGTCCTCCGTGCGTGCGGGCGCCGGCGAGCCCGCGGGCCCGAGTTGCAAAAGCAACTCACTTGGCCCGGCCGATCCTTCCGCAGTAGCAATAGAGATTTTGACAGCACCATCCCGAACGAAGGTTTTTCATTGCCAGAATCCAAACTCCGCTGCCGTCAAGCCAACCGGTCCCGCAAGGCCTCAGGACCGGGGACTGCCGCATGTCTGTCTGTCCGTCATGACCGAGAGTCAAGGTGCACTGGCCCGTGAGGGAGCAGCATTGCAACAGGATGGAAGTGCCGCTTTCACCACGCAGCCAGCTCTGAAAGCTTAAAAAATGTCGTCAATGTTTCTTCTCATGGTTCCACAGACCACGTTCTCCAGTTCAAGGCTGCATGTTCGTCACAGCAAAAGGTTAACGAGTTCGCGTCATTGCTCCTCATCGCCACACCTTTCTGGTCAAATAGCCGACACCATGAAGGAATAGGTGCGGTGCTCGTGCCCCCTCGTGTGCCCACATCCTGCATGTCACGGCTTGACAGTACCGGCCCACATTATGGAACTGTGGATCTTCAAATACCGGTGCAAACAATCATCAGCAGGATTGCTCACCCCATCGCCCATGAAGTCTCCATAGCACAATAGATTGCAAGGTTTACGTCTACTTGCGTTTCACACAAATGGAGGTTCAAGAATATTTATCCGACCTGTCAGCTACGCTTTCATCAACAACCTGCACAAGCCTGGATGAGATGGGAGGAAAAGCACTGACAGGACGGCATAGCTTCTCGAAGGATCTCAGACATCGAACGATAGTCCAAGAAAACTCAACCCGAATCTACGGTTCTGCTATCGCTTAGACTGGTTTTCGCCCCTCCAAGGTTTGCGCTATTGACGCTATTGACGCTATCACAATGGGGGAGGGCCCTTTGGGACGGGCATGCCAGTGTTTCTCGTTAGTAAATCTGTCTCTGTCCGGGAATAAAAACGGTGAGAACGAAACGGACAAACGCACCGATCGACCACGAGGGGAAGCCGACACACAGACCCCCTTCTATCACACAACACGCAGTCAGGAGGAGACAGAAAAAACGGACTTGACTCCCCAATCTGATGCGACAGGCGGAAATTACTCCCCTGCCCCTTGCCTGCTCCGATCACCCCCTGCCCTGCCCTCCGGCAACTTTCCGATTAGCTTTCCGTTCCTCAGGAGGCCATTTCCCGGCCACAGGATGCAGCGCTTTGGGAAAATCCACGGTTTGCTGGTGACGCGGACGTGTTGATAAAGAATGTGCCCAGTCACGTGGCTACTGGTGCTGGCTAGCACGGGCCTTTGAATGTCACCCTTCAAAAAGTCCATGCCTGCCGGTTGATGGGAGGCTCGTCGATGTGTTCCTACGTCGAGGAGTATCTGAGGTCTCATTATAGCACCTCTCATGTCTGCTCTGCTGGCTGAGAACAACAGGTTTTGTTCTATCCAACAACCATGGCGGAGCGACAGAGCCAAGCGTGATGCCCGGGAAATCGGTGGGGCTCTCCCGTGGCCTCGAGCCTTTTATCCGAAAGCAACACGAGGAAGGCTTCGCAATGAATCGTAATTATCGGCAAACCATTGGTTCTGTCGAGTCGTCCCGATGCCCGGGAGAGTTTTCTGCGGACCGCACGCCGAATGCTGCCAGAAGAGGAACACGGCGGAGCGACACACGGAGACGAGCTGTCTCGGTGGGATGCTTCCCATAGTGCCGCATGTCAGCCCCCACCCCCCCTCCCCACGGCCTTCTTTCCCTCGAGAAAGAAGAATGAAAAATTAAGTGCTGCGCATACTTGCGATGGAGCTCCAGCGAGTCACCCAGCGGTCCTCAATTTTGGTGACCCGGTTTCAATGGAGGCTGGGGATCGTATATCTGAACCCAGGGGCCCACGATTAAGGTTGGTTGGTGGGACGGTCCTCGCCTCCACCTGTCAAGATTTGCCCAGGGCGCTCTCGCACCGCATACAGCCAGTTGCGGTCGGATGCTGCCTGAGGGGTGTGGGCAGAGGAAGGCGAGGCGGGAAAGTTCGTCTGTCGTCGAGCCAGGCACGGCCTTTTCCAACTCTCCAAGGTGCGCGGACAATGGGGCTTGACGTTCGATCAACCCAAAACTTTTTCTTGGTTCGGACGGACGTCCACCCGCACGGCAGGAAACAGAGCTCGCCTACTTCACATGTCCACTGTCCGCGGTCCGTCCCGCTGCTGTTGGCCCTGTGTGATGGCTCACATTTTGCGCGGGTGGGAGGGTCCCACTTTCGCCCACGGGTTCCTCTATGGCATGCGCGGTGAGGATAGCTACCGTTCGTACCGTGTGGACGTGTGAAAGGCACGTGCTTGCAGTGGACGGCTGGATTCACACCTGCTCACGAGATTCTACCCTTTTGGGGCCGAGTCTTGTCGTGATGGGCTCTCCAAACCCGGGCGGCAATCGCCTGAGGCTGATGTGTATCGGAAGGCGATATCGTCACATGTCGACGCTTGTGGCTCACCGCCGTCTGCGCGATCCACCGCCCGCATCTCTCTCACCTGTTGAGGCAGACTATGAAGCCGGGCCTCACGGCGCCTTCGGAAAAACGGTAGGTTTATTGTGCGCTATCGAACGACAGAATTGAATGTTAATGTACCCGACCGAGCGTGATTGAGTGAATTCGAGACCGTAGCCACCTAATGTCGGATCACCGAGATCCAGGTGGAGGCTCGAGATGGGCTGCTGTTGAGCCGAGCAACATCCGAACGTCCTATGTCTTCACCGTCCTGTACACACATCTTTCTGTCCTTGGCACGAGTGAGTTCTCGTCAACCGGTACAACAAGGTAGCGAAAGAGGCGACAGGCCGATGTGTCGTGTTGGCTTCGAGCAAGTTGCCCGGGGCGGGAAATAAGGCCTCTCCTCCCGCCATGCCACAACTTGAGATTCTAGCTGCAGGCGAATGAGAATCATGTCATCACAGTGAGATGCTTACCTTGTCACTTGTTCATCTTACATTGCATGTGCAGACTAGTGAATAGGTAACAAGGCAGCCTTGACATGCTTGCCTTCCGATACGGCTGTTTATGCTAATTGGACACATTTTTCACGAAATGACCGAAGGCACGTTGCCGGTGACAAAGTATCACCTCACTCAGACCCGAAATGCTCAAGTCGGGCCTCATTCTTCTTATGGTTGGCCCTGGGGAGAGAGGTCTCCTTGCTCAAACAGCGAAACGACGCCCACCAGTAGATTCCGCAATGGATCCAATACGGTCATCTTATATTCTTATAGAGAGCAAGGCCCAGTAAGCCAACGGCCAGTGTCACTCTCCGTTTTGGTCGCAGTGGTGTGCGTGCGTGGGTAAAAGGTATCGCCACGTTCCATCTCGACGGGGGACCATACTTGCCCGACCACCAGGTATCCACCCTCACCGGTGCATTGAACCTATGTCTATTTATGTATCTATCACGAACGTATGGAGGAAGACACGCGGCTACATCCTGTCCTACCGAGCTGTGCAGTACTTGGGCATGCTTTTCACACAAACAACCGCAGACATGGAAACGCAGCCAGTACCTCTCGAGCCCAACTTCGGGGTGACTCCCGCACCACGAGATCCATCGACAGAAACTGGGAGAAATACGAAAGTCTAAAACAGACTCAACCCATGGCATCCCCAGGGAGTGGGACCCTCATCCAGTACAATGAGCGCAAGACCACACCGAGAGACTTTTCCGTAGCACCACAAATCAAGCATAAAAACCGCGAAGCTCACAAGAAAGTGGATAAATTCCCGTCAAGTGGAATTCCTTCCAAATATATATGGCCACAAATACACTGAACGCCAGATGTTGGGAAATGGAAGGCCAGGGGCTCCAGGCAAATGACATCGACAACGCATAGCCGGACAGAAAGGCTTTGGTTTGACAAGGAGAAGAGACTTAGCTTACGAACAGGCCATCTAATCTGCCATTCTAGGTCAGACACTTCTCGCGTTGAGCGACCTGTCCGAGCTGCCTTTGTCTGCCAGAGGGGACACCCAGTCCCTTCCCTCCCACTGAGCAGCTCCAGAGGCACAGACGAACGAAGCAAGCAAGAGCCAAAACCACAAGACCCCGAGGAAATTTATCTAATCGTTCCCTCTCTCGTGCGGGAAACTTCTCACCCACCCACCTTGTCAAGACATCACCACCACCCCTATAGTCTTCACCCTCGGCCCCTGAGGACCGCCCGCCCTGTCTCCATCGTCGACCTCCCCGGCACAGAACACAGAATCCGTCATCCATGCAGTCACCCACGGCGAGCCCACCTCTCCCCGATTCTATGAGAAGGCCCAGGACTGGGCAGAAGAGAGCATCCGGTTCGCACTCATCACGTCCTGCGTAGTATGCGCCCAATGTCCCAGTCTGATCCTCACAATCTCAAGCGCAACAAGCCCTTGGTTTACTCCAAATGCTTGATACCACTTTCCGCTAGGGTTGTGGATGAGATGATGCTATGCAAGTAAGTGTAGAGGTGCAGTAGGACCAACAGACGGCAAGGACACGCTCAGAGGAAGGCCAGCACTTTGACCCATAGCATCAAGCCTTGATGGAAAAGGGCAGGGCGGCTGTGGAAGTGAGGCTGAGAGCGAATCACGTACGAGTCTCAGCAGACTTGACGAAACCCAGACGAAGCAACGTTGTGTAGTTACCAAATAAGAGATCTATTAGCTATTTCGTTCCTCTGAACACCTGCCGACATCGATCCTCCGTTACGGCCACAGGTCCAACGCGCAACACCAAATACGGCTGCGACAATAATAATAACCGCCTCGGTCGTCATCAAGTCATGGAAATGCAGACTGAGTAATAAGTAGTATTCTGCCTTGCTCGGGAGTATGATATCAAGGGAATCAGATTCCGGTCCGTCCTGCGAAAGGCCACGTAAAGACATAAAGCGACAGTTGTGGTCTTCAGAGTAGTAGAACAGTGAAATGGAAAATAACAACAACAGAACAATGCCGAGCGTGCGAAACAGTGTGATATATTGATGTCTTGCCCCGGCTCAGCTGTGTAGGCAGCTGCCGTTGACATCTTCGGAGCAACTCGGCGTCATCTTCAGCTTCGACGATGTCTTCTTCTTATTTGCACTGCTGGTCCTTGCGGTGTGGATGCGGTGCTCTACGGGCTGGCCAGGGGGGTGTTCGTACCAAGGAAGTTTGATCGTGCTAGACGGTTCCTTGTAATTCGGAATGGTGCTCTGGCCTCTAAAGTAGGCAGTAAGACGACGGGCCAAAGAGACTCCCTAATTGTTGTTGACCTTGTTGTCCACAGCGTTGTGGGCCTCCTCCTTCTTCGTGCTGAGGAAGTCTCCGATAAATCTGACGGTCTCGCCAGTAAGAACGAGAGCAGTGGCGATAGCGGCCTTGCCGGTCGAGATCAGAGCGAAGCCGGTGTCACTGCCGCCGTTGGCCTTCTTATACTCGTTAGAGTAGAGGCTAAAGACGTGGTCGCGGCCCTCGAGGCCCTTGTGGTATGGGAACAGGACGATGCCCTTGGCGTCGGTGTACAGCTCGTTTGTGGGCTTCTTGACGGCAGGGAACCGCTCGTCGACCTTGGTCAACGCCTTGTCGCCGAGGTCGTCTGCCTTCTTGACGTACGGCTCGACATATTGGTAGGGGCCGTTGAAGTAGGGCACGATGGGAGCAGCAAAGGTCTGGTAGGCCGAGTCGCCAAGCTTGATAGACTTAGCGCCATAAGGGTTGGACTTGAACGTCTCGATGCCATCGTGGACAATGTGATAACCGACCAAGTGCTTTGATGAGGGTCAGCTTCGGCTCTGAAAAAGGAGGAGACAAGCACAAGTGGCTGGCTTTGTACAGAGAGGGGTTCCGCTCAGCCAGCCCGCGCGGAGCAGGTTTCCGCTGTGGTGGCAGTGGAGACGAAGAGGGAAAAGAGGGGTGCTTACCTTCAGGAATGAAGACCTTGGCACATCACCGTTGACCTGGGGTGCCGACATTGTCGTGGTATCCGACGTGACGACGGTGGCGTGGATGGCTTGGGAGATGTGGGTAGCTTGCTAGCTAGGGACGAGGCTCTGACTCGTCCGTGGAAGAGCGATTGAGATCTGACAAAGCTGACGAGGGCGTATGCGCGTGTGGTGGGTATGTGGGTGTGTGTATGTGTGTTTCAAAGCCACAAGGCGGGTGGTGTGAAGCTTGATCCGAGTTTCGTGACTCGTGATGCGTTGAGGTAGATGGATGGGGGGGGGAGCAGGTTGTGTAAAGGTAAAAGAGAGGGAGTAGAGAGAAGTGAGGAGTTGTCCAGCTGCTAGCGGAGGCAGAGGTCAGCAGGCGCTTGATGGGAAAAGGTTGGGTGAGAGAGGACAGAGGGGGCAGAGACGCGTGCGTACAGTATGCGTTGGCGTTGGTATGTGAAACTGAAAGCAGGAGGGGGGGAAGAGGAAGGGAAGTCTTGGGAAGGAGGCGGGTGGTGGAATGGAAGCTAAAAAGAAGGAAGGCGTTTCTTCCAGAGCAGCTCTGCCCCCATAGAATTGATTGCTGTACGGTTATCGAGTGGACTGACGCCACGCGCGCGGTCGCAACATCAATGGGAGACTGCAGAAGAAAAAAGGTGGGCAGTGGGGGGAGGAGCGAGTGGAGAGTGGGCCCCGGTGCTGTCAGATAAGGAAGGCTCACAGCTGGCATGTGAGAGCGAGAGGGCGGGAAGGAGGGAGGCGATGTACTCCTTGGTACCTACCTGCCCTGGGATTGCGTATTCGCGCATACAGACCTGAGAAGGGAGGGAAGGAGAAGGCGGGCAGGGCAGGGCAGGGCAGGGCAGCTGGAATGGGACAGAACGAGACGGAACCGAATTGGGTGGAGGAGAGACCTCCTGTGCTTCTCTCCTCCTCCTCGCACTTGTCTACTATGCTCTCTGCTCCTGCAGCATTATTTCCCAAAGTGTTCGTCGGTCGAAGCATCCATACATCTGCAACCTGCAGCACTGCAGCAACTGCACGATGCGAGACACATCCCATCCAGAGGTACATGACCATACATCCTCATCGTTTTGGCGGGGCTTGCCGTTGCGCCATGAAAAAGAAGAAGCTGCCAGGGCAGGGCCCCCCTTGCCCCAGAACCCTGTTTCGTAGCCCTTGTCCAAAGCATGTGAAAGGTGGCTCAAGCTGGCTGAAGCTGGCTCAGGCTGCTTAAGCTGGGCCTGCGTTCGAGCTTGATCGCCTCCTCCACCAACGGTACGGTGCCGTGTAGGAGGTCGAAGTTCGACGGACGCCCAATCACGGCCGTGGTAAGCTACCTTGCTTGTGCTCGCATGGCTTCGCATGGCATCGCCCTGCATCAAATCTGCAGCTCTGATACGGGCGACGAACAACCTTCGCCAGCAATTGGCTTCCCCAGATCCAAACCATCGTTGGAATTGGCTGCTCTGAGTGGCCTTTCCCTGCCCGCCTGCCTCTTGCCCGACACCCGCCATCTCGACGCCGTGGAACCCGTCGTCATCCTTCATTTCAACTTCTGGAGCGTCTCTGTCCGTCTCACCGCAGCCTACACTGCAGTCTACGTGACGAAAATTGCACGCTGTGTCACCCACATACGGGAGCAATTGTTCCTCCTCGCCCTGCCCTTCCCCCGCCGTCGCCGGTGAGTGGTTGGGCAGGCTGGAGCATCAATCGCCCGAGCGAGGAATAGGACGGCGAAAAAAAGTCATCCAAAGTCTCTGACAAACTCAATCGGGGCCACCCCACACTTCATGGATCCTGGAGCTCAACCTCGGGAGGCTACCCTGCAGGACGTTGACGGCTGCAGTTGTGCTCCTCCCCGGGTCCGAGGTACCCGACGGCAACATTACCATCGCGACAACCTCCAATCCAGCCCAGCCTGGGCCCGGCCGCCGGAAAGCACACAAGCACATGTCAGGCAAATGAAGGTCATCCTGTCTCAACGGCCTCACCTATCACCACCACCACGCCACATCACGCCACCCGTTGTAGCCGAGACACACCTCAATGGCTACCACTTCGCTCGCTCATCACCGGCTCCGACGGGACAATTTCATGGCATGGCCACCTGAGTTGCCTTATGACAGGGCTGTCGAATGTCAGTCCCAATCTGCATGTGAGACCGCACGAGGTGGCTGGCTGGTTGGCTCAACTGCCGTCTCATTTCTCGTGCCCGAGCAGCGACGGAAACCTCATGGAACCAATTGTTCGACAAGCAGGCCACTCGAGATCACATGGCGCCCAAAAATTACTTGCATCTGCCCTGATATCACGCCTCACCTTGCGCATAAAGGGGCCACGCCACTGAACATGTTGACCTGTGACAGACATGGGTGCGCTGTCGACCTGCTGCCCCACAGTTCAACCCGAGCTGACGGAACAGGGGCATTAGTTTGCTTGGGTAGCTCTTTCACATGCTTGAGCGTCGAGCAACGACCACAGACGGGACAGGGAGTATTCTTCTCGTGTGCGAGACACAAAAAACTCTCCCAACAATCACGTCTCCAGTCATTCCTTGGGCTTAAAGCAAAATGGTGACATCGTCGCCATCTCATGTCTTGATATAGTCGCCGACGAACCCTCGCTTTCGCATCTCCTCGGACCAACCACCTCTTCGTTCCTACCCTGTCTATCCAAGAACAAAGCCCAAGCCAAGGGCAGAAAGCAGAGTCGTTGGTGGGTTCGTAATCCAATGCAACATCAACGCCCCTGTCGATGATTCTAACCCTCCGGGGCCCCATCCCGCACACGACTGCCCTATACGTACACGTTGATCCCGCCTTCGACACTACTTGGATCCGTTCGGCAGATCCTGGACGCAGTCAAATGCGATCCGATCACCAACACCAGGTTTGAGCGATAAATTCTCCCATTCGTGCCACGCCCTCACCGCGACCGGTCCGAGCAGCTCAGTGTCCGCAACAGAAGAGCCGCTTGCGCAACATACGCCGCCAACAACTTGGCAGTACAGGGGGCCCCGCGCAAAGCGGCAGATCTGTTGGAACACGCTTCCATACAAAAAGAGCCAAAGGGCCCCCAAAAATTGTCTCAACCTTGACGCAAGTACGGCTCTTGATGCCCCTGTACCCTCCATCAACATCTCCTCAGCAGCTGTCGGCCTGGGGTTGACGCATGAACTCGCAAGAGAGTCCCTCAACAATTTCAGTGTGCAGCTCTGCAAAAATTTCGTAAGTGAAAATGAAAATGGAAACCAATTTTTGTAATTAGATCGTCGATGATGTCGAACCATCGTGTTGCATCAGTTGATCGAAAACCGCGCAACAAAAAAAAAGCAAACGAAAGTCCCGCGGCCGCAGCTCAAGCGCCAGTATAGGGATTAAAGTCGCCCCTTGAAGTTAGAGGGATACTGGCTGTCAATTTGCCAACTATCCTCAAGATTTACATTTTCGTCAGAAATCCTCGGCCAATTTCGGAGGAGTCGACCCATGCACGCAAGCACCCGTCATCATAGGCAGCCGCGATTTCCCCGTCTCAACCTGCTCTGAGATGTGTTCTCAAAGAAGCTACCACCAGCCCATGCCAATTCCTCGAAGTTTTGCGGTTGGAGCGGACACATGGACGCAGCACGACATGACGTTATGATGTGAGACAAGGCTCACTCTGTGTTGCCATTCTAGCTTGGGCGTGCTCCGCGCTCATCTCGGGGTTAGTACGGGGCGCAATCCCGGGCCGTGCTGTTATCACGATATGCGTCGCTCTCAAAGAAACCCGGTCCTTGGATTCTCGGGACGGGTGATGTCCAACGCATTGGAAGCTCCACCTGCTATACTAGCCTACCAGAGCATCCAGGAGGCTGCACTCACTTGTGTTGCTAGCAAGCCACGGGATCCGGCAGCATGCGGGTAGCCACTCCGTCGCTGTTGGCCATCTGTTCCATGTGCGAGAGCTTGTCTTCGTCGAGTGACGTGGACATATGATGTTGAGCAACGTGCGGCCAGCATGCTAATACCAAGACCGTACATATCTTGTGCGCCGTTGGCAGGATGGGGACACGATACTCCTTGTTTTGACTGGACAATGTTGGCCGTGGTCTTGGATTTTGTGAGCGCACCGAATGGTCGTGTACAATTGACAGCGGGGATATCCTGGGCCGTTCTTTCTTTTTCTGTTCAAGCGAACAGTCTCGTGAGGTAAGTAATACTGTTGTCGTAAGTAGAGGTTGAGCACGGTCTGCTGGTCGAGGGCCGCAGAGCAGCTGGACGCGCAAAAAAAAAAAAACAGGCAGTCGAGGCCGATACACCCGAGTCTCCTCAGTCTGAATTGACAAGCCATTCGTCTAATTGAACAGCATCAAGAAAAGGGAACCGGCCTGAACTGGTATGATGTAAATTAGGATGTCTGTCTGGTCGGTGCTTGTTTTGGCGCCGCGGCCGGGGTTCGCTGGGCCTGTGGTGATACGTTGGATGTGTTCCAGTGAACATCGTTTTTTTCATGTCCATAGCGTGTAAGGAAAAGACAGAAGCGTTTGGGAGACGGTGATGGATTGTCTTGCACAGTCGTGACGCATACACCGAGTTGCCACTGAGACAAGAAGCGGGTGGTATGTGATGCACTCGTAGATATGTGCCTCTCGGAGAGCACACCATCCTTACATACAGGAAACGTTCAGCTTTTATTCCAGGCCAAGCTATAGACGAAAGGAGGGCGGGCTCTAAGTAACGTGCAATTCGGTGCCTCAATGCACATACCTCTCAGTAGACTTCCGGTCCAACTGCTCTCCTCTACAGTCATGATGACAGTCGGCTAAAGCAGTCGGCAGCAAACTCACCCAACAGCAAAGCAAACACCACCTGCTGGTCCCAGCACGGACAGTGACCAGAATCCTCGAGCCGGCTCACCCGCCCCCGCCACAGGTTCCTATAGTCGAGCGTGTCGAATACGTCCAGCTTACAGAATACATCCGCGGCGCCATTCACAACCGCCACAGGAACTCCTCCCGGAGTGATTAGGAATGCCCGGTGGTCGCGAGTGCCTCCACGGCCCCCGCTACCGCCGGTGAGCACGCTACCGACCATGGCGGCCCTGGCACGCATCCACGGGTGGCCTTCGTCCTCGTCGGGCCCGGCGCCGTAGCCGTGGCGCACGAGGGCGTCCAGCTCGGCGTCGGTGAAGGGCTGCGGCGTGCCGGCCAGGTTGTCGGCCGGGTCTTTGTTGAGGCCCTCAAGGGCCTGGGCGAGGTTGTGGCAGGGCGGGCTGCTGCAGATCATGAGGCCCCTTGACCTTGGTCCTGCCGTCAGTGCTGCTGTGGATGTGGCTGCCCGGGTCGGCGAGCTGCATGGCCAGGTCCATGGCGACGTGCCCGCCCAGGCTACACCCGTAGATGAGGACGTCGGTTATTCCCAGGTGCAGCAGGACCTGAGCGGCGCTCGAGGCTTAGCCTGCGAATGTGTAGGTTGCCTCTGGGTCTGTGGCGTCTGGGGAGGCGCCGTGGCCGGGGAGGTCGAATGCTATTAGGGTACGGTGGTGTTGTTACTGATTCTCTACTCCGCTAGACAACGAGGGAGAGGAGGGCTGGGTGAGGGCAGATGGGTTAGCCAGTAGAGGCTTGAACATTTCCCAGCTGCCTGACATGACGTGCATGAAAAGGATGGCGGAGGTTGTGGGGGTGCTGGTGCTCGGCCGGTAGATCCCCGTGTTGAGGGTCCCATGGGTCGTTGGTATCTTGATGGACTCCATTTTGGATGGTTTTGCTGTGCTTCGCGGTGCCGATGTCTACTACGGCGTTGCTGTCTTCGTCTTTCAAGGACTAACAAGAAAAGAAGTGTGGGTTGGATCACTGGGATACTCGATATGTCTCTAGACGACTAATTCTACTGTGGTCCATATTGAGTCCTGTGCCGCAGAGTTGCGTCTTGTTGGTGCTGCTGTCGTTGGTGTTGTTTGGGGAGGGATGGGTTTACGATGTATGAATAGAAACCTGGAAGTAAACTAGACCAACTCACCAGAATTCAAGATGTGTAAAGTAACACGATGTATTCTCAACTGCGTGAATCCCTTATTAATTGAACATTTAAGACCTTCTAGTAGAGGAACGACCTCAGACTTAAGGCATAGTTTATACATACGGGCTCACCCCATTTCGATATTAAAGTTGTCAGCCCAACCAAGACTACTGTTCTAGTGTGCGAATGACACAGCTTTATTTTAAATACCACAGCGTCGTTCTCCTTACACTTACTGTGAAACTGTATTGGCATGCCCGCAAAGTGAGCTTACAGTTGGACAACAGATTACAGCCATCCCACCATCAAGCACGTTTTACATTCTTTCACTCATGAGTAAACATATGAGAATGAACGGTCTTGTTTTTCAGCTGGATATAATGAAGAATGCATGTGTATAATAGAAACATATCTGACAGTGATGGTACACAAGTCATTTGGTGGGAGAAGGGAAAGCGTTCAATGTTTGAAGCACTCTTGTCATGAGCCGCCTTATCCTTATCAGCTGCTTATCGATAATGCCTCCATAATTTATTTGACTTCCCAGCAGAGGACCCAGCAGAAGACAAAACTTGACATTTACACCACTTCATGCACATACTCATCGCATTTTTTCCTTTGAACTCTTCATGCAATTGGTCGGCTCCAGGATTAATATACAGCAGTCATTCTCATTCCTAATTGCCTGAGGTGCACCACAACCCATCGACCGACCAGCCAAGATGGCTGACCCGCTGCTCAACACGCTGTGCAGCATCTGCCACATCAACGCACCCAAGTACACGTGCCCGGGCTGCAATTCGCACACCTGCTCGCTGGACTGCAACAAGAAGCACAAGTCATGGGCAAACTGCTCCGGCAAGCGAGACCCCACCGCCTACGTGCCCGCCACCAAGCTCAAGACCGCGGCCGGCGTCGACCACGACTACAACTTCCTGTCCGCCATCGAGCGCGAGCGCGAGCGCAACCAGCGCGACCTGGTCGACGAGCGCAAGCTCTTCTCCGAGAAAGAGCTCGGCCAGCTCGAAGACCCCTACAGCTTCCGCAAGCAGTGGTTCGGCGAGAACGTCCACTTTCACCCCGTCAGCGGCGCTCCTAGGCAGTTCGGCTCCGACGGCGAGGACAGCGGCGGCGAGGAGGGCGATGGCGCAAGTAACAAGAGAAACATCCCCGCCAGGGCGAGACAGATGACGCGCAGCGTCCGTAGCCGCCTCGCCAGTGAGTACATCCGGGTCGTACAGATGCCGGTTGGCATGACGAGGCAGAGGGAGAACACGACGAGCTGGAACAGGAGGACCCGGCGAATCAATTGGTGCGTCGAGTGGATCGTATATGGTGGCAACGGCGACGGCGATGGCGCAGAGGACGTCGAAGGCCTCAGGAAACACACGAGGATACGGCATAAGGCGCTCGAGACAGTGCCGCTCTACAAGGCGCTGGGTGACTCTATGGCCTGGTACAAGAAGGGCCAGCAGGCGGACGACGACGCGGCCGACGATGATGACATTGAGCTGGCCCAGGACCGGAGCCAAAATAAAGTGCTGATCCGCGAGGTCAACGAGACCCGGCGACGGGGCGCCGGCGCGATGCAAGACAACGAATCGGCGACATGGCCCACAAATACAAAGTACCCGACCCAGAACCCCTTCACCAGGATCTGGGCCAGCGACACAGGCGCGTCCGCGACATCATGGCAGACAGACGAGGAGATCGAGGTGCGCAAGCGGCACAGGTTTTACATGCTGAGACCGCTGACCGTCGCTGGCAAGCCGCGGGAGCTCATTCCTCTCGACGGCGCCGACAACCTGACGGAGGCGCTGCGAGGCCGCACGGTCCTCGAGTTCCCTACCATCTATGTCCTGCCCCCCTCAGATCCATCCTCAACGACAACACCGCCGCTGCCGGACGGTCATATCCTCAGCTCGACGGAGCGCCGCATGCCTTCGAAAAAACAGCAGGCGGCGGCGAAGCGGAAGGCCGCGCCCAAGGACGACGCACGCCAGCCTTCCCACAAGCGCCAGGCTATGGAAGAAGGGCGCATTCCCATCCGGCCATTGACGTCAACCGGCGGTAACGCACGTGGCCGAGGCGGTGCCACCTCTCGTGGGAGGGGCAGGGGCCGTGGAGGCCGGCTTCAGGCAGCGGGGCGGCACGGCGACCAGGACGCCGAAGAGGGCGAGGTCAATAGCGACGGCGACGAGGTGGCAGCGCGGCCGAGGGTTCGGGCGGCGGCGGCGATGGACCGCGCGGATACTAGCAGCAGCGACCCGGACAGCTCGAGCGACGAGGACGAAGAGTCAGATGACGAACCAGACAGCTTTGTGACACCACATCGGCCGTCTCGACGTGATATGGATGCTGACGATGGGCCGCCTGAGGAAGTCAGGTCTGCACCAGCGCCAGCACCGATGGTGGCCAAAAAGCCCAGCGCGGGCTTGGTGGACTACGGGTCGGACAGCGAGGACGAGAGCGATGGCGGCGGAGACGGGGATGAGGAGGTCGATCTGGCTGCGTTACAGCCTGAAAACCCGGAATTGGTGGCCGGAGCCATCCAGGAGATCGTTGGGCTGCTGACCTGACGGAAGAGTGGCCTTGCTGTTCGGCGTTTGTTGTTGCATCTGATACCCATTCAAAATACATCAAATAAATGAATCACTTCCGCGAGGACAGCCAGCGGTTGGTCGTGTTCGGTTTCCATGATCTTTCCCTTCACGGATCAATTTATACGAGAATGAGCTTTCCTCTTTCTTCTGAGGAAAGTTCTACAATGGACATGCGAGACCTGGGATTTCTAGATGCCTCTGTTTGTAGCAGCCCTTCTCTTTGAGCACGACTTTCTGCCACTCACTTCCCGTTGGGCTTCAGAACTTTCACGAGTCATCCATTCGCAGATTGGCTCTCATCAAATAAACAGCCTGCGACTTCGCACGATCTAGAACGGGGACAACGCCCGAAGCCCTAGGTTTACTTCCTACCCCCTATCATGATTGAGCATCAACCTCCACGACTGCTTCAAGAGCGCACAACGGCTACGTCGTATACAACACATACACAGTAGGAAATTCAAGAAGCACCAAGATGTGAGACCGGAACGCAGTTTATCTATTGAGAAGACATCACCAAAAGTGACGTCCTCGTCATGCTAGCCTAGACCGCACAACGAAGGTGGCTGGCCCAAGGCAGCAGTCAGTCAACGACGTAGAGGAAACCTAGCTTCGTCCAGCCTCAAAAAAAGAAAAATAGCCCGGGCCAATCCGACCCGAGCAGCCCTTTTCCATAATTATCTCTTGAGTGACCATCATTCGATGAGATGGTGTGAGGTTCGGTTCCACCACTTTTTCTCCTGAACCGCCACACCTGTTTGTGCTCGTAGGTAATCGAGAAACGAAACCACGCAGATCGAGATCCAATTTCACCCTCTCTGTTTTTTCCGCTTCTCTCTCTTTATTCTTTTATCAAGTGCAAGAGAGACGCTGCGCAACCACATGTTGGCCGCTTTTGCTTCCCTTCCCTTCCGTTGATTGGTTTGAATGCCAGTGAAACACCCTTCCCCCTGTTCATGCTGTGCCAAATAAAAGCAAAAGTAATTTCCCTTCCTTTCAGACGCCTAATCAGTCAGTCCCTTGCCCCTGCCCTGCGCCAGTGCCACTGCACATCTCAGGATCTCATCCTCGTCGGTATAAAACAGAGTCGCGTGCCAAAATAGGAAGACCCGCCAACTCTGGCTGTCCCGTCGCCGCGCCTGCTTTGGGAGAAAAGGAGATTCGTAGCGGGCGCTATGATTCTTCGTATTGATACAATGGCCTGGTTAACCATGGGAAAGACACCTAAGTGCCGAGAAATGATGCAGGAGAGACATAGCCCAAGTCGTCTCAGGCCGGAAAACGTGTCGTCATTATGCTCTCCACTGGGGATGAGTCTTGCAGTATGCTGCAGTGAATTATTGGTGTCGAGATCCGGAAGTTCCCTACTGGGGGACAGTCTGGGCGTCTGTTCGGGGGCCTCGGTAGCCTCCGCGGCCACGACCACCGAAGCCTCGTCCACGCCCGCCACGCCCACGTCCACGTCCCCGATATCCTCGGTAGCCGCCATCGACGCTGCCTTGGCCGAACGTTTCAATGTTGCGATTCTGCTCCTCGGCACGCCACTCCCGACCACCGGGCCTTTGGCCATTGTTTGCCTTGCGGTCCTTGGCTTCGCTAGAGATGTTGTCGAAGAAAGACTTTGCCTTGTCGTAAACTTCCTTGGGCTCAGCCGCAGCGCCAGGCTGGGCCTCGCCTGACTCAATTGGAGTCTCGGTGAGTGGCGAGCCCGCGATTCTCTCTTTGACAACATCCTCCTTGTTGAACTTTGCATTGGCCGTCGCAAAATCGAAGTCCGAGTCTGGTACCTCAACCTTGGCATGACGTGCTCCACCGCGGCCGCGTCCACGACCATTCTGAACACCAGATCGTGCAGCGCTCACTCTCATCTCGTTGACCTTGTTGGTAAGGTTGTCCACGCCGTTTCCATTCGCTTGATAGCCTGCCGGGCCGGTTGAGCCACCTGGTTGCTCGAGCTTGGCCATAGCAACAGCCACAGCAGCCCTGGCTGCCTCCGTCGCATCCCTAAGAGCAGCGGCCGATGATGCAGGGTTCGCGGAGGAGTTGTTCACATTGGCACTGGCAGAGACCGTCGACTGCGCCGCCCTGGCGGTCAAAGCAGAAGGGAGAGGCACTGCTGGGGTGATCTTGGTCAAGCCCTTGGGGCCAGTTGGGATCTGTTTGCCAGGAGCTGCTGGCGCTCCAGGCTTTTGGTTTTCCAGCAAGGCAGCTGTGACCTTGACCTCTTCTGCAGACGGTTTGGATGCCACTGGAGGTGTAGGTGCTGGGCCTGTTGAGGGTGGCATAGCAGTCTGACCGAGGACTCGGGGTTCAGATGGCATCTCAACAGGAGCTGGACCTGGGCCCCTCGACAAATCTGCGGCTCCACCGATGGGTGCTGGTTTGTTTCCTGCCTGAGACGCCATGGCGTTGGGAGACATTCCTGGTGTCTGCCGCTGCTGTTGCATACCGGGAGGCCCGAGGGGCCCTCCCGGGGGGCCAGGAGGGAACGGGTAGTTGTTGTTCCAAGGACCAGGCCCGTTGGGCGGGAAAGCTTGACCAGGCGGGAACCATCCCTGAGGAGGGTATCCCATGCCAAATCCGCCAGGACCAGGAGGACCAGGACCAGGTCGGCCCCAGCCTTGTGGAGGCGGGTAAGGGGGAAACATGTTGGGGTTTTGAAATCCAGGCGCGCCAGGAGGGCCGGGAGGACCATTGGGGCCAGGAGGTTGATTAGACCCAGGAGCCCGTCCTGGATGAGCGCGAGCCTATGGGGATGAAGCGTTAGCTTGAGGCTCCCCTGAGGTAGTGTGGTAACAGTTTTGAGTGATGACAGCTTGATCAGAAGGAAGGCAACGGAAATATCAACATGGGGTTGTTTGCGCAATTCAGACAGAAAATAAACTTTACATCCGAAATATTTCATCATGCTGAGGAGAAGGTGGACGAAGCGACTAGGCAATAGGGCGGTACTTACACCACCGACGATAGCTGGGTCATTGGGCATTGGAGGTTGGTTCTCTTTGGGCGCAGCTGGCCCCTCTTCAATGCGCAAATCCTTCACGTCGCTGCCTCGAAAGACGATGAAGTCGTAGACCTGATCCGAGGCGGACACCTCCTCGGAGGGGTCGCCCTTTCGACCCTCGGAGCCATGTGACCTGACGTTCTCGAGGGAGACGGTGGACTCGTTCGAGTTGATTTCGTAGAGGGTGCCGACATAGCTGTGGGGCAGGTCAGTCAGCCGACACTGGAGCTCAACGTGTCAACAGCGCAGGCTGCAAAGGCGGGGTCGCGTACCGAATGTCGCTCTTGGATATAAGGGAGATGCGAGCTCTGTTGTTATCACGGTCAGCAGGTGCAAGGAGGACGAAGAAGCAGGCCCGCGATTGAGGCAGAGTGGGAGGCAGAGGAGGATACGAACCCAAGGAAGTCAGACATGGCGGCGGGCAACCTGGACCTGGATCATCCAGATCGCGCAAAGTAGGGGGATTGATTAATGCAGAGACGAAGAAATGAAAAGAAGTTCTGCATCAGCAAGCGCTTTAGTAGATTGCGGAGCGTACAGGAGGAAGAAAAGGAGGATGTGATTGAGGTTGTTACTGATGGAGTTCGGCGGAGGAAGTTGGGAAGGATTAGGAGAGGATGAGTTTGGTGGGTGGCTGGCAGCAAGTTGTGAAAATAGAGCCTTCCAACAGGCCCAAGCGAGGAGGGACAGCTGGGACGAGCTTGACCTACCTCCGCACTAGTCTGTACCTGGCTAGCGTGGCAAGCCACAATGGTCAGCCACGGCAGGCTCTCCCGCCAACGCCCAATGTCTTCTCTATGCGAGCTTCAGCTTCACTTTCTTGCTTACTGTTTGCTTTCTCTCTCTTTCCCTCACCTTTAGCTTTTGATTTCACATAATTACCTCGGTATATGTGGATTTAGAGCCTTGGAAATTGCATATTGACATCTAGTTGGGCTGCAAATGTTACTTTGCAGCTGCAAACAAGTTGTCACCATGCCTATCACTCAGCCTTTGACCCATGGTCATATCAAAGGGCCCAGCTTTCAAACGTGCTTTGAGGTGAGGCTATTTGGCACCGGCACTCTAAAATCTCGCAAATGCATTGCCTGTTCTTACACAAAAATTCTGGTGCCTTTTCTGCATTCATGTCAGGGTGGAAAGGAGATGCACGGCCCACCACATACAAAGCCACCCTTTCTCAGGTAGGTGAGCTGTTTGGTATCAAAGCCAATATACATGCTTGTCTATAGGCCACTGGACTGCCATCGATGGCTACACATTGATTTAGCAAGGCCTCATCCAGACGGTGGGATCTTGGATCCAAATCTTCCGAAGAGTTGGACCGCTATGGCCAGTCTCCGCCATAGCACCTCGATTCTCACACCGATGTCAATCTCACTAGCCCCGCCGTGGTCGAGTTTTCGTCGAGCCTGCCCTTTACATGCGATGATTGCGGTGGCAAGTCTCCAAGCAAAAAGAATTTGGATGATCATGTCCTATTCAAACAACGAGGAGGATGCTAGAAAAAGGCCCATGTCGCCGGAATGGAGGTGGGCACCACCATCACAAAAGCAGCATAAGGGACTTTTCACTATTTGATCGCTACATCATGTGCTGCGCTCACTCACCCTGGCCGCCTTACAGGTCAAACCTCGCCTCTTGAAAATCAAAGACCCCCGTGACCTACGACTCACCGTTGGGCTCGACGAGAAAGTCTTTGAGATATTAAGCCGAAAACTGGAGCCCTCAACAGTGCCCATCTCTGAGGCCACAGGGTACCAGATTGCCAGGAGTTTTATTGTCAGACTAGGAGCAGGGACTTCCATTTATGTACCAGGTCAGTCACAATCCGTTATTTGTCCCTGCATAAGCCGTCTCGATTTTGCTATTTAATACTAATTTATTCCTGCCTTGCTGGTAAGAGCTCTACCAATGTGGAAGGATCCAAAGCTACCACTCGACCTCCCTGATATGGCTCACGAGGTACACGAGCCTCAAGGTCCAGGATCCACCAACTTCAGCCGGCTCATGCTTGCTGCACGCGCTACGCGGCCAGATTTCCGATACGACCAAGTCGATATTATCACACGCCTATCAAATCTTATTCTTCTCTTGAAGTTCCGGAGTGGTCGCAACGTCGGGACTCGTCGCTCCTGGCTACGCATGCTTCAAGGGTCCCTCTTCGTAGTCGATTACCCAGCTATATGGCTATAGGTTTCTGATGAGATTGCGGCGTTAAAGTCCGCTCTTGAGAAGCGCTGTACGGAAATGCCTCCGGGTCTCGAACATAGCACTCACTAACGCAACGTACAGTACAGCCTTGGACACGTCAGCTGCGTCGTTCAAAGCCAAGTCAGTGCTCTATGCGGTACTTTCCCTAACGAACCTCCGCCGTCCTCTTCGCCAGGTCCAGTGGCTGGGCCGGTGGTGAGCTGGTGGTGAGCCGGGGGTTTCAAGTTCAGCACGAGGTTGCCAAGATTAATGTCCGCTGTAACGTACAGCAGACTGTTCTCAAGTCTATCAGAGAGGATTTCTGGTTCAGTCGAGTCCCAATCAACCTGTGTTGCTACCACAAGAACGGCGCCCTCGTCAAGCTTTTCAAGATTAACATTATAGCAGCACTCAGGAATGGTAGGAGAATGAGAGGAACGAGACTGCGATTCGGAAGCTAGCCACACTGCTGTCCGATCTCAAGAGAGCGGCCGGAGCTGGGGCTCCCGACGAACAAGCATGTATTGGCTTGCTAGAACGATATGACGACCCGGCCACGATATAAGCCTTTCTCTCTGAGGACGAGTTGGAGTTGGCTCCAGAAGGCACATCCAAGGGCGTCAGGGACGGAAAGAAGAGCCATGGGCTAGACAAGACGCCCGGGGCTGTCCTTCGTTGACCGGCTAGAGAAGCCGAGGCACCTCTGGACAAACCACCAAGCAGCAACTAGGGCGGGGTGGCGGAATAATTTTGGGGACGCAGCAATGGCCTGGATTGCAACAAGATGGCTAATTCTTTGCAAACCGGACGCTCTAGCCGTTGCGCCAACCTTGTCTTTGAGATAACACTTGGAAACGGTGGCGTCGGCTTCGTTGATGCAGCTATTGGCGGCGACGGCGAGCTGGAGAGGTTGGAGGACGGCTGATGGCTGGACGCCACGATGCCCGCATCACCAAACCAGCTTTACAGTGCAGAGCTGCCTGCAGGATGACTGGACAGACTTCAAAGGTGTGCAAATTTCGATGTGGAGGCGGCCGGGTTCAACGCTTAATTTTGGCTGGAGAATACTCAAGCGCATGCTGTCGTCGGACGCGGACGGAGATCTATGCTACGTTCATAGCGATGAGGCTTGAACGTACGGTCTTTTCTGGTGGCCGAAATGCCGACAGCTATCAAGGTGTGCAGATCTCCTTCGGGGCCTGATCTAACGGCGTCTCGCAAGCTGTCCAGCACCTTGAGCGGCTTGCTTCCATGGCGATGGCCTAGTTGGACTCAATTGCGGGCGGTCACGCTGAGAAAGTTCAATCTTCAAACCACTTCGGATGAGTTATTAACGGCGCCAGGGATCTGGGGACTATGCCTCCAAGGAGGGAAAGAGGGAGTTTCTACCCAGTCACGTATGTAGGCATTGCGCGCCAAGAAGAGGCACAACGGCCGGCGCATTGGCCATGCTGTTACAGGACGGCCGCAACATACGTGCGTGCATTGACAATGGCAGTGTGCCGCTGTCAAGCAAGCATGCTACGGCAAAGTTAGTCTGGCCTGGGGGCCGACCGCACACAACGGGAGATCTGAGGACCCCGGATTCTACCCCTGGATTTGTTCATCAGGCGCCGTTTGTGTGCATTCCGCGAGCGAGTACGAGTACGTTTCCCAATGGCAAGTGAGCAAAGCAAGCACGCCAAACTTCAACCCGCCCGCCAACGCCGCCGCCGGCCCAAACTAAAGTATCCCCTCCTGCCAAGCGGCTGCCCGTCTTGTGCACCCCTGGCGTGCGCGCGGTAAATGATGTGCTGTACACAGTAAAACGCGAGGATGGAGTTGTTTGGCCCCTTCATGACTCGTTTGTTGTCGGTTCTTGTACACGTTTTCTGTTTCAGATCTAGGGAGTTCGGGTATTGGCCTTATTTGAGGTTATTGGCTACCTTGTACATGACATGACATGCGTAGGTGCCGCCACAGCGGTATTGTAGATTTACGACAATTGGGGCCCCATTTGCAGTGGAGGGGATTAATTTCTGGCAATATTGATCCGTGGGAGATAACAACTTCTGTTGTATGAGATGATACGTTTAAAATATACAGAGAAGGGGAATTAAGTTGCAGAAGATTTGAGGGATACATGCCTACCCAGGCACGACGTCGTTCAACGGTGGAGCAGGCAAATGAGACCTTGAGCGTCCCAGTCGTCTCCGGAGAGATTCATGTGATTAAATTCAGAGCTTTCTGATTCAGAGTCATTCACAATATACCAGGAGTCAATTCTATGTTTTGGTGTGCTCAGTAACTCTGTGGCTCAATCAATACAGCAGCAATGGACAAGCAGATTGCAGAATGGTGTAGGTACAGTCTGACTGTGTACGTACAATTTTGGAATCTAAAGTTTAATTGGAGTTAGGCCATGCTGAACTTAGAACGAACATGTGCACTATTGCGCAGGAGCTGGCTAGTGCTGCTCTAGCACACGACCAAGATGGCGCTAGACGATGCCAGACTTGTCCCGTTATGGCGACGCATGGTAGCAGATCGAACTGTTCTAGAATGAACCCCTTTTCGGTGTGTGGTGTGTGTTGTGTGTGTGTGTCCCCACAAGGAGTGTGTGTAAGTCTCGCAGAGACACAAGCAGGCTGGTATTGCAATCTGGCCAATGTTTGTTGTCCATGTCCATCCACTTAGTCTTGAGTCGTACAGAGACACATATGTGGGCAGACGGAACCAGTGCGCTGAGTAACTAATGCTCCCCACGTGGTCCAAGCTGCTGCCTTGGCGGCGGCTTATGCCAAGGATTACGAGCTGTTTGTTTGCCACAAACAGAAGGCCGGAAAAGGGAGCGACGGAAGGGAGAGAGGAGGCTGGACTAGGAGGATAGAGGACGGAGGACGAGGACGGCCGGAGGAAGCTTACCTATTCGTGCGCAAGTGAGGATTTTTTTCCCTCGTTTCCCGTATCTGCTTTGTGACTAAAATGCTACAGCAGATTACTTTGTCTGTATCTAGGTCAGCGGCCCTTCGGATCCTGGGATCCTCCCGAGCATTAAGGCCAGCAGCCGGACCCGGTTTGATTGGGCTGATAAATTAAAATTATACCTGGAGCATTCGAAAGCTTGGGACCGCCTCATGCGAAAGCTAATACAGTGGGTAAGCCCCGAGCACTCCATGGCCACTTTTGGGCATGAGAATAATGGCCGAGAGCTGAAAGTTTAAAGACACTCACACCAATTGACACGCACGAGGCGTTTTGGTCTCACTCTCGGTCACCCTGTCAGATATAATCACCCGACTGTGCCCCCCGATTTAATTCCCCCTCGCTCAAGTGCTGCTTCTGCTGAGAGCCTCCGAGTCGAAACTTCAGCCGAACTTTGAATTGTTCCTGTAGCACGCCTCGAGATGTGACCAGTCCTTCACCAACTTGCTTTTTTCTTTCTTTTTCGTGTTGTCGTCTTGCTTGTCATCGTGCATCGAGTCACAGCCACACTCTTCGAGGAAAAAAGTCAAGTCCAGTCCTAACTGGGTAAACGCGTATTCCAGCGCGCGGACCACTTTTATTTCGCACCCTTTCTCTTTTTTCCCCCTTCTTTCTCTGTCTCACTCACACCTACACTCTTTTCGACGAAAATAGGGCGCCGGCGAGCGAACGAGCGGGCCATGGCTGTGATGAATCACACATGGGTGCCGCAGAGGAGATTGGGCGTGTGGGTTGTGGCCGTCATTCTCATTGCGAGCGCATACTACGCACTATGGACAGACACCATTTCGGTCGACCGATTCCGATTATCATCGGCAGCCTCCTCCTCGTGCCAATGTCCAGGGCTCCGGCCGGAGGATGCGTTTTTGTTACATCAGAACAACAACAACACCAGTAGCAGTAGCAGTAGCAGCAGCAACAGCAACAGCAACAGCATCACCACCACCCTGGTCGACGACGCTGCAAAGGCCGCCGCCACCAATGCGGACGAGTCTGACCTCAGGGCTGAGCTGCCGGATACCAATAACCCATCAGAACAATCACGGCCTGAATCTAAACCACAATCATTACCAGCCCATGCCTCCTCGGCAGCAGCACCGCCACCACCACATGCGTCCGCAACACCCATCCCGTTTAAGCCGCAACGAGACGCCGAATTCTTCATAGACCTCCCCAAGGAGTACGAGCTGACCACAGAGGATGACGACCTGTGCACGCTCTTCTACACAGACGACTATGTCTATGGCATCGCCAACAGCTCTAAGCAGCTGTGCAACGAGGGATCGTCAGTGCACGGTTTCGAGGTCCCCACAAACCCACACCACCATAAGCTCAACGGCGCCACCCCAGTTTATCTGATGCAGGGCGTACAGTGGGACCCGACCCGCCACACCTTCAACGCGCAGTGCAGCGACACGGCCGACAAGGCTCTGATCTACGGGTCGCCGCTGCCCGGGCTCAGCTACGGCGCGGCGCCGTCGCCCACCTGCGACAAGAACTCCCCGAACCGCCAGCTCATCATCTACCCGGCGCTCAAGGAGACGTACGAGAATGTCTGGCACAAGCTGATGGAGCTGTGGCAGAACAAGCTCTCGTACGACGCGGCGCGCATCGCCGTCGACCCCTCGACGGGCCAGCCCTTCCTGACGCCCGAGCAAGCGGCGGGCGCGCTGGTGGTGTTCCCGGACGACCACGAGGGCCCCTGGGACGACGCGTGGGAGATCCTGACGGGGAAGCCGCCGATCCGCTACTCGGAGCTGTCGCGCGAGGGGTGCTACGACGTCGTGGTGGGGACGGTGGGGTGGGGCGGGCCGTTCTGGTCGGCGCTGCTCAAGACGACGTACGAGACGTGCCGGCGCGAGACGCTGCTGACGAGCTTCACGCGGTGGATCTTTGACTTCTACGGGCTCAAGGAGCGCCCCGCGTCCGACATCCACGCGAAGCCCACCATCACCGTCGTGCAGCGCGGCAGCACGCGCAAGTTCCGCGACTTTGACGGGCTCATGGAGAAGATGCACGCGCAGCACCCCGGCTACGCCATCAACGTCGTCGACCTGGCGCTCATGACCAAGCGCGAGCAGATCGCGCTGCTGCAGGGCACCGACGTGCTGGTGGGCCACCACGGCGCGGGCATGAGCTACGTCATGTTCATGCGGCCCGACTCGGCCGTCGTCGAGATCCTGCCGCCCTTCTTCCTGTCGCGCGGGTTCCGGTGGGTGGCGCGCATGCGCGGGCTCGTGCACTTCATCGGCAAGGCCATGTGGCGCGAGGAGTACGCGTACCGCATAGAGGGCGTGCCCATCCCAGATGGCTGGCAGCCCACCGTACAGGGCGACGGCGACGCCAACGAGTGGCAGACTGAGGAGTGGGTCTGGATCACGCATGAGGAGATCCTAGGCCTCGTCGACGCGGCTGTTAAGAGCCAGCTGAACGGGATAGGCGACCACATGTAGCGTCTGCTGTAGATTACTTCTGTCAAAACTTTCTGTATATACCCATTGTTCGATACCACTTTTCAAATTCAAGGATAAACAAAAGCACACCTGCTGGCTAAATGGGAACGTGGTGTAATGACGATCGCACCCATGTTCGTCGGGGTTCCAGCGGCTCTCCCTCAATGCTACCTATATCCACCTGTCATTATAGCCGATGCGGGACATCGCAACCCACCGATCCTGAAATGAGACACATCACATATACACCAATTAATTAATTTCACCCTAGTGTGAAGGCATGGTTTCTCCATACTTCATGCCTACGCTACATTCCGACTTTAGCAACCATATGGGCTTGCAGCTACCGTCAAAATACATCAGCAAGCGGTTGACAGCCAAAATATCAGGCATTGAAGCAGCAGACAACGGATGTGACTCCGAGCGGTACTGTGCCACTTGATCATCACAGAATCTTTGAATCGGCTGTGCAGTGTATCTTAATCTTCAGCGACTTTTCTTCTGATAGAATTCATCAATCTTGGTGAAGTCTGAGCAGCAGCTGGTCGTTTCTGGTGTAGCAAGCATGTTGCTACACCAGGATTGCGCCAACTTTTTCATTTTAGTAAAGACGCAACGTGACAAGCGATGAGAAAGCGACGTACAAGCTCGCCGCTCATTTGGTGTTCAAATCATCGCCGACCTGCCATCTGATGATTGCAACACCTCTCGCTCATCTGGGATCCCCCCTATCTGTGTATGATTCACGTACGCGTGTGTCCGCGCACACATAGATTTTTTCTTTCCTTTCGAGCACTGACTATCTAGGCAGCTTCTCCTTCCACAGCAGAAGCCGGAGGGACAACTCACTAACTCTGCGAAAATGCGCTCGCCATTCCATGCTCTCTAGTCCTGACAGAGAGCTTCACACTAGATTTCTTCGCATTAGCTACAATGGTCAGTTTCGTGGGTGACGCCCGCCAAGGTCAGAATAAGTTTCCTACCTACTTTTGCAATCTTGTCAACAACATACGGAATACTGAAGAGCAGCAAGATCACAGATTTTGACTGGGCTGATCTAGTCCATTGGTACTAGATATAGTGTCCAACTTCGACTTTCCTCTTCCCATATTACAGGATCTGGCAGTTTCATACCAGTCATCTCACAAGACCCCGGCTCTATGCCTCGAACCGTTTTATTTGGTACCCAGATACCCAACTATAGAGGACGTTCAGAAAATTGTCTCTCGCCTTATCGTATCACCTTCACAGCCACAAGCGTAGCCTCTTCACACATGTTCACACGCAAGTAATCGTTTCCCGACAGCGAAGCCTGCCCAAACGTAACATCTCCGAGCAGTGTCTTGCGAGGACAAGACATGACTTAGTCCAATTCCTGCCGAGGTCCGTCGCGCGTCACACACTGTCCACCACGAAGCTCAAGCCAGCCCACCAAATGACCACCTCCCCTGCATATGTCGAACCGTTGTAGATGCGACCTTCTACGTCCACATGCGCCCAATAGTCGTAAATTCAGTGTTTTGGATGTCCCCAAGGATACTCACTTGACCAAGACGACAACCAGTAAAGAAGAACGAACTTACTCTCGGCCGCCATAGCATCTCTGTGACATGTGAAAGAAGGGGGAGCCGTAGGATAACCAGCCATAGGAACCAGTGCTAACATGATCTCTCATAGATAACCTTTCTTGAGATATCCTCCCTTGGGATAACCTTCCTGTGGGATAACCTCCGTGGGATAACCTCCTTGGGGATAATCTCTCTTGGATGACCTCTCCTGGAATGATCTCTTATATAGTATTGTCCTGTTGGATGACCTTCTGTGCAGAAAGTAAGCCACCAGGGGCTTCGCGATGTCGTTCGCACTTTTTCTTGAGTGTGGCGGTGTTGTTCCAACAGTGTATGTGATACATAGCTACGTGCGAGTTACTTCAGTTAGAAGTTAGAGTGTATTAGAGAATGTAATTTATTAGCGAATGTCGTCATATCATTAAACCTAGAGGTATCAACCACCGAGACAGCAAGCCAACAGAAAAAAGACCAAAATGGGGTATCCTATGTCAAAAAGCACAGCCGTTCTCCATCCCCATGGTATCATCAGTCAACGGGGGTATCCGAGTTGGCAATCTCCTTCTTGAGAATCCCCTGAACCGTCCACGTCATTCTCTCCCGTTCAACTTTTTGCGGGATTATATCGTACACTCATAAGCTATGCAAACTCAAGTAGACCAGCCTTCAGGCGGGGCAGGTGTTGGTCAGCATGGCTTAGAACTTAAATGTTCTCAATGACACGAGCGTTCATGGCCTGTTGAAAGGAAGGGTCCCCACCTCCAAAGTCATGGTAGGTATTCTTGCCGCTGCTGCTCTCGCCCTGCTCGCCAGAGATGGCCTTGGGGTCGTTGACGACAGCGTTCATGGCAGCTGTGGAGGAGGAGCTTGCGCCTGGCATGAAAATGACCTTAGAATTGGCCGACTTGGCCATAGCTTGCATGGCCTCGAGGTAGCGGATCTGCATGGCGGGTGCAGAAGACAGAATATCGGCGGCTTGACGCATGAGCTTGGCGCTCTCGACCTATAGTTGGGAGAAGAGACGTTAGTTAAGTGTCTACGAGAGCACTCTACTAGCATGCCACGGGACAGCTAGAGGCGGGAGTTGTAGACGAACCTCAGCCTTAGCGGCAATGATCTTGCTTTCACCGATACGCTTGCTCTGAGCAGCCATAGACAGCGACTCCTGCAGCTCTTGGCTGAAGACAATGTCCTTGATAAGCATGCTCTCGACCTGCACACCCCAGCCTGCGGCGACATCCTCGATGATCTCCCCGATGCTCTGAGCGATCTCCTCACGGCGCTCGATGACATCCTGCAGAACGCGTGCACCGACGACGTGGCGCAGGGTGGTCTGGGTACGCTCGATCAGGGCCTGGCGGACGTTGGTGATGCCGAAAGCGGCCTTATGCGGGCTGACAATGTGGTAGTAGATGACGCTGGTGAGGTGCAGGTTGACGTTGTCCTTGGTCATGCAGACTTGCTTGGGGACCTCGACAATCTGTATCTTGACGTCGACTTGAATAAGACGCTCGGACAGGGGGTTGATCTTGACCAGGCCAGGGTCGACTGCCTTGTAGAATTTGCCGAACTTTGTGACCAGACCAACGTTGCCCTGGCTGACGTTCTTGTACGGGTTGGGGCAACAGATGCAGCACGGAATAGCACCCAGGGTTCCCATGCAGGAACCAAGGGTATTGACTAGCAGGGGGCGATGGCCGTTAGCATCGACTGCAGTGGAGAAGCGAGGAGTGGCTGTTGGAGGTGGGCAGACTTACTCATGCTGCCGTACCAGCCTTTGGCATCGGCGTCAGTCCCGACGATGCTGGCGTAGCTCTTTTGGAGGTCCTCCTGGCGTGGTGGCTGGACGACCATGTTGACCTGTGGGCGAAAGCCCTGTGCACCGACGCCATTGGTCTCGGGGGCCTTGGACGACCCTGGAGTGGATGGGGCGTTCATGTTGTCTTGATGGTGTTGCTCCTGGAGCAATAGCAGTATTCAGTAGGTGCTGTTCGTTTATCTGAATGCCGTGTCAGTGGTGGCGACCGAGAGACGACGCTGGCTGGTAGCAGGCGAATTGTTAGTGTTTGGGTCTTTTGAGGTTGGCCGAGTAACAACCCGCACACGTCTGTCCCGCTTTTGATGTATGTGGCAGCGATGTACGAGGACGGATGATGGTCTTGGCGTGCTCGATATTGGGATTGCTGGGGATGTCTCACATTTAAAAGAAGCGACCCTGGGTATGGGTATGGGCACTAAGGGGTCTAGTATGTGGGTAATAGACTCCTGGAAGCTGAGTCTCCGACGGCCTGGGTGTGGGTGTGGGTGTGAGTGCGGGTGTTGGTAATTGGATGGGACGAGATGGGGTGATGGATCTCGGTGGTGAGGGGGGCGAAACACGCAAACAAAAAAAAGAGAGAGAGAGGATGTGACGGCAATATTTATCCTTTTGAGCACTGACCCAGGAAGAGGAAGGTCGCACACACTTGGGGCGATCTGGTGTGGGAGTGGGAGTGGAGGGGGGGAGGAGAAAGAGACCAGAGGCGACGACGAGACAGCTTCCCGTATTGATCGCTTCCGTTCCGTGAGCTTACTGTGGGTGGGAAAGAGTCACGATGATGGATCTATGGGAATGCGTGCGGCGAGGCAGACAGCCTCTGCTGCCGCGTGTGGCAGCTGTGTGCCTGTGCAAAGAGGAGTTGGATGAGCAAGTGACCTGTGTGACCTCTTCCTACTAGCCTGTCAGTTACAGGGTACTGTAGGTAAGCTCTGGGCGAGCTCTACCCATGCGTGGTTTCTGCTGGCGTATTGGCGGGTGCCAGGGGTGGTGGTGCAGTTGCGGGTGCGGTACCTAGGATTTGGGAGCTTAGGTGGGCCCATTCCCCAGTGTTAGGATGTCGCCAAGGGCGGGCTGTGGAGTGTTTAACAACGGGCCATGCGGGGCGTCGGGTCTGCAGCTTCGCAGAGGTTCGTCAAAAGGTGCAGAAGGAGGTGCCAGGTGGGTGGCCCCTGCTCTGGTCCCTAGTCCTGGTCCTAGCTTGCGCTGGCTGGGGAAGGAGGAGCAGCAGCGTGGGAAGTGCGGAAGGAGCAGGGGCCAGGGTCGACTGACATCACCGATTGACTGGTCTGCTTCGTCTGCTTCCGCCCTCGACTGCCAGACTGCGCGACTCCTTCAAACACTCGCAGGGCGCATCCGAAACACAATCATCTCAACCGTCACATTGCTATCGCCATCGCCGTCGCTGTCATTAGTGGGTGACACGGGTGCCTCTCTGGTCATCCTCGACACTTGACAATAATCCACCAACACCAACGCTCGGCTTCTCCAGCTTCCATCTCTTGTTTCAGCCAGCTCGCTACTCAGGTTGGAGCTTCGTTATAGCTTTCAGTCAGATCAGAGTTCAACAATGTGTCACCCGACATTCTAGGCTCTCCTCTCATCTCCCCTGCCCCTCCCCTCGCCTCCCCAGAGTTTGCGTCGCGTACTACACCAGCCAATCCCTCTTCGTGCTGTCATGACTTTGTCTGCCGCGCCTCTCGGCCCTCAGCAGCTCCCCAATCGGGACCTCCAAGATGCAGTAGTGTGCCACCGGGGCTCTTCACGCGGCCGACCTCCTCCAAAGCGCCTGCGTGCCGAGATCCGCTGTATCTTAGTGGCATGCTGACCACCTCAATCACCGATCCGCCTCGAACCGCGCCTCTGGCGATCCAAGTCCGGCTGGATGTGACGAACAACCAGTGATGAAACCCAAGACTTTCAATACTTGGCTTTCTTGGGCACTCCCGTCTGGAAATCTGACAGTTGCTGCATGGGCCACCCCCGGAACTCGTGGGTCCCTTCAAACATCCACAACCCGCCCCCGCCAATCGCACAGAACCCAAGCTTGGGCGGAATTGGAGATGGAGACGACAGTCAAGATGTCGACAAAGCCTTGAGCGACTTTCGAACACCCACCACTTCGACCTCGTGACTTTACTCGGGCGTCTGCGCGGCTCCCACCGTGCTCAAAGAACGTAGCAAGGAACTCAAGGCCAAATTAGTCTGCTCAGTCACCTGGGCTCTTCTCGAATGAAGACTCCAGTCTAGGCTAGCCTCCTGCAACGAGAGCGCGCAGGCCTGTATGCAGTGGAAACTCTCGGTCCGGGAAAGCCATCTGAGCCATTTCCTGGGCTTTTGGAGAGCCAATCGAGACACAGCGCATTTCTCGATCGCGGTTCAAATCCATTCCGCCATGACAACTACGCCCGACTTGTTAGCAGATCGCTTCCGCTATGCAGGGCCGGCGCGTTTGTTTAGTTGTCAGCGTGACCCCTGCACTGCCTCACTTGCCCCAACCCATGCCAAGAAGTGTCGACATGCCAGCTAGCCGTGCCAGCGTTTCCTGCAACAATTTGAAGTAATGACCACCGCATAGGAAATTGGCTCGCATGCGCCCTTCGCAAAATCACGCCCCTGGATTTGTCCTCCCATGGCCACTGGTCTTTGCCACGCGACAGGCCTGCACTGCCATCGTGCACTAGGGCCGCATGTGGAACTTTTCTAGAATCCTTCCATTCACCCTGGTCTGTGGAACATTAGGCAACCACAAACGGTCTGCTGGTACTCGCCCGCACAGCCATGACGCCAATCTGGTTGCCGATAATCACTCCCAAACGGGTATCAAGCTTTGAAGTAACACAAAGACCGACATCATATTCCTCACCAATTCATCCAGTTCGTGTCCCGAGCCAACCAACCGCGGCCCGTATAGAGTCGCGTGGAGACTTGATGACATCTCCGCTGGTCCCACTGCGACTGTGAGATGGCACAAGCCTCTTCCAAGGGCTCACTAATGGTACCGAAATTACCTCTGCCACCGCCACGATGTCATTCCTTTGCAGCTTCTTGCCCGAAAAGGCTTCATTTTGCCCTGGACGTCTCAGTCTGGTCTCCTTTGTCCTCGGACAAAGCCAAATTGGAAGAACGGCCAACGCTTCTGGCGGTAATTTCAACTGCGGGTCTCTCCGAGTGAGCATCCACAAGGCGCAGAGGTATATCGCTCAAGACGTAGGGCTACCGAGAAGCTCGATATGGCGAGGATCGTTAGGATCAAGTGATCCGTTAGGCTCCTCTTTGTGTTTGCCGATGCAACAAGACTTCTTGCGGCGTGGCGATGTACGCGCCGGTCCAGAAAAAGGCCAGTCAACCGCTCCTGTTCTTCCCGAGCCACCCGGCAGGAATGGGGCTGGTGATGCCGCTTACGGAACGGGTTTCTCTTGGACGAGGATGTGCAAGGTTGACGATGATCCACCTGCTACAGGATGGATGTTGCCTGCGATAGTCTTCGAGGCTGGCACATGCATGCCATGTCCTTTGCTTGAATTTGTTCTGATTCTAACTACTCAAGTTGCGAGACTTCATCCACTCCGTTCGAGGTGTCCAGTCTACTACCGTACATATGCGCGTCCGAAGATGGACGAATAAAGCACCCTAGTGGTTCTCTGTGCAGTTTCAAAGGTTAGGTCTAGGGGCATGCTTCTCGGACTGGACACAGGTGAAGAAGGCGCAGGGGAACGAGTGAGTCGCCCACCGGTTACACCCTCAGCTTTGTTGGATCTGAATTACCTGTGACAGAGCCTGCGTTCTTTCTGGCGCGGTATACTTGATTTGATTCAATTAACGGTATACTTTCTTTGGGCGGAAGCAGCTCAAAGTCAGGCTGTGGGGTTTACGCTTAACGTACCGACCAAAGTGATGCTCCAGACAAACACCACAGGCACAAGAGTCAGAGAACTCGACCTGGCACGCACACTAGGTCAAGTCTCAGCACCAGAAATCCCGTCGTACAGCTGAAAGAGCAATGATCGCAGCCCCAACAGAAGGCTCATCTTTCGCAAGCCCAATGACAACCCGGACCTCGCCTTCTTCGCAATTCCATCCATAGCCCTTAGCACCCCCGTCATATGGCCCTCAAACCCAGCATAGTGCTTCACGACGCTCTTTTCGGCCACGACGTCGACAGCGTTGCCCACACCCTCGTTTTGGCGATCGAAGATAGAATTCTCGCACGTACGTTCAGGGCAGCTGTGGAGGAGCCTGCGCCTGGCATGAAAATGACTTTAGAATTGAACTTACTTGGCAATAGCTTGTATGGTCTCGAGATGATGGGTCTGCATGTCGGGCGTAAAGGACAGGATATCGGCAGCTTGAGGCACGACCTTAGCTGTTGGCGTCGGGAGTGAAATCTGCCATCTGGGACGCATACGGGATATGGGGCTCATGGTAGCGAATGGATTGTGAACCGTCAGTTGCAAGCCGCTGTCCCTTCCGACGCATGTAGCAGGCCTTTCAAGCTCACAAGTCACTCTTGAGGATATCGATGTCAACTATTCTGAGGCTTTCCTTAGGACCGGCGTGCTCGACGGTGAAGATCGGGAAGTGTACTCGTTATTGCTTTTGGCGTCGCTGCTGTAGGCTTGAGGCGCAGACGTGATAATGCAGGCCATGGCCGCGCTCTTGGCACGAAAGGGGAAGCTGTCGCTTTACATGACATATATGGCTCGCCTCTAACATTCATAAGCCTCGAGTACCTGTCCCGTGAAAATGACTCGATCAAGGCGTATGTCAAGTACGTTGAGCATATTTCCTATGGATTCATCTCCATACAGGCAACATTTGACTGGGTGGCTACTGCGCTTTAGCACATCATATCTACATAGCCCTGGCATGTAATTTCCAAGTTCATGCGTCCCAAAAATGATGTACTCCGTCCCATGAATTTCCCATAACGCCACCCAATGCAAACAAAATCACACAATCTGCGGTCCCTCTTCCTCTTCAGACAAACCAAGACCACTATCCCCCCTCCGGCCCCTCGCCGCCTCCTCCGACCCAACAACACACTCCCGCTCCTCCTCCTTCGCAACAACACCCCCCTCAACACCAAGGAACCCATCCCCGACAGCCAGCGCCCGCAACATCTGCGCCCGCATCGCCCCAACTGCGTTCTTCGCAGCCTCGTGCTCTTTCCTCTTGCTCTCGCGCAGCGCGTCAACCGTCCCGCGCGCCTCAGCAAGCGCAGCCTCGAGCCGGCCCACATCCGCCCGCAACGCGCCGACCTCGCCTTCACGACCGCGCAGCGCCGTCTCCCGCTCGGTGAGCTGTTCGCCTAGGGAGGCGAGCTGCTTCAGAGCGTCCGCCAGCCGCGCCTCGGCCTCGGCCACCGCCGCGTCCTGCTGCAGCGCGTTGTCGCGCGCCCCGTCGAGGTCTGCGTGTAACGTGGTCGTGGTGTCCTGCAGCTCTGCGACCTCGTCCCGGAGGGACTCGATGGTGAGGTGGAGGTGGGAGACGTCGCGCTCTAGGTTTGTCACGCGGGCGTCCTTGGTGGCGAGGGCAACCTCGCGGTGAGAGAGCTGGGCGCGCAGGGTGGCTTCTGCTTCGCGGCTGGTTTCGAGCTCGGCGGTGCGGTGTTTGAGCTTCGTGTCTAGCTCGCTGAGGCGCGAGGCGGCTAGGACGAGGGTGTCGATGGTAGACTGTGGGAGGGCTGAGGCTGGGTTGAGGTCCTCCAGAGCTTGATGGACGCTTTGGATGGCTGAGGTCAGCTCGGCTGTCATTTCCTTCTCGTCGATGTTGGTGGTGGTTGAGTTTGTGGGTGGTGAGAAGAGGAGTGAGGACAGCTCGGCGAGGCGGGTTGTTTTCTCGGTGAGGTCCTGGAGAATTATGTCCAGCTGAAGCTCGACGTCTTGGTCCTCGCCGGTGTGGTCGTGGGAAGGAGTTGAGGAAGGAAGTTGATGCTGCACAAGCTTTTCCTTTATGCGAGCCTGGAGCGAGTCCCTTTCCACGAATGCCTCGTTAAGGCTCGCCATCTCAGAGCGCAGATTGCTCAGATCGTCCTGGAGTGCGTCCACGCCAGGATCGGACATCCAGACCTGCACACCAGCATCGCACCCCGAGCTCGTCCTCGTCGACGCCAGTGGGCTTCCGCCGGAGTGGATTTGCCGCATAGGCGACGAAGGCAGCTTGGCCGGGCTGGTGCTAGGCGGCGTGAGTGTCGGCCCATGGAGATGCAGCACCGCAGGCTTCTTCCTCCCCGGCAGCGCTTGGTGGTGGTTGTGCACAGGAGTACCGCCGCTCTCCAGTTCCGCGACCGAGCTGTCACCAAACTCGTCATCGAAACCGTGACCAAAGTCTCCGCTGTCGCGGTCGGACATCCCGCCCGGCAAGTCCCAATCCTCATCCCTGACAGGCGGCGACGACGACGGAATATCCTCATGCTGCCGGGCCATCACCTCTTCCCTCAGGCGCGCGAGCTCCCGCTCGAGGTCCTGCACGTGGCTCGCGTCGTGGTCGTCCTCGACGTGGTCGCCGCCGTCGAAGATGGCAGTCAGCTCCCGCAGGCGCTCGATCTCGGCGTCCCGCGAGCGCAGGTCATCACGCGCGCGGCGCAGCTCCGCGAGCGTCTTGTTCCTGCGGACGCGCTTCTCGCCGTACGCCGAGTTCATCTCTGCGCTGAGCCCGTTGCGCCGGATGCGCCGCTTGATGTGGTCGTCGAGGATCTGAGTGCGGAGGGGGAGCACGTGAACTATGGAGGTGTTGCCGCTGTTGTTGGTGCTGCTGCTGCCTTTGTCGCTGCCATGCTGGCGGCGGGCCCTCTTGATGGCCGAGTTCCCGCCCGAAGGTGATGACGAGGTGACAGAAGGTCGCCTCTTTCTCTTGCCCATCCCGGACGGCGTGGTGTGGCCTGTTGCCGATGCCTTCGAGGCGATGGGGATGTCAAATTCCAGGACCGTTATGCTGTCGTCTGCGTCGTCGACGAGCGTGATTGAGTCGTCTATGGTGTCGTCTGTCCCAGCAGCAGAAGGAGCGTCCGAGACGCGGGTCTTGCTCTTTGCGGTATTGCCCACTTTCCTTGGCGTTGTCTTTGTGACCGACTTCCGCGCAGCGGTGAACCGGGAGGATTTACGTGGTGACGCCGCGGCGGGAGTCCTGTAATCCTCCTCTGCCCCATGCTGCTGTCTCCTCCGAGGCGTGCGCCGTAGCGCCAAAGGGAGGTCTCCTGCCATTGTGGTGGTCGTGCAGCAACCCGCAAGATGTTCCGTACTTCCCCTGACCAGTTTCTCCGCCTGTCTGGCTAGATGCTTACTTCTTCTTCTTCCCTGCACGACCTCTCACAAGTGAAAATACAAGATGCACAAGAACATGAAAGACAGAGACAAAGTCGAGCCTGAAGCAGCTCGATTATATGAAAAGGACACGCTCACAGACTACGAGACAGGAGAACAAAAAGGAAAAGGTCGTGAGCGAGTGAGGGTCGGTGAGTTGGCATTGCCTGGGCTCTGTGGCTTCTTTTGTTGGAACCGTTGACCCGCCCGCCCGCGATGGATCCGCCCAGGCCCACCGTTGTGGAGTCGTGAAGAACACGTCGACTCGCTGCAGCTAAGACGCGTCTGGCTCGTGTCGTGGCTGGGGCTGGGCTTCAGTGGGATTTCGACAAGGCTCAGGGCCACTTTGTGATCCTTGCCCACCCCGGCATTGGCAGGAAAGTTCATTCTATGACGGTTGGTGCCAGTGCTGCCTGGACGTTTCGGCCAGGTAAGTTTTGTTCGTTCAATCTCCATTGCATGTAGATATGTACGATGACGCAGTGTCGGGAATACGATGTGTCAATTGTGCTTTCACGATTTAGGGGGAAACAGACAGTCTAAGACAAGGAACAGTCAATGTCAGCTTTGCCCGGCAAAGAGCCGTGGCATGATCGTGTATTCGTCAGGTCCAGGCGCCTGTTTCTGCAAGACAGAGTGTTCCTAGGAGCCGGCTGCTTCGCTGGCCTTGTCTTTCAGGTCCACCTCCCCGTCCTCCTGCGTGCCCCTCTACCTAGATGGGACCGCCCAGCTCCGCCCGTTCACCGAAGCAAGAAAAATGAAAACAAGGGGGTATATGAATGAATCACGCTGCTCTTCCTCCGCAACCTCACCACCCATCGTTATGCCGGAAAGGGAAATCAAAGGAAATAAGGAACCCAGCTCGATCCATGTCAGAGCTCTGTAAAGACAAAAACAATTATGCATCTCGAAACACCACCGCATCATCCCCTTGCTCTGGCGCTACAATACTGCTGGGACAGGCAATATACCCTCCCGCTAGGACGCCTCGCCCGCTGGCTGATAAATTTTGGCTGTTGGAGCAGCCAACTCTATCCGTCAATCCAAGAAATATCAGATCGTCGCGATCAAGGATGGGTAAAGGAGAAACCAATGCTGGCTTTGCTCGCTGCTCTTCTGCTGTTGCTGCTCCTGCTCCTGATGCAAATTCGTAACGCGAAGCGGGAGACGTGACTTAAAGAAATTAGGAATTACTCGACGGTCCGAGTGTTCATCTAAATGGGTATATAATAGTTCGCACTATAAAAAGGCCAAGAACGGCCAATAGCGAAGGGAGGAAAGTTGTCATGTACAGACAACTGGAAGTACGCATCTGCTCGTTGGTGCATACCAGACTCGTAATCTAGTGTGGGTACGTCTTTTCGTGCCGTCAAAAGCAACATGTGCGGTCGTTGGTTGAAAGACAATATACAGGGGTATCGTGGTAATTTCATTCAGTTCGCTTGACTGAAGCAGGCATTCTCGACCTTGAAGTGTTCAGTCGCGGAGTTGCGCTGTTGCTTGTGTTTTCTTGTCATTGCAGCTGCTGCGATCGCCGCCGGATCTCCTCGTCAGACAGAGCACTCATCCAGAGACAACGTTCAGTAATGCCCTCAATCGGCTGGAAGGCGTATGCGGTGCTTGCCTCTAGCAGCCTCAGAAGAGTCTTGACCACACCAGCAGCGATTCGACACCGCTCAAAATTGACAAGAGGTGCTGTCGTTGGACTACTCGCAATCTCGCTTGGCCGCTGTGCGTTGAAGATGAGGTCGTGGGTATAGATGCCCACAAAAGGAATGCAGCCCATTTCATGAATAGTCAGGCCTCCACCTTCCATCTCTGAGCGAAGGGCGTAGAAGTTGCGAGTCGGCGAGATCAGAGCCTCGAGTTCGCGCAAGGTGCGCATGTCATGGGGTGGCACCATCCTCCACGTCTGAGACAGGCGCTCGACTTCGCCGCTCGTCAGTGCAATGGCGATTTGGCTCATTGTGGCAAAGTTGCGGTATCGTCTGCAGTGTGCGGCAATATGGATGTACTTGATGATGCAACGAGCTCGCTCCTCCATGTTCTGGGTGAGAACAATTTCGGACACGGCCCACTTGACCACGATGTTGAAACGCGCGATAACCACCTCAACACCTCGGGCATCTGTGTCGCGCAGGAACTGGACCCACGACCGACAGTCGTTGTTCTCGGCATTCTTCCACCGCATTTCAATGAGCTCCTTCCAGTCGATCTCATTAAGAGCGTCCTTCTCGATGAGTGTGAACTGCTGGGCGAGTATCTCCGAATCGAAAGCTAGAATGAAGGGCAGGTGCGCAGAGTACTTCCGAGCCTTTTCTTGTTCGACCGCGGTGGCCGCGTTGCGCGATGCCTCATTGGCGCTAGCTGGATTGGGTGGTGATTTCAAAGGCTGGTTCGGTTGTCCGAAGGTCGGTGTGTAGTCGGGTGCGGGAGGTAAAGGCTTCCTCTGTTTGTCTTGGCCCCATATCTGAGCACTGTGCAGCTCTGGAACATCTGCAGTCTCGGGTGACACTTCATACGTCTGGACCGTGGCCGAGGTCGGTGAAGCAACGCTGACCGTATGCTTTGTTTGCGTCCCAAACGTCTTATACGACTTTGCCGTGTGATTTGTTTGGATCTTGGTGAGGGTGGCGCCACGCCGCAAAGATGGGAAGGCGTCCAGTTCTTCATCGTCTTCCGCCGGGTTGTCCGACAATTCTGACGACAATTCATCTTCGGAGCTTTCTATATCCAGAAAAGACTGTGACGAGTCTCTGGTTTTGTCATGCTGCTTGAGTGTCGGCATGGTGTCTCCTGGCTTGATCTTCTCAATGCTTTCAGACTTCTTGACGAACTCGTATGAGCCATGTTCCTTGCGCTCATCTCGTTCGTCCGCAGACGTGCCATCTTCGGGATCTTGAAGTATGGACTGGTTTGTCCACTCTGCTCGGCTCCTGTGGACGTCATCGACCACCTCGCGTTGCAGCAGAGGGATTGACAAATATGATCCATCTGATCCATCGGATAGGAAGGATGCGACCTCATCGCGCAGAGACCGGCCTTTTTCGGGAACACGCAGGGAACTTGAGTCCGAGGCATCCGCAGAGCTCTCAGCAGGTGGGGCAGGTGCCATGACGCCTTCTTCCCCAATATGCTCCTGTCGATGTTTTCTTTTCTCTGCCTTCGAGTCGGGCCCGTCTTCTGACCCAGGAGAATTACGAGTAAGGTTCTCCAAGTTCAACATAGCGGTGCTCGTCGGATCCAGAGACAACTTGAACGGTCTTCTCTCATATCTTCCCTCAAGTTTCAGCAAGGCCGACTCAACTCCGCCATCATCTTCATCGTCTGGAATGTTTGCGAGTTTCTGTGCCTCAGCCTCAAATGAAGGCCGCATTATGGGCCGTGAAGAGGAAGTGCTAAGAAGCGATATTCTGCGTTTTGGTTTCTCTGCAATGACGCCAAGAGAGAAAGCTTCCGATCGATTACGAGAGAAGTCACTGTTGACTGTGTCCATCAACCCCATGGAGCCACGTGTTACGGCCGGACTTTGGATGAACGAGGTCCGCAAGGAGTCTGTGTAAGTTGTAAGAGACCCCAAAGAGCGCGACTTACGCAGCACATGTTGATCCAAGTCTCCAACGCGGTTGACCGCTCTAAGATCTCCGCCTGGACGTCGTCGGAGAACTCTCAATGGCGGCGGCACGGAAGATTGCTCTATGGACGCTCTGTCAGAGTAAGTGGTCGCGTCGAAGCTGCGGATAGTTGAGCGAAGACCCATTCCGCTGTGGAACGAAGCGTATTTCCTGAGACCCATGGTACCGTTTGAACGCAGCGAGCGACTCGAACGGTGGCGCCCGTGCCCGCGAACTCCACTCAGTGGCGGTCGACTCAATGATTGTCGCAGGAACTCAGACGAGGAAAGTCTAGCATCTAGCGATGGCCTGCCCATATCGTCAGATCGCCGGTGACTTTGTTCACCAGCGAGCGTGTCTAAGTCCGGAACAAAAGGAGGCAAAGCATCTGTGGACTTGGTTGAGCGGAGGGCGTGCTGTCCGAGCAGGTATGAAGATCTCCTGGGCGTGTCTGTTATACGGCCAGGAGGTGTGCTTGGCGGCGTAGGATCTGCGCCTCCTTGTGGCATAAAAGATTCCGCGAAATCTTCCACAGATTGAGTAAATGCAGGAAGAGCGCCGGTCATTGCGGGGAACTCGTTTGGAACCCTTAGTGTGTCGTCAATGATGAGAATAGATTTGCTCCCGGCGGTCACGCCTCCGTCACTAAAGGGACGGGTACCGTCTTGTGGTTCAGCTTGTCGCAGACTTTCCATGTGCGGTACCGAGTACTCTCCATTTTCCCCAGGTGCCCTCACCGTGGTCGGAGTGGATGGAATGGAGCCGTGGAAACTCTGCAAAGCTGCTTCTGCCGCCGCGTCTTCCCTTATCACTCTCTTGAAATCTTCCACGATTTCCGCACCAAGCACATCAATTCGGACGATAGGTCGCATGCTACTCGCTCTCGGCCGGGCTTGTGGCACTATCGCAGTCCCGGGCAATCTGTTTGTGGTGACACCTCGAGGTCCTATTGGCGCAATGTTGAAATTCCCTTGCGTAGGCGATACATCCTGACCTCGGGTACTCAGCGCGCGACGAACCCCACCTATTAGCTTTCGCATGCCTTGTCCAGACATTGCAGACGCCGTGGCTTTATCAATCTCAGAATCATCCGGGAACGGCTGAAACACAGTCGTCTGCCTGCTTGCACCGTTCGTAGAGGTCGGCGACACAATCTCAACGAAAGCTTGGCCTGGTGGCATGACGTTGCCTCTCACCAAACTACCAGCGTACGGCAGTGAAAGTAGAGTTTCCGTGTTCTGCTGGAGAAGCTGCTCCAGTGTCGTATTGTTGTGTTCCCTCAATGAGTCGGAAAGGCTCCCATTACGCTTGTGTGATTGTTGGGGACGCAATCGCTTGCCCATAAGGGCACGGGGAGTCGTGGCGATAGGCTCCATGTTGTAAACGGAGCTCGGGTCTACCGGATGTGCACCCAAAGGGTGATGGTTGGAACCGGGACTCGAAGATTTCAAAGTTCTGGTTGGGAAGGAACATGAGACGATGTCCCCGCTCGAAATGCTTGTTGGAGAGACTTGTGCCTCCTCAGCCGTGTTCCTCTTGTCAATTTGATTCTCGGGCGTCGCGGGTCGTTGATCTTGTCCAAAGTCATTCCCTCCACCACCAGCCCTAGCAACGTCGCGGTAAAAGCTGGTTTCTGAATCCGGCGGATTGCTTGTCAACGGTGCAAGAATGTTATCAAGCGTTGGTGGACCATTGTCCAGATATCTCTGCCAGAATTCGGGGTCCAGGCTGGGGTTTCGATGGCCAGGTATGCCACCCGGCGCAATTGGTGCCTCCGGTGGCAGCGAAGCTTCAGACTCAGGTCCGTCCCAAAATTGAGCACAAACACGTCTCCAACACTTCTTGAGCTCGGCCAGAATCTTAAGCTGTACCCTGAGACCTTTTGAGTCCTGTGACACGTCGTTCGTCAAGCTGTTCAACAGTCTGCAAAAGTTTGTGCGCATCTCGTACTCGCAAACAAAATCGTCCACGAAGTAGTTCAAAATCCAGTGCCGGAGTGCCACAAAGGTTCGAACGCGAACAACCACTCCCACTTCACCATCTCTCATCAAAGCCCATCGCATCCGTGAAAAGAGCATTTTGAGCAGATCCATAGGCGACAAGTAAGCGCGAAAGGTGAGGAAGAAGTCGGAGAGGAGTTCGTAATCGAGGAAAGTAGGAGAGGTAATTTCCGCCACGAGGCGCGGCGGAGTCGCTGCGGTCACGGCTCCAGTCAAGGATGAGTACCTGACGATAGCGGGATTGTCGCAGGCCGGTTTGAAGGTTAGAGAGTCGAACATTGCAGGCTCAATCGAGACGTGCGAGGACATGTACTTTGCTCGAGTGGCATCATGAGGCGACAGGCCAGAGCCGAGCCAAGCAGGCCTTTGTGAGGTTGACAAATGAGACGGCGCTCCTATGACGGAACCTGGCCTCCTAGAAACCATCGACGAGGTGAAGCGTGGCGTCATGCCACCTGAGCGGTTCATGAAGGATTGATTACTCGACCGGATGTCTTCAGTCGGCGCGTAGCTAGAACCACGAATGAAGGGCGTGCCTTTGACCGAAAACCGCGGTGTGCCCAGCTTCCAAGATGGTATCGAGATCTCGAGGAATGGTGAGGTATTGGCGTCCAAGTCTTCCAATGTCTTTGGCCTCTGTTCCTCGCCTGGCTGAGTGACGACAATCTTGAAGGCTCCCGGGTCGGATTCACGAGCCACGCTCGATCTCGATTCGTGAATAGTTGAGTCAGATTGAGTACGTCGGTGGGTTACCAGACTTGCTTTTCGATCATCCAAGTAAGAACGTAATAGCGCAGTTGTTGGCGTTGAAGGGATAAGACTTGGTGTCCACTGCGACCCTTGCAGCTGACCGATGCCGAGTGCACTCTCCCGCTTCTGATCTTCGATCACTGGTGCACCTAGACCGGCGGTCTGTGGGGGAGTCATGGGGAAGACAAATTGAGGCTGTGGGTGTCTCTGATGTGCCGGACGAACCGTGGGCCTGGAAATGAGCAACTGGGGTTAGCGGCTGTGTCTAGTATTGCCTTTCAATCTTGGGGCATTCTTCGGACGGCAATAAAGCCGGAAGAGCCAGCCATCTACTACAACTTGGAACGTACCTCAGATATATGCGACCATTGTTGCCGACATTGGCCACAGTGAACTGCCTTCCTTCGCGCCCGGCCGAACCCCCATCGGGCGTAATGTCCCATCTGTCGACATCTGAATTCTTCCTTGGCCGCCGCGACCCTGCTTTCTCTTCCTGACTTTTTCGTTCCGTCACCGGCAATAGCGGGTTAATCTTCTGAGTTGGCATGGTGCGCGTACGAGGCTTATTTCCGGGGATCATCGGTGCGCTTTGATCAGGAGCGCGCCTGGGCGGAACAGGTCGCGTTCTCTTTGTCGCATCTCGAGGTGCTGGTCGCAGGAAGACAGGCGCTCTTGCGACATCCTTCTTTTGGTAGGAGCTCTGCGGAGGACGTCTCGCTTGCTGCCGTGGACTCGACTTGATACTGGCGGTGGGCATAATACGAGGCCCTTGGAGCGGAAGGAGGGGAGGATCGTGGTCAGGCTCCATCTCTTGGCTCGTCATTGCCTTGGTGGGCAGACGAACGTCTGCGGGTGCTCACTGCAGCCACTGTTAGAAACAGACATCGAGACTTGGGTCGTCTGACGGAATTGTTGGCTGTATGGTTGTGGAAAACAGTGATTGGGGCGCAGCGTGAGGAGAGAGGCAAGGAGATGCAAATCTAATGGTGGCGTGCCAAGAAGCATGCGATCCTGGACTTGATTGTTGTGTTGATTGGTGGTCACGTCGGGAGAGGGGGGGGGAGCAGGACTGGAGGCCGTCACACAAACACACATGCACATACGCACACACACATGACAGGGAACGGACGTGCCGACAGCAGAGCCGCCAAAGAAGGCCGTGGAAAGCAGCCAGACAGAGGGCGGGAATCCGATGGGGGTTGTAGAGTCAAAGAATGGCAGAGCGGGCAGTGCTGGGCAAAGAGAAGGAAAGGCCCGTCGAGATGGGACGAGACGTCACTTACAGGAACCGGACTCTTGCACAACGCCATAACATCCGTACACGTAGAGACCGACGCCAAATGGTACACACAAACAGATACAGGCTCAGCCAACTCAGCTCTAGCTGGCCTGACAAGCCCAAAACTCGACGTTCCAGATCGGGTCGGGTCGACGCGGAAAGCTGGAGTCCTTGAAGACTCTTGATACCCAGCGCAATGCGACCAAAGGCCTGGGTCAGTTTTCCCCCAAGTCGTGCCGAGTCTGACGTTGCCTGGTCAATCGATGGCGAACTCGCAGGTCGGAGGACCCCCTGGTTGATTTCGTGTAGGGGTCGGAATGGCGACTGGAGCAGACAAATAACAAAGTGGGCGATCACGTCAAGTGGAGTCAAGTCGTGGTCGAGGTCGTGGTCGGGTCGTGGTCGTGTTCGCGGTCGTGGTGGTTACCCAAGGGAAAGGAGGGCCAGAAATATCACAGGCGAAGTCGAAGTAGTAAAGAAGAGAAGTCTGGCAGACGATGCATGGCAGGATAAGGTAATGCAAGGCAGAGGCAAGGCAAATGCAAGCGTCGACCTTGACTACCTATTTCAGGATGGGGTGGAAACCAAATTGGCAGGGCAATGCAAGGCAAGGCAAGGAAGGGTAAGGCAAGGTAGAAGGCAACGGTTCACGGAGAGGAGATTGTGAGATTGAGGTGGTCCGTGGGCCGTGGGCGCCGCGGGAGTGGGAGAGTGGGAGATGGGAGAGGGACGCGGGAGGTACCAAGGTACCTTGGGTGACGGGCTGCCTGGGAGGGAGTGATACGGGGATACGGTGGGAACGGGGGTACGAAGGAACGAGGGTACGAGGGTACAAAGACACGCTGTTGTGAGCTGGAGTCAGGCAGACAGTCAGGACGCTGGGGAGCAAAACGAAACGGTGCGATGAATCGTGAATCGTGAATCGCTGGCAAGGACAGGAAAGGAAAGGAAAGTGCTACTGCTACGCCCAGCACGGATAGATCCCGGGCTGGTTTTGGGGGGGGGGGGGGGAGAGGAGGCAGTCGGCCCCCTCTTCTGCTTCTTCTTTCTCCTCTCCCACTGCCTCCCTCTACCTCCTCGTCCACCATCTGCCTCGGCCCTCGCATTCTGGGGACTGACCGACACTGTTATGTTACAATGTCGCTTAGCAGTATGGTGTTGGCGCTCGCCCTGTTTTGACGAGAACGTTCGATCCAGACGTTTGAGGCGGTTGAACCTCATGATCCCTGTGATCCCTGGAGGCTGCGCGCTCTGGCGTCTGTGTCTTGTGTCTGGAGTCTGGACTGGATGGTCCTGCGCAATACAGTAATCACGGAACGGGCCTGAATGGGCCATGCACGTTCTGTTCGGTCACTTGTTGGCCCCCATGCCGACGGCCTAGCTCTCCTCTTCCCCCCTTGCCTAACCCAGGGCTCGCATAAAAGTCTGGCTGTCATCCGGATCATGCCATGCTCGGTGCCACGGCTAGCAAGAGACGGACCCCAGAATCGAAATCGATTGATGCTGGACGACAGCTCTGGGGCTTGTGTCAAAACTGTCATACATGGAGATAAAAATCCCCTTGCCGGGGCCCCATTGTCGAGATTTCAGGGAAGACGAGGCCCCATCCGACGATGCGACAGCCGTCACCGTCACTGCAAAGAGAGAAGGGAGAGGCAGAGAGAGATATGCCTCGGAAAGGCAGACGGACCCATGCGCACGGTCGAAGCCAATTTAGGGCCTGCAGGATGCAGATATAGTGTGAGTGGGCCAAATGGCTACCCTGGTAGACTACCCACTGCACGTACTACAGTACTGTGTGCTAGGTGCTGTGTGTTTGTGAATGCTTGATGCTCCAGCTGGTAACAATCCACTATTGACAACGGCTGCTTCAACCACGACCGCTTCAGCTCAGCTCAGCTCCGCTCCGCTCAGTTTAGCACGAGCACGAGCACCAGCACAGCAGTTCGGTGCTGGTGCTGGTGCTGGTGCTGCTGGTGCTGCTACTACTACTACTCCTACCGGTGCTGACCAAGTTGCTGACCAAGTCGTCCCCATAGCCTGGGCCACAGGTTAACCCGCCCAGCTCGCCTGCCTGTCCTATCTTGTCCCAAACGGTTCGGTACCAAGGCTAGCGGCGTGAACTGGCTTCCCTCTCTTCCCCGGACCAAACCAAACCAAAACCCAACCCAACTTAATCCAACCTAAACCATGAATAACAACAACATCATCATCAACAACACAACTTCATCATCAAATCCATCTCCATCATGAATCACACTGTACACACCATAACGTGCCAACAAGGTGACGCCCTGTTTCAGTCCAAGCTTGTCCAATCTTGTCTCCAGCCGTGCCTGTTCTGCCGTTTTAGTTTTCCTGGATCTGGAGATCATGCACATCCCAGATACCACCAAAGAAGAGGCAGGGCTTAAACAACCTCGACTAGGCTCGGACCAAACCATCTCGTCCAAACTCACCACCCTCCACTCCTCCCCACCTGCCCACCTGCCCACCTCTCACAGCACTGCACACACAGGCCATGCTTTCTCGAGCTATGACTTCGTCCCATGTTGATGAGATGCAAGGCCCACTCACAGGCTCAGCGGGGCACGTCATGGCGTCTGCTCCCCCCTTCCCGCTCCATTCAGCCAAGGGGCCCCCCGACCCTCGACCATGAGCTCGGGGAGCTCGAGCTCGAGCTCTGGCCACCGCGGCTCGCGCATGCGCATGCGCCTCGACACGCCTGACGCCCCGACAGCCCGCCCAGTCTGCCTTGGTGAGAATCACCCTCTCGCCACGCCGAGGTGTCCGTGCCACGTTTGTTTATCTTTCGTTTAAGATTCCTTCTAGATGAATTCCTCAACCACGTGAGCCCTGACTCACGCCCAGCAGCACTGATGTCTGCTGTCTACAGTCTGCTGTCCGTACAGTATCATTGTCATCACCCTGAGTGTCCAGACGGTGAAACTGGCTCCATCCAGTCTCAGGTGGCATCGTGGCATCCTCTTGCTTGTCGACAACAGCCCGTGCTGCCACTTTCGCTCTCTTGCCGCATACAGCCTCGCCTGCAATTTACAATTTACCCCCTGGCCTGTCAACAAGGGATCAGCACGAGATTGGCACTGGTGCTGGCTTGGAAACTCGATTGCCGAAGCAGCGGACCTAGACCCTCAGGTCTGCTGTTTGCGAAATGCGCCGCCGCCTGCTACGATCCTGGCATTTAGTCTCCTAATGTGTTTAATGCTTGCTAGCATTGAAGCTCTCCATCTCGCGCCAGCAGCAGTGATATCACTGGGAGCTCCAATTGCTCTCAAGTGACGGGTTTGAGGGCTCAAGGCCAAGCCACTTGCCCTGTGCTATAGTGCCATTGGAGCTCCAGTTGGGAGTGACATCTGCGACCGCACGACATGGAGTCCATCAATTGCCCAATCACTGCACCGACTGAGCTCCTGAGTGGGCATCAGCTGCATGCACGTTGCATGCAGCTAGCATCACAGCAGGCCTGTTCGAGGACTGTAGTTTACTTGCCCATGCGTCTCACTTCTCACGGTGCTCGCTCTTGTCGCGGCAACAAAGGAAAAAGAAAAAAACCGCCTCTTTGGGAACAAATGTCCCACTACCCATCTCGGCAGTTGACACCCGTTTCCACCAGCAAATGCGTTCATCGTCCAACATTTTGACATTCTGCTCGTCCGGAGATCACCGTCATCCGTCTCTCGCTCACTTCCGCCGACTGCCCAATCTCCCTGGCCACACGTGGCTACGGGGTCACCACGAGGGCTTGTTCGGATCAGGAAGTTAGTGGGGTCGATCATTCATCACGATCTTCACCTCCCAGGCGCTGTTTGGTGCTATGCCCGCCGCACCCTCGGGCACTTATGTATCTGATACAGACTCAAGCTCCCCGCGTCGCTGGGTTCCTGTGTTCCAGCCTCTAGAACTGGGTACATACCAGCCCTTGAAACCTTCAAGGCAGCACAGAGCTACGGCTTCTGCAGGAGCTCTCCAGCATATGTGTCAGTGCCATCAAGTGTCTGTGATGCTTCACCGCAGTGGTTCGTCATTGGATTTTTGGCAGAGGAGTTGAGCAAGAAGACGTTCCGCTTTTGTGGCCACGCTACCTTTGGAGGCCCCAGCGAGACTTCAAAAACGCGAAAGGCTTTTTTATTTGCCTTTCCACATTGTTGCGCTGATTTTGGAGCCCTGAATGCACTCTTGTCTAGACAACACCTGCGGGGTTCACAACCGTGGCTGCTTGACCCTAGACCGCCGACCATTCTTGTGTGTTAATTGTTGACAACTCAATTAGGGCGCTGAAGAAAGGGTCGGACACTGTGTGGCCTGTGACCGATAACGCAATGTATCCACCTGGGATATGGGCTTGAGTTTAATATACCCTCCCGTATCCACGTTTCTTCATGGATCAAGCACCCTTGGCATCGCACTCGCTTCGAGTCAAGACGACCGAAGCAACGCCCACAATGCCAACGCGTAGACGGTCAGACCTCTCTCAAGAGACGAAAAGGGTCCAAATGTCGGAGAGTCGACGGCGTCGCAAGCGAGCTGCGGAGTTGCCCAGCAAAAGGTGTCACGGTTATACACATGACCTGTAGCTGTCCGCTGCCCTTAATCATGCCAGCGAGATTATCAACAAGGGTTAGGAGAGTCGATGGATCCGAGCCCCGGCCGAGCCCAGAGCGAAGTCCCCTGTCGGAAAACCCGGATCGATCTCAGCCAACTGCGGGCCCATCAATATCGGCGATGGAGTTCCATTGGTGGCAGAGGGAATGGGAAGCCCGCCGGCCCCAACGGGCACACCAATCTGCTAGATTAGAACAGGTATTGTGTATAAGGCCGCAAGATCATCGACTCGCAGCAGCGTAGATCCCAGCATACGAAGGCCGGCACAGCGAGATACACAGCGGGATTTGGGGGCGGGGAGCAACTGCCGGGCAGGCCGTAAAGCCCCGATCTGCAAGAGCACGATTATGCTAAGAGTCCGCGCCGTCCACCGCCCGCTAGTGCTCTCCCAACGGCCTCGACCGCACTACCAGCCAGCGCCGGCCGGTGGGCTTCAACGGCTCGGCTCCTAGTTTGCTTTGGGTATCATCAGGTCCCAAGTGCTCGGAGAAGCACACAATAGCTCGTCGAACAGCCCTGGAATTCGCGCCAGGCCTAGCGCCAAGCTACACACTGTCTGTCGACTCATGGCACTTGGTATCAGCCAATGACCTCACCGGCCACCCTCCTCCCAACACCGTCACGCACAGGTGGGTGATCCGCTCAAGGCTGCAGCAGGGTCCTCATGATCAGCAAGGTCCAGCCCACACCCACCCACTCACGGGGAAAAGGAAAAAGGCAAGACATGCAGACATACAGCAGACTCACGGCCAGCCCTAGGGTCGATCAGCTTGGGCGTCTTTAGGGTTTAAGCTTCCATGCGGGACATGGATCGAGCCAGTGATAATCCCGTATCCTCTGTGTAGATCAAATGTCCTCTCGGTCTGGGTGGTGGGTTGATCGCCGCTAGGGGTCATTTCGGCCACCACCCAGTCGGCCCTTGCCCTCTGCTATTTGTCGTTGCCGTTTTGCTTTCGCCGGGGACATTGATTCCTTGGAAGGCGCGCATGCGACTGTGCATTTGATCACGGGATTTTGTTTGATTATTGGTGGTATGCTCATCTCTTTTCTGCTTCCTTTTCCGGAGTGGAGGTGGGGGTGGGGGACATGTTGGTGTGTGATTGTGGCTAGGTAGGCTGACTATGTTGTCCTATCTTTGGACGTCATCCCATTTAGCCAACCTTGTTTGTGTAGCTCTCGAGACACGATTGCAGAGAACGAGACATACGTGATTGAGCGTGAGTCCGGTAAACTGAGATTGATAATTTTTCTAAGGCACATTGCTTTTCGTGGATCATTATATTACGGATTCCAAGCCGTGGCAAGTATGCTACGGATCTCAAACAGGCCAAGTGGCTGCTGGGCACATCGAATATTGGGCTTCTTTCTCTTGTCTCTCACCTTTGCTTCTCTTTTCGGCTCCTGTTCTCCACACAATATCCTTTGTTTGTGATGGCTCTCAATTTCGTATTCTTGATGGTGAGGTACTGGAACGAGCCCAGGCACGGATGGAGTCTTCTCATGAAGTCTTCTCGATCTCTCTGGACAAGCTTTGATTAGTGCCGTCGAAGCCGAAGCTGAGAAGTTCTCACACATATGTTGACGAATATTCAGTGCACCAACCCCCGACGTATAAGATTATCTTCATTACGTGACCAGAGGTGCAGATATGTCTGTCACTGGCCCAGCCTGCCCAGCCTCGTCCCATCCGCAAGCAGAAGTCCAGCCTCAATGTTCTCGGATACACGCACTATCTAGTTGTTTTCAATGAACTCCCCAATCCTAGCAGCGACCTTCCTCGCACTATCCTCCCACTTCAGCGCGTCCCCAATAAGCAGCGTATCGTGAGGCGCGTTCTCCTCGTGATAGACTTCGATGTGGTTGACACCGCCACCCCCAAACTCCCTCATCTCACGCGCCCACGCCGTCCCGTCCGTCGATAAGATCTCAGCCTCGCCCACGCTCACCAGCACCGGCACGCCCGCCCTAAACGGGTGGCCCAGAGCCTGAATATACGGGTTGCCCCTGGAGGCCTCGACGTCCCCACCAGGCGCGTACGTCTTTGCTCCCCAGCGCAGGAACGACGACGGCAGGATATCCGAGCCATAGTGCGGCATCTCCTCAACGGCCAGCTCACCCACGGGCCGGCGCGGGAAGCACGCGGCCGGCGCGACCCAGGGGGCGATGAGGAAGACGCGGCCCGGGCGCGGGACCCCCAGCGCGCCGCCAAAGGCGTCGAGGTACCGCAGCAGCGCGACGGCGATGTTGCCGCCCGCGCTGTCGCCCGACAGCGTCACGGCGGCCGGGTCGACGCCCAGCCGCCGCACCAGGTGCAGGTACGTCGTCAGCGCGTCCTGCAGCGCCGCCGGGAATGGGTTCTGCCCGCCGTGGCCCGAGAGGCGGTACCGCGGCGCGAGGACCGCGTCGACGCCCGCGACGTCGATCAGCGTCCTGCTCAGGAACCCGGATGCTGGCGTCTGTGGGTGGTCGCGCACGAAGGCGCCGCCGTGGATGTGCAGCACTACCTTCTTCAGGCCCGCCGGGGATGGGGGTGGGTCCGGCCGCCAGGCGGCGCCGACTGGAGCCGGGGTGACAGAGGGGTCTGAGGCTAGGGGCCCCGTGTAGAGGTCTGCCTCGAAGGGCTGGATCACTTCGAAGCGGTCGCCTTCCCCCCGGGGTGGTGCGAGCGACTGGGTCTCGCTTTCACCGAGGCCGATGACTGAGTCCATGTCTAGCGAGCAACGGAGGAGCCGCGCCGTGACGGTCTGGAGGAGTGACCATTGCCTGTTGGGCCGTAGAGCGGGGACAAGTCCAATAACGATCCAGAAGGGGAGGCGTGCTATTATTGATGCTGCCGCGGCGAGCTGGTAGAGGAAACGCAAGGGTTGGTAAGACACCAAGGGGTATTTGCTTATATTTGCCATTGTGAAGCTGCTTCTGCTTCTTATCGGCAGGCTTCAGAAGAGAGAAGGATGGCTGCTTGGTGTTGAGTCGAATCAGCTGCCAGGTAGGGTAGGCTTCGACGCTTTCAAATTGAAGGACTACGCGATTGGGGTGCTGGGATGAGAAAGAAGCCGAGGTGTACTGATTATTTTAAGTTTGGTAGATCGGCTGGACTGCCTAGTATCCTGAAGACCATTTGAAGCCACGCAAGGGTTCAAGAGTCCGCAAAAGGATGCATCGTCTACCAACTGTAGGATTCGGTTGGAGCCACTTCTCTGGTTGAGATCCACTGAACATCTCTTGGCCGGTTTCCGGTGACCCACTTCCTGAGCACTTGCGTGCAATGATCGCAAATGAAGAGTGCTGTGATGAGGGTGGTGAGAATGTCTGGAATTGGTGCTACCAAGTATAGCTGCTCTTACTGAGCAAGTTTCCAAGATTGCTCTTGCGCACGCTTGTCGATGAGCCGGTGGCATGATGATGTATGGGATGTTGCGTGAGACGGTGGTTTCACAGAAACTGCGTGTCCACGCGGTCCGAGGTTGCATCGACTATTCATTTCCACGGGAATAAGATTACACATGGGTTGCACTACGCTATTACATAGTAGTTTTGGCTGTCACTCTACACGGAGGCTCAATCATGCTAATTCAATAGTCTGGTTTGTGCCTGACATACTCAAGGTTGATGGTCATAGAGAGACTCGCTAGGATGGACTATATTCACATGATTTCGCGAAGTCAGAATACAAGATACTCAGAATATTGATTTTAATGGTACGACGCGGAGTATTGCGCTTGGAGCTATTGGAGATACTTAGGTATGATTCTCTTTGCTTGACCGCGAGGAGAGGCATCATACTGATGCTTCATTATGCAGCCAAGGAGGTTACTGGTGACTGATCCTCCTCATACTCGTCTCTCTGAAAGCACAAGCTTTACAGGAAGAGCATTTGCCAGGTTTGAAACTGAAGTCAGCTCCAAATCCTTCCGAAGCTAAATTAAATATACCACACATGAAGAGAGAAGTGCGTCGATTGCACAAGGACTGCATGTTGCATTTGTGTGTTTTTATTTGAAGAAATTCATGCTTTTAGCCTCCTCCAAGACGTTATTATGCTCTCTCTCTCTAAGTGTATTCATAAGCAACATATTAGTATTATTGTCGATCCGATGGCGGCATAATACCCTAAGCATCTTCGTCGTTCGTCCCGCTCATTCCAGCCACGGCGCCTTCTTCACCACACCCAGATGCGTCAGCGCAAAATTATCCACGTACGGCCGCTCATGACTTGGGTCAAACGCGTCTCGCTCAACACCCATCCCGTTCCCCATCAGCACCTGGTTCGGTGCGAATCCATCTTCGTGGCCAAACGGATTCGGTGCATCGCTATACAAGAACCTTCCCATGGCCTCGCGGTCGACCCACACAGCCCGCCCACATCGCGGCACGATCAGCGTGTGTCCAACGACCACAGCCGGCCTGGAAGCCACCTCCAGCTCATGCCAGCCTAGTGTGTCGCGCATCTCCTCAAGCAGGCCCCGATAGTTGCCGCCGTTGTCGAGGAAGTGCAAGAAGCTCAGCTCGACCGATCGCAGCGAGCCGGGCAGCGCCCTCAGCAGCGCGGTCACGTCCTCCTGCGTGACGAGGAAGCCCGACAGCCCAAAGTGGACGAGCCCGGCCCATGCGTCAGTGGGCACGATGCTCCCGAGTGGCACGTGGTGCTCTGCGTTGCCGCCGCTGCCGCGGATCAGGGCACGCGCGTCCGGGTCCGGCCATACGTTCGTGCGCAATTTGAAGTGCCTCAGTTCAGAGGCGCCTGCCAGCGCATCGCGCAGGTGGCCGCCGCGCAGGGCGGACCACCCCAGATGCTCCTGGCCGCCGACAGCAAGCGCGAGGTCCAGGCGGCGGAAGCCCGGGCGGCGCAACAGGGTGCTTAGGTGGGCGTACTCGGTGCTTGCGGCCGGGTGCTCGAAGATGCGGCAGTTCAGGCCCGTGTCGAGGTCGTGAGCGTCGAGGAGGAGCTCTGTGACATTGTGTGCTGTCTGTGCTTCGGCCAGCACGCGAAGGGCGACGCGGGCGCCGCGCCACTGATCCTTGTACGCCTCGTCGTCGCCGTCAGCAGGCCAGGGCCGCATTTTGTGTGGCGAACAGCCTTCTGGAGCCGTGGGCCACCCGCGAGGGATTGGGTAGCTGAACCCGTAGGGCAGGGCGCGGATCATGGGTGTCTCATAGAGGGGGTTAAACAGCCAGCCGTGGGCAGCCGGCGTGATTGTGACGCGCTCGAGGGATGGGAAGCGCTGCAGCGCATAACGAAATGCAGCCTCGTCGGCACCGGATGCCAGGACGGTGTTCTGCTCGCGGAGCAGCTCCTGGTAATGTGCCCAGCATGCGACGTTTGGGAGACGTGCGCTCAGCTGCTGCGCCCGGGCATCGTGCTCGGGGCGGTCGGCGTCCAGGCCCTTGCGGCTGTTGAGCTCGTCTACATTCTCATCACACGCTTTGGTGAACCATCGTGGGACCCCTTGGCCGTCGTCGTTGTCTTCCGCCTCGGAATTATCATCTTCATTCTCATCGTACGCCTGCGCCAAACGCGGGGAGTTGCTCAGGCGCGAATCGTCCCAGATCAGCTCAGTGACGCCAGGGCGAAATGTGTCGCTGTCAGCGACAGCGCGCAGGACGTGGATGTCACGCGGATGGGCGGAAAGGAATATGCGGTGCAAACGTAAGCGTGCGATGCCGTGAAAGAAGGAGCACGTCGAACGGAGGCTCTTGATATCTTGGTTGGATAAATTGGATATGATCGGACCGTGAAGCTCGGCCGGCAAGCGAAGCAGGCGTGATAGACTCTGGTTAGTCTCTATCCCTCGTCCAGTCTCTCCCTTGCTTAGAGGATCTTCGTCGTCATCGTTGAGAATGGCACTCAGATCCATAATTGACGTGAGGAAGTTCAGACGCGGCCGAATCGAAAGAATGAAACCTTGATGTCGGTACACTCCTAACTTTTAGTGAGTTGACAAGTGAAAACCTTCAACAAGAAAAGAAGGATTATAATGAGGTAGTAAAACAATCAAAGGAGTAAATGAGAGGTGTTGGGGATGAGACACGACAGGCAGCTGGCCTGTCTTGCGGTAAGCATTTGCTGACATAATGTAATATGAAGTATCAAGGGCTAATATTTGACCCCAGCCGGTCTTGCTCCCCTTACTTTACTGACAGGGATCTGTAATTAATATCACTGTGAATGTGAAGACATTGCGCTATCGGTGAGGATGTCGCACTATTGCTGTCTTGATAACCAGGGCGGATGATCAGTAAAACAGACCCGTGTATGTGATCGAACCAGTGTGAGAGCAGTCGCTAACAAGAGGCTGCTCTAGACGACTATCCCAAGGTGGGCTGTTCTTGAATTGCCAGATATTTCCTGATTTAGCTGTCCCATTTTCATAATCGTACAGAGCGCTGTCCCGACAGAGCTTCGATGGATGAACCGCGCGAAGACCGTTCTTGGATAAAGGGTTAAGTGCTTTCAGGCTTCTCCCCAGCACATCGCATTTTGATCAGACCATGTAGACACATAGTCACAAGGAGCGGGCTTTCCGTAAATTCCCTGTCCAGCCTAGGGCTCTTGACGATTCTACTATTAGATGCGAACGCCGGAGTATTCGGAGTGAAATCGGTAATGTCATACTCGGACTTGATCACTTTCGTATGCAGTCAAATTGGGCATTGCGGACTCATACACCCGCCACGTATTCCATTTTTGCTTGATCTCTTACGTATTTGTCATCAAGTATTTGAAAATCTATGTATGAACACGTCTGAGTAAGTCATTCCAGATAAATTTCCTGATATATGAACTTATGGAGAATGACCGGGACAAAGGAATGCCTACAATGACTATATGCAACCTTCGTCAAGCGGACAGCGACTATTTCACCTATCGGGGGCGATTCTGAATCTCTAGTTGGATACATCTCTTTATTATGGATTGCACCTTACTTATGGGAGTCAGTTCGAGAGCTGAAGTCCAGAAATATCATTAATGATTTTGGCGCCAGGAAACGCCTCGCCGCTCTAACATAAATAATACCGGGAGTGTCACGCCATGGAGAATGCCAAACACTGAGAAACACCAACCAGGACTCATTCTCTTGATCATGACATCTAGAACCGCCAGGCCTAGGGCAGCCAGCTCGCACCTGACGAGATTATTGGCAGCTTGGACCGATGCTGAGCGGCCCGGATGGTAGTCGACGAGCAAAGTGTTCAGTGACTATTGATACATCAGTGAACTATTCATTCGTTCAAGCTTTGTTGTCTCGATGAATTTCAAGAAATTGGACTTACGGTATACAGAACCTGATTTGTAAAGCCGATAAAGAATTGTAGGATGAGGGGCACAGCCATGGTCTATTGAAGAATATATCAGCTATATCGAAGCGTGAGAATGAGTGTCTCATACCACTTCCAACTGAAGAACCCATCCGTATGCGATAACCAAGGGCGCACATATAGCTACCGCGTACTTGTGCGTCCGGAGCCTGGCACGCTCGATAGGAAAGGCTTCAAGCTCATCATCCCTCGATCGATCTATTGTTAACCCTTGTGATTTAGCCGTGATGCGGTAGTCTCGGTTAACGATTTGTCCTAAGATGGGGGTTTTCAGCACAAAATATGAGATGAGAATTCAATCGAAGCTGAATGCGAACATCACATACCGGCGACGAAAGATGCTATCATGCAAGCAACCCCGAATGGTATATATATCAGTCCTGCCTTAAGGCCTGAAATGTGATAGATGTCGACAAACATAGTTGATAAGGACGCTTGCAAACAACTATGCACCGTATAGTATACGCCATAACATAAAGATACAACTAAAGTCGCTGGGTGTCTGAGCAAGGTAAGGCCTGAGAGCGGATTAAGAATCACGCGAAGGCCCGGTGCCTGATTCCGTCGGCTTGCTGTTGGCTGCAATTTGCTTGGACAGAGCATGTGAAACAACGGAAGGTTCCATTTTGGCGCGGAATAAGTCCCGTTGCCAACGATTACTCTGCAAGTCTCAGGAAGGAAGAGCACAATAGATACCAGTGCAGCAAAAGAAGCTACAGACAAGAACCAAAAGATAGATGGCCAGGGCCATCTCATCAGAAGCAGTCCGCTTATCATTGGTGCAATACTGGGGGGCGTGTTGAGGCTTTTGAGTCAATACAGACCCAGAGCTCGTTGTACTTTACTCGGACTTGAACATACAAGATGGATACCACGCCTGTGTAGCCTCCTCTCTCCGCCGGTGTCGTAAGATCACCAAGAAGACCATATGTAATCGAAAATCCCGCTGTGAAAAGTGAGTATTTGTATTTGGACTTTGTGAAAAGCTTCAGATGGATGTTACCAGAAATTGTTGCGCTCTGGAGCATCCTCAACATAAATAGAGCCGCAAACGATCTTTGTGATGCAAGACTAATATTGACCAAAGTGTAGACAATGAGTGAGACTATGAGGGTGTAACGGCGTCCGTAGACATCTGCAACACTGCCCGTTACAGTAGGGAAAATTCCGGAAGCAATCAAGTATGAGGTGACGGTCAAGTTAATGTCCTGGACAGAAACATTCATATCACCAGCCAGAAACGGTATTGCCGGGAAGTAGATGAAGCTACTGGCTGTTGAGAACCATCCAGCCCAAGCAGCGATGAACAGAATCCATCCTTTTTGTGTCGGGTCGAATAAAGAATACGGTGCTGAGTGGGGGACTTCAGGTGCAATGTTCTCGGTCACCTCGGCTTTCTTCTCGCTATCGACACCATTCGAGTGGTCATCAGTACTTGCGTGAGCCTGCGTTTTCTGCCCTTTGGTCAATTCATGATTGGTTGAAATAGCCATGGTATTCATAGTTCGAATGACGGTATTTTGCTCTCCGGATGCAAGTCATGGATTGAGGAGAGGGGGAAATCCAGCCGCGGTGAATGAATCCACAAGAGCGCTAGCAACATGTGGCCATGCAAGGTGACTGGCCGGCAAATGATTTCTCCAGCCAATTACCAACATAGGAAATCACAGGGATTTTAAGAAGGCGAAAGTGACGGAAAAGGATTATAGCTTTCTCCTCGATTTGGGAAACAGACACCTATAGCGAAGCTCACTCTAAATCATATTGGAACCATGTATGAGGTACAGCTAAATTTCTCACTACGAGCATTTATTTGAGTTTGAAACGTTTGAATCTCTTCAATAGCAAGTAACCGAGAGACATAAAGAAAGCATTATAAGACCCTAGATCCACCATGAGGAGGTCGTCGAAGCAAAAATTCTCAAAAGATCAGTAATTAACACTGCTCGATCTCTATGCATCCAAGCCAAAAACTCATGGTGAATGCCCTTGCGTTTCAACCTCCAAAGCCTTCAAAACCGTCAGGGAACTTCTGTAGGAGCTTTTTCATTTTTCCTTTTGCCCTGAAACGTGTATCGAGGACTTAGTATCTCGCTGAACGTAGACTTGGGGCTGAAACATACGTGTCAAGGAGCTTGTGCCATTCTGGGCATATTGCAGCTACCACAACATCGTTCCGACTTGTAATAGTCAGCATCGTCTCGCAAAAAGCGACAGAGGACGGACTAACACTCCGTATAAGTCATGTCGATCATAGAAATCTTCTTTCGGCTCAGATGCACCAACTTCAGTCTTGTATAGGTCGACTGCGTCCATTTGGAGAGCGTAACGAGGTTCGCCCATTGCTTGAAGGTCCACTGCGAGTGTTCGTAGAATTAGTCAATGGCATGTCTCGTATGGAGCGCTAGGCAAACTTCAAACTTGCCTTCTGCGTGCCCGTAAAAAGCACACGAGTCAAATAAAATTGTTTGTTTTGTGTCCACATCAATCTGAACATTGCCATCCCATAGGTCGCCATGGCAAAGTGATGGTTTGATATTGCGCCCACCTGTTTGTAAAGGACGTAGCAGTCGAGCGACCACCTTTTCTATAAACTCCTCGGTCAACGCGTCTAGTTCTTCATCTCTGCCGTATACTTGTTGAGCATAAGCGATATCGCTGCGAAATTGACGTCCCCAGAACTCTTCCCAATTGTCCGTCCAGTCATTTCTCATCACAGGCGGCCCCCAATAAGTTCTACAGTGGAAACCGAATTTGCCTGTCGGTGAAACAGATGTTTGATGAAGCTTCTTCACGATGGCTAAGAATTGCGGTAGCGGGGGCAGTCGAGACCGCAGATTGCGAAAACGGGTCAGATAGAAGGATTTGGTCTTATCGTTTTCGTAGTAACCCCAGGCAGTTGGAGCCACAACGTTGTCTGGTATGATGGCTGAAAGGGCTTCCTGGGACTCATACTCGGCCCTGGCCATATCGACCCAATCAGCTCGATCAATAATCTTCGTATTGAACATCAGTCAAGGATCTTGCTCAATTCGTCAAATGCTCTACTGTACCTTGAGAAAGTACTCTTCTTCCTCGCCGTCGACTTCAATGTCGACACGCATGCCTGTTGACCACTGTTAATCCGACGTCAGCCGAAAATGCGTCTCTTTAGCTAATCGAAGGATTAAACTACCCTGGTTTTGCCATGTGGAACGACAGACAAGACTTCGTGCCCGGCAGGTAAAGCTAATTCGAAGAGTCAGAGAGATTCGGTAAATGCGCGTCAGCATGTCAACGGAGCAAAGCCCTGCTTACAGGCCAAAATGGCTGCATCGAGCGTTTCGCAGCTCATGTCAGCGATAGTAGAATGTGCAAAAAACCTCGAGGCCCGATCGACGATTTCGTGAGAAACGCTCGGTGTTGAAGTGATGAGCGAGAGGAAATCTTGGGCAGGTTATCCCCTCATATGCATTATGTTGCTTAAAATATCGACAGTCGAGACCAACCGCGGACGCAGACCAGGGTTTTGGGGGCCATGCGACCTATCTCCTGAACGATTGGCCCACGCCTAACTTGCTGCGCATGTTGGTTCTTAGATCGCCGCATCCCCGCTGCCGCCGTGGCGTTCAATACCAAGACAAGACTAGATAGCGAATTGTCCGCGGCAAGACCCGAAGCTCGAGTTTCCTGTCTTCGTAAACTTAGATGCCAGGGACTTTGTCTCCTATTCACGCTCTTCGGCGGGACTAAACATGTCAGTAAGTGTGCGAACCCACATTTCAAACGACATCGGACTCACAGATATTGACCGTTTCGGGCTCAGGCGAGCGATTCTCACGCGCACCCCGAAGCGATTATCGACGACGCATCCATATCGCCAGCATCGGCATCCGCTTGGTCCGGAGACACCAAAGCAGAGACACCCTCCAGGCCGGAACTATCCCTCAAGAAACGATTTACAAGCACATGGGCGAGGAAACAAAGCAAAAGCAGTGATGGCGATGGGGAAGAAGGCACACGTGGGCCACTTGGGCTGCGACTATTGCATTACTCTCCGGAGCCTATGATTGACTTGATCTTCGTGCATGGGCTGCGAGGTGGCTCGATCAAGACGTGGAGGAAAGGAGACGACCCACGAAACTACTGGCCTCAGCTTTGGCTTCCACTGGAACCAGGTTTGGAACATGCAAATATCCATAGCTTCGGGTACGATTCAGACTGGGCGAGTACGAAGTCGAGCGTTCTAAACATCCACGACTTTGGCCAGACATTACTGGAGCAAATGAGGAACTCCCCATACTTGAGAGACAATGGGAACGTAAGTTCGACATCTTTTGTGCGTACAAGACTTGAACCAACAAGCTTACGTGCTAGGGACCGATTCTGCTTGTCGGACACTCTATGGGGGGTTTGGTTGTTAAGAAAGCTTGCATTCTAGCCAGAGATGTGCCAGAGTTCCATGAACGCATCCGATGCATTTTCTTCTTGGCTACCCCTCACAGAGGATCCGACTATGCTGCATTGTTGAACAATATACTGACCGTGTCCGGAGTTCTGTCCCCACGTCACTATATCACCGACCTCATGACTGGATCCACCTCGGCTCAACTCATCAACGAAGATTTTGGTAGATGCGCGGCTGATTTACCTGTGTTCTCTTTCTATGAAACATTACGGATGAGTCTCGGGATCACATCGTGCGTTGTTGTGGAAAAAAGCTCAGCAGTTTTAGGTAAGACATTTGGAGATTTATACCTAGATAGGATAGCTGATGCATCTCATGATGGCAGGGCCTGGATTCAGGAAAGAGAGAGTGCAATACATTAACGCCAATCATCGTGACATTTGCAAATTCGACAACCCAGATGACCCGAATTACATTACCCTAAAAAACGCGATCGCTAGCGCGACAGAAGACATTCTTAGAGGGGGTAAATCGCCCCTCAATTTGCTATTCAACATGATACTAATGGTATCAGTAATGACGACCAAGATCAAAGACTCAAATGATCAGATGAACATTTTGAAGACATATTTGTGTATTTCGGACAGCTCAGACGAGAATTATCCACGAGTCGAGGGGTCATGCCAATGGATCGACGACCGAGAAGATTTCCAAGAGTGGCGAGACTCAGCCGCGGCATACCTCAAAGATGACGCTCCCACACCGGCGAAGAATCCTTCCGTACTTTGGGTCACTGCGAATCCTGGAACCGGAAAGACGTTTCTTGCGGCACATGTTGTGGAAGAACTTACACAATTCCAGCTCGAGTGCGCTTCCTATTACTTTCACGCTGGCAACAAAACCGCGCAGACACTTGGAAGCTTCATGAGATCGATTGCTTATCAAATGGCTGCCTCGAATTCATCAGTACGGGAGAAACTTCTCGCACTTTATAATGAAGGATCAACATTCGACAAAGATGATGCCGGGACAATTTGGACGAAACTGTTCAAGAGAGGAATCCTTCAGGTACGTACAAGCAGATTCATGGGGCTGTCCTCCGCTTACAGAGATGATTTACGCATCAAGGCTCGGGTACGCACGCCACAATATTGGGTTATCGACGCTATAGATGAATGCAGCAAATACCAGGAACTTTTTACCCTGATCAAGGGCATTCAGCCTTCCTTCCCACTTCAAATATTTATAACGAGTAGGAAGTTGTCCGACATGCAACATTTGATTCGATCATTGGAGCCGTCCATGTTAGTGAATACCATCGGAATAGAGACAGAGGACAGCATTGGGGATATTGAATCCTATATACAATACCGCACACGGGACCGACCTATCAGTACTATCGAGGGCCAAGAAGACCTAGTTGATATCTTGTTGAGGAGGTCGAATGCCTGCTTTCTTTGGGTGAGACTCGTACTGGATGAGCTTGAACAGGTCTACTCCAACGAAAGTGTTCTTGAGGTTCTTCATAATATCCCGGAAGGAATGATTCCATACTATGAGAGGACGATTGGATCAATGGCCGAGAAGAAACGCGAAAAGCACATCGCCAAAGCTGTGCTTCTCTGGGTTGTGGCAAGTTCACGGAAACTTGTCATCTCAGAGCTCTCCCATGCGCTGAAACTGGATATCAATGCCGTCCTCCCGAGCGCCAGGAGCGCTGTCGAGGGCCTTTGTGGCCAGCTGGTATCCGTCGACCACAGTAACGGCCTGGTTGACCTTGTTCATCCCACTGTACGAGAGTTTCTTCTCTCGGAGGCTGCAGCCGAGTTCAGTCTCTCAAGACCTCGAGCTCACGAACGGATCGCCCTTACATGCCTACAACTTCTATGCTCACCCGAGTTACAACCTCCACGGAGCCAACGTCAACTATCTTCCCAGAGTGTGAGAAGCAAAGAATCATCGCCTCTCTTGGACTACGCCATAACACAGTTCTCGGAGCATGTTTGCATGGCCTCGTCCGAGACAGATGAGCTTCTGCTTTCCCTTGACCGCTTTTTCAGAACCACAGTACTTTCATGGATTGAGAAGATTGCTCGCAAAGGAGATCTTCACCCACTTATTCGAGTATCCCGAAACCTCAAGAGCTACCTCAATCGACGGGCGAAGTACAGATCTCCATTGAATATCCAAGTTCAGAACCTTGAAAGCTGGTCAACAGACTTGAGCAGGATCACGACAAAGTTCGGGACCGCCCTTTTGGAAAATCCGGGCTCTATTTACTTCCTAATCCCGCCCCTCTGTCCGTCCACTTCCGCCATCTATCAGCGCTTTGCTAAGCGGCCAGATGGACTAATGGTAGTTGGAGACATTGAAAATGCGTGGGATGACTGCATTGCATCTATTACGTTTAGCAAAGACACCATCGCTGCGGCCGTATCTTGCGGAGAACGCACGATAGCAGTTGGCATGGAGTCAGGTGAGATAGAGCTATATGACCAGCGCAGCTACCAGAAAGTTGGCCTCATCCAAGGCAAGCACCCAGTTGATCTCGTACATCTCATGGATAATTGCATCGTGGCATGTACGACAAAGGCCATCATCCTCATGGACAGATCAGGAAATATTGCGTGGCAAACAAGACTGAGGTTCCGATGCATTCTTCTCACATCGACCCCTGAAGCCATCATAGCTGTGTCGCAGCATGGTCACGTGCTTAAATGGGACATTTCGACCGGTTCACTCCTCGAAGATCAGGTTTTCACATACAGGAGTCCTGACGACGAAACCGAAGTCATAACCCAGATCAAAGCTCCTCATGTAGCGACATTGTCACCAGACGTGGAGCTGCTCGCTCTGGGTTATAGGTGGGGTACAGTGTGTATGTGGGAAGTGTCAAGTGGTGATTTAATCTGCTGGGCACGAGATGACGAAAACAGGCTGGTCTCAGTCTTGATATTCAACCCAAACCCCAGCATCAATCTTCTGCTTGTCATCTTCAGGGACCATGAATTGGCACTATATGATACGTGGTCCGGTGGCCTGGTCACCTCACAGGCGTCGCCAAGTTGTGTCGGAGTACTTTCTGCTACCTGTTCGCTTGATGGAAGAACGCTGGCAACAATGGATCCCCAAGGCATCTTGCAGATTTGGGACTTTGAGTCTTTGAACCTCCTATATCACGTCTCAACACCATCCACGTCCTTTCGTATCCTCAATTTCACTTCGGACGGCACAGGAGTGGTGGATATCATCGATTCCGGCATGTCTGTGTGGTCACCCGCGGCACTTGTTCGCAAGACCAACGAAGAAGATCAAAGCGTTAGCGAGGATGCCATCAATCTGCCTCCTATAGAGGGTGAGTATGAGATGCAAAGAACCTCAAGGATATCAGCATTATGCGCCCACCCTTTGCTCCCCCTTGTCTTTGCTGGAAAACAGGACGGACAGGTCTCGGTTTTCAGCACAAGGACGGGAGAACAGATGGCGGGCTTGTATGTTCATGACCACTCAGCGTCAATTATGGAGATCTCTGTGAGTAAGAGCAACATACTTGCATCACGAGACATCGACGGCGTCGTGCAAGTGTGGCATCTAGGATCTGGGCAACTTTCGACGCTGGATTCCAGATCCATGATTTTCCAAGTAAAGCTTTCGGCCCAGGTCATGCAAATCTGTTTCACAGGCCTCGAAGACCATCTTCTCATCTCGGCGGAGACAGTTGACAAACTATTTCACATCAGAGACGGGCAATGCGTTGGGTCTCTGCACTTCGCCCCCGGAGAGAGGAGGATTTGGCGTTGGTTCCCAGCGACCACTTCAGGGCAGAAGGACGAGCTATTCTTGTTGAGAGACAAAATTCTGCTGAAGTACGATGTCCCGAACTTCTCTTCAGAGGTTGGTCGTTCCAAAGTCCAGTTGTGCTTCAATGTGGAAGACGGGACTGAGTTGACGGCTATTGCCGGAGCCGCCATCATTCCAAACACGCAGACCCTAGCTGTCGATGTCCGCCACAGCTCAGGTTTTATATCGTCCTCAACCATGTTCCTGTTCGAAATAAAAGACACGGATATCTTGAAGCCATCGGAAAATCAGCTTCAAATAAGTTCAACGAGCTTGGAGCTTTCCAAGATTTGCAAATACCTCATCGGTATCAATGAACGCGCACAGACGGTCACATTCCTACACCAGAACTCATGGATTTGCAGCATCGAAGCTGGGAATTTATCAAAAGGACGCTTCAGTCAGCACTTCTTCGTTCCTACCGAGTATATCTCGGCCAGGAACCAAGTTCTGCCGGTGAGGACAGTTGAGAATGGCATCGTCTTCTGCCTCAATGGAGGGCTGGCTATAGTGAAGAATGGGTTCAACTTCCGAGATATTAGAGAGGTTGGAAACTGAATACCATTAAATCATCATACCAGAGGAAGAAATTGCATTGCAGCTGATCTAAATTACGCGTTCCTTGAATAATTCCTGCGCCCTCGATGTCGGACGTCGCAGTTCCTAGGACACAGGGGCCTCAGAATCATGGAACTTACCCAGCTTCAGAAGCGCCTTCGCATTGTCCCTACCAATCTTCTTGTAGTTCTCAACGCCACCAACAGCAGCCTTAACCTCGTCGGCCTTGCCGTCCCACCAAGCAGAGCAGTTCTCGATCGTCTCGTAGGGGTAGTCGACACTGAACAGGACGCGGTCGGCGCCGATCTCGTCGACCACGTACTTGAGCGTATGGCTGGAGAAGTGGCCTGAGGTGGTGACCCAGATGTTCTGTTTAAAATAATCGTAGATTGTCTTCTTACAATACCGATCATTACCCTCCTCCTGAGCAATAGGTCGCTTGACGTCCTCCAGCCAGTGGTTGATGCGCCAGAAGTCGAAGGGGATGTGCTCGCCCAAGTGGCCCACGATAACCTTGGCCTTGGGGTGGCGGTCGAACACACCGTTGACGATGAGACCCATCAGGTGCAGGCTCACGGCGTTGGCGAAAGACAGAGGGGGTCCGATGAGGGACTTGCGCTGGGCGTAGAGCTTGTCGTACACAACGTCTGCAGGGGCGGCAGGGTGAATGTACAGTGGCACATCGAGCTCCGTGAGGACCTTCCAGAAGGCGTCGTACTGGGGCTGGTCGTAGAAGAGGTAGTCCTCGCCATTCTTGCCGGAGTGCTGGAAGTCGCAGAGCAATGCCCCATGGAAGCCGAGCTCCTTGACGCAGCGGGTGAGCTCCTTGCCAGCTTGGACGGGGTCGTGCATGGACAGGCAAGCAAATGCACCAAGCTTGTCGGGCTTGGACTTGATCTGCTCGGCGACCCAGTTGTTGACCTCTGTAGCGCGGCGCTCAGCCTCGGCCTTGTCCGAGATTCCCTGAATACCGGGGACAGTGAGGGACACGATACTGCATAATCAAGTGTCAGAGTTACGGTCAATTCAAAGTCTTAGTCAAGGTAGAAAAGCCAACAAGACTAAAAGTTGAGACTACTAACGTGTAACCGATACCATGGTCATCGGCAAGCTTCACACGCTCGTCATTGATGTCACTGATTTGTCTCATGTAACGAGTGCGGTCATCCTTCGCGATGTAGAGGGCCGCTTCACGTTGAGACTTGGCCTCCATGCCGGCCATCTCATAGGCCTCCTCGAGTGCGATCTTGCCGAGCATTTTTGCTGTTTGTCGTGGAAGTGAAGGTTTTGGGTGTTGTTATTGAACAATGTATTCCAAGTGAATCTCGAAGAAGGATTTGTAGTCAGGTGTGTATGGTTCTGGAGTAAGAGTTGAACATCTCAGTTCGTCCTCGAGGCAGACTATTATATAGTTTTCATAATCTTCATGGAATCTTTAACTGACCCATCGCTTTCACGTCAGGAGCGAGTGTCCGCGAACATCGTCCTTCGGCGTCGTGGCAGATCTGCGGGCTTGTCATTCTGCGGACCTGACGTCCCTCAGGGTGTCGAGATAATGATGCCATGTGGAAGACAACATCTCGAGATCTCGAGCCAAGACCCGATTTTCTTGTGGGGTACTCCCTGAACCTCGCGCGGCTTTAGCGGCCGAGCTGGAAGTCGGAAGAGCGCGCCGACACTCAGAAATGATGTCCTACACGGCGATACTGGTGGGGAATCAGAACATGTTTCCTCTTTTATTGGTACACCCAGGCTCGAGCCAGGGCTGGTTTGCAGGACTCTTGCGATGACCCCGGTTCGCGGCTCGGGTAATGCGCGGCAGCAGCGAAGACAAGAAAGCTTGTTTTCTTAGGAATGGTCGATTCAAGCGGGTCATTGGATTGCCCCCCTGGGGTATCGAACAGTTGCCGACGTGGGATACGTCTAAGCGGAAGTCTCGACTCTCAACTCGCCTGATCTTCGACCATCTCACCGACCTGAAGGGGCTCGGTTCCGCGTCACGCAGCGACTGTGGCCTGAGCAGACGTGTATGATCCGATCCGGCCTTGATACCCAGAGCCGGTTGTAACGAAGCCAATCGATTCAGAATGAGCCACAAGGTGACTGTAGAGATACTATGCATTACTTGGCACTACTCCATGCATGTAAGACACAGGCTTTCAACAGGAGTTCAATATCAACGTTATCATCTTTGGGCCTAGGACACAGAATGAGAAGGAGTTCAACTCCGAGACACTTACAAGACAGCGCTCGGGAATGATACATCACTCCCGAAAACCTGGATTTTGTAGTCGAATGCAAGCGCTAAGCAATTTATTTTCCGATTGTATCAGCATGTTTCTTCTTCCTTCATGGCCTAGGCAAATACAATGGTACAAGCTCCAGCACCTAAAATCCTCAACCGCGGTGATGCCAGGGGAATGATCGACATCGCGTCTGACACGCTGATGTTCTAGGGCTGAGCCCTGCCGATTAGTGCTGTCCTCGGATCGAATCATAACGGTCCGGGGGCTGGCACTCGACAGGCTTGCCCGGATAAGGCACCTGTGGGCCCTCGGAACGTTGAGTTCGGTACCCGAGCCTTTCTAACATAAGCATCCGATAATACATCTCATGCGTAGTGGTATGTCAAACTTAGTATCTATGTACAACGGCTTGGAGCAACCCGGATAATTTTCAATGTGTAGCACCGATTCACACTTCCACTATGCGCTGCTGCGGACATCTTTCGGATCACGAACCGTTCAATTTGTACACCACCAGCAAACTCGCGTCTGCTTCACGAGCCACACAGCGACTAAAACACACCTTGAAAAGGAGGTGGACTGATTTAACTCGCGCTTCCAATATCTCTCGGCTTTGCTGACACCTGACTTGCGAGCGCGAAAGCTACTCGCGAGATGCCGATGTATCCAAGCTTTATTATTTTCGTCAGACGAAGTGCAAGTGTTATGGGAGGACTCTGCGTCAAAACTAGATCTCTCAGGCTCGCTAAAATGTCGCGAAAACATTGAATGGCAGACTGACAGAAGCTCGAAGTGCCTCAGATCTACTCCGGTATCTCTCTGGCATCACTTCCGCATATCATTGCTTCGTCGTGCTCGTAAGGATTCACGGAATTTCTTCTTCTATTCTCGTTTAACTCGGATGGTACCTATCAATTGCAATTGGTGCGGTAAGTGACGACTTGAGCTCATTGCCTTCATCATTTAGGTGACAACTCTATCTCGATCTCGCGTCTGCGGAGCATATTCTCACGATGTAGCGTTGCAGGCATCTTCTCTGTAGCCAGATGAGGCACCATCCATGATGCTATTCTGGGCAGGGCTGTTGCTTTTTGGACTGTGTCGGCGAAGAGCTGTGATCTAGCGGTTTCTCCCACTCCTAGACATTCGTTGTATGTTAATGGCCCAAATGAGGTCATTCACTCTTCAGAATAAAGGTTTGGCATACTTTGAAGGTCAGGACTTTTGCGCCTCGTCGGCCAGGGAAATTCCTTTGCGGAAGCCAAGCTGGCCGGGGTAGCCATTCCCTTCCTCAGGGCAGCAGAAGACCCAGGCGTCTCCATCCACACCTGATACTCACGAACAGCTACAGCTTCCGCTTTCATTTTCGTCATTAAGCCTCTATCCTCGTGTTCGGACTGGCCAAAATCATCGCGAGCTGCATGCCCCTGTCTCCAGCAACCGCCGCCAGATATGAGCGTTTGCGTGAGCAGCTTCATACACAAAACGGGTGATCAGCCTCTGCATCTCCGATATCTTATTGGACCCTCCAGGACGCGTCTGCCGTGGTCTTAGTGAAACTGAAGCTGAAGAGGCTTGCTCCAAAGCCAGTGCCCGATTTCTCGCAAATCAGACCGATGATCTCTTGTGGTACAACAGTGCCGCGGAAGGCAAGAGAGGTGTGTTGTATATCCTTAAGGTCTTGCAGCACTTTGATGGCCATTAGCTTGAGCAGTACTTGATGGCCCAAAATGGCGTGCTCATAGACAGATTCGAAGTTACAAGACTTATAGATCTCGAAAACCTTTTCGACCATGTCACTCCCCGGTTCAGAATCTAAGTGCTCCGTCATATCAAATAACGGAAAATCGTCGCATTTGTGTGCCGGTAAATAAACTTGTAAGCGACCGAGTCACGACCCAGGTGTACGTACAGCACGAGGACGAGATGTGCGGTGGCCCCGTATACGCCCTTCCAGCCGATGGAAATCCGGTGCTTGGCATATATATCGAGCATACAAAACAGCAATCTTTGAACTACTGTGATATTGGCAAACAGGCGGAGCGAGAGATCGACCTTTCTCAATCTTGTTTCGAGGTCAATGCGAGTGCCTTTTAGACAAAGCTTCCAATTCGGACATACACATCGAGAAGTGCCGGTTTATGAGAAAACTTCGGTACATTTCGCAAATTCCAGTCCTGCAAAATATACATACTACAATGCCAATACCTGTACCACTTGCCTGGAAGCACGAGAAAAGCTTCGTTTTGCTAAAGCATAATCTTAATTCTCTGAAAGTGTCAATTTGATTATAGGTAGTCCTAATTACGTTTTAATCAATATGTAAAGAAACTCCTTTCTTGTGTCACTATACCCGCCTTGCCTCATTTTCTAATTAGTCTAGCCTACCAAAAGTTTGCACCGTACCCGTCACCACTTCCCCGCAAGACATCAGCCCTCTGGGCCTGGGCAAGAGGGAAGTTTCCTGAGAACACCGAAGCTTCTACCTCCATAGACGGCAATGGCCTGTCTTTGAATGTCTGCTGGACACTCCTTGCAGTCTGCAGGAACCGCCCCTTCAGGCCGTCGTACCCTTCCACAACCAATTTCCCGCCCTTCTTAACGACGTTCCCGCCGACTAGAACGGTGTCGATGTCACCCACACTAGCATGCAGGATCACCGCCGCGACCGGGTCCACCCAGCCCAGGAGCGCGGGCGAGTCGCCGTCCCAGAATACCAGGTCCGCCTTGGCGCCCTCCTCGATGACGCCGAGGTCCTCTCTCCGCAGCGCCAGGCCGCCGTTGCGCGTCGCGAGCAGGAAAGCCTGGTTGACGCTCTCGGGATTGTTGGCGGGAAGGTTCCATTGTTCGATGACGTCGGAGTACATCTGGTAGCGCGCTTGCTGGAGCCAGATGCGTGCCTGTGTGAGGATGTCCGTGGAGAAGGTGAAGTGTGTATCGACTCCGAGCGCGGCCTGCTCCTGGAAGTAGTAGTTCTTGGGGTGCGTGTGGCCGTAGTGCATTTCCGACTCCGGTGTGACGGAAATATACTGGTTGGTTGAGCGGAGGAGCGCCGCCCCTGTTGAGGTGAGGAATGAGGCGTGGGAGAGGACGACGGCTCGGGTCCCGTTCAGGTAGCCAAGGCTGTGCAGGTCCTCGGGGGAGTTGTCTATCTGCCAAGGCCCTTGAAGAGAGTGAGAAGTGACCAGAGGAATGTCGAACTGGTCGGCCAGAGACATGATCGACCTGATCTCTTCTAAATTGCCATCAGGGTCGAAGGAGTCATATGCGATTCCCAGAGTGGTGGAAGTGTTGGCGAAGTCAGCCTTTGTGGCAATGTCTCTGAAGTTGGCAAGTTGCTCTGTAATTGTGTAGTTGGTGACATTGTGGAACGTATAGCACCAGAAGACTCTTGCGCTTGAGTCAATACTCGCTTGTAAACCAGCTTCCGCCGTCTCATTTGACCACGTGTGGTGTGCGTGGTCGAGCGTGGTCGTTACTCCTGCGGCTTGGGCTTCATACAGACCCATCAACTGCGAAATGTACACATCGTCTGGGGTCAACAAGCCGGCTGCTGCGAACTCGCCAAATCGAGAAAAGTACTCGACCAGGCTTGTGTTCGAGCCGATCGTTCTCATGGCTGTCTGCCAGCCATGTCGATGAGTGTCGATGAAGCCAGGCGTTACAATCTTGCCAGTGATATTGACGATCTGGGAGTCTGACGAGATGTTCCCCGGAACAGACTCCGAGATTTCAGTGATGGTATCACCGCTTACTGTGATGCAGCCATCCCTAATTACTCGAAGTCCCTCAGTCGCTCTATCAAAAGCAACTATCGTCCCACCTTGATAGTGAGTGGTGGCTGCTTTGACAATTGCCGGGAGAAGAGGAACCACAAAGCTTAGAAGCCTGTACATTCTGCCTGTTGTTAACGAAAGAGATAGGAAGAGTAGTAGACAGAGATGGCCTCACCATTTTGCTGTCAAATTCAACATGAATTATTGCCATTAAATAGCCTACCAGATTTTGACTTCCTCCGGATTCCCCGGGCTTCGCCGGTGAAATCGTGGAGCTAAGGAACAAAAAGAAACTGGATGTAAGCCACGGTGAGACCTAGATCCACAGCCGTCGGATTTAGAAATCGGTCGTAGACCAATGGTCGGAATTCCAACTTCAGCTATACGTACTACAGCTAGACAACAAGAAATCGATTTCAACAGCGGGATTTGAAAAAGATTGGAAATCTGGCTTACTAAACGCTGCATTGTCACGATCAAATAACCACAAAACAGGCACCGGGCTGTTTGAGTAATGCGCTCTCGAAAGTTCGAAAGTTAACGTTTTGGAGTTTGAAGGAGTCATTTAGAGCTATGGCCGGTTTCTAAATCCGTGGGCGGACCGCTTCTTCCAATGGCTACGGGCCCATCGGCCGATGACCGTCCCTGACCATGCGACTTTGTAAAAATTGTACGTGTATACGTCACGAAAACTGGGGCATGTTACTATAGCCAAGTAGCAGTTGCTCGCGGCAACTTCTATAGCTGTGCTGTGCTATATGTACCGTCCAGATGGGGCTCAAATAAGGTTCGTCTAATAGCATAATCTGCGTGAGCCGCTAGCACGCTAACCGAATGCTGACCAAAGACGATCAGGCCCCTGACGAGCATCTTTCCTCATTCGGTACTCTATTTGCTCCTAGGTAGTTCTCCCTGCCATAAAAGCTCCACTGTCACGAACTCCCGAATGAGTTAATTCCGACGGGTCTATATTGGTTGTCGGTGCCCAGATCTGAAGAAAAAAGGGGCAATATCAACGTGCTATGAGGCCACACAGTGGAGAACCTACGGTCAAACTTGTACTGAGTGGCTGCTAACTCCTGTGATGACAAGGGATATAGCATGCAACGCCCTTGAATATATACTTAAGAGTGTCATTTAATTGTAGTGTTATCAATATTAGAGAAAGGAGCGAGAAATCGTACAATGCAACGTAAGTCTCCAGTAGCCTCAGCTAAATCTCATTCAATGCATTTACAGCGCTGGGAATATATGATGTCGCGGTAGTTGTTGAGACGTAATAATGATTGAAATGGAGTATTCGCTGGAGTTCAAATGAAGTGTTTGCTCTGCACAGTGTTGCACCTGATATAGACCAAAAAGAAACAGCGAAAATTGGCATTACATGACTGTGCCCTCGCATTTGTTTCGGTTCGATATCGCTGAAGTCAGAAGGACGTCTTTATCCCCCAAGTAAGATTCTCCACTCGCAGTCTGCGCTGGCGACTATGCTCAACTCGTTGGGAGGAACCTCGATGTTGCATTTTGGCGAGTGTGGATATTGAATGGAAATCGAGTGCACCAGGCAACGGATGCTCTATCATGGCGTGTAGTTTGCAACGAAGGAAATGTTTGAGCAGCGAGTTGAAGATGTGACTTTCTTATATGTCAAGAAGGTCGCCAAATTTATGAGAAATTACATGTCCTTACAGCAATTCACCGACTCCCGAAGAACTCCCCTGATGAAAACATTCTGTTCTGGCTATGCACTGAATGCTGACACTCGTTTGATGGGTGATAGATCTTGGCTCCGCTCTGCCGCCGAATTCTACTGAATCCGCGCGCATATGGAATACTGTCCCATTAGATTTACCCAATCGTCCACATCTAAATATATCGTAATCATGATCTGAATCAGCTGAGACTTCTCCTTGGGCCCGTTGAGATGTTTTGACTTCCCTCAGATGTGTGCCTTAACCTGCCATCTCATCCTACAACGTTGCACAAAGGTTCGGGTGCATCCTAGAACTTGTGAATGGAACGATCCACTGGAACACTACCTAGGTTTGCTTGCGTACAGGTACCCCGTGTCTCATAAGCACTCGAAACTCAAGGTCGTATTGTCCATGGCGGTGGAGAATTAAGGCTGGTAGTTTGTTCAAGTTAAGGTCCGGGAAATACGCATGTATATCCAGCAGTGATGCACCTATAGTGTCCCCAGAAGGGACATGACAGTCATTGTCCTATCTCATCTACAATATGAAGCGATTTCAAAAGTTGGCCAGGCACTCAAAAAAGCGTAGAAAGAGGTTATGCTGCAAGATAGGGGTTTTTGAAAACCTATCCCGCAGGAGGAAAGGAGGTCATCCTACATTCCATTGAAGGTTATCTTACAAGGAGTTGTCTTACAAGAGATTTTGCTTCAGTCTATAGAGGATTACCCCAAAAAAGGTCATCCTATAGGAGGTTATCCTATAGCATGTAAAAGTGTATCTTAGAGAGGGCTATCCCGTTAAAGGTTACCTTACAATCTATAGAAGGTTTATCTCACATGAGATCATCTCACGAGTGGTTATCCTACACGAGGTTATTCCATCAGGAGTTGTCCATTGGAAGGAGTCGTATCTACTGGTTAAGTGGAGCCCGACCGTTTGGGATCCCCGTGCGTTGTAGCATCTAATCTACCGCTAAGCAAGCAAATGTCAACCTGCTCCCAATACGTCATTCTCTATGCCCTGCTCAGAAACCCCTAGACATCAAGACCTGCATCTCTTCGGCGAACCAGCTAGCCTTGGTGTCCTCGTCGAGGGCCTTCGCACTCTCGGCGATCTTAAGAATGTCTTTGATGCCAACACCAACCTGGTTGGAGCCCTGGGTGGCCTCGGCGACGAGGTTCATGGCCTCGACCATGGACGCGCCGTCGCGGAAGGTCTGCTGCTCGCGCAGCACCAGCTCCAGCTCGTTCAGCCCGCTCAGGCTGGGCACGGCGATCTCCTTGTCGAACACCGTGTCCGTGAAGTCGAGCTGCTGGAGCACGCCGCGCCGCGAGGTGGTGCCCATGACCAAAATGCGGTGGTTCTGTACGTTTCCAATAAGTCAGTTCAGCACAGGTGAGGAAATGAATGCGTGATACATACCTTGGGTGGAATCGTGCGGAGCAGCGCCCTCAGGGTTTGAAGAACTGTGTTTGACATGCGCGGACCCACGGGGTTCCACTCGATGAGACCTTCGATGTCGTCTATGATCAGGATACTCAAGGGCGATTTGAAAGCGTCTGTGAAGTACTTGTGGATTTGGTCACTTTTGGCGTTCTCGCTCCGATACCCAACAAGCAGTTCGGGAGAAATGACCTTGATGAAGGGGAAGTCAGACATTTTGGCAATGTATGCGGCAAGTGAGGTCTTTCCGCTCCCGCTGGGACCATGAAACAGTAGGGAGACGTTAGGCAACTTGGTGGTCTCGCTGCGGAGGCCATCGATGTAAATCAGGCAGGACTGGATGATCCTTTCAATATTGGATGAGAATCGTATAATGCCATAGACCATGGACTTGGTGAGCTCATCTTCAGACACACCAAATGCTGGTGTGACTTCGGATAACGCAACCAAGAAGTCCTGCTGGGTGATCACGAGCTCTGACGCGTCGCTTGATATACCGGCCATGGACCCTGCCTTGGTATGCCTGTTGAAAGCGAATGATGCCGCGCTCTTGCACAGGCCGTTGATCTCGGCACCGGAGAAGTTCTTGGTCAAACTGGCGAGTTCTGCCAAATTCACGTCACTTGCAAGTCTTCCGCTTTGCTTCATCTTGTTTGTGTGGATTCCCAAGATTTGCTGCCGACCTTTCTCATCGGGAAGGCTAATCTCGACTTGGACTTCGAGACGGCCAGGTCGCAGAAGCGCGTCATCAATCATGTCCTTTCTGTTCGTCATGCCGATGAGAAGGATGTTGTTCAGCTGGTCCACGCCGTCCAGCTTGCTGAGCAGCTGATTCACCACGCTGTCTCCCACGCCGGTGCCGCCACCCGCGCCCGAGCCTCTTTGCTTGCAGACAGCGTCCAACTCATCGAAGATGATAACGTGAAGCTCGCTGTCATCGCCCTTTTCCTTGTATTCCTTTTCCGCGTCTGCGAATAGCTTCCTGATGTTTTCCTCGGACTGACCGACAAACTTGTTCAGGACTTCAGGGCCGTTGATGACCTTGGGTTCTCGAGCTTGAAGCATCTTTCCGATCTGACGAGCAATCAAGGTCTTGCCGGTGCCAGGTGGGCCGTAGAGGAGCATTCCCTTGACGTGCATTATACCCAGCTGCTCGATAACGTCAGGTGGGAATATTCGGGAAGCGAAGGCCCGGCGGAAGATGGTTGCGAATTCATCATCTAGACCGCCGATTCCCAGGGTCGCAAAATCGAAATCAGGCCGCACGACGGCATTGGCGCCCCGTTTCGGCGCGCCGGTCAGATTCATGAGTGGAACTTTTGAGCCTGTTGGCACTGCGTCCTTTTGGAAGAAGACTTTGGTGTGTTCGCCGCAGAGACCTCTTGCGAGAGGGTCCTCCTCGGAGGAACCCATGAGTGCTGAGGCCTGCCCTGCCTTGGCGGTTTTGTCGAGGGGTTGGTCGACCAAGGTGACTCCCCTCACAGAACATTTGCAGGGGATTGTCCCGTTCCCAATATACATGATCAGTTCCTGACCAGGGGCGAAGATCTGGCCTTGAAAGGCTCTGATGAAGGCATCCTGGAGGTCTTGATGTTTGACAACCGAGGGTGGGTTGTTGAGGACCTTGGCATACGCGATCGCAACATCCAATGAGCCCAGATAGCCCTTTGGCCCAAGTTCGATGGGGTTGAAAGCCTCCGCGGTCACGACGTCTTTGATAGCTACCCTGAAGGTGTTGCGGTGGGGTAGCCCGAACCAGATGCAGCCCGGCTCGACGCCAGCGAATGGCCTGACTGTGATAACATACTCGGTTCTCTCGAAGGAGACTTTGAGGTAGCCGGTCTCGCCGTCGCTCAGCCCCCAATCCTGGGAGTTCACCGCAGCTATGTTGTTCTTGTGGTATTGCCAAAGTAGTTCTTTGGAGGCGGCCTCGATCCGTTCCTGGGTGTCGACACGTAGTTGGAGTCTGTTCCGCTGCCCACCAGATTGTTGATATTGGTTACCGCCTGGCGGGGGAGGTCTGTTGCTGCTCGGGCGAGGCGGCGGCGGCGCCTGCTGGCCGTATGGATCTTGGGATGGCCGCATCGGGCGTGGTTGGGGAGGTGCTCTTCCGTAGAATCGCGGGTCCTTTTCCCCGAAGCCACCGGGGGGAAGCCTGCTCATCTTGATCTTTGGTGGACGGTTTTTGGTGATTCTGTTCCGGCGAGGAGTGCTGAGGGCTAGCGTGGGAGGAAATCAGTCGAGGATGTTCGAATCGGCAGTTGGCACGACCAGGTGCAGGTGCAGGTGATGGTGGAGGCAGGTGTGAGTGTCGGAAGAGGGAAATGCGAGTGTTGATGGATGAAGATGCGACTGATGGTTGCTGGCAGCGACGTGTTGGCCTCTTCAGCTGGACACGTTTGAAACACCCTCTAACAACACCACCACCAGATGGACAGATATGACGTCCGTGGGGTAGGGTACTGGGGTAGGGGTACCCGAAGCAATCTAGATAAGGCTGGTATCTGAACACTACTTACAGTGGGTTAACCTCTTGTACCAAAACCTTCTAAAGCAACGGAACAACCTCGTGTAGGATAACATCCTAAAGCAACGAAACAACCTCTTGCAGGATGACATTCTAGAGGCTACAAGATAACTTTTTCTAGTATAATCTTCGATAAACTGCAGGATATTTTACTGCAGGACAACCTGTTACAGAGTAATCTCTTGTACGACAACCTCTTGTAAGAGAACCTCTCATAGGTAATCTCTTTCAAGATAGCCTTTTACAAGGTAACTTTCTGTATGCTATAGTATAATTTCTTGATTGAAAACGTCCTGCGGGATGATACGATAGCCTCTTTTCTTTGTCCCTGCAGATTGTAGACTGTGACTGTCTACTTCCCGGTAGCCCGTCTCCTTGTCAGCCCCACCACCTCCAACAAGCAGTTGCCTGCCCACTCCTAGCAGCTCGGTTCTACCTAGACACTGCTAAACTAGGTACCCAGGTACTGTCAATACTACCAGTGCCGAGGGAAGCAATCATTGCTTCAGACTGTACATTTATTTTATTTCGGCGACCAACCTTACTCCCCAACCATCTGGAACAACCTGGTCAAAAGCCATTCATAATAGGTTGGCAACACCAGCAACCATGCCTCTGTAAGCCAAGCACATGCTCCCTTCCCACCAGACCGACACCAAGACCCGAATTGACTGACATACCCCCACCATAGCCACCTCCTAGGCAAGAAGTCCTGGAACGTCTACAATGCCGACAACATCGCCCGCGTCCGGCGCGACGAGGCAGCTGCCGCCGCGGAGGAGCTCGCCGCCGAGCAGCGCATGCAGGATGCCGACGCCGCCCGCCGCCTGGCCATCCTGCGCGGCGAGACCCCGCCGCCCCTGCCCGAGGCCGAGCAGCCAGACGATCCCACCGACAAGAAGCACACGCGCCGCAGCCGTGACGGCGACCGGCTCGGCTCGAGGAAGCGCAAGCGCGCGGGAGAGGACGACACCGACTTCGAGATGAGGGTGGCGCGCGAGCGGGCCGAGGAAGGGGCCAGAGTCGCGGGCGAGCTTGCCGGTGGCACGATGGCTGGGCCAGTGTCGAAGAAGCAGAAGGGCGACGTGGAAATCGTGGACAAGAGCGGCCACATAGATCTGGTTGGCCCACCGCCGGTGGGAGCTGGTGGCGAGAAGAATGCCGAGTATGAGCGCGAGGCCGCCCGGAAGAAGCGCGAGGCGGAAGATCAGTACACCATGCGGTTCGCGAACGCTGCTGGCCGGGACGTGCTTGCATCTGACGCGCCATGGTATGCCAATGCTGGACGCCGGCAGGCTGGAGCTACAAATTTCTTCGATGCTGCTGCTGCTGCTGCTGTCCCTGCTCGAAGAGAAGACCGGGAGGCTGAGATGGGCATGGAGGCACCCACCAAGAACGTCTGGGGCAGGGATGATCCCAAGAGGAGGGACAGGGAAACGTCGAGGCTGAGTTCCAACGACCCGCTGGCCGCGATGAAGATGGGTGCCAGGAAGGTGAGGGACATTGCAAAGGAGAGGAGGCGGGAGGCTGAGGAGCGAGAGCGCGAACTGAAGGAGCTTCGGCAGGACGAACGGAGGCGGGAGAAGCGTAGGAGGAGGGATAAGGCTCATGCGGACGAGGATGAGGACGAGGAGGGATCGCTGTCAAGGTCGCATCGTTCACAACGCCCTGAGCGAAGGCATCATGGGGATGAGGGACATGAGCGCCGGCACGTCCATCGAGATGATGCCCATGGAGAGGAACGTCGACGGCGGAGGGAAGTCGAGCGTGACGGACACCGAGAAAAGGACAGACACCATGGACGGGAGAGGGAGAGGTCTCGTGAGAGAGGGACCTCGACTCGGTCACATCGAGACAAGGACGACAGCCACCGCCGCCACTGACAGCACCATGCTTGTTGCGGCTATGTGGCCTAATAGAGGGAATGATGTTATGATTCAAGTGATACCAAGATACCCAATACAAAACCATTTAACGTGTAATACCTCCACTAGTGACAATTATTTATCAGCCCGTCCAACGAGTGCGGGCTCGACTCCCCTGCCTCGCTGCGTGTGTTGAGAATGTCGCCACAACAGCATAGATTACTGCAACGCGGACACTTAGCACAGATTACCGCCCTGATCCTACGCCCATAGACCACAAACATGTGGATTCACAAGGTTGCTAACCCTCCAACCAAGGCACCCGAACCTCAACCTCCTTCATATCCGCCTCGACCATCTTCACAAGCGGACCAGCGTCTAGTCCTTTGAGCGCAGCTAGGATTTCACCCGCGAGCGCAGGGCTCATGCCCTCCTTGCGGTCACTGTACAGGTCCACGCCCTCCTTGGTGAATAGCGTGGGCGCAAACCAAGTGACAGCCCACCTCTCCTTGCCGCCCTCGACGTCGCGCTCCCCCCAACCCAGCACCTCCCAGTGGCTCGTGACGAAGCCGAGCAGCCCCTTGCCGCGCCAGTCCCAGGTGGCTGTGTCGCCGGGCGTGGAGGCTGTGTCGACGCCCGAGACGGTTTTCACGCCGCCCTTGCCTGAGGTCTTTTCGTACTGCACCAGGTCGTCGACGCGGGCCCGACTCGTGTCTTTGTCGCCGGTGGCGGGGAGCGGGGTGTAGGTTATGCGGACATTGCGTGCTGTGCGCCACATTGAGAGGGTGGAGTGGGTTACTGTCCAGGTGCGGTGGAGCCAGTCTAGGGGTGGGGGTGAGGAGGTTGATGGGGAGGAGGATGAGGAGGCATATTTGGATGGGATGCGAAGGGTGATGGGTGGGTTGCCGTTGCTTGTTGACATGTTGCTGTCTATTGCTGGCCACTGGGATATATCCTGCGACGAGCTCGTATGGTGATGACACAAATTGTACTCCTGAATGACTTGCAAGAGCTGGTAACCTTGGAGAAATTCAAGATTGATGAGTGTGCCGAGTGTCAAATGCGTGTACAGTCGATGGGTAGACAGACAGTCTGGCTGTTGTTTGCGGGTTGGGTGTGAACTACATGCAGCTCAATAGAGAGTTGAGACGTCAACGATATTGATCGACAAACACTGCAGATACGTGTTGCGCAGTCCGACAGGTGAGAAGTTGTCGACGTAGGTAGGGGTTAGAGTGAAGCTTGAAGCTCTCCAGATGCTATCAACAGCCCTTGTGCCTGAGACGTCCAGGGTTCCCCAGGGCGTTTCAGCCGTGATGTCAGAGCTGTGCGGACTTTCTATGGGCACCTAGCTCGAGCCTAGGTAGCTTCAACATCCCCCACTCTTGCTGCAATACACAATAGCTCTGCGCTTAAAACTCAATCTACTTTGCGGCTCATGTAGAGTCGTCTCATCAAGCATCCATGAGGACTTTGAAGTATATTCCAAGGTTACTTGCAGAGCCTTGAAGCTTTCCAGAGGAAGCCCCCCCCCCCCTGTGCCCTGGACCTGCGATGCTGGACTCCACATTCCCCTCTGCAGGGGCTCCGTTCCAGCAGGGGTCCTGGAAGCTAATCCAATTGGGGCCACCCATAGGGCTGGCCTGGAATTTCACTCACCCTTCCACGTCGAGGATGCAGATTGACTACCTCCACTTCAACCTCTGATCACTCGACTCGTCGCCGCTATTGCTCGGATTGACTTTGTTCGTTGTAAGATCTCATCATTCGATAATTTTGAATGCTCCACACATACTGCAACCCAACTCTAAGGCCACACCGTTCGAGGGCGCCGCTCCATTGAGCTCGAAAGAAAAGCTCTGAGGAGGTAGACGCTCAAGCTCAAGGACAACCACACCCAGAGCAAACAACATCTCACGGCACTGCTCCCCAGCACCACTACCCATCATGGCCGACATCACCTCAGACGACGACCTGGACTCGGCAGCCATGGCAGAGGCAATGGGATTCACCGGCTTCGGCATGCAGCGCGCAAACAGGAAGCGCAAGCTCACCCCGCCCGCCCAGACCGGCGCCAACAATGCGCCCCTGGGCAAGCGCCGCCCGCTGAACCTGCCCGAGCCCGTATCCGGTGACGCCAGCGGAGCGAATGCCGATGAGATAGGCCTGGATGATGATGACGATGACGGCGGCGCGAGGCTGGCGAGGGACCAGCAAGGTGGAGGAGAGGAGTTTGATGCAAACGCCGCTGGGCCGCAGTACATCGACACGTCCCGGCCATCGCGAGGGTACTACCCCGAGGAATTGGAGGACATGCAGACGCAGGCTAGAATTGACGCGCTTACCTTTGCTGATGCACCCTCAACAACGGGCCACCACCAGCTACCCCAGAAACCACCGCAGCAGCAGGGGCAGCACGCAGGCAAGGCGGCGCGCTGGTCCGGTGGAAAGGCTGGCTCAGGGCTGCCGTGGTGGGAGGGCGAGTGGGACCCACGGCTGATCGACAGGATGGTCGAGAACCCGTGGGAAAGGCTGGAGAAGCAGCGTGGGCTTGAGGCCCGAGGCACGTGGCCGTCGAAGGATCGTGGTGCCGCTGTGCCAGCTGGTGCGGGCTCATCAGGTCCCCTTGGAGGGAGTGAGGCGGGCCAGGCGACGATGTCGTGAAGTTGGTCTCGTTATGGCACGGACACTGCATCGCCCCTTGAAGCGAGGACGTCGTCGATGAATACTTGGGACACTGTTGGTGCATGCCATCGACAGGGCACGGCACGTACCATCAAACAAGAGGGCCAGTGCACCATGACATGTTCTGGCTGGTAAAGAGAGGTCATAGAGAATGGCAAGACGGGATGGAGGAACGAGACAACACCACCTTCCAATCTACCTCGCCGTCTCATGACACGGGATTGTCTTCCCTCCCGCCGCGGGCTGAACAAAAAGGAAAATATACGCAAGAAGGTCACCACCACCTCTGACACCCTTGTGTATATCAGGAGCTTTCCTGCCAAGGATTCTACCATGCCATGCCATGTCCAAGTGGGTACCATCTCTCCGGTTTCCGAACAAGAGAAAGACATATGTCACGTGACATACGAACAAGGGAAGCTTAACGGCGGGCAGTGGGGAGGGGAAGGAAGAACGAGAGCACCCACCAACCCCATCATCACATGATGGAGCCCACATGGCCAGCACAGTGTGCCTCCCACCCCCTCTGGCTATACGAGGTCACCTCCCCTACTCAGGTGAGGGAAAAAAGCACACTGTACGGCCGTGCTACGTCAGCCGCACGTGGGAAGTGTGGGAGGAAGGTCACCGGCCAAGACAGGGGAGGGACGGGAGGGTGGAGCACGGGGTTCACCATCGCGGCTCACGATCAAGGAAGGGAGGTAGGGAGGGAGGGAAGAGAACGGAAAGGATGGGGAGGGTTCCATGCCCCCCACACCCTTCGTCTCTTGCCGCCCCCTCCCTGGTAACAGTCATATCGTGCCTATTCTGGTATTTGGACTACGAGCAAAATGAACAAGGAAAAACAAATCGGGAAAAAAGAGTTCCACCACCCCCTCCTGTAACGCCTCCCCGTTCTGGGAACAAACAGCACCCTGGGCCCAATGAGAGGAGCAGGAGCCTAACCCCCCTCCTTCGCTCCCCCGTGCGTATTTTTGCCGGGGGGCTTTTCGCCAAAACCTTCCCTCTCTCCCCTGCCTCTCTGCGTCTCGCCAGGTACATAGACTCCCCAGGCACACAGAGCCAGTACTCCTGTCTCCCGTATAGTGACCTCAGCAAGGGTGGGGAGGTGGTGGGCTAAACAGAACCACCCCCCCTTCCTAAAGAAGCAGTACTCTACAGCCCCGAAGGGGACAAGTGTGCGCGTGCTGCGTGCCATTTTGAAGGGCGGTGGCCGCCCGCGCCCGCCCAGGAACCGAGACCTCGCAGCACTTCCCGATCCATGCCCCTGGGGCTGCGCCAGCCCAGCCAGCCCTTCCCACCTCACGCACCTCATCCCTGTCAGGACTTCTCTTCCTCGCAGCACACCCCTCGCATTCCTACCCACCCAACCCCGGGTCCCTGCCACCCTGTCTCGGCTCGGGCCTTGGGCTTAGAGTTTTCTGGGGTGTGTTCGTGCGTGTGGTTGCAGGAAGGGAGGGGGTGGGAGGTGGTGGGACGGGTGGTCCCTTTTCCCTTCCCAACCCGCCCGTCGTTCCCTCGCGCGAACCACCGCGCCTGATTTGCCGCCGAGCCCCCCGGACGACGAGGGAGATTCCTGCAGCCCTCCCAACCAGCCCACACACACCCCTCCCCTGTCCTCGCCTGTCCTGCCGTGCGTGCGTGCGCTGCTGCTGCTGCTGCTGCTGCTGCTGCTGGCTCGTTCCTGCAGATGGGGCCGCACGACATGGTTGAGGAGCCTGCTGTGGCTGCAATGTACCTGTACCTGTCACCTCTGCCCCCGTTTTCCCACCGCGAGCCGCCCAATCATGGCGCTGCTGGGCCCAGAGCGTCGGGTCGGGCGGGCGTTCCCGCTCCCCAACGTCATCTCGTCTCACGCCGTGTCGACGCCGGCAGGGGGAGACGACGCGGAGAGATCAAATAAACAAGAAATCACCATACCTACACTCGCTCCCAAACACCGTGAACACCGCCCAATGTAGTCGTGAGTCGTTAAAAAAAACAATTCGTCAGAAAACCCCCGAGAGGAAGACGCAGGCTGGGCTGATATGCGCGCGCTCACACGCACGCCCACGTGTGCGGCTTGCCGCCCAACGTCACCTCGCTTGCCTCGCTCTGCATCTCCCCACCCCCCTCCCTTTCCCCCAGCGCGCATCCCCCCCGGCTTGTTTCCTGCAAGCGGAGAGTGTGTGCAGTTGGAGGGGGAGGGGGGCGTGTACCGAGAGATGTGCGTAGGGACCGTGATGTGATATGCAGCCCTACGGGGCTGGCTTCACCACCACCACCACCACCACCGCCACGCGCTCGTGTGTGATCCAGATTCAGATCTGGATCTCGCGTGTGCCTTATTTTAGTGTGTGTGTGTGTGTCAGATCTGCTGCTGCTCGTTCTCCTTTTTTTTTGCGCGTGTGTGTTTTGTCGCTTCCTGGCCCCCGTTGGTCGTGTTTCGCAGATCCCACGTGCGAAGAAACGGACAGGGGTTTTTGTTTCTTGCGTTCCTGGGGGGTGTGGTGCTAAGCTCGTGGGTAAGGTGAGTTTCCCTCCCCCCCTGGTAACTTTTCATTGCTTTTTCTCTCCCTCTGTTTCGTCAAATGAACGAACGACCGCTCTCGAATCGTCATAGAGCGGCAACTTTTTGTTTTGTGTGCTTTTTGCGTTTCTTTTTTGAGCCTGACCAAAACTTAAAAAAAAATTGAACTTGAAATTGACGCCCCGCGACTGATGCACGCCCGTTCGCTCGCCCCTCCGCCAGTCTGCCTCGATCTGAAATGATGCGAGATCTGCAAACTAGGCGGAAATTGAGCTGGAAGCAAATACATCTAGTATTCGGGAGAAGGGTGCCTCGCGCGCGCCTTGCTGTACTCCTTGGAGTGCTTTTTCGACGCCTTCGTCTTCAGTGATCTGCGAGTTGCATAATTAGCTATCGTTGCTCCCCGTAGTATTGGACAGAGAACGTCGTATGTGGCACAAAAATGCTGACCACTGGTCGCTAGCTGGGCTGGCTGTCCTGCTTGCTCCCGCCTGCTCGGCAGGGAGATTCGCGAACACAAAAGCCTCGCTAGCAAACCGAAGCCGCCAGAGCCAATTTTTGTGTGATTCCGTAAGGAGCTGAGGACGGGTTTCCACTCACGAGACCTTCTTCTGCGTCCACTCCAGGTTCTGGCGCACCTCACGCGCGTCGTCCATGCCCTCGGCAAATCGCGCCCGCGACCTCGCAAGCCGCGCCTGCGCCTGCTTCTGCAAGTCCAGCAGCTGGCGGTGCTTGTCGTTGAGGCGGCCGGATCTGCGATTTTGTTAGCATCTGTTTTCGTTTTTGCGTGTTTGCTCAGAAATTTGCCCCTGCGCCTCTCGCGCAGAATTAGGATCTCGGGAGTCCTCGCGCGGAGCTAAGCCAGTTTGCTCGCTCTGGCGAGAAATCTCCCGGCTCCTGAATCTGGGCAGTTGATTTTTGCTGCACCGCAGAAATTACGGCTGGTCTCCGTAATCATTGCGCTGAGAAGAGAACTGTAGGATTTCAATCCTCAGATAGAACGGGAAAAAAAGCTTACGTCTGCGCCTGCGTGGCCATGGCCTTGTCCAGGCCGAGGGGGTCGAAAGACTGGGCGAGATGCTCGTGCATGTACTCGTTGAAGTCAACGCCGCTGGCGGAGCGCTCTGAGTCGTATTCGCCGTGGGTGCTGCCGGCGTAGCTGGTAGTGGCAGAGTAGCCCGGCGTGCTGTAGGATGCTACGCCAGAGCCGGAGCTCACCGAGTGATCAGCCTCCGGAGGCGAGACTGAGTAGGTGCTGTCCGGGTGGTAGTAGCCCTGGTACTGGCCCTTGTGCGGGACCGGCATCGGCAGGGTGCCGGAGTAGTACTGTGTTGGCGAGTAGGACGACATGGTGGCTGGCTGGTGGTAGTTGTTTGTGGTGGGGGTGTGGGTGGGTTGGTGGCTAGGCTAGAGGAGATGACGGCCCGGTGGGGGGGAAAACTAAGTGGTAAGATGTCTGGTGGAGGGGAATTCCCTGAGTGCAGAGGATGATGATGATGCTTATGGTAGGAGGTGGGCCTCTTGTGAGGATGTCTGTGTGTGATGATGGAGGAGGACTTGGTGGTTTGTGTAAGATGTTGATGAAGGCTTGAGCTGGCTTGGGAGGGCAGGACTTGTTCTGCTGGATAGCTGATGATGGTGTCTTGAGGAGACTGAAGGAGGAAGAAAGAAGAACAAGAATGATCGAGCTCTTCCTCGAACAAGAAGGGCCTTTTTATACCTTTTCGAAGGCATCCCCCTGTCGACCAGAAGGGCCCCAGAGTCCCGTGATTCAGAGGGATAAGACATGTTAACTCTATTCGTCGAGCATGGACGGGACACCCCGCTCGAGGCAGGACGGGATAGCATGACGATGGGGACGACGATGGCCGGTATCCCTGCGCCTCGGTGTTTGATGGCCTCCTACCCGCACTCCCGCCCGCGCAGGGTCAGCCAACGGGAGCGAGGGGTGGCGTGGCCGTTGGGGGTGATCCCTGGAGCATGTTGACGAGAAGGGAAGGCTTCGGATTGGCCTGCAGGACGGGGGCCCATGGATTTGCTCAGAGAATGGCGAGATATGGGAGCACCGCGTGCATGTGCCGAGAGAGGCAAATATCACGGGCCTTGTATTGGTGGGATGTGGGATGTGACCCGGCGGTGGAGGAGGAGGGGGCAGGGCAGGGTAGGGCATGGCATGGCATGGCATGGCATGGCCGCGGAAGAAAGGATCGACTTGGTCCTAGCACGACCTACTATGGTCCACGGTGAGGTGAGCAGGACGTAAGGGGATGGAGTAACATGGGGGCAAAATGGCAAAAGACGGAGCCGGATCCGAAGCTCTCAGAGGCGGGAGTCCTGCAGCGTTTGACGGGCACATGAGGCGGGCAATGGGAGGGAGGGAGGGTGTGGGCGTATCGGGGGGCGGCCGGCAGCACGAAGCATAGGTCCGGACCAGGGGGGGTAGACTGGCAGGATCGCGAGATGGAAGACGAGATGAAGGTGGAAAAAATGGTTATGTATGGCCGAACGGACTAGGGTGGAAACAAATTAAAGAGAGAGGTGTGTGTGCGCGTACATATGTGTGTGTGTGTGACTGACAGGCAGGCTCTGGCTGGCTGGCTGGCCGGCCGGCTGGAGGTACAGTAGTCGGTAAGTAGTATGTAGGCAGAGGAAAGATAGGCATGGGAAGGGCAGGGCACAGCAGGGCAGGGCAGAGCAGGGAATCAAGAGCCGGCTAACGAGGGCTGTCTTGGATAGGTAGGTAGACGGGTAGGTAAAAGTAGACTTGGCTCAGGAAACATGGCAAGTCGACATGCAGGCAGGTCAGGTTAGTGGATGTAATGGCAGGTAATGGTAGGTAGCTCGGTGGTTCAAGGACAGGGACAACGCCTCGTGTGCCGTCTGGATCGTCTGATAGTACAATGTACTGTATGTATAGTGGGCATAGGAACCTTGGAAGACAGGGGAATGGCAGCAATGGCAGTCCATGGGCAAGGCCGTGGGCCGGCCAGACGTCAAAAAAGTCCGATCTGAAGCGCAGAGTTACATCCGCCGCTTTCTTGGGGCAGTCGTGGAGCCTTGTTGCCTTCCGTGCCAGAGCTTAGAACAGCAAGCCGATGTACCGGTACTCACATCGGCCGGCTGGGGGGGAAGGGGGAGAGAAGGGGAGGGGGGAGGGGCCGCCAATGGCCCCGAGGCGGAGTGAGTGAGTGAGCGCGTGTGCGTGCGTGCGTGCTTGCGTGCGTGCGTTTGTTGAAGCGTTCTGTCTGGCCTCTTGGATTTCTGGGTTCTGCATTGCGAGTTCAGATATTTCGTGACTTGCCAGGGGTATTTTCCATGACATGCAGAGGTGCATGAGTTCCACGAGTGGGTGGATCTTTTCTGGTCCTGTGCGAATACAATGTACTGTAGACAGACCGACGCGTCAAGGGGGGAAGAAAAAGAATAAATGCGTCCATGGACAAACCGGACTGGCCTCTGACACCGTGCATGCCAACCATTGAAATATGACATGTATGGGGCAGACAGACAGACCGGACAATTGGTAATGGCAATCAATGGGCGATGACAGTGACTCTGACCATGACTATGACTATGACGAGTGAGGCCAGAATGCAAATGCGGTCAGAGGCCAGGCCAGGCCAACCAAGGCCAGGTCAGGCAGAAGTGCATCAGGGTCGGGCCTGATAATGCGTGTGCCGTGCGTTGCGTGTGAGCCATGATGCTTTGGGCCTTTGGGCCTTTTTTGGGCGTCTGTGGCAGAGACACGGGTGCGCGAGTGTGCAGTGTGTGCAGTGTGTGCAGTGTGTGTGTGTGTGTGTATGTGTGTGTTGTCACTTTTAGTATTCCAATGGGAGCCGGACTCGGGACACCAAGCAACTGGGACCGACGCACGAACGAAACGAACGCATTACGCTTTACGCATTGGGGCAGCATCTCCTGTGCCGTCTCTAAACGGCAAGAATTTGAATTGGAGGGCCTGTCATTTTCCAGCGAGTAATAATGCCTGTTGGCGCTAGAGGACTGCTCTCTCTATGCCCGCGCAGTGCGCAGCCGGCCCTTTGGGTGTGTGCGTCAGGCCCCAAAACGTGCGGAATTTCGTTTCAATTGGGAAAATGTCAGAGGGCGCCGGTCTGATTGGCCCAGAAATCCAATCGACGTGGGGTATTATTTTTTTGGCTCAACTCAGGGTCGTCGCGTCTTTGCTTTTTCTCCATTTTCCTTTTTCGCCCTCTCAACCTCATCATCCTGTTTCCTTGTTGCCAACGGTTTTTTTCTCCAAGCTCATTTGGAATAGATCATCAACGCTGCTGCGCCAATCACGGCGGCAGCCATCAGCACAGTACCACCGGGGATCGAGTGGCCATGTAATATGTCCGCAGGTATTATGTCCGCATGTAGCGCGACCAAGGCTAAGATACGATACAGATGACGACCTGCATCTTTCTGCTGCATTCTGCTGCATGTATCTACTACATTGAAATTACCTAACCTAACCTGCCTACCGCTCGTCCTCTTCTTCTGGGTCAGGTGTCAGATGGGACCTCCCAAATCGCACTACTGTATACACAGCACTCTACTTATCCTCTTTGGGGGCTGCATATGAGCTGACTCCGAGCTTCCTCGACGGCCCTGGCCCTGGCCCTGGCCCTGGCTCTCTGGCCGGGCCCCGTCTAAGTCCTAGGCACGATCGAGTACCTGCAGATACTCCAACGGTCTATACTTGCGACATTGTACATCACCAAGGCCGGCTGTCTGTCCCTCACCGTCATACTGGAACACTGAGATAGTGTGTCTGTGTTTTCTTGACTGCCTCTCTTGCATCTGCCAGATCTTCCAAGGTCAATATGGGGCAGCATATTGAGTTGGAATCATTCCAGATGTCCCCTGGTGCACAGTGGCGTCTAGAGTGTCCATCCCATCAATGCCACAGCCTGTGACATAGCTTCGTCAGGTCGGCAAAGTCCACTCCGGCTTGATTACTGCAGCTACATCCATAGATACAGTGTGCGCCAGCCCACCAGCCACTTGCGACCTAGTCTGGCCCGGCAAGTCATCTGCGCCTGCAGGTGTAGAGAGGATCCCACGATGCTCATCAAATCATGTACAACGTATGCATGGCGCAGGAGAACGGGCCCCACGCGTATTAAGAGCAGCAGCAGCAGCATTATTAGCAGCAGTAGAGATTTTCTCGTCAGTCTTGACGGCCAGAACATGAGCCCCGGCATGGGCGGGCGGGCGGGCGGCTGAGACAACAATCCCGTGGGTGCATCTCATACAATCAATTCTTAACCAATGCCGTCCTTCTCAGCCCTCAAGGGCGATGAGGACAAGACTTGCCGAGTTGGACAGAGCCCACCCGACCATCTCGCATCTCGTAACCCGACAAGGGAATCCCGTGATACGGTGTAGCTGTCACCATTTGCCGCCGCAGAAGCCATCCGTCCCTCTGGCTGGTCAACCCGGAGATCTCAAAGCCGCCTCTTTCTCTCTTTCCCTCACGCACCCACGCACACACACACACCCACGGAGCTTGCTTACAGGACCACCCCGGACCCATAACCCGTCGACCAGTCCACTCAGATAACGCAGACTGCTAGTGTCGAAGGGGGGGTCTCTCGCGCATCCCATCTGTCCAACCCCAACTTTTGCCATCAAACGTCGAGGGGCCGGCTCATGTGCCAACCGCCAGTCATCCAATGCCCGAGCGAGCAATATATGTCACCGCTTCCAAGGTTGCGGGACATCCAAATTGCTCCTCCTCTCGTATCAGCTCTTCCCGCGTCCGCCCGTCCGTCAGCCCGAGATAGAGAGAGTGTGCGCGAGAGAGCCGCCAGACAGGCAGAACCTTGGCAGAAAACGCAAGGCCGCGGGGGAGGGGTAATACTAAGAGGGACGGACCCAGGGAAACAAAGTAAAAACAAAATAAGCCAGACCTGTGACCTGACGGGCATGCGAGGCCAGAAGCGATAGGGCCGTTGCTGCCCCTCCAAGCCTAAGAGAGCCGAAGAGTCGGGATCATGGATCAACGCCAGATCGGCTCTCCATCGTCTGTGCATACATACCATACACTAGACTAATGCTACTGCCATCGCGAGAGGAGAGAGAGAAGTGCGTGTGTGTGAGTGTGTGCGTGTGTGCAACCGACAAGACAGACAGGCAGACAGACAGAAAAATGCCAATGTTCCTTTGCAACGGGCCAATCCAGCTTTTGCCCACCCGTGTGGCCCGGGACAGACAGACAGACAGACAGACAGATAGACAGCCAGCCCAGCCAGCCAGACAGTCAGCCAGCCAGCTCCCCCCCCCCTGGTCGGCCTTGGGAGCCTAGCCCGCCCAAATACTAGGCAAGCCTGGGGCGTGTTTGCCTTCGCTCCCAACGTGATCCCAATCCCACCCTCCCCTCCGACCGATCTAGATACTAGACTGTGTGATCTCTTGTGTGTCTGTCTATCTTTCTTCTCGCCGGTCCCCTTGGACTTCCGCACGCGGCGTTTGGTCATCATGTCATCACCGCCAGAACCTTCTTTCAACTTTTTTCCACTCTTCCGCTGTTTCAAGTTCCGTCCCTGTGTCTCTCCCCCACCACCCCCTCATGGAGTGACAGGAGGAGGTAGGGGGGCACAACGTGGTCGAAACCACGAATAGATGGTCTGAATGGGATCGCATAGATTTGGGTGGGAGGTTTACAAAGGCACGCAGGAGCTGTGATAGGACCTTTCAATACCTGCCCCCACCCCCCTCTCCAACGGTCCTACATGTGTCCCACAGATGAACAAGATGCGTCCGACATGACAGGTTGCATGCTCAGCCGGGTCGGTAGCAGCAGCAGCAGCAGCAGCACTCAGCGTCCAGCATTTACCTTCAAAGTGAGCTGAATGAAATTACGAATGGCACATTCACTACAGGCATAAGGCCCGAGGCTGCTGCTACCTTGCGCCCCTTTGGCTCGGCGGGAGAAACACAGCCCTTGCAGCATGCCAACGTGACGGCTGTCACGGTGTCGTTTTTAATTATTTTATCTTTTCCCTCTCCCTTTCACGCATCGATCGGCCATGTAACCTGGCGAACACTCATTCTGGCCCTGGTCTCGTCCCACTGTCCCACGGTCGCTCAGTCGCGGGCACTAGGATCGCCCGATCGATAGGACGCGGGCAATCTGGGTAGTTCCCTTTCGACGAGAGCCTGGCCGGCCGTTAATCAATCTATCTGCCAGCGCTGCCAGCGCAGCCAACCTCGTGGCCTCTTCCAGTGGAGCGGAGACGAGAGGATAAAAAGGAAATAAAGGACACGGAAAAGCAGTCCATCGCACAGACAGGCGGCCGGGCCTCCTCCCACACCGCCTCGACGGACTGGCTCATCTAGGAAATTCAATCATCCAGACCTCAGTCGGGAGGAGGGTAAATCACGGAACCAGCGAAAGGGGCGCCGCAGCAGTTCTTGTTTCGGGCCACGTTGGAGGCTGCTGCAAATCGAGAAGAGAGAAAAAGAAACGAGACAAAACGGGCGTGCAGCCTGCAAATCAGACGCCGTCTCATCGCATGTGCCTACCCTGAGCCCCGGCTCCCGGGTGCCAGCAGGGAGGGAGCGCTCAGCTCCCCTCCCGACGGCGCGGGTAGGGCAGGTAGACTTTCTGGGGAGGGAGGAGACACACGTACCCCACGCGCACACACACGCACACGACGGGCACCTCTTCTTCCTCTACGGCGTGCGCGATGGCTCGGTCGACGAGGCGTCGTGCCAAGCATGCGAGACCTGCCTACTCGAAAGCGGTGGCATCGCTCTCGTCCGAAAGGGGGCAATGGGGGCGCACATGCATATACTCATGCTCAGCCCCTCGAGACCACCATCTCCCGGCATATTATCAGCGACAGCGTTATGGCCCCCACCTCCCGGTCCTCTTTCCCTTCTCTCATTCTTGTGCGATGGACCAGCGGTCCAGACGTAACCCACGGAGCAGACAGACGCTCAGCGCTCGGCATCTTCCGGACGACGTCCGCGGGGAGAGGGCGGATTGGAAGGCGGGCAAGTCCCATGCCGTGCGATCATCTCACAAACGACGCGGAGACACCGCGCTCGAAACGACCTTGCGACTGCTGTGGGCCCGAGGCCCCCTTCTTGTGGCACACATATCGCGGTGCGAAACCGGGGGCGGGGGCGGGAGGGGTTTGCTGCTGGTCCTGGGATGGTCGGTCGATAGCTTCCCGCTTTTCTCGCCATGAGGACTGGGAGGGCGGTTTGTGTGTGCACCGGTTTTCCGGATGGACCAAGAGTGTTCCTCTTCAGTTCATCTGTTTGTTCGAGCGGATGAGCGTGGAAAGACAGCCTCGCCGTACGTTTGATGCCAGCCAGCCAGCCAGCCCCGTGCCCGGCACCAGTTCTGGAGTATCGTATTGTTTCGCATGTTCCACCGGCGCTTGTCCCTCGTACGAATTGGGAGCTGTTATCTTCCTGCGACGATGTTTTATCTGCTGAAGACGCAGACCACACACACGATGGGCATGTTGACTCCAGACACATCATCCAGGCTGAGCAGCCCTAGCCCCTGGAGGCATCCGCCTAGCTACCTCATCCGTGAGGAGGGGCCATGAGGGAATGGGATGTCTGACTGTGCTTTGCTGGTCAGGGACCTTGATCGGCATGTCCTGGCGTACACTTAGGCGATGTGCCTGCTTCGCAAGGTGGGATACATCTCGATCAATTGACTTGTATACTCGCCGATCCTCCGACTGGCGTTGACTCCTCGTCGATATCATAAACGCCGTCACTCATAGGATATATGTAGCGGGCAACAATGGGCGAAGTCGCCCTCCATGTCCTGTCCGGAGGCCACCACAGCAACCATGTTCTTTCCTTCTTGTATTGGTGATAGCAATTATGAAAAGCTCGGCACCTCGTCCCTTTTTACTTTCCATGTCCTCTTGACGAATTTCTCACCATCTCTGTGATGGTTTTTCCATCCACTCAGTCACTACTAGCACTGATCGCGTGACAAAACTCGCGCTTTCGCCAGTGCTCAAGTGAGAAGTGAATCCTGCCTGAAGCCTGAAGGGCACTGAAAGCATCAAGTCAACGCGGGCATGAGACCGGCCGTGTTCACAACTCACTTCTCAGAGCGATGGACACCTCGATCCAAGCTACCGCACCACGCACCGCCTAGCCTGTAGCTTCAGTGATCTATCTGATTTGTGACAAGGGGCTTTGTGTCCAGCCATGCTTTTCGCAAAAAGGAGCCTTCGAAAAGGGCACCTGACATGTGCGTGCAAGGCTGAAAGACTGAATTCGAAGCGTACCTGTCTTCTGATCTGAGTTGAAGGATACGATTGAGGAAGAGAGGGATACTGACGTTTCATTCTCGCGCTGGAGAGTGGGGAGAGAAAATAAAGGTCCTGACATGCGCTCTGTGTCTGTCATCCACAGTAACGAATCGTATGTGTTCCTGGAATATAAACCGAACAAATGCCATCCGATCTAGGCATGGCGGGTCAATGGACTGCTGAGGAAGGGAAAGAGAAGTAGGCTGGGCCCGGTCTATGGTTCACGGCCAGAGGCTCTCAAAAATCTTTTGAAAGACCGTCATGGTGATCCAGGAGCTCAGCTACGATGAAGCCACTCCTGATTCCTCGAGCGTTGGCTGAAATCATGGCAGAGACGTGAGCATAGCCACATCTTCTATGCGGATGAGTTCACACGCTCGAACTGTAGCATGTGACGAGTTAGCAGAGACATGGACGAGTAAGGTAGGCTCCCTCTCCCTCTCTCTGTGTCTTTATCTCTTCGGTCTCTTTTCAAAGAATTCGGCCACCATACTTTCCTCTTGAACAGCATCCCATGCTCGCCCCTTCTGTCCCCGGCGCCAAATGTCATTTTAATCAGTCTTCCAAATCAACCTTCCATTTCCTAAAGGTCTGAGTCGTCTCCATGACAGTATTGTTGGCCAGGCGTGGCTCCAAGAACATGCCCTCGGAACACGCCATATTGTCCAATCCTCAAGCAAACGGCCAACTCAACGCCCTGCTTGCAATTCCGACCATGATTTCCAAATTCATCCCATTTAATCCCTTGTAGCCTGCGCACCCGCCCACCCCTGTCAATAGCCTCTCTCCCCAAGTGTGTTGAAGCGAGACGGTAGCAACTCTAGCCCAGTGATCTGCAAACATCACGAGATAAAACGAGTATTACAGCCATTCATTCCCCAACAACCAACACCGTCAAAGCCACCAATCCAAGTCTACTTTCCACTCGTGAACTTTATGGGGTCCTGACAAGGTTTGATTTCCCTCCTTTCCCACCGTTCTGGGTGTCCTCATTTGATTATAAGTCTAAACATCCTGTTCCTAGGCAGGCTATGTATGCCTCTTGCGACCTTACTAGACGAACGGACTGGGTGAAGTCAAAAGGTGGTTTGTTAGACAATGTAGAAGTCGTAGAAGTTGATGATTGGTATTGAGGTGTTCTATATGTGTATATTTATCTTACCCGAGAGGGATTTTCGAACTGCCTGTCTGGACCTTCACCGCCATCCCAGTCACCCAAAACCAACCAACCATCTATTCATCCATCCACGCTCGCCTTTTATGCTTGAAAGGAGGTTGGGGAAGGCAACCGCCTTTCGTTGAGACCACCGCAGACGCCCAAACACCAAACCTGGCAATAATTGATCGGAAGAAGAATGAGACACGCTCGTGTCATATATTCATGCATGAACAGCTTCGTTAAAACCCAATTTAGATTTCCTCCCATTGTGCGTCTGGATCTACCCAAAGACCTTCAGGAACCCCCAGATGCCCAGCCCGCTCAGGACCGGGATTGTCAGGTTGTCATCCCACCCAAAAACATCAACGACCTCACTTACCGCAGCGGCGAAGCCCGACCAAAGGCTCATCAGCCCCAGGGCCACGCCGCCGGACACGGTGGCCAGGGAGCTGTCCAGACCGACAGCAGACGCGACGGCGTGAGGTAGGCCCAGCGTCCCCTTGAACATGAAGCCCTCATCGCCAGGCATGGGTCCAATGGTAGGGACGAGCCAGCCCCAGAAGCCCCAGGCGGTGACGACGCCGACGACGAAGGCGGCAGCAGAGCCGGCGAGCGACTTGCCGCGGCGGATACGTGGGGTGTAGCGGCCGTAGAGGCGGCCGAAGGTGCTGGCGGCGGTGTCGCACCAGCTGAGCAGGAGGACGGCCATGACGCCGACGTCCTTGGGGAGGCCGCCGAGGGCGAGCAGGGCGCCCAGCAGGTAGAAGACGACACCGTTCCAGCCGGAAACCTCGCTCTCACGCATGAAGGCGCCGAGGACGCGCGTATAGAAGCGGTTGAAGGCCGGGTTGACGTGCCGTATGTAGTCGGCCGTTGCGATGGGCGCCAGGGCCCCCGCCAGCCAGGGCGTCACGGACGTGGTCTGAGTGCCCGACGCGTACAGCCACAGCACCAGGAAGCCGATGGACAGGTGAAGCAGCTTGCGCGGCACCTCGTGCTTGTGCACAAAGGTCCGCCAGTGCCGGTGGATGGGGATCAGCCCCAGCGGGCTCGGGCTTCGGCTGAAGTCACGCCAGCTCCATCCTGGCGTCTGGGCCGAGTTGGGAGACAGGTGTCCGTTGGTGTTGCCATTGGCATCGTGGGAGGCCTTGCCGTTGGCGTTGCCGTTTGGCAGGTCCTCCGGCGTGGTGGCTAGCAGGGTCTTTTCCGTGTTGATGGCCGTTAGGCCGTTCACTTTGCCCGTGCCCAGTGGGCTCCTGCTCCTTGTGCGTGACCTCCGCAGTCCGTCTCGTGTGTTGTCCTCGCTCGGGCTCTCTGGGACGGACTGGGGCGTGGCGAGCCTCCTCCTTCTCGCAGCGGACCTGGTGGTGGGGCCAAAGTAGGCATCTTGTGAGGATTCGCGGTCGGAGGGCGTGGGGCTCGGCGAGATGACGCGCGGAGTGGCCGGGATGACGGGCTTGGTGCGGAAGGACATGATGTCGGAGGGGAAGGGCGGCAGGGCGGGGAGGGCCACGGTGCCGGAGAAGAGAGGGCGGAAGAGATACAGGCGGTCGAAAGGCCAGAACAAAGGAAAGAGAGGAGAGGTGGAGTGGAGATGTAGTTCGAGGTGCCGGTCCCTTCTAGACTGGCGGGCGGCGTCGTCGGAAGCTGCGGCGTGGTGTTGGCGGTGGAGCAGGGCCGCTACACCTTGCATAGGATCCAGGGTGAGATGAATGTTTGATGCGGCTGAGCGTCGTGACTCGGCCGCATGTTTGCTGAGCAGAGCAGGCAGAGCAGAGGGAGTGGGCTTCTGATATAGAAGCAGGGCAGGGCAGGGGGGGGGGGCAGCACAAGCCTTGGGTGCAAGGGGAACAATTAAAAATAAGACGAGTAATCAGCGGTTGTGCCGGAGAGGCGGCCTCACAGAAGGGCCCGATGTGTGTGGGTGTGTGTGTGTGTGTGTGCCTGTGTGTTGGACAGGAACATTCGAACCCACAAGAATACTGGAGTCGGTAGACAAGTCGACAGTCGACAGTCGGGCGACAGACCACGGCAGAAGGTCGACTACTGTTAGACCGGTCTCCGTCACTCGATCAAGGTTTTGGAGACGGAGATGGGAGGGAATGACGCTCCGTTCCGTCCGTCTCTCTGCTCTGTGCGCTGCACTCTCTCTCTTTCTCTCTGCCATGGCCTGTGCACGCGACCACTGAAGAAAAAACGAGACCAGGGTACCAGCCTAGCCCAGACAGTCACTCAGTCGCAGGCAGGCAGGCAAAGATTGGACGGATTACAGGCATGTGACGGACCATTGCTTCTTTCAACCACCGTACTGCTTCTTCTTTTCACCTTTGCGTCTGTCAGTGATGACCACTTGAGATACTGTGTAAATGAGTATCTGAACTGAGATATGGCATGTCTAGTCGGCCGGTTTCTTGCTTGTTGAGTAGAGTACAGTATCGCGACGGTATCTATTCACAGACTCGGCTGAGGCATGACTTTGCCCACTGGCGGGCAGTTCGTCTTACCCGCAGTGCCGCCCGCCACTTGCAGTTGACTTCTATTCCAACGGTTTTGCACCCACTTGTCATGCTAAACATAGTTTCTCAGTATACAGATTAGCTTTGGGTGGAATGAGATGTTCTGCGCCATCGGTTGCAGACTCGGCCTCAGCGGTAAAATCTTCCGCTGGGTCTGATGGGTCAGATGGGTGAGCCAGACAACCCACGTACAGCAGGTTTGGAGCGAAGACTGTTTCGGCTTCATTCCTGCGTGAGATGTCGGCCTCTTGTGCCAGTGCAAGAAACATGCGGTGTACCATGGATCTGATGTCACATCGCTTTTCTTGCTGGAACAGTGTAGTGCTCAGAGAACCCAATCACAGAGCCAGCCCGTACAGAAAACCTGATCATCAGATTGACTGGCTGGATGACCTCATGAGCCAAACACATCTCCCCCAGTGCCCTGACGACTTCTCACCAGTAGATTACGTTAATCTAGATGGTCTGCTTGTTTTCCCTGCCGCCCACCATCAAGACAAACATGATCCCCGATCCGATCCCCGATCGCTTGGGGCAGCCGGCGTTTCCGATGCTGGGCATGCGGCATGCTGGGTACCTAGGAAGGGTCCTCGGCCGATAAGATAAGATAGCGATAACCTTAATTATTTTTCTGGTTGTGTCGCATTGGCAAGCGTCAAAGTCAAGCCTCTGCGCCAATGAAGCAGATTTGGACTTGGGACTGCGATTGAACTTTGGCGGCCAACTTCTCAAAACAACCATCCCAGATGCACTTGCGACTGTTTCTGTCTTGAAAATAGAGAGGGCAGCCAGTCGCAACAACCAACTAGCAGCTTCCGACCGACAAGCCACCTCTACCCCACACCACCACTACGTCCTGTCCAACCCGCGATGGCTGGGAAGACGGCATCAAAGGACAAAAAGGATGCCCGCGCATGGGAGGGGCTGACCCCGCCTCTCGCCGAATGGATTCTCGACGCCATCAAGAGCAACGGCTGGGGCGCACGCATGACCCCGGTGCAGGCAGCCACCATCCCACTCTTCAGGAGGAACACCGACGTCGTCGTCGAGGCCGTCACTGGTAGCGGCAAGACCCTCGCCTTCCTTATCCCCGTCATCGACAAGATTCTGCGCTCAGACGAGTCGCGGAAACTTCACAACGTCACCGGTGTCATCGTCAGCCCAACCAGGGAGCTGGCCACCCAGATATACGACGTCCTCACCAACCAGGTCCTACCTTTCCACCAGCCCTCCGCCGACCTCCTCCCAGTCCTCAAAGACGACGATGACAAGCGATCCGCAAGCACCGAGCCCGTGGTTATCCCCCAGCTGCTAGTGGCTGGCACGACAAAGCCACGCGCCGACCTTTCCTACTTCGTTCGAAAATCACCCAACCTCCTCATCGCGACACCCGGTCGTCTCGCCGAGCTGCTGTCCTCCCCCCTTGTCAAGACGTCGAATTTGGAAGTGTTAGTCTTGGATGAGGCGGATAGACTACTAGATCTGGGCTTCAAGGAGCAGCTGAATACTATTCTTGGCTACCTGCCGAAACAGAGGAGGACTGGGCTGTTCAGCGCATCGATGAGCGAGGCTGTCTCAGAGCTGATCAGGGCCGGCCTCCGCAATCCGCAGAGGATCGTCGTCACTGTTAAGAACTTGAAAGACGGGGGCATCATCGAAGAGAGGAAAACACCCGCCTCGTTACAGATGAACTACCTCATTATCAAAGCGTCCCACAAGTTCCTCGCTTTCGGGCAGCTGCTAGAGAAACTCAACCCTCGCCCCCAGAAGACCATCCTCTTCCTAAACACATGCGACTCAGTCAAGTATTTCTTCAAGGTCTTCCCAGCGATAATGCCCCCAGGGTTCACATTGCTCCGCCTACACGGGAAGCTCGACCCCTCGACCAGAGAGAAAAACTTCAACCAGTTTCTTACCTCATCATCGCCAACCGTCCTCCTCTGCACAGACGTCGCAGCTCGCGGTCTCGATATCCCCCAAGTCGACTTGGTCGTCCAGGACCCGCCTCAGGACCCAAAGACCTACATTCACCGCGCGGGCCGCGCAGGCCGCGCAGGCAGGCGCGGCCTCGCGGTCGTCATGCTCCAGCCCGGCAGGGAGGAGGACTACGTGCCGTTCCTGGAGATCCGCAAGACGCCGGCGCAGCCCCTGACGCAGCCCAGGATCACCGTGACGGACGAGGAGGCCGAGGCGGCGTCGGCGCGCATCCGCGCCATGGCGCTGGCGGACCGCGAGGTACTGGACCTCTCGTTCCGGGCGTTCCCCAGCTTCGTGCGCAGCTACGGCGAGCACCGGGCGGCGTCCATCTTCCGCGTCGCGGACCTGGACTGGCCGGACCTGGCGCGGCAGTACGGGCTGGTGGCGCTGCCGCGCATGGCGGAGCTGCGGCGGGTCGAGGGGCTAGACCGCGGGCTGGGGCTCGGCATCGATGTCGCGGCCATCCCGTACAAGGATGCTGCCAAGGAGAAGAAGCGCCAGGCCGCACTGGCCGAGCGCCAGGCCGCCGTCGAGAGCGGCGAGGCCGCGGCCGCGGTGGAGAAGCGCGCTGAGCAGAGGCGCAAGAACGCGCCGTGGAGTGGCAAGGTCGAGAAAGAGGAGACGAGGACGCGTCGGCGGGAGAGGAAGGAGAAGAAGAGAGAAGCTGCGAGGCTCGCGGGCCTCACGGACAAGGAGAAGGAGGAGCAGAAGGCGCTGGAGGAGATGCTCGCCAAGGTCAGGGCGCAAGTGAGAGCGGAGACTGGTGGGACTGGCAAGAGCAAGAATGAGGACTCCTTTGAGGGCTTTGACGATTAAAGAAGGTGTGGTTTGAGTTAGTTGGAGGGTGGAAAAGGGATGCTGGGAAACAGCAATCGACGTGTGCGTCGAAGCATCTACAGATATGCATCTACATGTGAATCCCGAAGGTTCACTCAATACTAATGAGGAAGACCACAACATCAAACTAAGCCTTAACGCAAATGCCACCTGTGAATGGTGAGCTTTCTAGGGAGAAGCCTTGACTGCCGAGGATCAGCTGTACAGGGAGATGCAATGTTCAAGAACAACTTTGAACCTGCGGATTTTTCAGCAAGGTTGATTAATTCGGTCGAATAGACATGGCTGCTGGAGCTGTGATGTTTGCCCCTTGTGCCATAGTGCCATCTCACGATTCAAGACAGTCTATCCGAAGGCTGATCCGTCCGGTCGCCAGTCTTTATATGAAAGAATGCTACTGGATTGGTACATGCAAATAAATGCGATGTTCCTAGTATGTGCCTTTCCTTCCGGCATCTTTGAAGCCCCCCCCCCCTCCCCCCTCCCCCCCACCATTTTCCAGTTCCACTAACATTCGCATTGGTCTCTGATGGATTTGCGAGCGGTTGTGGACCATCAAACCAAGAGTGAAGCTCGGAAGTCGCTTGAGACTTATCTCACAAGGCTCCGACCTGACTAGACCAACAAACCCTTTCGCGGTTGTGAGGAATTGAAGACTCTCTCTTGGACATAGTCTCGCCGTAGTCGATGGATGCGCACGCATCTTTGGTATTCGTGTTGCCCCATGCAAGCACCCACGAAGATCGAAGATGTCGATCGAATATGCGGAGCTTCTCTGCGACGGTAAATGCAAAAGATCTTTTGCATCCGGAGCTGAATTTTCCAGGAACCATCCATGTTTCAGACTTCCTCGCCACCATGGTCATTCTTCCAAGAGCCAGCATAGTGGTGGGTAACCAGCGATGGACCCACGACGTCCGTCTTATCATAGTGGTTGGTTGACGAAGCAAACGAATATCCGGGCAGGATCAAGACATCCGCAACCTGCTTCGGCTCCCTGATGAACCAAGTGCTCTCCTCGATCGGGTCGAACTCGTCATCTGTCACGTTGAGCTTCTGCTGCAGGGTCTGGAACACACTGCGGGTCAGCCGCCTGGGCCCGGTGAAATCGACAACGTCCCCGACCATCGGCAGCGTCACGTTTGCGATCGCGACGCCGTTCTTGGAAGCGACCTCGTGCAGGCTGCCAAGGATGCCGTCGATGGCGGCCAGCATATGGGGCAGGCCCGGCTTCGCCAGGATCATCCAGCTGTTGAGTTGGTGTAGGATGTTCTTGCCCCAGCCGACGTCGAACTCCCAGCCGACGACGAGGGAGGTTGCGCCCTTGTACTGCGCGGGGATCCAGTCGTCTATGGGCGTGTCCTCGCACGAGACGTCGAGGTCGGACCAGATGCCGCCCTCGGCGTAGAGGAGGAGATAGCGGAGGAAGTCCGCCTTCAGGATTGGCACGGTAAGGTTGAGGTAGCTCTCCACGATGTCCGGGCGCGAAGTGAAACTCTTCTGAACCCACGCATCTGCAGTTTCATCTGTGAGGAACTCAGTCCGGTAGCCGGGGTTCTTCTCGATGCAGCTGTTTGTCCAATTCCGGGCGTTTTCGCTGAGTCCTTTGGGGCCAAGTTTGTACCATATTGTCTTTGGAATTGTAGGCGGTAACGTTGATGGCGTAGACTGAAATAAGAATTGTGGAGAGAGTATCCAAGACTGGTATAAGAACAGGCAGAGGATGCACGCGGCAACGCATGCAACGAGCCTGCGCTGCAACACAGACAAAGACTGGTGGGAGGGGATCATGATCGCTCGAGACAACTATTGAATGTTGTCTGAGCTGATGATGTGAAGTTGAGATCAGGGGTTCAAGGACAGATACTTTTGCGACAGAGGGTTTTCATGCGCCGTCGGTGCCGGGTATGTGTTCCATGTATCGAGTACGACAGGGTCAGCCTTGGAAGTGAGTGGCCCGTTTCAAACCTTAAAAAAGTTCGGATCGATGAACATAGTTAGAGTAATTCGAACTAAGGTGACCGGCTCCCTGGATCGCCAAATTAAATTGCTGAAAGTGGGTTCGCAAACATGCATGTCCGTTTGTAGGGGATGCCGCAATTTTAGCTCGTCATCAAGCTTGAAATATTCGCATTCACAAGAAACCAACATCAAGCACGGACATGAGAGTCTCGTTAGTACTAAACCTAACAGCGTCTGTAGAGGGCTAGCCACGAGCAGCTCAAACGGTGGGTATTTTTCATCTTAAGATACGTGAGTCTGCCACCTTAGTGTGGGCACATAGGGATACAGCTTTCTGCTCAGTGCGAACTTAATTTGAGTTTGTTTGTGCGCTTGTCCCAGCAGAAATATATAAATTTTCGCATTAATTGAATCATTAACTAAAAACTGCAATCAACAACATGAAATGAAATTCAATCATTAAGAACGACGAAGCAAAGTATTTAAATAAGTTTATTAAAAAAAATCATTTTGTGTCCATGCCAGTGAACTGCGCAGAGAGCATGGGTCTTGAGTTCCTTGTCTTCCATCTCACAAGGTTCCAATCTGTGTGCTTACAGCGGCATGCCCACTCAACTTGTTTACAATTCTGTTCCGGCGCTAGGCAGACAGATTCCTTTGTAAACGGAGGATTTGATCAACATAAGCAAGCAAGTCTCTCTTTGTCACACGTGAATCGATTGTGACTGGACCCAGACGGTGTAAACCACGCCGACATAACGATCTACGGCCAAGACAAACAATGGGATTCCGGGCTGCTTATTGTAGCTCGAATAGGAATTGAGTGTCTCTCAATAGTAATATGTTTTGTCAGATTATTTGTCTGATATAGGCACGCAAATCCTTTAATCCTATGCCTCACATACGAGCAGGCAGAACTCATCAGCTATGACCTCACTTGATACACTGCCCCAGTGATGTTCGGAGCAACATCGCCACAAACCTTTGAGGCGTGAGGGCTCGAGGGACTATAAAGCCGTCCGGTATATGTCACTACGAAAGAGAGAATAAAAAGTAAAACGACAATTTCCTTTGCACCACTTCGACCAGATCAAATAATCCAAAGACTGATTATATCATTCAATCGATAAAGTGAATTTCTACATAACAATGAAGACCTCGACCCTCTTTCTGGCGTTGACTGGATCGGCTCTGGGAGCTCCTCCGGTTGCTGTCAAATCCGATAGCCTGGACAGCCGACAACTCGGAGATATCGGGTGGAACATTTACATGGGCAGCTGGCATGGTGAGGGCGTTGTATGTTGCTCCCGTTCTTTATTTGATCATCTCAGCCACCGCGCTGCTGAGATATGAGGCTCGATCCCAAGAGCCATGAAGCCTGCAGATTTGTGTTTCTTTTGGTGCTTCTGGCTGACTCTCGCTCTGTTAGTGCGCTGGTGTACCAGCTACTTGCGATTATAAAAACACCTGGGTACTCGGTAACAACGTGGATGACATCTGTAGTCGGGCGGGAACTGGCTCACCATTTCCTTATCCTGCTGATGATGTGGTCTACTGCGACATTGAATTTGGCGATCGCGGGTTTTGCGACGACCACATATTTAAAATTGTCAAGGGCAAGGATGGTGATTGGTACGTCTATTTTCGATTAAGTTGTTCCGAATGCATGGTTTCAAGATGGCTGTCCCAGTTTTCGAAACAGTTTTTAAGTCATGACCGAATTTGGAAGAACATGGCACTGATTCTAGCCTGCTAGCTCTCCTAACGGCAGTAACCCCGACAAGCGATACGGTGTTCTCGTTGACGTGACCAACAATAATGAGGAAGTCGGTTTGTGTAATAAGGATACTGAGCCTGTGAGGGGAACAAGCTGCCCCGATCCGGCTGGTTCTCGAGCATACTATAGTCTCTTGACTTGCACAGTCGACTATAAGAAGGGTCGGTGCGGTGCCTAAGTCTATGGGAAGGTCTGGGTTTGGGTTAATTAACAATCTCAGCTGGTTTGTACGGATACAAATTATAAAATGAGAATATTATTGATTATTTTCTGAATTACTATTCGAAATATTATCATAATTTGACGTCCTGTATTAAGCTAGACGTACATTCGTAGCTTCTTTAACCAGAGACAGTGGGCTTAAGTCAGTAAGAAAGGAGGCAAAATACGCTGACAGAACACTTCAATTATACTCTATTATATTATTAATGAACGTTAACTAAATTCCTGTCAGCTAAGCATTTATGTTTCACAATGGGTATCTCCAGCTGCTCAATTGAATGTCTCCGAACAGCGACTGTTAGTAATCTGTGTGACATTTGGCCTCCTGCTGTACAAGCATATGCGTGCACGTGGGTGCAGGGTTGCTTACTTCAAACGTATCTATATCATCTGGTCTGCTCACCCTACATCCACTCCCGGTCCGTCTGACCATAATTTCGACATGTCTGATCTAGACCGGGCAACTGCAACTCTCGCGCTTGGTGACGGGGACGAGATATGTGAGTGGTACCGCCGCCCTGTCATCGGCGGGGATGCGTACCCCCGCCTTCAAGGAGGCAGGGGCGTCCTGGAGTCTGGGCTATGCGGAGAGTGCGCATCTCTAACCCAAGCGATGCTGGGTGCGCGACCGGATACCTCCTTAAGTCACAATGGACAAGGAGACGTCGTTGGCGTATCTGTCACACGCATAATTCTCGATGAAGGGTACACATTCCAAAAACCCTACAGCCAGTTACGCGACGATGCGGACTTCTGCGCGCTCTGTCAGACCATTGAAGACTCGGTGATTTTTACCCAGAGATACACAGTTGGGCATGATCCTACTCAGATTCCGCCGGGCAATCATTTGTATCTGGAGCCTGTCAAATCCGATAATGATATGGTTGGATTCCTTGTGAGAGTCGTCGAAGACGAGAACACGCGCGAGACCGATTCTGAGACAAGTTCTTCCGACGCCTCCGAGGGAGGTTTCAAGAGCAATCCAACGTGGAAAGGATTTCTAGAAGTCGAAGTCTGGGAGACTGGTATTTCGATCTCAAATAGGAATGAAGGCTCTACTTGCTGATTTGTATCATGCAGAGGCTGTCCGAACGTTTGATAATTCATCATCGTTTGATGCGATCAAGGGACGCGAAGCTGTTAACACCCCGGTTTCTAGCTTTCGAAAGGCTGTACCTTGGCGGGACATGACACAGATGCTTCATTCGTGGTTACGAGACTGCGACTCCATCCACGGTGTTTGCCGAGACCACAAGAACTCACATCGAAGCTCAATGGATGTCGACACGTCAGCGTCTCCGACCAGGCTTTTAGAAATCCAGCAAGTCAACGGGCGGTTTCACGTCCGTCTTGTTGCAGGCACCGGAAACAGAACAAGATACACTGCACTGAGCCATCGATGGGGAGATTACAGAGCCAGCCGGACCACCACAACCAACATTGAACAATACCGGAATGGCATCAAGCTTGATTCCCTACCGCTCACGCTCCGACAAGCTGTACAGATCACACACGCAGCGGGAGTGCGTCATCTCTGGGTTGATTGCCTGTGTATCATTCAGAATGATGACAATGACTGGGCACAAGAGGCGCCCAAGATGGTAAGATTTCTGTCTGGGGGCACACTCTTATTCCTGGGTAGGCTTGTTTGTGGCCTTCGAGGCTAATCTTGGAATATCACAGGGCAGCATATATGCCAGTGCATATTTCACAATTGCTGCATCTGCGTTTGAGGACGCGGGGTGCTTTCCACTCAAGTTTTCAGAAGACCACCGCGTCACGATAGACGTTCATCCCGGGTTTGAGCTGAAGATCTCTCCCCGGAGCTCTGACTTTAACACATGGGGGATCGAGCACGAGCCTCTTCAGAAGCGAGGGTGGACTCTCCAGGAAAGGTTGCTATCTCAGCGCATCCTTTACTGTTCGCGGTATGAATACTACTGGGTGTGTAGAGAGCAGCGCCTCCGCGCATGGGGCGACCCAGGCGATTGGTTCGAGTATGGGTCGGTCATGCCAGCAATCGAGAAGCATGGCTCACCCCTGCTGCTATCCTACTCCCCGCAAAGTCGAAAAGCCGCCTTAATCCAGTGGTATATGTTGCTATTCGACTACTCAAATCGTCAGCTGACGCTAGAGAAAGACAAACTTATCGCCATCAATGGCCTGGTCGACATCTTTCAGCGCTGGATCGGGTCGAGGTACCTGCATGGGCTTTGGGAATGCGACCTCGCGTGCGGCCTGGTCTGGTACCCGGGCAGTCACTGGTCCAACAGCTTTTCAGACTCCTCGGACTCGGAACTTGAAATCAAGACGTTCGGGCCCGACAAGTCCCGGTTCTGGCGCATATGTCCTACAAGGGCCCCTTCTTGGTCTTGGGCGAGTGCGGACGGCTTCCAGGAGCATTTCGGGGCCGAGCTCAACTGGCTGGCTGACGCTCTGGGGAAGCCACTGAGCGAATTAACCTACGTGAAGGCCACGATCGCGAGCGACGACGAGCACAGATCTTACCTGGGTGGTGAATTATCCGCAGAACCTCAGGTACTCAAGATCAGTGGGCGGTTGAGCAAAGCCTTCTACGGCTATGAAGATGCAGAAGAGCAAGACAGCCGCGTCTGGCAGCTAGACCGAGAAGGTGGTCCCAAAGTCTTCGACTTTATTGCCGACGATCCTAATTTCGATTCTGACGAGCATATTGCAGATGCAGAGAGCTCTAGACTGTATATCTTGCCCATTAGTGCTCACATGGGGCTGGTCATCACGCCGGCGAGTGAGGTTAACGTGCCGCTCTATCGGAGAGTCGGCATATCCAATTTCATGATTCCACTTCTTGAACAGCTTACTAGAGACAAGGGCGAGGGTTCAACAGCTAGAACCTCTGGTGATGGCACAGAATATGCCACTGTACAGACGAACGACAGGATCATCGAGGCACTGGGCTCCGCAAACAAGACTGATATAGGGGCTCTTGACGAGGACGCCGATGCTGCATTGTATACTGAGGGTGAATCAAGCAGTAAGAAGATTTTAACCAAGACTGAAGGCACAGCAGACTCCCGGGGACGTAGCTATTTGTATTGGGAAAAGTTTGCAGATGAGTGCCAGTGGCTCGGGGAGACGGGGGCCAGTGAAACTATCTTCCTGTGCTGAGACTCAAACTTTAACAGATTCAGCGGCTCCGTTAGTAACGGGGATCGCGGAGAACCAGCTGATTTAATCACTTCAATTTGAAATTATCCAGGCCTGCCGCATATCAAAGGCCAACTAGAAAAGTAAACAGAGACACCATAGAAAGGATGGATGATAGATGGGTAAGTCACTTATAAGAGCTAGCACTCCTGTGTCTGATGCGCCACGCATATCCCATCTCGCTCGTGAAGTAGGTAGAGAGTGCTGAGTAAGACTTCTCGTGGTATCTAGGTCATACCGAATTGTATGTGAATTCTCACAACTTTCCAATCGCAAGCTCGCCGCAAAGGTACAGGATGGTCGACTCATATTTGCCTACTACCCACCTAGGTCCCTCATTTGGGGGAGGGGGTGGGGCTGATATACATTGGTACATGAATGCAACGAGAATTCTATCATCAAGCTCCCTAGAAGAACCACCTATCTGGAGCAACTAGGTAAGTTTGGCGGGTACGTTAGTCATCAATAGTAAACCCTGTAGACTGGCCATTTCTGCGAGGAAATGTTCCAACTTCCGGCGCTTAGCCAGCTGCGGCCCGGACTGCTTGACGAGAATCAAGGACAGGATTGCGAGTGACAAGAGCGTGTGTGTTCAAGAAAAGTTCGGGAGTAATCATGAAGAAGGTCGGAGCCATGACCGCCAACTCCTTACGAGCTACTTAGGCCTTTTATGCAATAAACGTGAGTCCGTGACTGACTGTGCAACTGCTGAGATGTTGTTCAAAGATATCCTGGTATCTCTCAGTTGTAAATATGGTCGGTAAAGCTACTACATATTCCAGCTACAGCTGAAGTGATATTGACCCGTTCCTCTTTTGGGCAAAAGCTGCTGATTGCCTGGCTGTGACGACCACACCCGCGTTTACGTTTGCAAGCTGACAACCTCATTATGCCGCAAGGATATCGAACGTAATCCACTCTCGCGTTTTGCATTACTCGTTTGTTCGATGCGAGAAGCACACGGTTACAGACATTTGAGGGTTAAATGAAGTTATGGCGGAACGACTGGAGATGGCAAGGAAAGGAAGCACAAACATGCTTCACAAGAAGCAGAGCCAGGATTTGCATGATTCGGGGTGAAGGGCTGAACATGCTCTATGAGGAATCGCAATGGAGAATCCTCAGGGTGAAAGATAGGACTTGGGAGATGTAGGCGAGTTGTGGCATTTTTCTTTTCTCTTTCTGTGGCATATCATCCTCTCACTGAAGGATAATGTCTTCTACCTTTAGTCCCCAATTCGTCCATCCTTCAAGGTCACAGAGCTCATGCCAGTTCTTCCAACTGGATAGAAAATGCAAACCCTTCAGAACCCCCTTTTCGTTCAACTGCTTGCTGACAACGAAAGCGGGACCGATCAATTTGTAGCGGTCATCCTCCCCAGGGACTCTGCGGAGGATGAGCGGCGTCTGTACCCCAAAGATGAAAGCGCAGACGTCGCTTGTTTCAATGGTCCATGGGCCGAGTCCATAATACCCTCTCTCGAGCATGAAAAGACGCGCATTGACGGCAGTGAACATCAAATTTGAATGGCAAAATTGTACCCCAGCAGATACTTGGCAGCTCTGTGAAGACCTTGAAACTTGCACGCTGTTCTGAAGAAGCCGTGAGTACGACTTCAGGGAGTCATCCCAATCTTCCTGGGAAGGTCCTGAAAAGGTTCCGAAAGACAAGGCCTGGAGGAAAGCCAGACTTCATGAAAGGCGTCAGACTCTTCTCGTCCTGAGGCGCGGGGAACTCCTTCCGAAGCAAGCGACCATACCCTGGTCAAGTCCTCAGCTGTCGAATGTTGCATAAACCGCTGCGAAACAAATCCGACCAAACCGAAGACGACAGCTCGAACCTTTAATAAAACTGGGGCAAGGTCATTTTTGTGCACAATCGCAAAGTCGGCCGAGTCTGCAGAATCAGAGCCGAATCGATAGCCCTGACCAATGATACGAACAGAAGTTACCCAGTTCCGATGATCCCATCGTGGAACCCATGAGCTCTCCAGGCTGTCAGGCCCCTGCCCATCGTCCACCTCATGTGTCACATAACATAGGATATTCAAGTCTGAAGTATGTTCCAGATACTTCACGGCGAAGTCTCGATAAAGCCTCAAGTGTGATTGCTCATAGTCAGGACGAAGAGCAGGCATAGGGTTCTTGACAAATGGTAGGGCCATGAATGCGTAGATCCTATCTCTTGGATCACCAAGGCCCAGATTCCTAGCACCATCCAAAGTCTCTAGAATGTCCATGTCTTCCATTAGGCACTCCGAGTCGTAAAAAACCCTAGCCTCTGCCCTTCGTTGATGAACGAGCGTCTGCCGCACGAGTTTGGTAATCCACCAGCTGACATGGTTTGAAGTCCCCGCTAGTTCTCTCACGCGTCTGTTAAACCATAACTCGACTCTCATCAAGTCCAGCAATAGGATTTCGCAGCCGGCCCACAAGATACGCGCTTCACGTCCTAATGCTGCCTCTTGCACCACCCAACCGCGCCAGAACCAGGGAAGATCCACCATAATCTTGATTGACTGCCATCTCGAGTCTTTGACGAGCGGATCTTGAAAATTGGGCCAAGGGAAGCTGTTAAGTTCCCAAGAGAAGCCCGGACTTTGGAGGGCTTGTTGGATCATTGTATTAGCATCAGAAAGCACTTCAAAGGCGTCCCAAGCGTGGTCTCGATTGTCAGTGTCAGTCCCTAGGCAGATTAGGGTACACTGGGAAGAAGCATAAACGCGATCCATCACTGCGACTTGTTGTCCCTTTTCCTTCAAGTCGTTTTGATTAATGCATATCGAATCTGCCCACAAGGCTCGCGGCTGATCTGGCAGTCGGCATTGACGAAGAGCATCGTTCAAGTTGGCCGTAATCTGGTGGGCCATACCATTCAATAGGATGGCGTGATCCAACATATTTGAGCCCCATGCGTAGGAGATGGCCTCAAAGGGTCTGCCTGCGGTCCATCTGGGCAACTGGGCCGCCGGCGACGTCTTTCGTCGTTTGGGTGCTCTCTGGGCAGAATGGGGAGTTTGCTGACGATTATTAACATGAGTCGTTTCGAGGGTTCCAGACAATGGATCGTTGTCTTTGCCTGGGGCGAGAATGAGGATTCGAATGGAGTCTTGCTCCGGGAGTGGCTGATACTCATACATATTGGACAATTTGTTTCGAGAGGAACAATTTCAACAGGCGTAGTCTCGAAGTCAATCACTCTGTTTGTCGAAAAGAGCGAGCTATAAGGACCTCTGAGTGTGACTGTTGGCTGTATGCTGGGAGTGACTTGTAAGAGTTGAAGCTGATGAAGCGTGCCGAGATCTATTGGCACGTGCTAGTCTAGAAGTACAGAGTCGCCCAGATCGAGCTACAGGGCTGATCCAAATTCCTGTCTTTGCTAAGTAGATGAAAAGAGCAAGTGGCATCTGGAAGTTTCTGACTGACATGTAGATACCTAGTACGTCGTCAGCACGAGCCATTCTTTGACAAACAACTCTATCCTTCCCTGAGGCAATGCACGTAAGCTCGTGTCACTCGAGAACGCCCAATTCGGGTTTGACAGCATACTTTATTTAGTGACCGGTAATCTCAGCTCATGGCGCAGATGATATGGCTTGTAACGGGCATCTGTGTACTATCGAACAACAGAAGGGACTGCAGACCGCACGTGTGCACGTCAGGATCTGGCAGGAGCAAAATTTCCCGCAATCCACCCAGTGTTGATCATATTTCGACAGGCTTCAGTAGCGCCCAGCCATCTCGACTTGCCTATCTTCAAGAATGTTATCATCTTCATGCTGATGAGAGCCTTCACTATTGGCTTCTTGAAGGTCCTTTCCAGCTCTTTCTGATTGTTCAGCATTCACTTCTGCCACGATCGTCGCTGGACTGGTGAGAGTCTTCACTAGCGAGATTCCTTCCTAGAATTCATATTTTTGAGATCACCAACACCACTTTCAGTCTGTTTTGATGCATGCAATGTACGATGTTGGGGGAAGACTCTGCCATTTTTTTTATCGAGTTGCAATTCACATGCAAGTATGTTGTCGGCCTTGATGCCCTGACGAGCCCAAGTTTAACTTTTGGTGTCACACTCGACAAGTGTCTCCAAATTTAGCCATCTTAAGCTACCGACAACGCTCTCATGTTATAGGTAGTGCCAATCCCCCTCAGCCGTCTGGCTGCTCACCATTTCCTGCAAAGTTGACACTTAGCTATACCACACAGCATTCGCAGGCCCATTCTCAAGATCCAGGTGTGCAACTGCAGATGCGCTAGACGCATCATCGGCCATCTTCCAGACCTCGAGGAAGTTGGAGCCACTGTCGGGAATAACAAAGTACTCCTCGCTGAACCCAGAAGGGCCCACAGAGTTGGAAGAGCCACCGCTGTTAGTGGTGGGCAGCAGGAACAGCTGCTCCGTGATGGCTCCCGTGTCGGCATCCAGGGAAAAGGCAGAGACATAGCCCGGGATGTCTGTGGTCCGCGACCGGGTGGCGGCGTACAGGTACTTAGGCGAGGTGGAGTTCTTGCTCGAAACGATAACCTCATCAGCCCAGTAGGAAGATGAGTTGGTGAAGCCTGTTTGATGGGTTAATGAAATACAATCACACAGGGTATTTCCAGATATTGAGAGAGATCTTACCATCAGGCAGTAATGAATAAGTGGTGTTGGTGAAGGTCAACAACCCAGTGCTGTTGTCGCGGCTGTACACAGCGATGGAGCTGGCCGCCTCATAGACAACATATACCCACTTTCCATTGGGGTGGACAGCCAAGTGCCTAGGGTCGCTGCCGTCATCAGCGTCGAGGTGCTGGATCTCCTCGACCGTGCCCGCCGTTTCATCGACGGAATGGACCCAAACGCCATTACCCATATCATCTGCTGAATAGAAGAAGTCGCCGTCAGGGCTCACATCAGAGCCGTGGACACCGGCTGATGTGTCGTAGGTCGCATTCGCATATGTACTCTGTAGCGCGCCGTCCTCGTCGACAGAGATGGCAAGGCTAGCACATCCGGTGCTGTAGGCCGTGCCGAAGACAGTGTAAGGAGATACACTGGATGCTGCAATGTAATTGGCGTTGGAGCAGTCCGAGGACAGCGAGACGTTATTCTTATATGTGAGACTCAGATCATCTCCGATGGTGTAACCCTGGAAGTAGCCAGTGGTAGCCACGTATAGGTTTTGCTTCCGAGACTAGTCATTGAGCGTTAGCATTGAAATATGTCTTGAGAGCAGATAACGCCAAATCCGAAGCCTGAACATACGTCGAGGGTGATCCATTTCTGGCCGCTCGTGTTCGGAGCAGTGATGTTCTCGACGAGGGTCAATGCATTGGTCGAGTCGTCGAATTCGAGCCGCACCAAAGTGGTGCCAGCGAAGAAACCAGCATAGAGGGTGTGCGAGTCAGCGAGAGCACGCGCAGCACATGCTGCCAAAGTGACTGTGGAAGCACCACGCATGGTGTCTATTCAGAGGCTAAGGGAAAAAGAGTGTGGTATGTAATATTCTGTACAAAGTGGATTTAATGGAGTCTGAACTGCGCTATGCGTGCAAAATATGGCAAATAACCAGAATGGAAACGACTGCTTCTGGTAATTAAATGTTTCTGTCAGTGACACAATATAGTACTGGTCACTTGTCTCCTTTTTGCACATTGCGCAAAATATCCCCTATTATCCTCAATAACTCATGCTTCTGTACACCTGTTGCTGACGAATTAATTGCGTCCATGTTTGCGGCTTGGCGATCGTGCTGTTCCCCCACATCGCGGTCAAACGCAGGACCCAGTTCCTGTCCACGGTCCGCCTGTTGCAGCAAGTAGGGATCTGTCGAGTCCCAGAATCGCCGGCATTAGTGGCGCAGCCAATTAGAAACTTCCGCATTCTCTTGCTTTCTGGGCTCTCACAGGGCTATTTCTGCCGTTCCCGCTCCCGAACCCAAGGCCTCTCCCGCTTGCCGATCGGAATATCTGGGGTGAATGACTTAGCAGCGTAGGGCTGGGCTGCTGGTTTTACGAAATCGACGCGCGTCACTGGTCGTTTGTTTCAACGCTTCGCCCCTTTAAAACCAATCTGGGGAATAAGATTCAAGAGCACGGTATTGCCGCACCTATTTACATCACCGGAGGAGCCGGGTAGCTTTTTATGGTTATTCAATAAACGATTCACTTCAGTGAGCTATTCGCGGACTACAATCACCAAAGGACTCAAAAAGATAGGTCAGGCAGCCAGAGATACAACAGAAGCCATCTGTGTTATGCCATGCGCAATGGCTGAGATATGACGAAGGAGCAGATACTGCTGACGAAACATCTGGTTGGCAGAGAATGATGAGAGCGACCCTATATAGGCTCAGAGAGTGATTGTATGAGAGCAGTCCCTAGGCTATAATCATTATGACCAAGCACTGGATCAGGCATCAGGGGAACGACGGTGCGTGAATATTGAAAGTTCTGGATCTCCATAGAAGGCCCCTTGGTCTTAATTGCGACGAACACTGCCAGGGTCTCCTAGTGGATCATTCCCGGCTTGGACCAGACCAATGACCAATGCCCTGTGATGACTTCGTCAGCGAGTTTATCAAAGACAAGCTTTGGCCAAGACGACGCGTGGCCGCTAAACAATTATCCACACCCGTCTTTACCCACCCAGCAATATGACGAAGACTTCATGATCCACTACGCACCGCTTTATTCCTGACGTTTCGTTTTTTGGACTGTACTTCTATCGTTCTGCATCATTTTTGCTGCCCCCGAAAGCATCGCGTGCTGGTGACTTTCTCGAAATATTTCGGTGTTCTATACATGCACGCATGCAGTTTATTTCAAATGCAACGCTCAGATGGATTCGAAGACAAAGAGGATAATGATCGAAGAACTTCGGCCGGCCAAGTCCAGGAATTTGAGAACCAGAACACTAGACTTTGAATTTTTATTTTTGTTTCGTTCACCTGGCTGCTGTCCGGATGCTCCCTTTCCTGCAACTCAAGTGCTGCTTTGCCGACTAAATGCTTACTAACGAGAAACCAACAAGGAACCAACAAGCCAGAAACCATATGCTTATTGGGCTGACTATAGCAGTAAGCCGTAAAATAGTCTGACCATGGCTTATGAGATCAATGGAAAAGAGGCACGGCAATTTGCCCTCCTCTCGTTACTCAAATCTCAATTCTTCAAGCGGTTCACAATTCTGATCCATTGGTACCCGAAACATGACAGACTCAGTTGCAGACTACATAGTGGTAGGCGGTGGCCTGACTGGATGCCTCGTGGCTTCACGTCTTAGTCAGAGTGAAGCAAGACCCAAGGTAGTCCTGCTGGAAGCAGGAACGGACCCATCCAGCAACCCAGCTGCGGCGGGGCTCTTGAGCGGCCTGTCACTCCTCGGTGGCGAGCTTGATTATGCCTATCAAAGTGAGCGCGTCGAGAGCACGGCTGACCGCGTCCACACCCTCAACTCTGGCAAAGTCCTTGGTGGAGGCAGTATTCTCAACTTTGGAGGCTGGCTGCGTGCAGATGCCGCCGACTACGACGAATGGGCCGACAAAGTCGGTGACAAGCGCTGGAGTTACGAAGGACTCAAGCCCTGGTTCCGCAAGTCAGAGAGCTTTCACGGCGCAGGTGCCGACGCTGATGAGCATGGTTTCACCGGTCCTATGCACGTCACTACAATTCTTGCGTCTGAATCGGGAGAACGCAAATACCTGCTTCGCGAACCCGTAGAGAATGCCTGGACCGAACTTGGAGTTACTCCCAACCTGGATAAGAAAGGCGGTATCATCGCGGGCTTGACTGAAGTGTGCGAGAACTCTTCTCGCGAAGGTCTACGGCAGCCGTCGTATTCGACTTATCCGCTCAACAATGTTCGCGTATTCACTGAGACTGTTGTACACCGGGTCACATTTTCCGACACCATTGCCACTGGTGTGGAGCTGGCCGACGGCCGCAGGATTACGGCGCGGAAGGAGGTCATCGTCTGCGCAGGCGCGTACCGCACCCCTCAGATTCTTATGCTCTCAGGTATCGGTCCGTCTGCAATTCTTGCCGAACAAGATATTCCCATCGTGCACGAGTCGCCACACGTCGGCCAGAACCTCCACGATCACTTCGCCGTCTACTTCGCCTTCCGCTTGCGTGATCCTTCCAAAGGATACGCCCTCGGGAGTCCATCGTGGCGAAATCCCGCGCTGTTCAAGGGCCTCCCGTGGGACTGGGTGGTGAGCCAGCCTCTGCCAGAAGACATCATTACGAAGCACGAGCCCAACGCTGCAAAGCAGAAGAGGAACCTGTTCGAGGTGCTCACCCTCTACGCCCCTCCCGGCATCCCGGGCATCCCAGTTGACGGCACCCACATCGCCACATCGACGATGCTTCTCCTCCCCACCTCCCGCGGCACGGTGTCGATTCGGTCCAAAGACATAGCCGATCAGCCGTGCATCCGACCGAATTACTTCTCCACCCCACTAGACCGCGATACTCTCGTCTATGCCGCCCGCCAGACCCTGAAGGCCATGTTGGCAACCACCTCGATGAAGAGCATCGTCGACAGCGAGACTCCACCGTCCGGAGAAGGCCTGGAGGGCTTGGTGCCTCTCATGCCCGATGCCAGTGACGCCGAAATCGAGGAGAGAATCCAACGTACAGCAACGCAGCACCATCACTCAGGTGGGACCGCAGCTATGGGCAAAGTCGTTGACGCGGAGGGGAAGGTGATCGGTGTCAAGGGCTTGAGGGTTGCTGATGCAAGCATCATTCCGATGCCTATGGGCGGACACCCGCAGGCTACTCTCTATGCTATGGCTGAACAGATTGTGGCTATGATCATTGAGGATGCTTGAAATCAGGAGAGAACGAAGATGAGAGGGTAAGGCTGGGGCATGCATTGAATGCTCTGCTAATCGACCGCCCCACAACTGAGACTGACATTCACTTGGGTGCGAAATTGTTATCTTCTTGAGGCCTGGACCTCAATCTTTACATGAATTATTGGAACAACACCGCTACAGCACTAAAAGAAAATAGCGAAACCATCATTGTAGAGCCCTCTGTGGCTTACTTAATTCCCTGTACAGGTCATTCAACAGGAAAGTACTGTACAGGACATTATCACAAAAGAGGTAACCCTGAGAGAGGCTATACCTACGGATTGTTAACCCACGTAAGGCTGTTCTATAGCTGGTTATCCTATAATAAAATCTGTCTATTTCTTTCACAAGTCCCCTTGTTATTGTATTTATCTATTACATAGATAATGTGACCGCGAAGCGGACTCCCGCGCCCAAGCTGATGTTTTGACAAATTCGAAAGCTGCCTGGTTGCCTGGGTTTTCCGTTGTACTATGCTGTTGTCTTGGCTAAGTCTGTCCTCCGCACTGGCCCCATAGACACAGAATGATTCTAGTTCAATGGTGTTTCAGCATGAGTTGGCATCAATACAAATATGAGATGATTATACAATGGCTGTAGACAAAGAATGTGAACAGGGTTCTTGACCGCTGAATGTGTTATCATGCAGTTGGTGTCGCTGTGGGCGGGGCGTTTCCTTGGACTTACTTTCAGAGATCCGAGCATGAAGATGGATTATCTTTACTTTGTCGGCTTGTATGTACAGCCTTGAGGGTAATTCCGGCGAGTTAACATGGAGTCGACGCTTGCCATGCGATAGAAAGAATTTCTTAGCTCAGTGATGTTTTCGATTGAAAGAAGTGGTGCTGCTAAGACCAAGGACGTAATTCACTTCCCGAATCTACGACGGTTTGCGGAACATGGTCGCATCTTTCCTTGCAAAAGTGACACAAAAATCTGAAAGGGGCAAACCCATGGGCAAGAAGCACAGAGGACGGAATTGGAAGGACACAGGCTGCGTCAATGCAGTGTCGACGCCTCGGCGTTGAAGGACCAGAGCATCATTAGAGTCGAATCAAAGCCATGGGTGTATTACGGTTTTTGAGGTATCGCATTGGCTACCGTGCCTTTTCCTATCCTTTGTCTAATTCCATTTTGGCCTTGGGTCCGTGCCAGGACTGGATCCAAGAGCAAGAGCGAAATAACGATTAAGTCCATTTCTTAGACCCAAGCACACCGGGCTTTCTCCTTCACCAGACAACAGGGTCCAGATCAGGCTTCTTTCCCTTAACGGTGCAAGATCAGGTCGACCCCAGCCCTGGATACCGTCCCACTCAGAACTCGTCGAGTGATGCCAATCATGCCAGAAAGTACTCGCGCCAGTCTACCATCCATTGGAGTGCGATCCCTGCTCGGCCGGGCCTTGGTCCTACCATTGGCTCGCAGCAGGCTCCTTAGCAGGCTCAGCACCCCACTCGGTAGCCTGGCCAGCGGGAGCAGCGTCCCAGCTGGCGGCGGCAGGGTCGGCGCTCCACTCGCCACCAGCAGCGCCGGTAGGAGGAGCCTCCCAGTCAGCACCAGCAGCGAAAGTGCCAGCCTCGATGGCAGCAGGGCCAACCTCGTCAGCGCCGGCGAGCTTCTCCTCCTCGACCTTCTCCTCAGCCTCGGCCTCAGGGTCGCGGTCTGTGAAATGTTAGTGGGGTTCCTGAGGGGCTTGAACAATCAATTGAGCGTGACATACAGAAGTAGAGATCGACCATGACGTCCCAGGGGGTCTCGCGGTTGTAGATGGTGCCACGCAGACGCAGGACCTCACGGGCGAGCATCCACCAGACACAGCCAATGGCGTGGCGACCCTTGTTGTTGGTGGGGATGGCAACGTCGACGAACTCGGTGGGGGAGTCGGTGTCGCAGAGGGCGATGACGGGGATGTTGACGTAGGAAGCCTCCTTGATGGCCTGGGCGTCGGTGCGAGGGTCGGTGACGACGATCAGACGGGGCTCCTTGAAGGAACGGGTGATGTAGTTGGTGAAGGAACCGGGGGTGAAACGACCGGCGATGGCCTGGGCACCGGTGTGGGCGGCGAACTTCAGGACGGCACGCTGACCGTAGGGACGGGCAGAGATGACACAGACGTCGGAGGGGTTGTCGACGGCGGCAATGATACGGGCAGCCAGAACGATCTTCTCCCTGTTCGTGGCCGTTTGTTTAGAATACCGCCATTTGTAGCGTTCGAGGGCGATCGTCGCGAGAAGTCGCGACCCATCGTTCGGTCGAACTTACCAGGTCTTGCCGACGTTGATGACGTTGACACCATCAGCACTGTTTAGACGCCGTTAGCAGGTGAAGCTGGAGGAGAAGATGGCTTTTCAAGTCATGCCAAGTCATGTCGTGGCTTCAAACATACCGAGTCTTCCACAGGTAAGGCTCCATGTGAACCTGCAAGTTCTTGGAGCCGAGGTGGGACTGAGCAGCCAGGAGCAGCTCAATGTCCTGGCTGGTGGCGTTGAAAACGCTGGGCAGGTTTGCGGGCGCCATGATTGCGGTTGGGTGTGACAGAAATGTTGTCGTCGCGAAGTTCGGCAATGCAGTGGTGCTCGAGATGAGAGGAATGAACTTCGCGAGGTGAGGCTGCTTGGGGCTCTGCAAAAGAAGTTTGGCAGGTTTGCACCACACACAGCAATCGATTTTGCTTGCTGCAAGTGCGCCCTCGAAAAGTGTGGACCGCCGCTAGGGTGCGAAAAAAAAAGTGCAGGGCGAGGTACGTACCTCCCTGTGGCTGTGGTGGCTGAAGCCAAAGCTGCGCTAACCTGATATGATAAGCGAGCGAGCTGGCTGCGGCAATGCGAGGACGTCAAGAGAGCCGCGTCCCCAGAAATTTTGATGGCGGCCATGAGACGAGCATCGCGGGTCGTTAAGCTGTCGATGACCGCGGCCAACCCACCATGCCGCCCAGAATACCAGGCCCTTCAGGGCTCCAGAGCCTGACATGTATGTGGCTTGATTCTACCTTTCTCCTGTCCCAAGTTCGCCGAGTTGCATTGGATATACGCTGTCTTGCGAAAGCTGGTCTCCAGGAAGGGAGTCTGATGGGCGACCTCTCAGAGCTGCTAGAACCTGCCATAGGACAGGGCATACTCTGTCACAAATCGTGAGAGACTGGTGCTTCCTCCGCCAGTGTCTTGTGCAGTTTTGCCAAACTTCAAACACTCTTGACTGACATCCAATGCAGTATGTCTCCGGCCAGCGGCAGCATCCCGACAAGCCGCGCCCTCCCTTCAACCCCTCATCCAGAAGGCCACCCTTACCCAGAAAGAGAGGGATACTCTTCGAAAGCAGAAACTAGACCCTTACCGGTGGCAACAAGCCCAACAACGAAAAAACCGAAACCTCGAGCGGCGAAAGGTGCTCGAGGTCGAGCGCGACCAGGCATGGGGTGACCCAGTGAACGGCCTCGTGACGCCCTTCCTCGAGTCCTTCGACACCGGCGGTCAGTCGTCTCTGTCACAGGTCAAGCGGGATGATGACGGAAACGCGCTTGAGGAGCCGCACGCCCTGCCGACGTCGGAGCACATCCTCAACTACCAGCTCACGAAGCAGGAGCTCGACGAGGCCATCGCCGAGTCCTACACGCTCACCGCGCCCATCGCGGGCAACGTGGGCTCGATCTACTACAGCGAGGTTGTCGATAACCAAAGCAAGCAGGATCACGAGGAGAAGCACAAGCGCGCGGTCGAGGCCCTGAACCGGATCACAACCCTCAACAACGCCAGCAGCAAGGACAAGCGACATGCCAACATCCGGCGCATCATCGAGACATTTGGCCGGCATGAGACGGACGCGAAGCTGCGGCAGAAGCCGCTGGCCGAGGGACACACGGAACGTATTGAGAAGGTCCGTGGCGGCCCGGACACGGGGTCCTCGGAGGTGCAGATCGCCATCCTAACGGCTAAGATCAGAGTGCTGGCCCAAATGTACGCGGGCAAGAAGGGCAACAAGGACAAGCACAACAAGAAGAATCTGCGGCTACTGCTGCATAGGAGGCAGAAGCTGCTCAAGTACATGGAGAGGAGGGAGAGAGGAAGCGACCGGTGGTCGCACATGATCGAGACGCTGGGCCTGTCGCCTGCGACTTACAAGAAGCAGATCGAGGTTAGGTAACGAGAAGTAGAGTAGTACCGAGTGGAAGAACATAAAAATGTAAATTCTGTACAATACAGTCGTGAGTGACCAGAATACGGTGCAAACTCGACCCTGCTTTAACCTCGTTGCGCCTTCCATGATATGCCAGCCTACTTAATCAAATCAATCGCAACAGACCTCGAAATCTTTCATACTCTACACGAGGTGGGAATCCACGTTATCTTCGATTTCTTTTCTTAGAACACGGCGATGTAGTTGCCGATCCGCTCCTTCTGGTTTTGCGCTATGCACTCGGCAATCCATGTGATGTTCCGAATTTCCTGCAACAATGTTAGCGATGCATCCAAGCCACTGCGTGGAGTTAGAAGGCAGCTCACCTGTTCCCTCAGCTTCAGCCATGCATATACAATACCAAAGCTGAATTGTCTCGTGAAGGCTTCCTTGGAAATCTCCATCTCCTTTTGGTAGAACATATCCTCCAGACTCCGGCCATCAGACCCAGAGCCTCCCCCCATGTTGCCAGGACCAGCCGGCCCGCCACCCAGACCAGCCGCATCAAAGAAGGTCTTGTAATCGTGGACACCGTCGACAGCCAACCTCACGCCCTCAAAATCCTCGGCACGCGACAGCATCAACGTGCCCTCGGGATACAGCCGGCCGAAGTTGGGGTAGAGCTTCTTGCGGTCCGCCTTCGTCAGCTCGGTGCCGAATGAGTTGAGCGTAATGTTGATGGCCCTCCGGTCGGCCTCGAACTCGAGGATCTCCGACATGACCTCAGCTGTCGGCGTGCCCGCCATCTCGGCATGTGTGTTGACAAAGTTGTGGAACTCCTCGAGGTAGTTCTTGTACAAGGTATTTCGCACAATCTCAATGTTCAACTCGTCCAAGTCTTGGTGGCTCAGACTTCCCTTGAAGAACGGCGCCAGGGGGGTCTCGATCAGCACGCTGTTGTAGAGCTCCTCGATGTTGGTGGCAACGCAGAGCACTGGCATCGTCTCAAACCATCCCAGGGGATGGCACCTGTCAAGAAGCTCCCTCGTGTCCCTCTCGTGCAGTGTTCCTGTGATCAAGAGCGCAACGTTGTCGATCATATATCCGTACGTCAAATAGTCCATGAACTGGGCAAGTGCCCCCGTTGCGTTTGCCCGGACATATTTGAACTCGGAAACAAGCTTGTCGGTCGTCTTTGCGGCGAGACTCGAGGTGGATGGGTTCGGAGGCAAGGAGGCAAGGAAGTCGCCGTATGCTGGGCCGAGCTGGAGTTTGAGGTCTGAGAATATGCCGTGAGTAGATGCACTCGCCGCCAGATGCAGGGGAGGGCAACCAACCATCTATGCTCTCGCACTGGGTCATGTTGCTGTAGTTCGAGTTGGTGAGCAGGCCATTCCGATAACCTCGGACGATGCCCTCAATGTATCTGCGATCCGACGGTCAGTATGGCAGTCGTCATCGTTCAGAGCGGCTGGGACAGCTCATACCCATTGTTGACGTTGAAGAAGAGGCCCTCCATGATGATGCTGCCTGGAATTATCGCTGATGAGGACAGCTGGATTGGGTTGAGCAGAGCTGTTGTTGCGGGAGCCTCTCAGGATCATGGACCAGCGACGACGGCCTTCCTTTCTGGAGATGGATGAGCTGCTGATGCGCACCTTTTGAGGCTGCTATTGCTGGGAGCCGCCAAGGTGTCGCTGATTGGAGAGGAAGCGCCCAAAAAGTACGTACCTTTAAGCACGCCCTTTCAGGCTTAGCGCCGATTGCTCGAGTGCACCGACCCCACATGGCGAGTGAGAAGCACTTGAGTGAGCTTCAGCAAAAAATTCGGCCGACAACTTTTTTTTCTTGCTCGGCATCTCGACCGTTTCCTCCACAACAACCACACAACCCGCCTTTGCGCGCCTTACTAACCCCCTTGGAGGACGATATCTAGGAAAGCGCAAGGGCAATTCTACAATTTGTTCAATATGCCTCTTTTCGTTCTCTCCGAGACGAGCGTAGGGTAAGTTGCACCAGGTGCTGCAGCGAGCGAGCGCATGCACCCAAAAAGTTCCTTGGGCTATGGGTTGCTAACTGCCATGCCAATAGCTATGCCTTGTTCAAGGCCAAGGACAAGAAGCTGCTCGACGACAGCGAGCTCGATGCCCGTCTCCAGACCGCCGAACAGATCAACAATGAGTACGTGCAATTCTTTCCGTCCTGTTGTCTAAACGCCAGCCCCACGCGTACGAACGACCTAACAATCCCACAGACTGAAGCTCAAGGAGATTGTAAAATGGGACAATGCTGCCACTGGTCTTGAGGAAGTGGCCGGCTTGGTCGAGGGCAAGGTCACGCCCTTGCTGGCCCAGCTGCTTGAGTCCATCAAGGATGAGAAGAAGGCCTCGCTCGCCGTGTCCGATGCCAAACTGGGTACCGCGATCAACAAGCTTCCTCAATTCAACATCACCCCCGTCGCCGACTCCTCAACCCAAGAACTTTACCGTAACATCCGAGCACATATCACCGACCTCATCCCCGGCCTGCAATCTGAAAACCTCCGAAGTCTCGCCCTTGGTCTGTCCCATTCGCTGTCCCGACACAAGCTGCGATTCTCGCCCGACAAGGTCGATGTCATGATTGTCCAGGCCATTTCTCTGCTTGACGACCTCGACAAGGAGCTCAACACTTATGCGATGAGGGTCAAGGAATGGTACGGCTGGCACTTCCCCGAGCTGGGAAAGATCCTGAACGACAACCTCGCCTACGCACGAGTCATCCTTGCTGTTGGCATGCGTACCAGCACGGCCACCACTGATCTTTCCGATATTCTTCCCGAAGAGATAGAGACTGCTGTCAAGGCCGCTGCGGAAGTCAGTATGGGTACTGAGATCAGTGAGGAGGACCTGATGAACATCACGATGCTGGCGGACCACGTCGTCCGGTATACCGAGGTCCGAGCACAGCTCTCAAGCTACCTCGAGTCCAGGATGAAGGCCATTGCCCCCAACTTGACAGAGCTCGTAGGAACTCTTGTCGGCGCACGTCTTATCGCCCACGCCGGCTCACTGATGAGCTTGGCCAAGAACCCCGGTTCAACCATCCAGATCCTTGGTGCTGAGAAGGCGCTGTTCCGTGCTCTCAAGACGAAGCATGCCACACCCAAGTACGGTCTGATTTACCACTCTTCACTGGTCGGTCAAGCCACAGGCAAGAACAAGGGCAAGATCGCTCGTCAACTCGCTGCCAAGACTGCTCTGGGTATCCGCGCGGACGCTCTCTCCGAGTGGGTTGATGAGGATGGCAACGAGGTCGATGAGGACGAGCGAGCGTCGCTTGGTGTATCTGCTCGCGCGAAGGTCGAGTCCAACCTGAGAAGGTTAGAAGGAAAGCCGTTGGTCGCGAAGGGCGTTTCAGTTGGCCCTAACGGACAGGCTGCCGCCCAACCGGCCAAGTGGGATGTCAAGGAGGCTAAGAAGTACAACGCCGATGCTGATGGTCTCGAGGCCGAGTTTGCATCAGTTGAGATTACTGAAGAGGAGTCTGGTAAGAAGGAGAAGAAAGACAAAAAGGATAAGAAGGATAAGAAGTCGAAGAAAGACAAGCCTCTTGTCCAAGAGGTTTCAGACGACGAGATGGCGGATGCTCCTGCTCAGAACGGAGCTGATGGTATGTTGCCCGCCTCTCCTATCTTTCTCTACAGTCACTACGACAATATTGCTGTCATTCCTGAGCTTTGAGAAAAGCAAAGGACGCTCAAGTCATTCAACCCACTTGGAATCAATTGCTGACTTTTCTCGCAGCCACCCCAGCCAAGTCTAAGGCACTGTCCGAAGCTGACTTCGAGAAATATGCCGAGGCCGCTGGCATTTCAGTGTCCAAGTTCAAGCGCAAGTATGAGCGCGGCGACGTCGAGCTCGCTGCGGACGGCACACCAAAGGTGCTGTCCAAGAAGGAGCTCAAGAAGCTCAAGAAGGCCGAGGATAAGGCCGACTCTGACGAGTCACCTAAGAAGAAGCGCAAGGCCGACGCGGACGGAGAGGAGAAGCCCAAAAAGAAGAAGAAGAAGGCCGACGCATAGAGTGGTGGCCCCCCAATAACTGATGGCCGAGATGTCGGTCTTTCTTTTTTCCTCCACCGGGCTGTACTGGGTCATTGTATGATACTATGCATATCTTCCTGCGGCCTGCTTCTCACCTTTCCAATACTTATGGCGTGTTGTGAGAGATAAGATATCCTCTATGGCGTTTTGGGCGTGGCATCCGGCGGTTCAGGAATAGGGACTGGGGTGATTTGGTTTAGAAATTTTTGAGTTGCTCTGAAACTGGAACTCGTTATGTTAAGAGATTCTTTGAGATAATGTACCTCGGAGGGTCTTGTGATGTTCCCAATGGTTGGCAGTTGGCGCATTTTCTCAGGATCAGGCCTTGGAACGACTCTGGCATGGGCGCGCCTGTCATATCCTGACTGCTACTACCTTGCTTCTCATAGCTGTGGTCTCTTGGGTCGCCGCGAAGCGAGGACGTCAAACTCAATACAGTTTCAAAAAGTTATCACCTTGTCTTCGTTGATGCAGGTCTGGCGCAATCGAGCTCGTCGCTATGACCACCGAACACAAAGCCATCCTTCATCGCTTCAGCCATCCGGCTGGATAAGTGACCTGAGCTAATCTTTCATTTTCAAGCGTGTATCTTATCATAGAAAATGGCCACGTGATGTCCTTAGGGGGGGATATAAACGGCAGAGAAAGCAATATTCTTCTATTTACACTCGACAGTGATCTATATACGGTGATATGGCAAGAGCAAATTCCGTCCAGACAGCTCGTTTATCATGTTGCCATTACTAGCTATGCCTTCACATAGAAATCGACACAACTCTCGTAAGTCTGAGAGTTGCCGTTTGACCACCAGTACCATTGTAAGGCACATTTTCCGCCGGCGTTGCATGCGGACCCAAGGCTGCTTGGGATCGTAATGTTGAAGTCAACTAGTTTGTTGTGAGTAAGTGTGGCTTGGGTCTGGAGTTCGACAAGGTTGTGATGGAACAAAAATATTGACGTTACGTACCATCGTCCCCTCCTCCGGCGACATTGTCTGGCCACACATCCCACACCTTGACGGGGTCACCGATGGCTTTATTGGTTGCGAGGTCGATGACAGAGACATTCTATTAAGCCAGTCAGTTTCGCAAGTCGGTGGATCCTGGGACACCGCAGGATCCAATGTCCGATATGAGGATATGTGAGTCTTACCGCCCAGCCCGGTCGATGAGCTGCTACAAGGTCGATATGGAATGTCACCACGTCGCCGGCTGCGTACGTATTGAGTTTGTCGACGTTGTCTTCGTATTGGTAACCGCGACACTGATACAGGTTGCACTTGTAATCTGCGTCCGCTACCTTGACAGAGTTCTCAATCGGGCCGGCTGGATCTGAATGTGCGATGAAATCAGTATGATTCTATCCACACAACCTATGCAATTACTGGACAAGAGGAAGTGCGGCTTGGGTAAGTGCAATATCAAGCATACCATCATCGAGTTTAGTCGTGACAGCCTCGCCACAGAGTGCTAGCGTAGCGTCACCGGACTGGTCATGTGAGTCGAGTTAGATCCGATCAGTGAATTTTCTTTTGTTGACTTGACCACAACATACTCCGCGAGGAACTGGCTTCTGGACCACGGCATGGCCCAAAGTGCTAGGAAGCAGTAGGAGGAAGGCAAGTGTTGCTTCAAACATGGTGAATACTATTTTGCGGAAAGGGGAAGCTTGAAAGGAAGCGTTCGACACCGCCAGGTAATGAGCATATAGGGCGCTATCATATATTTTGTTACGGTCTGCTATTGGACTCTTTGAGAGCGGAAGTTGACCAGAGCCCCAGCGGCATTTCTCCACCAACGGCAGCAGCAAGTAGATGAATTCAGTCCTTGTTAATCAATACAGTCTTGGCAACGGGAACTTGACCATGTCCAGCCCCACCAATGATGGCTCAGAACATGATCTGTCATTTGTCTTATTTCCTATTGGAAATGTGAGGACGCACGAATTGATACACCGCTGACTGCCCTCGAGGGACTTGTATATACAATATTTTTCACCACCTTACAGCCTGCGAGGAGCGGTTGCAGTGATTTTGTACGATACGGAAAGTACAAAGTATTTGATGAATTTGATCCTTCAATGATTTCATATGAGTTGGCAAATGTTATATATATTCTTTTCACTCTTAATCATTTTTCAATAGTAACATTTTCAGTATTACGTATAATCACACTACATGCACTGTACAATCGTGTCTTATTCAAAGAGCTCTTTGAAGATAATTTATGTTTCACTCAGGAATCGAACATTACACCCAACCAGAGTTGCCAGTGCCACAAAGACTCCATTTACATCCACTCCGCGCCTCTCCGGCGTGAAAACCAGCACAACGGCTTTCACGCCAAGCCTTTACCCGAGGAGTTAGGCGCTGATAGCGACAATTGGGCATCTGTCCTCAAAGTGGGCGGAAAGTCGATCAAGATCGTTATTACCACCCCACCCGGCTTTCGGTCTTTGACGTCGTTTCGGGAACAAACGACGGGAAAAGCGCGGGTTCCAGACTAGATGTCGCCAATCTCTCGCCGTTGAGCATCAGGGCAAGCGTCGCACGGGTGGTCGTCACGACGAAGAATACAGACTCGGAAATCCATGAATCAAAGGGGGCCGCTTCAGGGAGACAGGAAAAAGTGCTGGGGCTTAGGCCTGGTGAGTGTGATCACCTCAATGCTTCTCGATAGTACTGGGCTATATTAAGTGACGATTAAGCGACCAGTCCTTACAAGTAATTGAAGCGCTGCAGCAACAGTACAAGGAAGCGTGTAGTTGAAATACAAGCAAGTCAGTACCTTGCATGGTAAGCTACTCCCTTTCATCCAGCTAAACTAGACAGCCAAATGAAAGGACTCTAAGGAATTCTCTCCAGCATTCTTCCAATTTAGTACTGTTCGTAAGCCTCGATGACCAGAGTTCAGTTTGAGGTCTCAACTTCTCATGGAGGTCATATCAGCCCTCCTCGTCTCCGTCCTTTTCCGCTAGGACGGTCCGCATACATCAGCAGCATATCATCTTTGTCCTCATCCACATGGTGCACACGAACGTGTCTAATGTCCACAACTTCATAGCACATCGCGCAGTGATGTCGGGTGTCTGATGCAGCGGGAACAAACCTACCATAGCAAGTTCTTTGGTCTTGGATACTTATGCTCCCTGTCCAGGCAGAACGGACACACGTATCTAGGATAGTCTTGTAATCGGACACGCATCGCCGTCTCCCCTCCTACTTCTAAACTCTTTGCCGTCCTTTGCTCGGCGACAGACTTTTGCAGGACAGAAATGGCGATACGCTGGAATGTGAACATTGGCGTGTGAGCTCAAGTGGTATTGAGCATGACATGATACCGCATTGCATCTCTCAAAAGTCTACACCTTTGCCTAAAGAAGGGCTGAATAAAGCATTTGCATCATCGCAAAGTGAGCCCGCGGAGTTACAGTCTCAGCTTGATGCCGTTGATAATAAGGACTGGACGAGATATCAGAACCATGACCCAGGTCACAAGGCTGCTCTTCAGGATCTTCAGAGCTGGAAAGCCTACAAGGCAACGCATAGACCATAACCAGACCGTTTGAAGTTAGTCATGGAGATCAGGAGGACTCTAAATGACTATAGTGAGCAAATAAGCTACCCCAAGCGATGATCATTGCTCCGGGCGCATGTACCAAAGTGTTGCTAATACGTGTGAAGGGGAGGCGTTAGTATTCGAAAGCACTCCAGCGTCCGTACCACGACCGGACAGGAACACCCTCAAAGCATTTCGGTCCACCTTCTTTCGAAAACTCGGCGATGAAAATCTGCTGCTACTAGAAGGCCATAGCTCTGAGGCCTATAATGACCCGGGTGATCTGGTCGCTCTACACAACTTTGAGCCTTCAGACAGACTGACTATGTTCGTCAAGAACAGCTTACGCTTGCTCTTCAAGGTCCGCGTCTGTGCGTACTCCAAACGCCACAATGGTATTCAGCTGATACATATGCATGTTGCAAAGTAATGGTGATAATCCCTTGAATCAGAATGACTCTGTGAGTTACGCATCAGGCAACAAATTGGCGGCATATGTATCATATCTGGCACCATGCTGGCAACAATGCTACTTATTGGACCTATCTTGGTTTCATACAAAGCCAGTAACAACGACCTTAGTTTGGGACTGATCGACTTGTTCACTATTGTCTTCGCGGGCAGTGTTGGCTTGTTGACGAACGCATCTATGGCGGAGACTTTTTGGACCACAGCTGCGTCAGTGGTCCCTGTCAATACACAGACAGCCATCTGATGATCAAGCGGAGCTAAGTTCGCGTTACTGACACGTAATAGCTATGCTGCTGTGCTGGTTGTGTTTGTTAGTGGCCACAAGTGCTTGAGAAGGATGGATCGACCGATGAATACGAGCGACTCAAAATGAAAGAGCACTCACGGAGCTGGATTAAAGAAAATCTATTGACTGCTCGATATTAGCTTGTTGCACTATGAAAGTCACAAGACCAAGGCGAGAGAACATTGCCGTGGCTCGAGGGCGCTATGGGACCTCTGCTGTGAAGATCTAGTCTCTCTGAAAGGGGCCCGTCTCAACAGCTACCACTAAGCTGCTACGCGCAAATAAACTTGTGGATCCAACGGCTTGCTACTGGAACTTCACCTCGTTTCAATCCACCGGGGACCCTACCTGAACCGTAGAAGAGGGAAAATCGGCCCGACTCCTATTTTTTCTTCATTCCTTCTGTTTCATCCACCAATTTCGATATAAAAGAACGTACAATCATTCAATGACCATTTTTTTCATGTTCATGTGTGATGGACTCTACGAATAGCTCGTCTACCACGTACCTGCATCCCTACTTTAAAGCTGCCACAATGATCATCGAGGCTTCTCTTCAATCAGGCTGGCTTGTCTTACATGGTCCTCACAAATAGGCGCTCGATTTCTTGGGATAGTTCCTGGAGGAACTGAGTTCAGGGCTTGATCGGGAAATTATGCCTTCAGTACACTTCCTTGATGAGAGAAAGGATTTTTGACGTATCTGAAGGTAGATTCAAGCATTGGCAAAGAGGCATCAGCAGGCAGAGCCCAAAGTGACCTCTGTTCTCGAAACGGAAGCCCATCTGTGCCGTTGGTTACCGCGGTGTCACCTGTGTTGGCCAAAGATTTTGGTTCGTTAGGACGTATCAACCTCGAACTCAGGTACTGCCATTTTGCTGAGGGTGTTGACACATCTTGGCCGTCCTTCGATTTCTTGCTACTTGAGTCTCTACGGAAGAGAGCTCGGCGTCGTGGATGATGCATTCCATCGTCTTATGGGATGCACTTCTTTGGTTGTACAAGAGATAGCAGTACTACTCACAACCCTGTCCTGTCCGCTATGCAGCAGTGAACTTTAGTCCCAGCCGTAAATAGGGTCGAGACCCGATGATCGTTGAATCAGACTGTTGGGAATCATGATGGAGAAAATTTGGAGAAGTTCCATGATTCATGTGTGTTTGGCCGACGCACGCGACTGCAACTCGCGCATCGTCCACCTACCGCCCCTTGGTACATCGGCTCCAGGGCCCTGGGATAAAGTTGTGAGTGGGTTTCCCCCTGACAGCTTCCACGCGATGGGGCTCCTACTAAGGGATGTCACGAACAATCGATGCGAGCAAGCGAGGTGTCAATGGGTCCGTGTTGCTGCCTGGATGTTGCACCGGTGCATCTTTGGTGACAAACATGAGGCACGCGTCAAATTCGCCATGGGCTGTGGCATAGATGAGCTAGTTTTCATCGGCTTCGCTCTTCATTCAGGGGATGGAACGTGGCGATCTGCAACTGAAGCACAAAAGCATGCTAAGTTGACTGCTCTCCAGCACCTGCTGTTCGTCTAATAGGAAGCAGGTGGGTGGATCCGGAGGCATTCGTCGCTTAGCAGGGAAGAGAAATTCCCCACGATCGAGGTAGGGAAGAAGGAGTGTTTTTTTCACGAAGGGCGCTACCGGAGGAAAACTGATTGGACAAGAGGACGAAGCTCGTCCCAAGATGTTGATAGGGTTGCATATTGACAGGCGTTATACCCGAAGACAGAAAATCAAAATGCAGATCGGAGTGCTTAAGTTTGAGGTTATTCTTGATCGCTTTGGGCACTGGGGTTTGAGGAGCCATCCATGCAACTCAGGAGTCTGGTTCGAGGTCTGCGACAGCCCTATACCCCGGGAAAGACCCCTACCCCTGTCGCTGCGTGTGCCTGGCCAGTGATTCTCGCGATCTTCCCGCCAAGCAAGCGGGTCTAACCATTGATCTGGACAGCCTAGGATAGCCCGGATATAACGGCTCGAGCCTCCACTCCCGATGCCACTGGCTTGCCAAGACGAAACGTCCAATGCTTCCGACGACACTTCACCTGAACTCGCTCGTCTGAGATCAGACACAGATGACGAGGCCGGCCGTACTTAGTATACACTACGACTGCTTTTGTTTTCCACATCCAACCGCCATGGTCTCCCCGCCGTAACAAATGGGGCTATTTTTTGACACGCCCCACAATTGTCCACATCCACAACGACATGCAGTCGCTCAGGCCACAGGCCGGGTTGTGGGAGAACTCGCGCATGGGCAGACGTCGCCTGCAGACGAAAAGATGAGATGAGACTGTGTTTCGGCGTCAAGATGGTTTCTGCCCATGGGGACTCTAAGGAGCCATAGCGAGCCGAAGGTCGGGCATGGCTCGAAGCAGGCAGGCTGACGCGGCCAAGCCTTGATGGGATGGGATGCAATTCTGCTCGGAGAAAGTCTCGTATATAATCAGTGAAGCCACTTGATGATTCCATGATCTTGAATGAATAGCATCAACCACTTTGAACGCAACAACACAGTCACAGTCTCCTTTCACCTTTTTCAATTTTCCTCTTCTCTTTCTTCAGACGGCCGGTTCCGTACGCTCTGGTTCAGCTGTTTGCTACTATTGCTTATTCTTCTTCACATAAACATCCCGTTTAATCAATCGATCACTTGTTTGTCTTCTGTCATCAGCACAGCCACCCCCAACAGTCAACATGAAGTTCTTCGCCACCCTCGTTGTCGCTATGGCTAGCGTCGCCATTGCCAAGGACGCCAACAACACCGATGGCACCTCGACCAAGTCCCAGTGCAAGCAGGTGTCCAAGCTTACCAAGCTCATGGACATTGCAAACAACTCCACTAAGCTCGACAAGGTCACCAAGGGCAACGCAACCCGTGCCGCGGATATTCAGGCCAAGGCATCTGAGGCGGCAACCAAGTTGACCACGCTCCAGAGCAATGCTACCCTCATGACTGCCTGCGACCAGATCTTCGCTGTTCAGGACACCGAGGATGCTTGTGAGAAGATGGTGGGTCTTGAGAAGCTCACGGCTATCGTCAACAACCAGACGGCATTGGATGCGATGACCAAGGGCAACACCACAAAGGCCGACAAGATCAAGGCCAAGGTGCAAGAGAAGGCTGCAGACCTTACCGCCATGCAGAGCAACACCACCCTGACGAGCTTCTGTGCTGGCTTCAGCGACAAGCAATCCTGCAAGGCCATGGCCAAGGTTGCCAAGGAGCAGGCGCTTGCTGCCAACACCACTGCCCTTGTGAGTCCCCATGAAACAAATAAATTTGGGAACCTTGTGTGTACGGTTGACTAACGTGATGTGATACAGAACGACAAGTTCAACGGTGACGCGGACAAGATCTCTAAGTTCCAGGCTAAGCTCACCAGCAAGGCTGACAAGATCAACGCTCTGATGAGCAACACCACCCTCATGGACACCTGCAACAGCCTCGGAATCACAACCGCTGCCACTACCGGCGCTTCCACTTCGTCAGGCTCCTCCACCGACAGCAAGAAGAGCGCGGCTGTCAGCGTCAACGCTCTGGGCGCCGGACATGTCCTGGCCCTCGTCTCTGTCTTTGCCTACGCTGTCGCCATGCTCTAGACGCAGCCGCGACGGGTTTTGACATTAGGACTTTCATGTCCGAACATGGAAAATTGATCAAGGCGACTGGTGCTTCATCCGTGGTCGGGATCATCTCTGTTATGAGCTGGACTGGGAATATTGAGGCTGTTTGGTGCTTGTGGTGAGATGACAACGCAAGACTTCAAAGTGTCCATCCGAACAATGATGGAGTACAGTCTTTACCGGCCCATACAGAGGCATCGGAATGAATTCCGAGTACGGACTTGGTATTGCGAGGTCTTCGAGCATGTAGCTTAGCTGACATTATCGTTGAATGAGCTGTATCGAGTTCATGCCACATGAGACATTATTAGTAACAACTGTACCTTTTGAGCCGTTGATACCCCAGAAATAATAATGTACTCTCTAATTCGTTGACGCTCTTCTGCTGTATTTTTCGGTTGAAAATAATCTGCGCGGCTACTCCAGTGATCAGTGTAACTCTAGATCAAGTAAGCATCGGTATACTTCCCCACCGCATGCACTGACGAAGTCCGGCCGAGCTAGATCCACCTCTCTTACATTGCCCGTTTCGACGCGATGTCCATTCTGTGGGTCTATCTCGTCCAAGCTTTTCACCCCAAAACCTTGCAGTGCAATTGGCAGGACTGTGTTTCTCTTTGCGTGAATTTCTTATTCGCCTGCAATTTCTTATTCGCTTTCAAGTAGAACCAAGAGGCAGACCTACCAGGCAGAATCGCCTTCTTCAGCCTTGCGAGCGTCAGGGCGGATGAGATGGTTGAATCTGTAGGTCTGCTCGGAATTCTAGCTCATGCATTTCGTCTTGAAAATTGGTTCCCCACGGCTAAACGGGCGGAGTATTGTATATCGCCATACAAATCGCGCACACCACACCCAATTTAGTGCCAAAATTTGGGCCAAGAGGGTTGCGCCTGGTGACAAGATGCTCTGAATGTGACACAAGGCTTTGAATTCCCAACGTTCGTACGAATCTACTTCAGCAGCATCCCATCAAGTCAGGTGTGGCTTGCGTAACCGTTACTTGCAAAATGATTGCCCAGACTCCCTCACCACTAGGGTATTGGCTTTGGATCGTCTCAAAATTTAGCCGAAAGTGCTCCATTGAGAGCCATCAGCAATTTCTTCAGAACTAGAAGTCTTGAGATGCGCGCCTCACTTCAGGCTCCCGCATGCCAAATCAGGCACTTGATACTGCGGTTCCTGGCTATGAATAGAGCTGTGCCACTTTCACGCGTGATACTAGTACGTTGTTGGAAGTTCTCAATCTGGTGTCTTATTCTCGATCAAGCCCAAGTGTTCAAACCACCAAGTCCGACGCAGCTTTGCGAATGCCCACGTGCGAAGTCCAAACCTTCAACAAATTTGCTTCACGTCGTAATATCTGCAGACAGCATCTCTCATTCCATCAGTAGTGCGGCGTTATCTTGGTACGGACACCCGAGATCGTGCATTACAGATAATCTGAGATATCAATGGGACGCAATGTTTGACTGAGGTTTTCTTTCGACTCATCCTAGCTCTTTCAGACCAACCTCTGAGCCCACAAAGCTCAAAAAGCCTAGATAGATTCCATGCACTTCTTGATAGGCCTGGTAGTTGACGAAGACGGCGAGGCTCATGCTCTAGGACCAGGCATTGTACCAAATCAGAGACTTAAGCGCGGGCGGTCCCAGAGTTCAGGACGGTGTGTAGGACAAATCGGTACAGGATCATTGTTAATCTTTTGGTTTTTTCATCAACTCATGTTTGGTGGCGGAGTACGTAGGAGGTCTGTAAACTAGGTTGTCTGATTTACCCTATAAGCATTCACTCCTAGCGTTCTTAATCAATGACGGGTCAAGTGAGGGGAGAGGGGCGGGTTGCCTGGCCCGAGAAACAGTGTTGAACTAGCTCCACACATTCCTCAGCATTTTGCGATCCGAGGTCCCCAACATTGCGACGTGCGCTCTGAACTGCAATAGAACATGTGCAACATCAACCCAATCTAAGCTTGACTCGGATATTTCGCCTCCAGATCGCTCACATCAGCTCATATCAAACCTACGTACACCTCACCCCTGACCAAACAAACACCGTGAACACCAAGTTTTGACGATGAAGATAACACTATATGTCGACGTTGTTTCTCCATTTACGTACATTGCATACCATGTACTTCGGGTAGGTTCAACACCGGTGGAAGCAATTGGGAGATGTGTTCTTCACTTACACTCTTGCAGCAGGATCCAGTGTTCAAGAACTGCCAAATAACTTACATACCAATCTTCCTCGGGGGAATTTTCAAAATGGCTGGGAACATAGCACCTCTCCGAATCAAGAGTGGGTTCACTTCGTCATCGCCAGATGACGTCTACTGCCTTCATCGCCCTACGCTGCACCGCTGCGGGGGAAAGCGGGTTCCATTCTCAATAGTTGCGCTTGACTGACCACCGTGACACCGACCAGACAAGGACAAATGGATCAACAACGAGCGCCTCCGATGGGCAAAATACTTCAATGTGCCCATAGTGAATACCGTCCCGGACGGCTTCCCAGCAAACACCGTACAGGTCATGCGTACCATCTGCGCCGTCAGCCACCTCGCCAACACCGACCAGCCAGCCCCATCGCCTTCATCCCCGCCTGCCCAGCAAGCCATCATCAAGGCCCTCGATGCCGTCTTCGACGCCTACTGGGTCAAAAAGCGCGATATAACCGACAAGGACGTCATAGCCGATGTGCTCTCGCGCGCCGGGTGGGAGGACCTCGCCAAGGTATCTGAGCTCACGGCCGGCGACGCCAAGCGGATGCTCGCGGAAAACACAGACGGCGCGTTTGCGGACGGCGCTTTTGGGTTGCCGTGGTTCGTGTGTGAAAATGATCGGGGTGAGAAAGAGGGCTTCTGGGGCGTGGACCACCTCGGTGTGATGTTGGACTTCTTGGGGCTGGAGAAGCCGGCTGCTGGTGGCGAGTGGAGGGCAATGCTTTAGACGGCGGAAGATCGAATATTGAGCTGCTGCGGTGGGGCTTAATGTAGGAGATTGATAGTGTGGGCGGTGGTTGTATCGGTCTGCTAGTTGAAGCGCTGGCATGGCTATCGCAGCAGTTTTGGAATTTCATTTATAAAGTCAACCAGGAGATGTCCAGATGTGATTGGAATTGCCTGAAACAATTCTTTGACATTATCTAAACATATACCTATCATATATGAGATCCTTCTAGAGCTTCTTAGGCACTTCAGCTGGACATGACAGCGGTCGCAAGGAATTCTCAGCGCTGCAATCTGTTCGGTCTATTATATATACTGCATTGTCTTGGGAGACTCTGCTATGCTCTTCCAAGAGATCCTCCCTGAGAGACCTGGACTATATTCTGTCTTCCTGTGAACAGATATACTTTGGTTCACGTGATTTATTGTACCTGCGCCTCCCTCCCTCAATCGTCCCCCCCCCCCCAACATGAGTCCTTTCGTCCGCACCTCAGGCTTGTCAATATGAATTCTCCATCTCATTTGCCACATCTTCCAGCCGGTCTTGATATGTACTCGCGCACACCCTCGAAAAAGTCGCCCTGACCTCCAGCGCCAGAGAGTGCACTGCATTCTCCAGGGCCTGCAGGAGCTGGACCTCGAAGACCAAGCCCCGCCAATAGCTTGTGTCCATTGAGTCGTCAACAAGTGAAATAGCGTCGACCCCTGTGCGCATCGCAAGAGTCTGGATGTAATCTCTAGTGTAGTATAGAAACGTTTCTATGTCTACACAGTGCATGGTCTTCTTGTTGCAGTTCTCAGCAACGCGATGACCGACGAACTTCGCGGTCAATATCACGAGGCTCTCGGTGCTAGTGCTGGAAGGCTGTAGGACAGCAGCGATTTCCCTGGCGGCCTCGACCGCACGACGCTCGACCAATGTTTGAGAGAGGTCCTCATCAAAAGCGAATATGTATCCACAGGTGATGTCCGAGATCTTGGTCGAATCGTATAGGGTCTGGGGCGACACGCAATGATACTTCAGACCGCTGACGGGCCCGTAGACCAGATACTCATCTGCAAACCACTGGTCGGCCAATCCTGACTCAAAAAGGTCCCTGGAAAACCAGACGTGGTCCGCCATAGAGGTGGTATCTAGAACTGCGATCATAGATCCATGTTCGTGCTCGGCGAAATCGAGAGCTGTGTCGAGGACATGGGTCCACGAGCTGAAGTCCGAAATGATACTGCTTGAAAACCCCAGGTGTTTGCTGACCATCTCAGAGAGATCAGGAATGTCCCACATGCTGGTTGGTTCTTTCCCGCCAAGGAACCCGTGAGGTATCACCCCTCCCATACCGTTCAGCCTGCAATCCTTCCCCCCGCCGGACTTTGGGTGGAATCCTCTGAATAGGAATCTCGGAACCCCGGTCTTTGAATCTGCGGAGAAATTCACGGTCAGCACATGCTGTGTCCTAGCTTCGAGGGCGCAGGAATTCGGGGCTTACTCACAGGACATATACCGTTTAGCTTTATTCAGCCGTTCCAAGGCTTCTTCACCTAACGCGTTCGCAGACACTGGAGTCTCATAGACCGTCCGCTGAGTTTGCCGTTTCCATGCACTGGACGGAAAGAAAAGTACCCCCTCTCTCGTCGCGGACAGCCTCCCGCACATCTGCTGGCAGTACGCTGGCTTTCGACCTGCCGTGGCGGTCAGTGGCTGGAACGGGACAAGGGACCTAAAGGCGTTCTCTGTCTGCTCCTCTTCTTTAAGCCATGATAGAGCAGCGTAGTCGTCGCAGTCGTCCTCGTGCGGAAGAGACTGTTGCCACCAGGAGTCATCAATGCAGTAGATGGTCTCTTCGGTGCTCCAACCCTTGTGTTTGGGGGCGTCCCACATTGTCAACAAGGGTATTTCATCGTTATCTGAAGCGCAGAGGGTACCATTGATCCAAGGCCCCAGAATATTCTTCCCCTGGTCCTGATCCATGGAATGGTCGTCCTTCCCGTCCTCGAGTATAGTCACGATGCTCTGCATGATCGACTTGGTAGAAACACTGCTTCTTCGCACGGTGTCCTTCTTCGAATTCTCCTAGTTTTACAAAGTATTGTGCGTCTTCGAGTCAATACTGAATGTGGTTTGTTAAGTTGACTTCTGGATGCTCGAATAACTGTGGAGCTGGCGATTTATCACCAGTGAGGTTGGGCTCGTGAGGACGGTGCGAGAAGTAGACCGGGTGAATTTGGTACTGGTTGCCTCCGATACCTGCAATATATACAAGTCAATACTGCCCAACTTTGATAGCCGCTGTCATTATTTCCAATTTTTTCGACTCCATGTTGAGAGCCATAGAGGTGTCTTCGGCACTAACCAAGATCGATTGTTCAGTAGTAAGTAGAGAGTATCAGCTAGTGTGGCCAAGGACCACACTAGAGTTGATTCAAAGAAAAGGAAGAAAGTGAGACGGCGATGCTTCACTTCTAAAATACGGGAAGGAGAAAATATAACACGGACGCTGCTGCATGTATTTTTGAATGTATGGTCCGCAAGGGAGCAGAGCAGTGAATATTTGGCGACTTCATCTCCTCGATGCTTCCTGCGCACGTTAATATTGAATTATTATTGATCATTGAATTGGCCGGCAAAGTGTCAGCGAGTGAATTGGACCAGTGCGCACGGTGAGGCCGGCAGTGAATCACTGAAATGATCTGTTGGGATGTAGCCGCATTACCGCATCACCGCATCAATTGCGACTCGGCTTAGTAGTGAAGTGGTAAGTCCAAACAATCTAGTGTGTATTTGAGTTTCTGGTCACATCCACGGTGAACACTGTGTTGCCTCTGACAGTCTGCGCTGGGAAGTCTGAGGGTTGCGAGGTGCATTTGACCCTAATTCGCCTGCCTGTCAACACACAATCGGGGTCGCGAATTGAAACGTCGACAATAAACCTTCACGTTGCGTATCTGTGCGCCAAAGAGTCTCCATTTACGCGAAGTGATGTTGTGGATGTGAGATTTTGATCTCTGAAATTTGAGCGCCAGCATCCCCTTTCCTTTGAAGCTATCGCCTGTCATTGTGAGCTATCTTTGGGCTTGCGGATATATGGAAAGGCTGACATCTCAGATAGTAGACGCTGCAGGATTTGTGTCCAGCGGAGAGGTTGGTCAAAATTTCGTTTGATTCTCAAATAAGTCACAAACTTGATTCACTCCTTACCCCCGTTCTGCTGCGGCTACGACATGGCACCTACAAACAAATCCCTAGAACCTGGCCTCTACCTTCTCCTCCGTATCCTGCAGAGCCCATTCACTCGCCCGTTCCTTGCTCCTCACGGCCCGCGCCTGCGCAGCCGTGAAGCCCTTGGCCTGCGTGGCAGGGTTGTACCCCAGCCCATTTATCTTGCCCACCGTGGCATCATCCACCTTGGGAGCCTCCTTCCCGTCCGCCCGCTTGTACACCGTGACGACGGCGGCGCCCCCGAGGCCGAGGTTGTGCTGCAGGCAATACTTGGTGCCGGGGACGTTGCGGTTGTTGGCCCAGCCGCGCAGGTGCCAAATCAGCTCAGCGCACTGGGCGATGCCCGTGGCACCGAGCGGGTGGCCCTTAGAGATAAGCCCGCCCGAAGGGTTTATGACAATCTTGCCGCCGTAGGTGATGCCGCCGGCGCGCACCAGCTCGTGTGCCTTGCCCGGCTCAGACAACCCTAGAAAGTCGATGGTGATCATCTCGTTGGCACTGAAGCAGTCGTGCAGCTCGCACACGCTGAAGTCGGAAGGCTCCACGCCTGCCTCGGCCATGGCAGTGCGGGCCGCGTGCTCTGTCATCTCACGGCCCATCAGGTCGATGGCGCTCTTGGAGAAGAGCGAGGGCGCGTCCGTCGCCAGGCACTGGCCCGCGATCTGGACGGCCTGCTCCTTGAGGTGCGGCCGGGCGTCCAGGAAAGCCTGCGAGACGAGCACGGCAGCCGCGCCGCCGTCCGAGGTCGGGCAGCACTGGAGCTTGGTCAGGGGCTCGAAGATCATCGGGGCCTTCTCGATCTGCTCGCGCGTGTAAACATCTTGGAACTGCGAGTAAGGGTTGTTCACACTGTGAGCATGGTTGACGCGGGCGATCTCGGCGAAATCCTCAGGCTTTGCACCGTATCTGTCAGTAGATGTTAGTATATGGTCGTACTTAAGGCCAGGATGGACTCGCCTCTCCATGTATTCACGACCAGCATTGCCAAACATTTGAGCAGCACCAGGGGCATTTGTGAAGCCTCGAGTGGATGCCATCATCAGACCCGAGGTTCCTGTGGGGTTCTCGCGGTCGTTGAAGAAAGTCTGGAGACTTCCGGGCATCATCTTCTCGAATCCGACAACAAGCACACAGTCGGCAGCCCCGCTGGAGACATACTGCCTCCCTATGGCCAGTCCGGTGGACCCGGTGGAGCAGTTGTTGTTGACGTTAATGATGGGAATCTGGGTCATGCCAAATTGGTAGAAAACCCGCTGGCCGCATGTCGAGTCTCCGTAGCAGTAGCAGGCGATGCCTTGTTCGACGTCGTCGTAGTTGATCTTTGCATCCAGCATAGCTTTGACGCCAGCCTCGAAGCCCAGCTCTGTATAGTCCACCTTCCCGCGAGGCTTGATGAACTTTGTCATGCCCACACCGAGGACGTAGCATGGCTGCTTCTGTTTTGGGGCCATTGTGGATGTTGCGTGGGCTATGCCTGGGCCAATATCAAAATTGAAGGGGTTCAGCAGCGTTGAGTTTGTATTAAAAATCCTTTGTTCGTTTATGCGATGATGGATATTGGTATTCTATTCACAGAAGCTGTCGAAAAGATTCAGCGTTGGTTATTTAATTCGTTTGCGGTCACGATGAGAGTAGGCTATATGCGTCGCGGTGGTTGTATCCGAGGACTCCAAGGTTTAGGGCGTTGCGGGGATGCCTGACGTGCCTCGGCATTGCTCCCCAGATCTACAGACGGTAGACGCTAACAATGGTACGCGCCACCCCAGAATGCCCCAGCCAGATCCCTGCTAATTCCCCGATATCCGAGGCCCACTGCTCGCTCCCCAAGTCTCAATGGGGAAAATCGTTCGTTGGAGAGCCGCATAGCCGCAAATCTAGCCTATTGGGGGAATATATTGGAAGTTGCTTGAACGACGTCTCCCAAGACTCGTCTGTCGTAAGATCGTTTTGACTCTGTTACTTGTCCCCAAAGCACGGTACCATATATCGCATACATTATCTCATAGTAGATCTTGCCGCTTCATGTTGTTCCAATCGGGGACGAGGTCATGGCAATTAAAAAAAAAGTGAAGAGGGTGGGAGACGGGGTAGTGGATGATGAACGACTATCTAGCATCTAATTGTGTCCTAGAAGTGTATCAACAGAGAAACTTCAGATGGGTACAGCATATATTAGTTCATAGTTCATCATAAATTCCTTCCTCGCTAACATGAATAAATTGGTGCTGTTCCGGGGTATACTCACGCAAAGATTCTCAGAGTGGGTCCAATGCCCGGTCTGTGGCGCATGTATATACCTAAAACAGAATTTGTAGACTGCCCATCATCCGGAGAAAATTATGGATATAGCAAGCTTCAATATGGGCCAGTACCGTATCTCTTGGTGCATCTGGGTTGATGACACGTTACAATACGCAGAATGCCTTGATTTCTGGACGTTGTATCCACAATCCCCGGAAGGCAAAAGCTTGGAATCGGACTGCCGACATATTGCTAAACAGGACCCAAAATATGTTTGTTCACCTTTAGCAAAGATTGGCATCTGTGAACTGGTTCAATGCGAACAGGAGTGGACACGATATTACTCATGGCTATATGTGCATGCAAGGCGGCTCTTCAGAGTTACTGACTCAGGTTCACCGTCTTCCTCTTCGAAATAGTCTCCATCTCCTTCAAATTACTTCTAATGTCAGACTCTCCGTCAAGGCGTGCTTGCGCAGACGCGTCCGTCGTTAATTGCCCAAAAGCTATTGGCAAGAGTGAGGACTTCCAACCAGCCGTAACTGTATTGCCCGTGCCTACCACTGACTGACCAATGACAACAATGAGGAAAGCAGTAGTCAAGGTCACCACGGCAGCTGGGAAAGCCAAAAACGGCCACCTCACGTCCACGCACGTCTTCTCCTCAAACACCACCCCTACCACTGGCCGCGCGACAGGCAGAGCCAACGGCTCCACGTACTGCCGGATCCGCAGTGTGATACCCTCCGCCACGCTGGTAAAGGTGTCATTGATGCTGGAGAAGCTCGCATATGTATCGTTGAAGATGACGCGCAGTTGAGGCGGTCCGTCGGAGGAAGCCCCGTTGACCCCGGGGTTGATGGCGCCTTTGAGATAACCATCGAGGTAGTCCGTAATTGACGACACAGCGGGATAAGCCATATCGTAGAGACACTCTGCGGGAATTATGTCTAAAGGTAGACCGGTACCATTAAGTAAGGGACCAGGAACTGTGACGTTGCCGTAGTAGGAACTGCTCTCGCCCGCCCACAACGAGGCTGTTCCATCACTATTATCTACATGTCAGTCACATATCCAACACAAGTGATACTGCCATCACAACTTACCTTGCGTTGACCATCACATTCCAAGGTATAACCACATCGTCATCATTGATGCGGAACCCTTCTTTTCGCAGCCTGGAAACTGCTTCAGGCCCAGCACATGTCAGATCCGCTGCCAGCCAGTGCGGATAATTTGACGAAGTCGAGACAAACATATCCTTCTGGGTCCTCACCAACCTCTCTCTCAGCTGTCCCTGTTCCACGGTCGCCCTGTAGGTCTTGACACACGGGCTGATCTTGCAGCGAGCCGCCCCTGCGCCTCCGAAACCGCTGCATGCCCATGTATTATTATCGTATGCCGTTGTACAGCCACTGTCGTTCAGGTTCGTAACTGGCCTCATCGTGGTTGCATAGTAATGGTCCCAGTACCAGTCTTCAGGCGCACCAGGAAATGCCTTTGACGCTTGGATGATATCGGTCCACCCGTCTACCGACTGATTCAAGGCGAGCCATGATTCGGTGGTGGTCGAGGAGCCAGTCGCAGCATATGAGCCAGATGGAAGCGTCGTGTTCACCCAGGTAGCGAATACCGTGGAATTGCTGGTCCCGTTGAAAACAGTACTGGGAATCGACACATTCTGAAATGTGAGTTGACTGCTCATGTCCTCGCAAGTAGAGCAGAAGCCGAGTGTCGAAAACAAATTGTCGAAAGTGCAATTGCCACTGTCACATGTGAATGGTGTCCTGATGTCCGCAGGGTTGTAAAGGCCTTGGTCGATATAGCCCAAGACAGCCGTCGCGGGCGGCCAGATGCCCGCACTGGTGTGTGCCCCAGCCTCACTGTACATCATCGAACGTGGGAGCGTAGCATTCGACTTGGTGCTCGTTTGTTTGCAGTCGTAGTAACGAACTAGCTGTTGTGTGAACGGATCTACTGCCAAAGTCAGGAGGATCAGACCTGCCCCAAGCGACGCGACAAAATGAGTCCCTCGTGGGAGGAACAGCAGCCGCAGGCAACCCCAGGGCCCTCGGCTCGCACTGTCGAACACGACGAGGTCGTGCAGAGGCCTGGTCTTCTGGAACCATCTCCATTTCAGGTGGCTGATGCCTTCAGTCAGGATCAGGACGGCGCAAGTCTTCAGGCCGGTGCTCAAGATGGAGACGGCCGTGTTGATCGATACGTCGAACGGCCAGTCTGGTAATGGCTTGGTCTGGTTAGGGTAGAGAATACCGATGATGGCACAGAGTGTTCCTATCATGAGGATACAGTTCAGAATCTCCACCCACCATTGGCTCCAGAGACTAGGTGGCCGTCGTGGTTGCGAGTGTCTGGGACCTGGGCTGCTCGCGTCACCAGCCAATATCTCGTATGCATGGGATTCAGAAGCAGCTTTGTGTGGGGTTTCCTGAACGTATTGCGGTTTTTCCGGCGGCCCTGTTGATGTTGTGTACGTCCGTTCAGAGGGTTCACTGTTGCTGCTGAACAAACTTTGGGCTTCCGGTTTGGCCATGATGCTGCCCACTGCTAAAACTCGAGCAGCTTCATGCAAAGCAAAAAGAAGGAAAGAAGCAAATAAGACTAAACAAAATTAAGAAGTAGAAGAACAAGTAGAGTCGGATTTCCGCTGCTGAAATTTTGATGTGGTGGTTAATTCTTTCTATTCCTCTTCGACAAATACGCACGTACATCCCACACCATGACCACTACCTCCTTGCCGCCGCGAAATAAAGGGGACAAGGGCGCAGTGCGGTGGCTTATGCCTGAACGTTGTGCAATTCCTTAACTCTGTCAAGTGTTCAATTGATAGGATGTCATCGGCCTTGGCGTCTGCCTGGCCAGGGTAGGGGCTGTCTTGATACGCTGACCGCCTGACCAGGGACTTTGACGGGCAAAGTAATGGGCCAATCGCTTACCATTAATTGTACACCTGAACTTCTTACTCAGACGTGCATGCCTAGTGCGTGTAGTAATGAGGCGAAGGATCTCACTAGACAAGCGAAATCAGGTAGGTCTTTGCAATAGTCCGAGGCATGTAAGTCGTGGGATTTGGCACAGAAGTGAGTGAGCCCAAACTTCTAATTAGAACTCCATTCGTTCTATATGTCCCCCGAGAGCCGGCTCTCATCGTTCTATTCAGGCGCGTTACAAGGCGATCTACTCTTCACATAGAATATGAACTACTCCTACTCACCTCGCTAAGAACACCTGCGCCATTCCCACAAGCCGTAGATCGAATGCCTGTGAGAACTCAGTGAAGCCACACACATTTGCAGAGGGTCTGCCATCAGAGATTTCCACCCAAATGAACATGCGTAGAGACTCAGTGTGAACATAAATAGGAAAGAGGGGGTTTCCGACAGCGGGAGTTGTGCTATCCATTTTAACGATTGAGTTTGTCGTGGTGGGCTTTGTACGAGGGTCAAACCTGTATAACCTTGCTACCATCTCTTCCTCTCAAGCAAAATCAGCTTTTCACAGTTCAGTGGTTTCCACACACGCGATATGGCTCGATTCACTCTGATCTCCTTGCAAATCTAGACCTCTCTAGCCTTCCAGGGTTGCCTGACTTTGAGAGGCTGATATTGTCGCAAAAACGTCTTTGCCACTCATATGATATCTACAGTCATGACTGCACCAAGACATGAGCATAGACGTGGCATAGATAAAGTGTGTTGCGTTGATGATTGGCAAATCTGCTGACGATCGAATGCGCAGATGCCTATGCGTCTGAAGCTTTTGGGAGAATCTGGCTGATGATCAAAGCTCTCAAAATATTCCTCTATGTCAATGTCGGTGCGTTGACCGAGTCCAAGGGGAGACAGCACAAGAAAATACCGTGCGGACAGCATGTTGACATAACCGCCCTCTAATAGCAATAAACAGGTGACCTCAAGCGGCGGCGGTTCAGATTGTCTCCTAGAGGGGGTTTGTCCATTAGACGATGCTCCCTGGTCATCGTATTTGAGCTCGTTGTCGAGAAAATTTGATCTCGCACCGGTGGGAGCGTCCGGATCAGGGAACTCCACGTTGTCGGCGAGAAATTGGGTGTCGAAGAAGTATTTGTCGAGCGTCCTCGATGACCCGTAGCGCTTCAGGATCTCAGACCAATATACACTGGTGAGTTTTGTCTTTCCATCCTCAGAGAGCTCAGACAGTTTTGGGGCTGAGGATGTGCGGTTCTGGATGTAAACCCGGTTCCGAAGCAACAATCCCTTCAGGGCTGCGCCTCGGAGACGAAGCTGCCCAGCGAAGACGTCGAATCTATATTTGTTTGGGTTCCACATCGACAAATCCTGGACAGAAATCAGATCCGACACGCGCTCGGTCTTTTCTTCAATCTCCATATCGAAGGGATGGTATAGCCTGTACTGAATAGGATGGCTCACAGATATCCAGGACCAAGAAGGCGCACTCACTACGGTCCCATTACTGTGGTGCTGGGTGCGTGATTGCTTCTTGGAGGCTGGCTTACTGTCCACAAACCAGGCGAGGCAGCGGGCCGCATTGCGTCTCCATATACACAGAATGCAATCGTCGTCGAGTGCCACCCTGAACTTGGCAATTATCCCCTGAAGTGCGATGAACCTATCCCGGCCCCATGTTATGTTGCGTGTTGTATAGTCCTGTACGGCCTTTCTCCAGTACCAGTAGAGCTCAGCGTCTGATAATGTGCCCACCGTGGCTGACGGCCGACCCAGAAGCACGGTTTTGAATTTCCGATCATCGGTGTCTCGGAAGTTGGGTGAGAAGTCCCCGAGAATACCCGTAGGTCGGAAGCCAGAGGCTGAGTGATGGAGGCAGTCCCAGAATACCCCATCCTTGGTGATGCTAATGATCCTCCTGGAGAGCATCTTTTCCTGAAAGGTCCAGCATCTTGTGTCCAGCTCTCCATTCGGCCTCCAGGCGAAGTTACCGGACTTCTCTAGTGCCATGTATACTTCTTCCGGGGAACATATGTCAGAGGTCGGTATTAGAGCTTGGAGCATGTTCTCGTCGTAGAGATTCGGCCGTAACGCGAGCCCCGAGGCCGTCTGGAGGCTCGTACCATCGATAGATGCGATGGTACACGTCGCGTTCAGATAGATCGACGAAATTTTCTGAGCCTCCACGTGCCAGTCTCCCCCATCGCCCTGCATGATACACTGTGCGTTTATGAGAATTATTTCATTGAATGGAAATCTCAGACATACCAAGGCGTCAACCCAAAGATAGCGGAAACCAAGCTTGTGACATAGTGTACACGCATCTCGGGTGATGTAATGCAAAAAGATTGGATGAATCCCGGCGTAGAGCATTTCCTTGCTCTGGGGAGTGAGAATCGCCAGACTAGCCACGGCCGACGGCCATCTGTAAGAAAGCGCACAGTATGGTTCATCAAGCCATTCGCTCTCAACTACCCTCACACGGGAACCTTCAAGAGAGGGACGGTAGTTGATTAAGTCGATCATCCGACGTGGTTTGCTGGACACAGAGTTTGGTAGTTGGTCGTATCGACATTCTGGATGGTTTAAAATACACTTCTGCAGCCAGTACGAGACAAGGGAAACACTTGCCGCGAGATTATCAGCTAGAATGCCGTGTCCTCGGATTTTCATGCGTTGTTGGAGGAATTCAGCTACGGCACGCAGTCAATTGGTTGGATGCATCAGCATAAGATTTGGCCGCGGGGAAGATCAGTATAATACCTTCATATCCTGCAGGAATCAAATAAGGCGAGATGATATCCTGGTCAAGCTCGGTGCTTTCAAGAAGACCAGTCACGCGAAGACCCTCGAGCGAGCCGAAGAGGTGGACCGGTCTCGAGCCTGTGCGACATGTCCGGTAGTGGCCGTCTCGGGTTGATGACCCATAACTTGCGCGAAGGAAGTTCAAGGAAATGAGATCATGAGTCGAGACATTGTGGGTATTGAGTGGCATAGCCAAAACCTGCCAGGGAACTGGCCAAGGGTAACCTGTGCGCGCATACAGTATACCAGCGTAGTACATATTGTTGCACAAGTGTCGCATAAATTAATCGCACGGAGAGTATAAGTGTAATCGAAAGCCGCACAGAATCAGATACTGCGCTCTCAACATGTAGGACTGTCTAGTGGCGGGATGTCGTCGGTTGGCCGTTCTTGAATTGTGAACGGCAACCTGATTGTGGCTGAGGAGCCGACATCGAGACTCTATGCATGGCAGAAGGAACGTCAGCAAGTACATGTACGCAACCCCGCAAGTCAGATGCGCTCGCATTTCCCGCTTTCACTTGTCCCTCTCCATGCTCTGACATCTCTGAGCGCTTGTGAGTTATTGTTCTTTGACTTCTCGCTGAAACAAAGTGATACTCCCACTGCATTTGATCTCGAAGAAATCGATGGCTAGCTTAAGGATTCGACTTCCTTTGCCCATCCTGTCACTGTCTAGCCGGCATGCACATTGTTCTCGCCTGGCCGGCGCTAACCAGTAGTCCAATGATCCCAGTCAGAATAATTTTTTCTTCAACTTTCTTGGTCTGCAAGGCCGCGGAAGTCGAATTCACACCCCTCAACAGCCTCCCAAAAGACGGGCTTCAAACGGAACACTTGGGAGAATTTTAAGAATTTTTAATTTTCAGACCAGAACAAACAGATACTAATTGACGAAAGCTTACACGATTTTGAAATATCAAAATGGTGCCCCAGTGGCTCAGCACACTTGTGAACGGAAGGCTCTCCTTTGGCAATACCTTGACAGCGGCCAAGATCGACCCGTAGAAGCTCCTTCATGCTTGGAACAAGACCAAAACATCTTGTTGCCTCGTACTAGAGCAATAATCGACGCAGTCAAGGGTTCAGCAGCGGCCCCTTACACCCGTTCATCATGTGTATCCTGTCAGGTTGGTTAGGGTCACAAGTGGAGTGAGTAGGTATATGCAGCGGCAGCGCAGCGAAGACGTAGTGATATCGTGGGTTGTATTATTAAAAGACTACTGAACTTGCCTCATCCTTCTCCCTTTTCCCTTTCCTTTTAGTCTTTCTTTTATAATGCTTTTTGTTTGCCTTTTGCGCGCGCTGCGCACGCGTAGCGTTGGTATGAAGTTCATTCCAATATAGTGTTTTGCATTCCACGAAGCATTCCAGCTGCGCGGGAGCTGCGCTTGGTATGCTTGTGCAACGTTGGTTTCTGGCATATCCCCACAATGACGGGAGTAGACGGACATGCTCCTTTTGGCACACAAATGTGAAGATAATCCACAAGTTATTTACTGTGTGAATCGTAGCGTTAGCGTTTGTAGCGAGCTAATTAGTCTGTTAGGCTTATAGCTATAAGTAGGCCTTAAAAGGATGCAGCCTTCAGCTACTTCCTATAACTAAGCAAGCAACCTATACCCAAATAAACACCAACATTCTTAAACACATATTATATTTAAATATATAATTTAGCTAATATTAATTAGTAATTATAAAAGCAATTATAAATAGCTAAATATAAAAAAAGATAATTTACTACTTTAAAATTTATATACTATTTATATATATTTTTTATAAAGTAGCTATACTAATATTTATTTATATTTATAAACTTATATTTATTATAAATATTTTCTATAAATATTAATAAATTATTATATAACTAAAAAAACTTAAATATAATAAGTATATTTTTTAACTTAATTATTTTAAGTATTTATTATACCTTAAACTAAATATTAATTCTTACTAAGCCCTAAACTCTTTATTTATTTTTATTAATAAGTAAATTTACTATATTTTAATAATACTATAATATATAAAAGAAAAGCTATTACTTATATATATTTACTATATACTTAATAAATAACTTTAAATATAGCTATACTTAATTTTTTTTACTTATAACCCTTTTATTAATTATAAAAACTTTAACTTTTTTATATAATATAATACTTACTTTTTACTTATTTATTTTACTTTAATACTTTATTATTAATAACTTTTATTAATATTATAGTAAATAATAAAACTAAATTTATTTTACTATTAAAAAATAAACTATTAAAGTATAATTTATTTTTTAATATTATATAAAATAATACTTATTTTAAATACTATTAAATAAAACAATTTAACTTTTCCTTATAGGAATAGTTTATTACTTTTAATAATAAATTAATCCACTTTAATATTTTTATTATATTTTATATTAATAATTATAAATATTTATAATTAAAAATAATTTTTAAGTATTTTTAAAATAATTTTACTAAATAATTAAAAAATACTTTTAAAAGTATTATATCTAATTATATTTTTAAGCTTAAAAAAACTTTATATATTAAAAGTATTTTTATAAGTTTTAATAAAAAAATTAAATATTTAAAGGCTTTAATAATTATTTTTAAATTAATAAACTTTTTAATATAGCTAATAATAATTTTTTAAAAGTACTAAAGTTTAAATAAAGTTATATTTAGCTATAATTTAAAATTAAAAAAAAATAAAAATTTAACTATTAATAATTACTTTAATATAAAAAATTATTTTAATATAAATAACTTTAATTTAAATAAATTTAATTAAAAAAAAAGAAGAAAAAAAAAAAGAAAAAAAAAATAATAAAGCTTATTAATAAGAAGTTTTTTAAAGATAAGTTTAAAAAGAAGAAGAAAAAAACTAATAGTAATTTTAATAATAAATTATTTTCCTTTTTTAATTTTAAAATAAATAAGGATAAAAAAAAGAAAAGGGATAAAAAAAAAAAAAAGAAAAAAGATAAGGATAAAAAAAAAAAAAAAAAAAAAAAATAAAAAGAAAATAAAAAAAAAAAAAAAAAATAAAAATAATTATTTATTATTATTAATTAATAAAAATAAATTTTTAATAAATATTAATTTTA